GCCCCCCCCCCCCCCCCCCCCCCCCCCCCCCCCCCCCCCCCCCCCCCCCCCCCCCCCCCCCCCCCCCCCCCCCCCTTCCCCAGCGCAATTATTGTTTCAAACTTCTGTCTAATACAGGGTTTTTACATTGATCTTGCGAGAGCTGACGCTGGTTGTTCGTATTTACCGTACCTACGCCTTCCATCTCTAGTTTTCTAGAAGAACAATTCCTTTACCCCGGGCCTAGGCAGATATGGACAATTCTTTCCACAGCGAGATCCCATGGGCCATACGGTACAGTAGTCGTGGTGTGTGTGTAGTTGGAGGGAGGTTCTTTGGTGAAAATAATCAGGCCCGTACGGTAACGTAACTAACTACATAAGTTAGGTAGTACACATATGCAGTGACAGCACGCAGTCACACATTCCGGCAGAACATCATCAGCACGAAACATCTTGATCTGAAGTGACCATCTCTACAAAGAGATAACCTCTATAGAGGCAAATGCTCCAAACCCGACTTGCTCGCCCTCTTCTGCGCGTCTCATTTCTTCCAACCCTCGCCAAACGTCCGCTCCCGTCTGCTATTATGGATGCGTCGCAGCATCAGGTCATCTACGCTCCTTCGAGCGAGGCCCCTCGCGGCATCAAGTCCGTCTTCCTCGCCGGCACCACGAGCAAGGTCGACGAGACCGACTGGCGGGAGAACCTCTCGGCCTCCCTCTCCGATCTGCCGGTCACCATCTACAATCCCTACCGCGCAGACTGGGACAGCACTTGGCGTGAGGACGTGACTTTTGCGCCGTTCCGCGAGCAGATCGAGTGGGAGCTGGAGAAGCAGGACAAGGCCGATATTATCGTCGTCTACTTCCATCCAGCCACGCAGGCGCCCATCAGTCTGACCGAGTTTGGGCTCTGCACTCGTACCCCGGGCAAGGCGATCGTTGTCTGTCCCGAGGGGTTCTGGAAGAGGGCCAACGTGCAAATCGTGTGCGCAAAGTATGCCGTGGAGATGGTGGACTCTGTCGAGGGGCTGAGGGAGGCCATCGTGAAGAGGGTGTCAGGCCATGGCTCGAGTCTGTGATAGGGGCCCAACAACCTAGCTGGGTATCATGCCACCCGTTTCTTGTGCAGAGAGATCCCGTTGTATTTCAGTTGGTCGTGTGCAGCTTCGAGACAACTTGTTAAGTTGAGAACGCTGTCCGTGAGGATGGTGGCGTCATGGGTCCGCCCTGCCCAATCAATCATCACAGCAAGCACCAGGTACATCCTCACATGCTCAATGACAATCGCCTTCTCGCTATTATACCTCCAACACCAAAACCCGAGCATCCCTTGAAATCACCACCAGACCATGGGCCACCTAGAATCCATGGAGGCGTGCTCAACGTGCGCCAATCTCCTATCCGCAGCTCCCGCCTACTCTGAAAAGCCCCTACCCGACGACCGCAGGGTAGCCTGCTGCGCGCGGGTCATCTGTGGCAAGTGTATCCAGGTGCGCGCGCCTCTACCTCGCAAAGCCAGAGAGAGAACTACGGAAGCTGACTGTAGATACAGTCAAATCGCAGATTTGCAGAGTACTGCCCTTATTGCCAAATATCATCCGGCCCCTCAGCGCTGCCCCAGGGCCTGAGGGATCCGCCTGCGTATGAGGCAGCACCAGCAGCACCCAAGGCGTCGTCACACGACACAGCGCCACCACCATACACACCACCCTCGACGGCCGCCCATGTGAGTAACGAGAAAGGAGCGCTCGCTGCCGCCGCCGCGCAAAAGGACTCCGACGACGCGGAAGACACACTGCATTTCCTCAACCACAACCACGACACCGTCTCCTCGCTGTCTCTTCGCTACGGCGTCCCAGCCTCCGCGCTCCGCCGTGCGAACAACTTGACTTCAGATCATCTCCTCCTCGGCCGACGGACCGTCCTCATACCAGGCGCGTACTACAAGGGCGGCGTCAGCCTGTCGCCGAGGCCGGTCGAGGGCGAGGACGAAGAGCTCAGGAAGGCCAAGATCCGGAGGTTCATGACCTCGACCAAGGTATCCAAGTACGAGGTCGCGCTGCTGTACCTGGAGCAGGCCGACTACAACCTCGCCGCGGCGGTGGAGGCCTACTTTGTCGACGAGGCGTGGGAGAAGGAGCATCAGTTCCCCGGTCACGGCAAGGCGGCAAAAAAGGGAAAACAGAAAGATGGAACAAACTCCTCTTGGAACAGCAGCCGTCTGCCCTAGACGGCTGGGTCGTGTCGTACATACAAATAGATCCCCACGCTCGACGCCAACACCCCTGGATATATAGGTCCGAGTAGTGTACAAATAAAATCATCATTCACAGAGCAATCAATCATTAAAAGGCAGATCTCGTGCGGATGTCCTGGTGAACGTCAGTCAATGTCATTCTCTCAAGCCGGGACGAGGTGTACATACCGAAATTTTACGCTCAATCTCGCGGACGGAGCGATCGAGCTCTCCCGCAATCATTTGCTTCTTGTCGTTGGGCAGCAGGGTGTATCTCTCACAGAGGTCGCCGTCGATCACGCCCTTGACAGGCGCGTAGTACCCTCTGTACATGAGGTGGTCGCGTCCCGCCAGGGGCGGATCCTCTGTCCGCAGGTGCTGCTCGAGGCTCTGGAAGAAGTCGGTGTCTTCGCGGCTGACGAACGGGATGAAGACGCCAATGGTTCCCATGATACCACTCCACAGCAGGATGTCTTGCCCACCGACCACCAGGCTTGTCTTGGTGATGCTGGTGGGAATGTCTTGGGTGTAAAAGTGACACATGAGATTCAGGCGGTGGGACGTGCCGTGCAAGTACTCGCGGGCGTTGGTGAGATGCAGACCGGTCTGCTCCTCGTCCGCCTCCTCGCTGGCCTTCTGTGGGCTGCGCACGATGAACATGTTGCCGAACTTGTCACCGCCGGCCACCGACTCGTAATCCACCATTGTCGAGCACGTGGTCCAGCGTGACAGCGTGTCATCGACATAAGGGATGAGCTTATTCGTGGCAGGCTTGTACACCACATACGTGATGCCTTGCTGAACATCGCCGACGATGATGCGATTGCCTTGTGTGTTGAGTGACACGATCTGCTGAGGGACGACCTCTGCCTGAGCTTTGCGCAGCATCTGCCGCAGACCAAGATCGTACAGCCTGAGCGTCTTGCCCACGCCGGCAAGGATCTTGCCCTGGAACGGTAGTAGCACTTGCGGAGGCTCGTCCATCTTGGTCTTGTGGATGAACTCGAGCTCCTTGCCGCCTTCAACGAACCGGTAGACGTGTAGATATCCCTCGGAAAAGCTCCGCGGGTTCATGACCATGTCCTTGCCTGTGCCAACAATCAAAAAGTGCTCGGCGTCTTGACTTGCGAACGGTGCCACAGCCACGCTGACGGCGGCCTCGTTGTTCTCGAGATGGATGGTCTGCGTGACTTGCGGCGTGTCGGACACCGGATCAATGACACTGATACACGATGCCCACCGGCGGTTGCCTCGTGGATAACCAAAGTCCTCTGGTGGCAGGTCTTTGGCGTCTCCGTTCACAGCGGCTGGATCTGCCAGGAGCTGTGCTCTTAGATCGGGCGGGAGAACGTTGTTGTCTGCCTCTATCGTGTAGAAAAAGGCCTGCTCGGGATGCTTGACGAGCTTCTTGGGGGTGTATGTCAAAGGGACGGATGACTGAATCAATGGTTCGCCCAGTCGGTCGATGGAGAAGATGCTGCACTACTCGTTAGCAGGTTGCCCCTACGGAGAGTGCAGTAAAATAAAAGAAAAGGGTCATCTTCAGTAGGAACAATTGGTAATATGCGTAAAGCCTCATTGCCCGTAGGCGTAGGTCCCATGTCTCATCATGATGAAAAAAAGCAAAACAACGGGGAAGAACGTACCGTAAGGATTGCCCCTGGATGCCGACGACACCCTCTTCGCACTGCTCGCTGCTGAAGTTCCAGCCCCAGCCGAGATCGACGTAGTTGAGAGGTGTCACCACAAAGTTCTTGGTGATGGGGTCTGAGTACCCAAGCCACGGCCGGGAGCTCAGTGCCAGAACGCACGTCTGCCTTTGTACAGTGACCTGGAAAAGCTTGACGCCCTTGGGACCGAGGAACTTCTGTCGAGTGTCCGTCAGCTCGCCGGTGACCTCGTCCAGCACGGTCCGCAGGTAGACACCTGAGTGCAGGCCAATGTGCAGGTATAGCGTGGAGCCGCCCGAGGCCGAGTCTTCCATGGCCATGATGGACAGTGCCGTTGGAGCTGCTGTCAAGGCCTGCACCGACTTGTTCTCCAAGGTCGTCTCTGGGTCGAGGCTGATGATGCGGACTGTCAAGTCATCGCAACCCACGGCTAGGAACGAACTTCGAAGGCGGCCTTCAGGAACCTCTCCCAAGCTCAGACAGGTGACGGTGCCAAACATCTCCTTCTTCTCGTCGTACTCGGCCAACGAGCCGTCAGAGTCCATTTCGAAGTAGACGATCTCACCCGAGCTGAGTGCGATGGCCACTTGATTTGCATTGGTTGACGCAGCCACGATGGAGCGGTGCTGTGGTGCTGCCCACTCGTTAACGTGTCCGCTGCGGATGTGGCGGATTCCCTTGGGATGCACCTGGATAAGGCCATCTTCGCCGAGCAGCTGCGCGGCGAGCGTGGGGACGCTCGTCAGGAAGCCCGAGTCGCTCACTTCCTCGACAGTCTCGCCGATGCTCAAGACCAGAGTTCCGTTGGAGAATGACAGCACAATGTACGCATCGTACTGATCATCGCGATGGCGCTTCAATGTCCAGACCGCTGATGGTTCACCAGGCAGCTCTGAGGCCACAATCTCATTGACCTCGAGACCGTGCTTGAGCATCCTGAAGGTACTGCGCGCCCCGCTGCCACACACCGTGAAGATCTGGGGGGCGTCTTCGCCAAGCACGTTGGCGACCTTGCAGTCCGTCAGGGGGTTCATTGCCGGTATGCTCTCAACCAGTGCCAGATTTTCCGCGGGCCGAGGGTAGAAGTAGGCTGGCTCGTACGAAGCATGAGGATCTGTTGGATAATCATCGCTGCTGAACTCGAGCTCGTCGTCATCATCGCCTAGCTTCTCGAACTGGTAGAAACCGTAGTTGCCGAATTGACTCGCAACGTAGAGGAACCCGCTCTTCAAGATGCACAGATTCGACGCCACAGGAACGGTGTCAAAGTATTTCACCTTGAGTCGGCGAACCTCGCCTGTCGGGTTGCCATCCTCGTCCTCCACCATGTCAATGGTGACCTTGAGCAAGTCGCCATCTTCGGTTTGGAGCAGGAAGAAGAACGCGCCCGCACTGCCTTTCAGCTTGTGCATGACGCCCGAAACGATTGTGCGTTTCCGCGAGGGGTCTTCGGTCGCGCCCTTGCGGCGAGGTATCGGCACGCGAAAGGCCTCTTGGTTCGAGTGACGATATGTGATGTTCTCCTCGCCACAGACGAGCACGCCACTGGGGCCGTCGTTGCCGCCGGGCACTTGGAAAAGAAGCGACGCCGTGGGATCGACCGGTTCCGACCATTTTCGTACAACGTGGTTGAGCCCAAGGTCGAGCTCGTAGTACACGAGCTGCGTCTCAACCTCCTGCATGGCTTGACCGGTCGAATCCTGGTCCACTTCCGAGTAGTCAATCTCCAAAGCCGCGAATACGGGATTGGCGTAGCCGACGTCCAGAGCCACCATGGCGATGACGAGGACATTGGGTTTGTGGGCCTCGAGGGGCGAAGAGATGGTCAGCTCAGCCTGCGAGTTGCGGTTCAACACGTAGACAAGCTTGTTCTTCTCTACTGACGCGACGAGACAAGCGCGCCCCTTTGGATCGCAAGCCAGGTACTCGCCAGGTATCACCCTGCGCACGCCAGACTTGCCATATGTTTCCAGGTGCAAGCGGTGGAAGCGGTTTGGCCCCGGCTGATACTCGATGATGGTGATGCGACCCGAGTCGGTGGCGACGATCAGGTAGTCTGGGACGCCAGGTCAGCACATAGTCTCGGACTGCTCATCGCGCGCGCGACTGGTTCGGGGGCTTGTTGAATATCACTAAGTGAACTCTCAGATGCGCGGCGAGGACGAAACTTACCCTTGTTGCTGCCCGCGAGCCTGAATGCCGCGAGCGACCGAATGATCCCAAAGACATCGTGCGAGAGGACGGTCAGCACCTTGCCCTGGGACGAGTCCGGCCGCAGCAATGTGAGTCTGGACCCGGCGCCAGATATGATCAGCTGCTCCTTGGTGCCCGCAAACTGGCCCAGGACGGCGTGGACAACATTGGAGGGAGGCTGGACCGTGAGCGAATAAAGGAACATATTCGACGTGGTCGCCATGCTGACTGGTGGGCGCAGTCGAGCCTGCGCGGCGTCGAGCTGGCACGAGTTGTGTTCCACGCGGGTTGCAATGGGTCGCGAAGACGTTCGTTGGCCTTGGGGAAAAATTGCGCGTGAAGCTTGGAAAGCTCCGAGGGCAGCGCTCAAATCTTTGGCGTCGTCTTCGGGCGTCGGAGGAACGAAGTTGCGGTGGATTGGCCTCCTCGTGTCTGAGCTACCCTGGACCATTGCAGTTCATGGTGGAGTGTGTGGGTCGAGCTTTTGCATCTCCAAGACTGATTCATGATTCTCTCGAGTCTTGCCTGTGCAAAGCGAGCTCTGGGTTACGACGACTTTGACCTGCGTCGACTCTCCCAGACACCGTCACCATGGAGTCTTCCCTGCGCAAAGCAGCTTCGACGCTCTGCGGCCGCTGCACTGCGCCAATGCGCAAGCAATTGGTCCCTCGCCATGCCTCAAGATTGCTGATCTCGGCAACTCACTCTCCGATCCGAGCTCTGCACTCGTCGACAGCATGCCAAACGAACCGGGGCGGCGCCGGTGATAAAGAGTCTGTTGGGACCAGACGGGCTTTCACGTCGACCTCAAAGGCAGACAACGAGGCTGCAGCATCAGCGGCGCAGGCTGGTCAGCAACCCAGGCTGACTGAAGACAACCTTTTCCACTCCTTCTCGAACTCGCCGGTGCCCGAATTCCGCCAACGAGCTGCTTTCATGAGGCAGCATGCGTACTGCTCGCACCCCGACCACCAGCATACAAAAGTCCCGACTGTGGCGCCCAAACCTGAAGATGAGGTTGCGACTGGCGGTACGGCCCCTCCGGCTCATGTGGATTTCGAATGCCCCGACTGCGGCTTCCCCATGTACTGCAGCAAGGAGCACTGGATGGATGATTACGAGAACCACTTGAAGGTCTGCGACACCCTCCGACAGATCAACGAGGATGACCATGACCTTCGGTCTGGCCGCGTGTTCCACGAAGCCGTTCTGCCCGAGAACCAGCTGGAGGAGGCTATGGTGAACATGACGAACTGGGATACCTTCATGTACACCCGAGAATTTGATGCTGTCAACTCTGACCGCTCCATGAGGCAGATCACTCGCTTGCTGACGTATCCCATTACCGTCGGCAGTATCCTGCACGAGCTCAGTCCGTACACGGTCAAGGCAGGCGAGCGACTGACTACAGAGGGCCTCAAGAGCTTTAGTGGTGAGTAGAAGCAGCACACACAGACTCGTTGCACTGCTAACATTGACCGCAGCCCTGAGGTACAACCTCCACCCACCAAAGTCCGGCAAAGGCCCAGGCGTCAACCAGCTGCAACCAGAGCCGCCTGCGGTGCGTGTCTTTTGCCTGGGCGCGCGCGCCGAGTCCTCCCTCCCACGCTCGGCTTGGGTACAGCTGGCGCATCTGTTCCCCAACGCAAAGATTCACCTCATCATGATCGGACCGGAGAGCATGGCGAACCGTGACGACGAGTTCCCCTTGCCGGAGAGGACTGCGTCCAACCCCTTTGGCGCCATTGTCGAGGACCGTATCTCGCACAAGATGAAGATCAGCACGTTTGTCGACTACTACCACTCGATCCATCAGACGGGACATTTCGCGCCCTACGATCCCTACTTTGATTGCTTTGTCCTGTTCCATCCCGGCCTCGGACATCCTGCCAGCAGCCACGAGTGGGAAGACACACTCCCGCAGCTGTTGGAGACCAAGGTCCCCATCATCAGCACCGGCTACACGCAGTTCGATCTCGAGAGAGATGTCAAGTGGGTGAACGAAAAGTCCAAGGGCGAGTTTGACGTGCTCCTGGAGCCGGGCGAGAACATTTTCCGCAGTCTACGCTGGGATCTGAATGACATGGATCCCCAAGATGTCAGCTGTGGTAACTGGGGCGTATGGGCATTCCGCGGCAAGAGGTATGTACCATGCTACGTTCTGTGCTGACAGCTTTACTAACGATGCGTGTAGATACGAGACGACGATCAAGGATGCTTAAAATTCATGCTATGTAACCGTATTGTATGTACTACTAGTAGATGTACCATCATTTGCATTGTGGGCAGGAAGTGTATAGACAAGTCTCGTGTTAGCGGATTTCTTTTTCGCGGTGGAACAGTTCCATGAGTACTTAGTTACTTAGCTTATTTAGTACTTACACCATGAAGCTATGTCCTCCCTTAAACTCGACTCAAACATCGGAATAAACCGAAGTAGGGCGAGGAGCAGGATGTCTGTGAAAGAAAATGCATGTGTACTAGGTACGTTCGTAGACGGTAGATCCCATCCTGACGCATGCTGGGGTCAGGCAGGCAGGGGCTAACGCGGGATGGATGCGTTGGCAGCTGCAAGACGTGCAGCAAACGCCCAGTCCCTCCTTCCCTCTGTCGACGTCAACCTTTCCACGACAACCTCACCATTCGCATTCACAAATGACCACGGCACTTCTCTCTCCGCAACACTAGGCAGATAACCCATGTGTCTTCTCTTACGGCCATGAACTTGCGCATGGCACGTCGCACGACCCGGTCATGACCGCCGCCGTCGCCGTCGCCCCCTCTCCAGCAAACCAGGGTCCACGTCCCAACACCAACACGGCGAAGTCGACTGCCCAGCCGCCAACGACCCGGCATGGCTCTCGTCAATCGCAGCTAGATCCTCTCTCGGATCGCGCGACAGCAGCGCTGATCCGTCGGACGCTCTGCACCCACCAGCACAACGACAAGAACCGCGATGCGCAGCCTCCTATCGACGAGCTGCTCCCGCCTCTGAGCAGCCGCAACGATGTCGACCTACAACTCTACGCATTCCTGGCCATAATATTACGCGATTTTGTGCAGACATGGTACAGCCGCATCACGACAGATGAAGCATTCATCTTGGAAATTGTGCACACTGTAGCACACTGCACGAGGGCTCTGGAACAGAGGTTTCGAAAGGTGGACTTGGAGAGCCTGCTGCTGGACGAACTACCGGATCTCCTGGACAAGCATATCACAGGTGGGACTTCTGCTCCAGGTTCGATTGTCGGCTGACTGACTGCCACTCCAGCCTACCGCACTGCGCACACACCAATGTCGCCGTGGCCCGTTGAAGCCAGGCCACGGCAGGTATATCATTCGCTCTGTCCGCTGCCATTCATGGAACCCGTCCCTCAGCAGAATGAGGCAGAGCCCACCGTCGCAGAGCAGGAACAGAACGAGTCGGCATACCGCCAGCTCCTAGTACAGGTCGTGCTCACAGTGCTCCTCCCAACAGAGGACCTTGAGAACCCCTGCTTGACGTCCCTAGTCGGGCAAATCTTCTCAGAGCTCATCATCGGTAATATTGTTGCCAAGAAAGCAGCGCAGCCGTGGATGTTGTGGGAGGCCATCTGCATCGTGGCGCGGGTCGTTCAAGAGAAGAAGAAGGGCAGCACAGGTCAAGACACCAGCGGTAGTGCAGAAGTTGATCGCGTAGGTACGGCTGCCCGCGGCTGGTCGCTTCACGGGGTCCTCCTCGCCCTCCTTAACGCAGCACTCCTCTTTGTCACATGGTCCCGCTCAATCGTGGGTACGATCGCTTCGATATCGTCCCTCCCACCTCGGTCACCGCCGACTACTGCCGGAGGGAAAGAGGGAGCGCAAGATTCATCAATGAGGATCCCTATTCTTGATTATAGCGTCTGGTCATGCGCAGGCAATCTTCTGCAGCTTCCTGTGAGGATGCCATGGCTCAATGGTTTCTTGTCACTGGCTCAGTATGGAGCAATCAGAGGCCCCGGTGAGGTCGGACGGTTCGATGGTCCTCTTGATAGGTAAGCAAACATCTTCCTCTGTCCTTTCGCGGCCCCTCCGAGTGCACCCCTACGAATCACACCACCTTGCAGCTCCGTTGAGTCAGCGGACCTTGACTGCCTCCAGTGAGCATCAAGAAGCAGAACATCGACAACAGCGGCGCGCAGCCACAAAGTGACGGATCTTCTGCGCGCGCCGTCCCTAGAGGACGGGTCTTGCCTAGCCTTTCATCCTTCTCTTCCCTTCATAGCCAAACACGGGGGCGTCGCTCTAAGCACTTCCGCCATTACGCAAATCGAAGAGACCCAGGCATCAATTATCCGCTTAGCCTTGGGGACGCCTGGCCAATGGAAGAGCTCAACAGCCGCTCTGAGCGTTGATTGCTTGACGATGTGGCTCCGGGTCGGCTCAATCGTCCAGCAACGCGTCTCTATTACGCGCCGACGTCGACAAGGGTCATACTCTCGACGCTCGCCCCCATGCCCTCTCTTCTCACCGGCTTCACAACAGGACGATGCCGCCCCAACCGTCGCAACGCTTGCCAGGGTCAATCCGGAGCGAACACTAGCGTCACTGACGATGATCGTCGACATCGTTGTCTAAGTTCACTCATCGCCTTGTGCGTGGACAAAAGCCCCCTCATTGCGGTTGCTGGTTTGCTGCCTCCATTCTCCTTGGCATGGCAAGCTTGCGCATGTCTCAAGCGAGGCGTCGGGCGCTAGTCAAGGAGATGCAAGTGTTGAGGCGTCCGGAAATCTCCTCAGGCCCGGTGATACTCGAAGCTCGAGGGCAAGGGTCAACCAACTGCTTGTGGACTACCCAGCACAATCGGAAATCTCCCGACCTTGACCCTCTTGCAAACGTACGCACCAGCCAAGTGACAACAATTTTGCTCTCACACCCACAGATCCGGCAGGTCTCTTTTGCAGTTGATGGCTAACACACCCTTGCAAGACTACTCTCGTACCACATTCAATCCCACTTCTCCCCCTCCCAGTTGCCCACCTTCCTCCGGATGATTCGAGGCGTGCTGTTCCCCAACAACGCCCCTGGTAAGTCGACACTGGCGGCGCCCGAGTCCGACGCCGAGCTCCTCGCTCTTCGTCGTAGGGCCGCTAGCGCACTCTGGGGTCTCGTGCCGCGCACAGTGGGGAGGGTATACCTTGGCGGCCGCCTAAAGACGCAGGTAGAAGGCGGTCAGGACGATGATGACGAGGAGGAGGAGAAGATGATCGACGAGGTGGAGGGGCTGCTCATGGTGCTGGACGACGAGTACTGCAACAAGCACCTCCTCTATGGGGTCCTTGAGCTCGTGCTGGTGCGGCTGATGCCGGAGCTCCGTGACAAGGGGGTCGAAGAGCTCTGGGAAGAGCGTCTTGGGAGCTAGACGAGCAGACAGTCATAGTATCATGATATTAATGAGGGAAGAGTGACAGCGTGTGAACACGATGCTGAGTTGATACGCACATCAAGTGCGTCCGCTATGAATGAGATACGAATACTGTCCCAATGTCCTGCATTAGATGCCCGCCCGCGTGCCTCTTTTCGCTGTCCTAACCTGGGGGCAAAGGTCGTACACAACACGATGAAAGGGGAGATGCCAAAGGAGAAATCGAAGGGGAAAATTCAAAGTAGGTTGCCCTGTGAGCTGCGAAGCCCTGTCCTCCGATCTTATGTGCCTGCCTGTCTCCCTGCCCGCCAGTCCCACCAATATCCTTGCCCTTCTGCCGTGAGGACCATGAGAGATGGCGAAGATGAATAAAAAAGAAGAATGGGTTGTTTTTGTTCTTTTCATGCCTGGTCCATGACCCGCGTGGGCGAGAAAGAACGAGACCTTTGCGTCCTAGAAGACCATGAATCGAAGAAAAACAAGAAAGAAGGAGAACACGAAGGTACTTCTGGGGTATATGAGGGTAAGTCTTGTGATTTGTGTGAGTCAATAAAGCATGTGAGGGTATGTCTTGTGTGGGTATAGCTTTTTCTTTTCGTTGCCGAATGGATTCGTTTGATCCTCTGTAACTAACATGTGGTGTCCTGCGGAGTCGCCTCCTCAATGTCGTGTAAGGTAGGTAAGGAAGATAAGGTATCCCCTTGGAAGGGGAAGAAGAAGATGAAGGGTTGCAATTCGATTTTGGCCTGCAAAGTTTCATTCGTGGTCGCTGTTGCTTGTTTTGCCGTCGTCGTGGGATCATGCGCACCATGCTCGTCGTCCATGCTAGAGAATGGGGGACATGGAAGAGTACAAAGTATCTCAGTCCATCTCCATCTTCATATCGCGGTCTCCCGTCCCGCTGTTGATTTCGCCGTCGCCCTCGGGGATACGGTCAAGAGAGCCTCCCATGGATGCCTTTCCAGGTTGTTGGCCTTTGCTGTCGCCTTGCAGCTGCAACTTTCTCACAATCTCGCAGACGGTCGCAAACTCGTTCTCGTTGAAGATGCTCTGGTTTTTGGACTTCATGGCCTGCATGTGGTACACGAGAATGGTAGCCGAACGCGTCGCTTCGGCGTGTGAAGGCGAGGTGGGCGAAGAGTCGATCGAGGTTGCTGCCGTGGTGTTGGACCGAGTGTTGCCTATGCTGGACGAGCTGTTGGTTCGACGGAGCAACGGAGGGGAAGCGAAATTGGTGTCAATCGCAAAGGGTGCGGCTCGTATCTCTTGCCCGGGGGACTCGAGCGTCGGGGAGCCCCTGGGGGCGGGCTGGTGAGGCGTGACGGGCTCCATGGAGGGCTGATGCAGTGTGTACTGCGAAAGACCCTGCACAGCGGCACCTCCTGGCAGCATGCCGTTCTGCTCCATCCTCGCGGTGAACGAACCCCATTCCGGCCGGTGGACCGGGCTAAGAGCTCCCGAGCCGAACGAAGAGGACTTGCTCTCCACGAAAGACGCCTCGCCCATGATGTCGTTGTTCAAGGAAGTCGAAGATCGGGATGCCGCAACAAAACCCAAGTCCAGCCCAAGGCCCGTTGGCGGTGCGGTGTCTTCGTCGCTTCGACTTTCGGAAAGAGGCGAGAGCTGTGTTGTTGCCGAGGTCGGCGAGGTGATGCCGGACATGGATCGCTTCTTCTTCACGCTGGTCGACATCCTGGCGCTATCTGGTATGTTGGCCTCGGAGGCTCTCCTGATCAGCCTGGTCCCCTTTTGCTTGCCGATGCCATGCTTTTGCTTGAACTTGAGAAGCCAACTGCTCGTAAAGTCCTCGGTATGCCCACTTGCGTACGCAAACTGCTTGGCTCGCTCCAGGATATCGTTGTCTTTGATCTCGAATCCGCTGTTCTGCATCTTCAAAAAGTGGTTGCTGAGTGTACGATCCAGGTCTTGCCCCTTTTTCCTCGCGGGCACATTCTCCGTCTCGGATGTGTTCTTCAAGTAAATGTCCTTTTGTCGTAGGACCTTTGATACTGTGCTGGAAGAAGGTGCCTGTCAGTCACAGAGTGTGGGAAACGCAGAGTTGAATATAGATACCTTCGCTCCACACCAAACTTGGCACCAATGTCTGCTTGTCGAGTCCCCGGGTTGTCCTCGCTGTACTTGCACATCTGCCTCTTTTGTTCCGTGGTCAGTAGCTTTCTGACCTTTTCCGAGGGCGTCGTTGGCTTGGGTGTCTCGGCAGACTGAGCACTGGACACCGGCGTCACAGTCGACAGAGCGGGTGCTGAATAGCTCCCTGACGGCATCGGGTTGGTGAGCTGGCTCGGCCATGCCGTGTTCAGCATGGGAAGCTGTGACAGGTGCTGCATCGCTTGCGTCGTCGGCGCCGGCTTAATATAGCGAGGTTGCTGTGAGGGTGGACCCGACGACATGCTGGCGTAGGGTTCTGCGGGCAAATAATGCGAATCTGCTTGTGAGGCGTGAGGAATGTAGCTGCCCCAATGGCCGTACTCGTTCATGGGACTGTACTGATATGGACTCGAGTTGTAAGGGCTGATGTTGCCCCATGTCTCGCCCCCATACACATTGCCATGGGCCCGCGGCACCTCTGGATCCATCTTGTGCCCCTCATTGTCGTGGTTTTCCATGTTGCTCTCTCGTTGAAGTAGAGTAGACATCGAAGCTGGCGGTCCTCGAGGTCGTGATGGCCAGTCGCGGGATCTCGCTGGCCCAGTGATTCCCAGGCTAGTGCCTCTGAGTCGTGGCCAGATTTGGCGGGGTTTGTGCTGGTCTCAGGCACGTTTGGGAATGCTGGCAGGGACTGTGAACACCAGTGGACAGGAGGCCGCACATGGTCTACCATATAGTAGGAAAGACAGGGCAAGACGGGTGAGAAAAGAGCGGAATGCTTCCTTCGTCGTGTACAGTTTGGCGTCCCCGACGGAGAGACGGTCGGTACGTGTCGACAGGTGTTGTCTGGCGGTGGGCAGCCAAGGGATGCTGTATACTCCAGGCTCTCTCTCGTTTAGTGTTCGAGGGGAAAGTCGTCGGCCAGAGGTATCAATTTCCCTTGTCCGGCGGGTGAGGACGGAAGACGTTTGTGGCTTGAAAAGTAACGAAGACAGCCACGTTTTCGCTCCTAGCAACCGTGTTGTGTTGTGTTCCGCGTGCTTAAGCCTCAGAGCATGGCGATGCAAGACACGGGTGGAGGAGTGAGGAAGCCCTGTATCACCTTGACGGAAGTCCTGCAAGAGGAGGAGATGTCGACCAGGGCAAAGTGGGACGGTGGCGGCGCTTGTTGGAAGACTAATAAAGATGGCGGACAGGACAGGACCCCCAACTTGCTAGCGGAAACCGTGTGGGCACTGTTCCGTAATGAGAGGCAAGAAGGAAAGAGTACTATGGCGGGCTAGGCAACGGATAGACAGACGAGTTGGATCCGTGCCGGTCCGTGTTGATCAGCCGCAGATAAGTACGTAAGGTAGCTTGGTTAGTCAGTTGGGCATCCAAGGGCCGGGCTAATCGATTTGTGTAGGTCGATCAAGTACGCGACTGACTGCTCAAGCACGGCAGATAGTTACGTATCAGAAATAAAAGACTTCTGATGACCTGTGCCGTTTGCTTTTGAAGATGAGGACCAGGCCGCATGTATGTAGAATCAAGATCAAGGAGAAAAGCAAAGGCAGGCCAGGGTCAGTTGTCGAGACTGGAGTGGACTTGGCCCAGGTATATACGTGCGAGTGAGTGTGTATATCCAGGAGCCAGTGCCTGTGCGAGTCTCTGGCATTCATCAGTCTATCGGTGTCGATATCAGCCATGCATGCACTCTACGCACCTCTGTCCGCGTCTGCAGGACGCACGCAGGCGCACCGAGTGCCGACAAGGTAATCAGGGAGAGGTGAGGCAATGTGAACCCCCGCCGAACCAACCAGCCAGCCAGGGGCAGCGGGCAACATGATGGACGGTGGTAGGCTTTGAGTTGGTAACATGAGGGACGGACCTGAACGACCTCCGTAGGGGCCCAACAGTAGTAGCCGGCGTCTAATGGAGGGTGGGATTGGACCTAACGGACCCTCAGGGGGGGGGGGCTGCGTGATGGGGTGTGTGCGGGAGAGACAAGAGAGTGTGTGTGTGGGCAAGCTCGCTCGCTTGCCCGCTCACAATCATTCACTCACTAGCACCCGTCCTCTGCTGGTGAAAAGACCAAGAGGGGTGCCAATGCGGGCAAGAAAGCCCCTAGTCTAGACAGCCCAGGCTCAACAAGAGCAAAAGGAATGGCGGCGGACGGAAGGTTATTATTTGTTGTTGTTGTTGGTGTGCGAGAGACAGGAGCTTGGCAGGGTTCAAACATCGGACATCTGACGAGAGCTTCCGAGGAAAACTGCTCGACCTGCTCAGTAATTTACCTGGAACCGTCTTCCTGCAACAGATGTCAGCTTTGGCCATCTGCCCATGGTCAAGACCGACCGTGATCCAAGGCTTGTTGATGAGGCACACAAAGTCGAGAAGCGTGCGCTATCAGGACCTGCGCATACCCGACTGGGGAAGTGGTCCAACAGACCTCCAGCGGCACAGGGACAGCAGCATGCTTATTAGTGGTGTATTAGTGAATACCAAAGGGAGCATGCCAGACGGACAGGCCAGCCCACCAATGGCCAACGCCAACCCCACACGCACAAGAGCTTCGCATTCTTCACTCGCCGGGGGATTCTGTAGCGAGCTTTGAGGGACGGCCATAGGTCGCGTGGCCAGTGCGACAAGGCCTTTCTCGCAGCGAGAATACGGATGCGTATGAACGGCCAGGATCGACGTCGGACCTGGAGGCCTGAGACCAGCAGAAGTAACAAGTATCCCTCTGTTGGTCGATACGTACTGTATGTACGTAGCCGCCTCCCCGTCTGGGACGACAGCTCAAAGTAGAAGCAAGAAGCTTTCGGCAACAGGCCAGGTCCGACAGGATAGGGCAGGCCGGAGCTGACCCTGGCTCAACCCTCGGAGCCGCGCTCGAGTGACCCGCCTCGCAAGGCCTGATGACCCCATTGAACAGCATATGAGGTCACGGGGATCCTGCTCGGTGCCGAATCATATCATCAGAAGGGTAGAATGAGGCATTTCGCACACGACGACGCCGGATCCCCACGACCATCGTCCTTCTTGAATCGGTTGGTTACAAGAGACAAGCAAACACGACTGCCTGTCCCCATACGTAGCAAGAAGGGAAAGGCGCTCCAGGGTGGAGAGGCGAGAGAGATGCTAGAGCCTAGCAGCTGCATGCCCGCGCAGCGACCAGTGTCCATGGCGCTTGTACTTGTAGGGGTCGGCGCACACTGGGGGATCATAGGTAGAAACAAAAGAGAGCTAATCAGCGAGTAGTACAGTATTCAGAGGAGGCTTGCGGACCAGACAGGCCGGGGGGACGACGGTGCTGCGGCGCAGGCCCGATACAGGGAGATTGAGCTGGAGCTGCTGGACGCACAATATTTGCAAGCAGGTATGCGGGTGCATGATTGATTGATTGATTGACTGGGGTGCGTCAACCAGCCGGCCAACAGACGGTCGGTCCGCCTCAGAGTCAGCATCGTCAGTTGTCGAACGAAACTGAGGTCGGACCCAAGGCAGCCCCGTCTCACTGTGGCCAGTTTGTACAGTAACTGGTTGTCGAGGATCAGCCCTCGGCCGTTCAAGAACCCATGATGAGTGAGGCCTACGGAGTAGAGCCCGAGAGTCGAGACAACCAGCCGGCGGCATTCGGCCGGTCGTTGGCTGTTGGTGGTACATACATATACTCTGTACGCGAGGGAACGCGGGCGTGCATTGGATGACAGCTCTGACAGCTCTTCGCCTCCCGCAGAAACCTTGCTCCCGTCCACGCCGTCGTTATTTCCCGTTGCTCTGCATCGGTGGCTTCGCAAGTTCGCATCACTGGCTCATCGGCCAGTGGAACGCCCGGTGCTCCGCGGCGCGGATAGACAGGGCGCGTTCAGCAACGCGATCGACTACTACTAATTATTAATTAACGACGGGCCAGCTTCAGCCTTCAGCCTTCACGGCGGGAAGGCTAACCGGCGCGGCAGGGGTCCCTGATCCTCTGCACCGAGCTCTCTCGCAAGGGGAGAGAGGTGAATGCTTGTCAATGCAGGTCTCTGCAACCATTGGGCCGCAAAGGGTAATACGTAGTCATCCAGCAAGGTCTTGGCCGAGCTGTCGTCTCCTCCAGTGTGCGGAAAACCATTCATAATTCATCCATGACTCCGTACTCCGTACTCCGTAATGAAGCCTTAAAGGTCATTCTCGTCGCGCTCGTCCACTGATCCCTGCCAACCAGACAGACAGACCCATGTTCCCTATCAGTGTCGTCCAACGCTCGGCTCGTCTTCAGTTGATCAGACCCGTCCTCTTTCAGATGTGGTGCTGAAGCAGCGACGCATTGAGCGTCACAGCCCCCCCCCCATCAAACTCGCTGCGACCACCACGTCCTGATGAAAGAGGCAGTCGTACTAGCCTCACTTGTTGATAACAATCAATGTAACGGAGGCAGGCAGGTACCGCGACCTGACGATCGATCGACATACGTATCATCAAGCTCACCGGGTAGCAACCACTCTCGCCGACTCGCCGCTCGCGTAAAGACGCCCTGAGACATTCGGGGTTCGTCTGCCCCAATCAATTGCCAGCACAACTGCCGCCGCATGCCCAACGGCCGTCGATTGCCTGTTGGCTCATCAATCTGTTGCCGACCGTGAGTTACTGTACGTAGCACGTTTGGTCCGTCAGGCGTGTGTGAGTGAGTGAGTGAGTGAGTGAGCGAGCGGACGAGTGTGTCCCCCCCGACACTCGTATGCCTGCATGGTGTCTCGCCCTCCTTCAGGCTCCAGTTGGTAGCAACGTGGGGTCCCTGAACCTTATTGGGCATCAAGGCTGATCAACCATCAAAGTAGTGAGAGACTGAGAGTTCCTCGGTGGGTGGAGTGGCAGGCTGGCTGGCAGAATATCTACCGAGGCCAAGAGAGAGAAGGGGCAAGCAAACAAATGAATCAATCCAGGTCGATGATCTTGGTCGGGTCTGAGTCTCCCGGCCAGCCCAGCGTTGGCGAGGCGTTCCGATTGTGTGCGCTCCCAATTCGCCAAACGATTTCCGAGGGCATTCGACAAAGAAACCTCTGCGTCGGGAAGTGCTGCTGCACCGATCGACAAACGTACAACAATGGGCAAGGCCCCAGTGACGACTGACGAGCAAGAAGCTCTCCCGAACCAGACAAGAGCGACGCGAGCTCCATTTCGTCTTGCATCGATGGGAGCGCCGCTAATCTGTCGGGGAAGGCCACCCCGGCGTCCGCTCGTCGGTCTCCCGTTGATGGTCGCCAGGTTCTTTTTGACAAGGCGGGCGCCAACAGCGCAAGCATATCATGATCTCTGGGCCTGTACGTAATTGTCCTAGCACACAGATGGCAGGACAACAAATGTCTTCCGAGGCTGATGTGGTTCTCGCATTGCAGCCGGCCTGCAAGCCGGACGCCCACAAGGAGCCAACTATCCCGAGGCGTCCCAACAAGCTCTTCAAAATTGTTCTTTTCGCAGGGTGGCTCGATCTTTCAGCTGCCACACTGCTGTTCTTCTAATATTATTCGGCAAAAAGGATATCGCTTCTTCTTGGTTTCAGGGTGGCTTCTGCAACCAGGGTTCAACGACATTCCGGTTTGACTGACACGACCCCCATCAAGAATCCTTGCAGCTTAGCTCCCGCTGTTCGCCTCACATTCGAATGGTTCGTGTTAGATCAGGCAGATAGATGCCCACGGGCAGAGGCGCATCAGAGTGTCATCGGCCGCCTAGAGCTGAACCCATTTGCGCCATTTGCCTGGGCCAACAGACGTGAGCTCAGGCAATGACACCGCATGTTCGGCTGGAGAGGAAATCTGCAATGACCAGGTCGGAATACTGGCCTGTTTGGTGAATCTCTGTCACACCTGATGATTGCGAGTGGCCCGAATAAGCGCCGCATGCAAGCCAAGCACAACCTTGATCCCTGACGCGCTTGTGGTTGCTCTACCCTCCCCATTCTGCAGAATGCAGGATTTGCTGCCCTGCCCACAGCGAGAAACCTCCACTCAGTACGGATACCGTATGCGACTTTTCTGCACTCGACCCGGGGCGCGAGAGTGTTCCCACGTTTTTGCTAGAGGAGGCGGCCGCAGATACAGAGGCCCACGGATATGCGGGCGGGATGCACTGTGCAGCAGTAAGTCGACATACATCCGGCGAAGCTTGTTAGTCCAACAGACAAATACCACATGCGCTGGCCGTTACGACGGTGGTGAGACACGAAACTGAAGGGTGCGGGCGGATATACACTGTGGGTAATATTGATCTTGATTGAGTAGAGTCCGAGGACCAATACTTGAATTCACTGGCCGACTGCTGCCAGCTGTTACGTTATCTCGCGAGGCAGACTACAGAGTCTGCCGAAGGTAGCGGTCCGCTTGTGGTCGCCGTCCTTGCGTGATGGGCAGCACGGTGAGCTTTGTGAGGCGAGGCGCATAACGCGAGGCGTGTCGTTCTGCGGCCCAAGGGCTCCAAGTGGCTCACGTTGGGGTGCCGGGAGGTTGAGCAGCGCGTACTTGAGAATGCGAGCGCACTGTCTTGGAATCCGAAGCGCTCATCGCTTGACAATGGTGACTTGAGACCGTCAGTATATCTAGAAAGCATAAGGGCAGCACGGTATCTACTCACCAACGTCTTCGTCTTCCAGCTGGTGGCCCAAGCCGACACGCTGCGGCTGGTGTTTGACGGACTTGCCGTACACAATGGCTGTTTTAAACTGTTCTGTGATGGTTCGATGGATGGCGTTACACTATTTAGCACGGGTCAGATACCATGATCATAGAAGTCGCCGGGCACCGTGCAACTTACAAAATCTTCGACTGTACTCCTGTTGGACCGAAGCACCACAGGCGAGGAGTAATCTGGCGCCTTGCCCTTGGGCTTGGTATAAACTCGCTTCAGAGCGAGCTTGTCCCACATGGCTTCCATGAGCTCGTCCAAGTTCCAGCCATGCTCTGAGCTGATGGGCACAGAGTGCGGGATTCGGTAGAGGAGATCAAGCTCCTCAATACTGATGGAGTCGATCTTGTTGAGGCAGTACACGACGGGAATATAACTGATGGTGTCAGCAGGGTCCAAGTACCAGACAGCGATTGAAGGTCATACCTTCGACTCCTGGCTTCAAGGACGTCGATGAGGTCGTCAACCGTCGCATCACAGCGAATCGTGATATCTGCTGAATTGATGCGATACTCGCTCATCACAGCCTTGATCTCGCCGTGATCAATATGCGTCAGAGGGACAGTGTTGGTGATGTTCAGACCTCCCTTGTCCTTCTTCTTGAATGTGATGTTCGGTGGCTCCTTGTTGATACGGATACCGAACCCTTCCAGTTCGGACTCGATGACTCTCTTGTCGGTCAGGGGTTTGTTGACATCCAGGACAATAAAGATCAGGTGGCAAGTCTTGGCCACGGCGATGACTTGACGACCTCGACCTCGGCCGTCTTTGGCACCTTCAATAATACCAGGTAGATCAATGATCTGTAAAGGAGCGCCTGCAAATGTCGTCAGCTCTATTCTACAAGAGCCAAACTAGCCCGACGCCCTGGAAGCTACCCACCGTTGTAGACAACCTGACCGGGAACCGAGGTCAGGGTCGTAAACTCATAAGCAGCCGCCTCGGAGTGCTGGCCAGTCAATTTGCTCATCAGTGTACTCTTGCCGACGGACGGGAATCCAATGAAGCCAATACTGGCCACACCGGTCCTCGCAACGTCGAAACCGGCACCTCCACCACCGCCGCCCCCTGACGGAGTGAGCAGTTCTCTTTTCAACTTGGCCAATTTCGCTTTGAGTTGACCCAAATGAAATGAAGTGTTCTTGTTCTTTTGAGTTCGAGCCATCTGTTCAGGCAGTTAGGTACTTGGTCTAGCGGTGACAGTTTCGCATCGAATTCGAGGGCTTCATGTTGCGCATACGTACTTCTGACTCGATCTCCTTGATCTGCACAGCAGTCAGTATTTCATCCAACCGGTTTCAACGATCCCAAAAGGCGGGACATACCTTGTCCACTGTTGTCGACATGGTGGGCGAAGTTGCACGACAGCGGCCGTGATCTCTTTGGGCACTCTTCTCAGATCTAGTGGCTCGGATGTGTTGTTCTTATTTGGACGAACAGAATTTAGCACGCGTGCAGATTCGAGGACTTGGATGATGAAGTTTGGTTGTTGGTGGAAAATGGTCACGGTCACGGTGATTTCTTGGTGGGGTAAATTTTGCGCCTGCCGCCAAATTCAAGTGCCACCCACCAGTGATGTCAGCAGCTGCCAAGGCTCTTAGCTACACCAAACTTCATATCTCACAAATCTGGTGTTATCATGTTAAAGTCGGTTAGTGCATCCCACCGTGTGCGGTGGGTTCGCATTCTCACAATAAGAGGAGGAAGCCTAAAGTTAATAAGCCGCTCCTTGCAGAACGACTGTCAATTAAACTCACGACACCTGCACATGCATCAAGAGATCCTATGCCACTTGCTATAACTCCACAGGTATCTTGACAGAATGCTTCCATAACGCCACAGTAGATGCATCGTTCAACTCGTCCATTGCGTTCCCCCCCACCCCACCAAATCCTTCCGGACTCGCTGTGCCACTGATGTCTCTACAGTGACGAGCTAACCTCAGCTGTGCCCAGCGGAATACTTGTGTAGACAGACCTGCTCGTCGTATACAAAAGAAGAAAATAATCAATGACCATTCGAAGTGAGGCCATTTGAGATGTGCCCGTTCATAATTGAACGCGACTCGTTGAGAGGCTCAGCATGTGCATCGTCCTCTGCATCGGCGCTTGGTGTGTCAGCCCGATGGCTGATAGGCGGCGAGTGAACCCCATTATGGATCAGATGTTGCTTGGGCCTGTTGACGAGATGCTCCAGTCCCTGGTCCAGACATCGCTGCGTATAGTCCGGGTCACTAGGGAACACCTGTATCAGACCCCGACGAGGTACTGGTTGTTCGGGAAACGGTACCGGGCTCGTTTCCGCCGGCTGTGGCATATCTTCGCCAACGAGGCGTCCGTTGATATAGTACTTGTTGCGCGGAGCGAAGAATCCGCCGTATCTATTCGCGTCGGGATCATGCTTCCACTTCTGCGCAGGTACCCATCCTAGTCGTTGGGTATCGTTCTCGATCAGTTCACGATACGTGACCACAATCTTGGTGTTGCGCAAATGAGGAATGTTGGGTATCGTATACAGTAAATCGGACACCTGTTGCAGTCGTCAGTCGCCGCAATCAACGTACTCAACACCAGACTTACCCGAACAAAGAACAAGTCCATGTTGCGGAATCTTTCCCAAGCAGCCTCCCGCAGCCTCTCCCGAGCTGGCAAGGACATTGAGAGAGGACTTGCGCCTTCGTAGTAGTGGGGCAACTGCTGACCCAGTTCCCAAGTCTTCTTGTCCAACAACGAGTACAGGAGACTCTCGATCCGCCAGAGGGTGATTTTGGCAAGGTTGGAGACAGGGACGCGCTGCCAGTCAGTGTCTGTGAAAATAGTTAGCAGCTGTTGCTTAGGCAGGAATTCATGGCATACTAACATCTTGTGAGATTCAGATCCTGCTCGCCCAGTAGAAGCGCCGCGTGGGTGTTCAGGACCCATTGCTCGCGACCCTCCGCGGTATGGTTGAATTCTGGGCGGATGGTGTCGTAGCGTACTCCCTGCAGCGTTCTGAACTTGTCGGCCAACGCAGGTAGTTTTGGGTTGGGGCATGTGTCGAGCCACCGCAACAACGGGGGAAGTTTGTCCAGGCGGGCAGCTTCCTGCTCCTCTCGTAGGCGCCTTTGCTCCGCCTCACGAGCTGCCCGCTTGCGCTCCACCTCTTCGCGGTGTGCCTTGTCGCGACGCTCGCGCTCGAGACGCTCCTCTTCCTCACGCAAACGCCGAGCCTCCTCAGCAGCCTCCCGCTCCCTTTGTAACCGCTCCTCCTCTTCGCGGCGCTTTTGCTCGTCTGCCTCTTTACGCTTCCGTGCGGCTTCGACGCGCTTAGCCTCCTCTTCGTCGCGGCGGGCCTTTTCCTCGGCTTCGCGCTGCTTCCGCATCTCTTCCTGGTGCTGTCGCTCCAGCTCCTCCTTACGCTTCTTGTCCTCGTTCTCTCTTTGGCTGGATAGATCTGCGCGCTGCTCTTCTTCTTTCCTTTGATGACCATCGCCCGGTTGCTCCCGGTCGTCTGTTGCATCGCCGTTATCAGGTCGCCCCTCTGTGTTCGCCCGATTATGCGATATCTCTGACGAGGTCGCGGTTGCCGCTCTCTTGTCACTGGTCTCGGTCTCAACGCTTGCGGCGACAGGTTCTGGGCGAGATTCAGCGTCCGGCATATCGACATCGGTATCTTCTGCTTTGATGCGGACGGACGCGTCGTCAGACTGTGTCTTGGAATCCCTGGGTTTGTCGCCAGTGGGCAAGTCGTGGTCCCGTCGATTGCTGGACTGTGTGGGCTTTGCCTGAGAGGAAGTGCTGTCTGAAGTGTCCCTAGGCCCGCTCTGGGAAAGCGGGCGCTTTGACCGCTTCTCCTTTTCTGAGGTCTCGGTTTCTACTTTGCGACGTTTGATTGGAACCTCGCCTTGGCTTTTGTCTCCGTTTCCTGGTCTGTCAGGAGTAAGACTGTTGCGATGTCTTTTGGTCGCGCCGTCATGTGCGCTCGAAGAATCTTTCGACTCCTCTCGTTTGAGTGCCTTCGCCCTATCGTGGTACTTCTCAGTAAACTTAGTCTTGTCGGTCGCATCGTCGTGGCGAATCTCATGCGGACTGGAAGGCTCTTGAATGGCAGACGCGTTCGACGCGACGCTGGGGCGTCTGTGGGTCTCCCGTTCTCCTCGCAGGGCCCCTTTCGATACCAGCTTGCGCCTGGGCTTAGACGTCTCGCCCTCGGAAGATAGCGCAACTTCGGACTCAGTGCGTTTCGCCTTGAGGGCATGCTGTCTGGCCGCCGTATCCTGATCAGACGCGTTGGCAGGCATCGTGCGCTCCTCTCTCTTCCGTATACGTCTCTCATCGCTGACGTTGGAGTGCTGCTCGGACTTACGAGATTGATGCGGACTGGTGGCCTTGGCCGAGCGTCTCGGGGCTTCCCCTTCACGCGAGGGACTGCGAAAGTGATGGTTGCTTGAGACAAGATCAGATCGATCCTTCTTCTTTAGCCGCTTCTCATCTCTGTCCCTCTCCCGACCTCGGCGACCCGGTGACTTTGTCTTTGCAGATGACTTGAAGGCATCATATGCGTTTTTGAGCATTTGCTCTTCGTCCTTCCAGTTAGTGCCCTGCCGGCGTCGAGCAATTTCATAATAGGTTTCGCCGCGGAAGCGCTTGGTGGGGTCGACTTGTGGCTGTTCAATCAGCAACTCCAAAACCTTGATGTTCTCTTGTCCAATTGCCGCTAGGATTGGTGTTGCAAACTCAGCGGGCTGAGAGGACACCGGGCTAGGGTCGGGATTTGCCTCGCCTAGCCCCAGTAGCAATTGCATAACAAGGTCGTGTCCCCCCCGTGCTGCTGCCACCATAGGTTCTGCATCCTCGCAACTCCCCTTCACCTGCAAGATACGGGCTACCATCTCCTCGTCCCCCCTGCCGGCGGCCTGCAGTAACGTTTTGTCGTCGAGCGGCTGATACAAAAGATCGTTGCGAGTCTTGGTGGATCTGACCGTGCCTCCCCGGCGATTTGACGCGCTGTTGGTTGGCTGGGGCGACCGCCGGGGGCTATCACATCCCTCATTCTTGTCAATGTGGGAATGCCTGTCTTCAGACGTCTTTGTCCGTCCCCCGAACCGCTTCCTCGCTTCGTTCAGCACCTCACGAATCTCGTCATAGTCATCAGCCTCTTCGCTCAAGAGATCAATAGGCTCCCTGCCGTAAGCATTGGCCTTTCGGGGGTTAACGCCTGCATCGAGCAGGAGTTTGATAACCCCAAAATGGCCGTTTTCGACCGCATCGAGCAAAGGTGTTTCTTTATCATAATTGACACAATCCAGATTGCAACCAGCGTCGATCAAAAGCTTTACAATGTCCTCGCAACCGTTGAGAGCCGCGATTTGGAGAGGCGTGTTGCCGGCGTAATCGGCAATATTGAGATCCTCCGGGTTGTCTCGCAAGCGTTGCTTCGCAACTTCGAATTCGCTTTTCGCACAGGCACGGGCGAGCAGCGTTCTCCCATGGGCATCAAGGTGCTTCTTGTGTGTTGTTGTCTTAGCGGGAGAAGCGGTGGTCTCCGCCATGGTCGAGGCTGCCAAGCTCCTCGCTTTGGGTTTGCGGGGATAAGGGCTTCCACTGGCCGAAGATTCGTCCGACTGATCCGTTGGCTGCAGAGGCGGCGGTAGGCGTTTCTTCTTCATGCTCAACCCAGTTGACGACGAGAATTGGGTCGAGGCACTTCTACGGTGCGACCTGGGCGATCGCAAAGGTGGAGATGGAGAGCGATCCTGAGCCTGCAGATATTGCGCTTTCGAGGTGGACAGTCGACGATCTCTCTGCCTACGGCCAGTGTCCAGACCGACGCTGGCCGTACGCTGGCGGCGAACTTTCCGAGCGTGCTCCTCATCCTCCGTGTCCGATTTGGGGACTTTCCGCTTGTGCGAATGGAGATCGTCGATTGGGCGACGCTTTTCGAGGGTCGATCGTTTCGCTGCCTCATCGCGGAAGCCGGGCTGATCATCTTCTGAAGATCCGCTGTCGACTGACGGGGGTCTGGATGGAATCCTTGGTGAGGTATGTGCCGAGCTTAGAACGCTGGACTCATCCTTGTTCCGTATTTGGTTGAAAGTCGGCTTAGCATCACCGTTCGAATTGTCGCGCCGATGGTTCCTCGCTTCCAGCTCAGGGACATCGCCACGATCCGCTCGATTCGACGTGCTCTCTGTGGTTGTGTCCATGTCGATGTCGCTCCTATCCTCCTGTCTGACCTTGCGAGCCTTGGAGGGAGACTGTCCATCCTTGCCCGCTAGTACGATAGTCTCGGCATCCGAGTCGCGCTCGTCGTGTTGAGAGCCGTCACTATGGCGTCGTTGTATGGCCGGGCCAGGGCTGCCCGATGCCAGCCTGTGCTGCGCCACCGAGCTTCCGTTCAGAGGATCTTCTCGTGGTAACGATGCCTTGCCAGCGAGGCTGGGATCGGGGCTGGTTCGCTGCGGCTGCTGTTTTGGCGATTGGGCGTCAGCAGGCCTCGTCTGATCCGGCTCGGCAGCATTGCGCGCATCCATATTAATTCTATCTGGACCAGAGAATGATGCCTGGCAACATCCTGCACACAATCGAGCCGGTGCTGTTCGTACAGAAATGCAGGAGTGAGGACCAAAAGAACAACAAGGCGAGTCTCGCTCAGCGAACGGCGTTGCCAAGGGTCGTTGTTGACCGCACTATTCGTATCGTGTTGGTGAGGGTAAGAGTGACACAAAAGCGAGATTGGCGATCCTCGACGGGAGCGGGCAGAGGCAAGGCAATTAGGTATGCTATCGTACAAGCGTCTCGATCGGTGTCGTTATACAGGTCGTCGTGGTCGTGTCTGTTTGTACTGCCAGTGAATAAGCAGAGTGGGCGGTGGGGAGGTGTTTGAAAGTCGAGGAAAGGCGGGCTCCAAGGTACGCTTTGCTGCTGCTGTTGTCTGGCTGGCTGGCTGGCTGGCTGCTCCTGCGTTTGGCTGGGCTGGGCTGGGCTGGGCCACTGCCGGCTTCGGTTACACTGTTAAGAGATTGTAAGGGACATCGCTCACCTGCTTAGCGCAAGCTCAATCAACGCAAGCTCCACCTGCGCGCAGCCGCGTCCATTGACAAAAATCTGCGCCAGATCATGTCGCCACCAGAGCTCAGCCGCTTCTCTCATTGGTTCTCGCATAGAAACTAACTTCCCAAGGGCTCCACCCTTGCCAGCACTGGCAGTCGCAGACTCGCAGAAGGAGCGAGTGTCTTAAATGCGTAACCATCCTCTACGCCATCTTGTTGCGGCACATTGGTGGACTCTATCCTTCTGCTTTCAGCCCTCCCAACAAACGTCAGACGCTTTCAATCTAGGTTGTCGCGTCGAGTCCAAGATTCCCAAGAACTATGCGACACTGAGCGTCTGAGCGACCGTCCTTTCGTGAAAACCCCGTTTCGAGTACCCGCCGACGACCTACAAGTACATACATGGTGTTCTCACACTGACGCAAGTGATGATTGGCGTCGTCCGAGTTCCAACCAGCCTCCCGTTCTCTTCATCATACTGCCGTCTTCAATACAACGACCTCTGCCTGCCCGAGCCGACGACGGCGCAACATGGCCGGGCACCATGACGCAGAACTGCCGCGCATCCTTGAGCACGCTCGGGTCTCCAGGCTTCCAAACACTGCTTACTACATACCCAACTTTATCACAGAAGACGAGGAGAGACTCCTTCTCGATAAGATTGCAAGCGCGCCTAAACCGCGATGGAAGCAGCTGACCCATCGGAGGCTACAAGCGTGGCCCTCGGAGCTTGTGCAGAATAAGCTCCTTCATGCACCATTGCCAGCTTGGTTGGACGACCCCGTGGTGACACGGCTTAAATCTATCCCGCTGTCTGATGCAGACCAGACATGGTTGTTCGAAGACAGTCCACACAAGGGTCCGAACCATGTCCTGATCAACGAGTATCCGCCTGGTGTCGGCATTATGCCTCATAAGTTGAGTGATCTTGAACAGTGAGCGAGCCGGCACCATGCTCATGTTTCGTAGGATGGTGCTGCGTACTGGCCTGTCGTTTGCACCGTTAGTCTTGGTGATAGCCTGTGCCTGAACTTATACCGCAGTAAGGAAGATGGCACTGTCAAGACGGAGCCGGCCTGGCGAGTACTGCAGGAGCCCCGGAGTGTCCTCATCACCATGGGAGATCTGTATACCGATTACCTGCACGGCATCGAGGAGACGCTCGAAGACGTCAACCTTGGTGAGGAGAGTGTGGTCAATTGGCCTCTATTGAATGACTGTCGCACCTTCTCATCGGGTCGGCACGTTCGCCAGACACGCACAAGCTTGACATATCGAGACGTGCTCAAAGTCTCAAAGGTCGGTGGCAAGCTCGGCCTCCTCACGAAGAAGTGATCGCAACCTCAAAACACGAAAGGAATCATCTTCCATCTCGAAGCCACCTTCTCGGCCCCAACCTTCTCTGCGTACCATTTTTTTGTGGTGTTCGCCGTTGTGCCCAAGTTTACCGCAACGAAGAGTAGACCTGTGAAGACGGTTCTGTTGACCACCGTGTCTGGCGGCGAAGCTACGAGAGATAGCGCCACATAGATCAGACACTCGCTTGTATAGTGTGGGCAGATGATGTGCTGGAACCACCCTTGGTGTGGCAGCGTGTACTTTCTGAGTCCTGACAGATGTTTGTGGCACTCATTCTGCTTGAAGGACGCGTAAATGAAAAGGATAACTCCAAGGACTGCGCGCGTAGAGGGAAGGCTGGGTGCCTGGGATGTGGTCCAGGACTCCAAAATCGCACCTACCAATATAGGTCAGCAATGCTCAGCACTGTTTAACGTAACCGCCTCACCGGATCCCTCAACCCAGACGGAGACGCTCATGCAGGCATAGTAGGCCAGCCCAACGATCCAGTGAACACTAGACATGGGGGATTTGCCAGCCTTCATGATCACCAAACTCTCGTACAGCCTCCTAAGTCCTTGAACTGCCATCAGTGTCCAGGCCACAAACACACTACCAAGTTCCGCACTTCGGCTCCCATCTTTGACCTGTGCCTGGGCTATAGCCTCCATGATGGCGCCTCTCGTGACAAACTGCCATGCCCAAAACGCGGAGCCAGCTACAGAAAGGACGTAGAAATGCAAAAACCACGAGTGCGGAACCTCCAGACAAGTAAGTAGCGATGTCAGGGTCTTCTTGGTCCACGTGTTGCTGTCGATCCCTGAGGTGTTGTTTGATCTCTGCTGCCTCGCGCCGTAGTCCAGCAACGCACTTTGCAGCTCTCTGGGGAGAACATGGACGCTAAGTATGACAGCCGCGCCAAACAGGTAGTACGTCTGACAATACTGGGCGGGTGTGAAGTGGCCCAGGAAGTCGGTCAAAGCGTGAATCGCTTCCATCTTCAGCGCGCTTCTACGGGAGAATTTGGGTGTGTTTCGATCGAAAGCCCTAAGCGAGGGAAGAGGCTTGTCGTTGAAAGAAAGGGTTTGGTTGGAAATCTGTGCGGCAGTTGACCAAGCCATGCGAAGCGGATCACGCTACCCTATTCACATTTGTTCAACATTGCAATGACATTCAAAGCCATACCATAAAAAATTCTACTTCCTCTAGATCCTAGGCAATTCAACTCATGGACTTCTCGGGGATGCAAACAACTGGGCAATTACGCATGAGAAGTTCATATTCGGCTTGGAAGACCCCTTTTCACACCTTAAAGGTAACGCATGCATATACTGACAACAGGCCATTCAATTTGCTTCATTGTATGTAGATGTCCTATTCAACCCAAATCTCGTGACTCGGATACATAAGAAGTCGAGCACGACTTTCATCGATGGCGTATGCATCAAGTGAATCAATTCTCATTCATCGGACTAGACTGAAAGGTCGCAGCCCTAGCATCTTTGAAAATCCCCAACGCCAAAATCATTACATCCCCAACTCCCGCTCGCACAGTCCTACTTCCTCAGATGACGGGGCACGTACTTGCCGGCGCCACCTGAAGGCAGCTTCTCTTGTGGAGCGGGCGACTCACGCCCACTATCGCCGCGGCTCGAGTTGCCCCGATCCATGGGAGCACCACGGGGGGCTTCGAACCGACGGGGTGGTGGTGCACTGTCCGCGTTGGGTGGAGGGGTGCCGGCGCCGCCAGACGAGGCAGCCTTGGCAGCCTCACGCTCACGCCAGCTTGGCTTGTTGCCAGCCAGGGGGAGACGAGGAGCACCAGAAGGACGCTCGTTGGAGTCGCTGCGCTCGACGAAAGGAACCGCACGAGCAGGTGGTGGCTGGTCGCCATCTGTGGGACCAGAGGCTTCACGCTCGCGCCATTTGCCAGCACCAAATACAGGAGGGCGACGACCTTCGGAGGACTCGGTCGGGGCGCCGCGGATGGGCACAGCGGGACCGCGCTCCTTCTCAGCCTTGCGACGGGCGAGGGCTTCCTCTTCACGACGCTGTTGGAGTGCAACCTTCTCGGACATCTCTTGACGCTCCTTCTCACGTTGCTCCTTGAGCTTGGCCATCTCAGCCTTCCTGGCCTCCTCGCGAGCAGCACGCTCCTCGGCTTCACGGGCAGCGCGCTCTTCAGCCTCGCGCAGTTCTCTCTCGCGTTCCTCTTGCTCGCGCTTCTCGCGCAGCTTACGTTCGCGATGCTCCTTCTTGCGGTTGGCGATCTGCTTCTCCAACTCACGCTCCGCGTCACGCCTCCTCTTCTCAAACTCATCGCGGCGACGCTCGTGGAGCGAAGCACGGAAAGACTCGTACTCTGGTACCAGGCGGCTGAGACGGTGCTTCAGCTCGACACTCTCTTTGTGCTTCGCCTCGGCTTCCTTGAGGGTCTTCTCCTTGACAGTCTCGTAGATGGCACGGTCCTGCTCAATCTGCTTCTCGTAGTCGGCGTTCAACTTCTTCGCCTCCTCTTGACGGTAGGCTCGTTCAAGATGGTCGATACGCTTGCCAGTGATACGGAGACGCTCATTGACATCATTCTTCTCTCTCTCGAGCTGAGCCAGCTTCATGGCTCGGATACGGTTGGTGTCAATGTTGTCAATGTCGTTGAGGTCGAGCTCAATGGCCTTGTCGTTCATGTTGAGCTCGGCAATCTGCTTCTTAATCTCTTCCTTGCGCACACGATCGTGCTCGGCCTTGATGCGCTTCTCCTCACGCTCCTTCTGCTCGGCAGCCAGGCGCTTGGCTTCAGCCTCAGCAAGTGCTTGCTCACGCAGCATCTTCTGTCGAGCGTTTTCCCTGTCGCGGTCGGCTTGAATCTTGGAGGCATCAGCCTTACGCTTCTCGATGATATCCTTGCGAGCGAAAGTGTCAATGTGCTCCTGCTCTGCGCCGGCCTTTGCCCTCGCAAGTGCAGCATTACGCCTGGCAATGCGATCCTTGTTCATCTCGGGATCGATGTAGTGGCAGGTGGTGAAAAGACTCTTTGCCAGGCGAGTGAGTTGCGAACGAACGATTTCGGAGGGTGTGTTCTGGAGACGCTGCACGGCACCAGTCTCGCTTTCCGCCGAACCGGCGCCAGATCCTGTGTGGCCGGCCTTGGAGGAAGAGAAGACGTCGTTATCGAAGCTGAGCACGCCGGTGGAGTGATCCATACGGACGGCCAAATCGCCCTTCTTGTTGCCGTTCATGATGAACTTCTCGATAGTGCCGCGGTCAACTTGGTAAGGCTCGGGGAACTGAGCGAGGCTCTGCACAAAGCTCAGGTCGACGGTCTCGTACACTTGAGACAGTTGCTGGAAAAGCCTTGTGAGGATGACCTGCTGCAGGGGCTGGATGTAGCGCTCCATATCGGCATCCGCTCCGATCTTGGTCAGGATGGGCGAGATTTTCTTGCAGATGGAAAGCGGGTGGAAGTCGACCTCCAGGATGTTGTATAGATCCTTGATCTCCGGGCGGGCGCGCTGGAGCAGGGACTTGGAAAGAGCATCCTTGAACAGACGTCCGCGAGTGGGGGCCTGGTTCATGCCAAGCAGGTGTGTCAAACGGGAGTTCTTGTTCTTGCGGGCCTCATCAAAGTCAACCATGGCGCCACGGGAGCGCGATGTGCTAATGACAGGGATGGCCAGGGCCGACAACAGCACGAACGACGCGGCCTTCTGCAGGTCTGCATCCGTAGCCGGAGGGTTGTCAGACTTCTTGCTCTGCCCTGTAGCAATCGACGAAGCAGAGTGGCACAGCAGAGTGTAGAACTTGGACCACGCGGCAGCGTGGAACAAATAGTTCTCACCGACCAGGAAGATGCGTGTCAGCTTCTCGTAGTAGTTTGCCATCATGATGTTCTTGGCAGGACGCTTGCTGAGGTTGAGTAGAGTGTGGATATCCTCCACGCTGCGGAAAGCCTCTTGCCACAACTCGAGCTCAACGGCTACGTTGAGCTGCTGAAACCTTGTCTCAAGATGACGCTGCAAGGTATCGGGGTCGCTCAGGTTGATAGCGTGCATCTGCGATGAATACTTGGCGGCAGTCTGGACGTGGTTCCTCAAGAGCTCACAGAGACGACGGAATTCAGTCTTGCGAAGGTGCTTGAGGCAGAAATCGAGAGCCTGGAAGGTTGTGGTCTGGTAAAGGATCTCGAGGCGGGCATTGTTGCGGAGAATGTCGAGAACTGTGCGGTAAGCCTCCCACAAGAACTTGAGGCAAGGCGTGACAATGGCACGATCGGTACGGTCGCGGGACTGCTCGCCGGAGACTGTAGCCAGGAGGATGGACTCGGGGGTCTCGCTGGCCTCCAGATCATCAACGTTCGATGTGTTGGCGTCGATGCTGGACTGCACCTCGTCGGCCTTCTTCTGAGCTGTGTTGACCTTTTCGACTGCGAGCTCGATGAAACGCTTCACTACCGACTATTGACGAAAATTAGGATACGCACACCCCAAAACGGCAAAAGATCCAGCATACCTCGATTGTTGCAATGTTTGTGTTCTGTGACATGTTCTTGTATTGGTACAGCGCATCCTTGGCGATTTTGCCCTTTCGCTGCTCAACCGCCAGCTCCAGGAGCTGGAGGATGACGGGCTCGAGACTGGCACTCGGGGCATTGCGCGATCGTTTGTTGGTGATGTGCTCGTGGAGAAGGTTGAGAGCTGCTGGGGCCTGGTTGACCCCGATGAGCTCTTGTGCTCGTTTGAGCACATTCTCGGGTTTTTGCAAAGGTGGCGGCGGCTGTAAAGTTCGTTAGCCAGGGTATTTGACGACGAGGGGTAGCAGTAGCCCGAGTATTCTGGGATAGGCGACGGCTGAGTACATTTGGAAAAACGTACCATGATGGGCGATACCCTCTTGCACGACTGGAGGATATGTGGACAATCGGTTTGCCGTCGCTGGCCAGGGAGTGGGAGGGATTGTCGGGCACTCAGTCGAGATGGCGTGGGCTTGGGGTGAACGAATTTTGTTTCCGTGTGTGCAGAGTCGCGGGGTTACTGCGCCGGCGACTCACTGTTTGATCCACAATCACGTGCCGCTTACGTGATGCTCGCTTGATCGACGGCAACGCGCCCTTGGAACACCACCAATACACAAATAGGCCCTTTCGTGCCCTTTCTCCAACACTTCAATGCTCCTAGCGTTAAGCCAGATCTCAAATTTACATACACCGGATTGGAGACAAACCTCATCAAACTGAGGCTAGGCATTACGCTGAGGTACCTATCAAGTAGTCTCAAAACGGGGTGCTGTCCCAGTCACGTGATCCCCATCCGGCGTCTCACGCAGTAAGAAAGCTACGAAGCTTAGCGCGAGATTGCGTCACCTCACCTTTGACAGCAACACCGCACTGCACGAGCTTCGTTCTGCATCCGATCATGGCGGACAGACGCCGCGAGGATCGCTCACGCTCGCCTCCTCGCCGCGGTCGGGGGGGCCGAGGAGGTTTCAGGTGGAAAGACACTAGCCGTTCGAACAATGACCGGGACGATCGAGGCGAACGAGGAGGCCGGAAGGAGTATCGCGACCGATCGCCACCTCGATATCGAGACTCAGATCGATTCGACCAGAGAAGGGAAAGGGACAATCGCGACCGACCTGGGGACAATGATCGCAATGATGGCCCGAGGGAGGAACGTCGACCCCGATCTCCCGGGGGGATGTCCCGGGACCACCATGCGACTGCCGAAACCGAGAAACCGCGAAAAGAGAAGAGGGAAAAGAAGGACAAGAAAGAGAAAAAGGCAGCTGCTGCCATACCCGCTGGGCAGGAAATGATTATCGTCAACGTCAACGATCGCCTTGGAACCAAATCTGCCATCCCATGCCTGCCAGCCGACACAGTCGGGCAACTCAAGTTGATGGTCGCAGCGCGGATAGGCCGAGAGCCCGGACAGATCATGTTGAAGCGTCAAGGCGAGCGGCCCTTCAAGGATCACATTACCCTAGAAGACTACGGCATCTCGAATGGTGTCCAGCTCGACCTTGAGGTCGACACTGGCGACTGAAATCCACTGGGTCTGACATCAAGGGCGCTCCTCAAATCGACCATAAGATTACAGATGGTAAGAGTCGCTTAACTACCTGAAGGTCAGCGCTGTCGCAGTGTCCTGACAGTTGTAGAGCGCCCAGCCATGCGCCAATGCGTGCCATTATCCCCCATGGGCAATGCGCAGATGAAGCCCTCTACGATCTTGTCACATTACGCAATTCGTGGCTGGTTTCCCAGCCTCTCAAAGGATGCGCTGTTATAAGTTTGGGGTGTCAAGCCATCTACGATAGGATTGTAGACTGTGATCCTCATTTCTACGGGAAACCAATGGTTTCCACCATGGCCAGCCTGCACCGAGAGTATACCAATGCTACACGAATCAATGCCAGGCTTGCTATAGAGCACAGCGGTGGTCCGGGGGTCGAAGGAGAGTAACGAGTGCCAACATAGAGGAATCGGGACCTGGATCTCATTTTACGCCTTCAGGACGGACCGTTGGAAACCTCCAGATCTGATCCGGTGGTCCACCGTTGCCGCGCAATATAAATCGTCTTGACTACTACTTAGTTAATTCCCGAACTACTTAATCAATTCCCGAACATTGAAGGCTCTCCGGAGCCGGGTCAGACCTCCCAAACTTGCTCTCGCCGTAGTCAAACATTCACTGGAATATTGTCAATAACTTCTGGCAAAATCGGTCTCTTGATAGTCTGTGGTAGTAATGTCAGGGGGAAATTTTGCCCCACAGCCGCCAGGTTACTCATTAGGAAGGCACCAATCTGAGCCACAAACAGCAACGCACGTGAAATCTCCTATGATAAAGTATGATTGATATTAATATTGATTGCTGTATCTTTCTTAGATTGACGGTAATAGTACTTCCATCATGACCTACCTTATAATAATGGCTAAAGACTTTGTACCGTATGCTTGTTAAATGGTGGTCATTGGTCTGTACCCATGGAAAGAATCGCTGCAGATGACCTGCATGCGCGCATCCTCTCAATCTCCTTCTCCAACGCCGCTTTTACTTGCATGTGTACACTTCTATCATTTCGCTGGTGGGTGTGTGAACGCGAGCGGCGGGGAAATCTGCCGCTTAGAGGCTAAAGGATGGAAAGCGGCACGAGATTCTGTCAGGATCGGGACTAGCTCGAGCAAATCAGCCAAGCCGACTGGAGGCGCTGCGGCCGCTCCAGCTTCCAGCCCTCCTCGTCTGGGTTGCGCTGCAACTTGAGTCCAGTCTCCCCCCTGAGGCTTGCTGCTTCGAGCTCCGATTATGAGGCCAGACCCACACTGGTCACTCCTGCCTGCGCTGACTCGCTCGAGTTGCACCTTTCGCCAGCCGGCCCCCCAACTCCAGTCCCAATTCCCAATTCCAGTTCCCCGTGACATCCTCGTTTGAATTCCTCCTCCGTCGACGCTGGCATCTCTTCGCCATCCATTCCTTCAGTCACAACGCGAGTACTAATAATGTAAGTTCTACTTATTTTCAATTGAATGACCCGACGAATCTGGACTGCTGGACACCCTCGCTTTCCGATCCCATCAATCGAGGCCACTACACAGCGAAAAGGGACCAGAGCCATCGCAGACAGCCATCAGCAGTAGCACCCAATGCTTCTGTGCCAGAGACACTCTCACCACAACCAGTCAGTCACGCCCAGGCTTCGACTACGGCAGACAGCAGCCGCCATCTCTCGAGCTGGCCGAAAGCGACGCGACAGGCTCGCGACACGGGAAGGGCTTGGTTATGTGAGGTATCCTGCCACACTGGGAGACGGCCTGTGCAAATCTTGGCTGAGTCTCAAGCTGTGCACGACCAGGATCCCAAACTTGGCTGTCAATTGAAGCCTCAAACCTCCGGAGCTCAGCCTGGTTGTGCGACTACTGATGGATGGACATGCAAGCTGCGCGAATATTCACATCTACGGCGGCCTCGAACTGTGACGAACCGTTGCTAACACAATGCATTAGCAGACGCTTCTATCAACACTGTCACGAGCCAAACGATAATCAACGTCTTCAACTCAATTCGGTCGGACAGGCATTCCGCCGATTATTCCCACCAACTTTATCTCCGCAGTTTCGATCCAATTTCCATAATTCAAAATGCCCCAGTACACGTCTCGTGACGTCGGCGACCCGTCGCAGATCAAGAAGACCAGGCAGTCGATGGCCGACCTGAAGTTGAGGCGATTGACAGAGCTGAACAACCGCTTGAGGGAGGATCTCGACCGTGAGCGCATCCCTGTCAGCACTGCGGCGAAGAGGTAAATCACGTAACCCACGTCAGAGAGGTGCAATGCTGATGATCCATGAAGCATCATTGCTTACTGCAACGGCACGAGAGATTACATGGTGCCTTCGACTTGGGGCGCTGTCCCCAAGGGCGAGGACCCCTACGCTCCACAACAATCCGGTGGCTGCTGCGTCGTCATGTGAAGTGAGAAACTCAAGAAGAATAGTAACAGCCTGAGCGTCTGGGAAGCGATCCGAAGGAATCGAAATCCAAGGAGAGAGGTACGACGAGGTACCACGACCGTCGATGATGATATACCAAGCGTTGTGCGTGCGCGGGAGGCACACTCACGCACCCGTCTTTCTGCAATGTACTTCTCTGATGCGCATTTCCTTTTGAAACTCATGCGTTGGGCGACTTTGCAAGCTAGGAGCAGGTTTGGGTACAGACTGCACGCGGTAGCGGGTATCGGAGGATATACGAGAGGGACAGCAAAGGTCCCTTTTCATGACATGATATATACGCGCTTGAGCCGGTTGCATTGTGGTTGGCAAGATACGTACCAACACCGGAAGCGTACTGATAGCTTCCTGTCTGGAAACCCGGTTGGCTAGTCAGCGTGTAATAATTCCCATCAAAATCCAGGTTTTCATTTTGTTCACCAGCGTCATGTACCGATACCGGGTTCGTCGTCTCCTGTCTTTGTCATCTCCATAGTGTGCTGTAATTATTGCTTGACTTGGGGCTCAGGCTTCCTCCACGTCTCCTCCACAGTAATAATGCCCTCGCGTCATATGTTCGGCACCTACAACCAAGACTAAATACCCGCCATCGACTTCGACAGTCCTTCACAGACCGGGCTCGTCGAGACAAGTGACCCCGCTGGACGAGGAACATACACCAGTACCTTACGTTAGCTTGCGTTTGGCAACGCCATTGCAACCGCCCAATTCAGCATTCAAGTCTACTACATGACCATGTCGACCGATGCCGCTCCTTCGAGCATCACGACCCAGGCCATAGTCTGGCCCCTGCCTAGGGTCACCATCCAGTTCTGTACCCAGTGCAAGTGGCTTCTCCGAGCTGCCTATGTGAGTTTCCTCTCGGGGTCCCTCGACATCAACCCCTCCATCCTCCTATAGCCCATGCCCGTGCTGACGAGTCCCCTCAAGTACGCCCAGGAGCTGCTGAGCACGTTCTCCACCTCGCTGGGGGAGGTCGCCCTGCAGCCTTCCACAGGCGGGACATTTGTCGTCCAGATATATCATGGAACGGCGGAGGCGAAGACGCTATGGGACAGAAGGACGGACGGGGGCTTTCCAGAGACCAAGGAGTTGAAGAGGAGAGTCAGAGACGTGATTGAGCCTGACAGGAATCTTGGACACGTGGACAGGGACTATGGCAAGAAGGATGAACAGGCCGTCAACGAGGAAAAGGACACAAGGAACGAGACGGCTGAACCGCAGGGCAACGAGCAGAAATGTGAAGACTGCGCAACATGACGGTATAGGACATGGTCATGAGAATTAGATTCAGATTTAGGGAGGTTTAATTAGGCGTCTGGCAGATGCATACGCCGCTAGAGGACTCAATGGTACCATGTCATGTTCTGCGTGGAGGAAAAAGAGCTAAGGTACCTGGTAAATAAAAGTCAAAAGCGATTTTTATGTATATTTATTGCTGAGCTAAGAAACAGCCGTTGTCGTGATCAACGTTGCAGATTGGGCATGATACGACCGAAGCTCGCCGAGTTCAACACAGGTTTGCCAGACACGCTCGATGGACCGATCTCTCGAGATTGCTCGACAACTAATTCCGACGTCATGTCGGACCCGGCGAGAGGAGGATTATGCGGAATGGAGCGAGATTACGAGACGCGCAAGAGGATCGCAGATTTACAGAAGCCGGAGCGCCGGACACTGCTTGTCGCTGTGGCTAGCAGCCGGCGCGGCGAGAGGACTTGTTCGTCGAGGGTGCGATAGAAGTAGTCCACTGCTTGCTTATCGCCGTCCGAACTTCTGCTTCTTCTCGGCAGGCTTGAGGATCTGGGACCGAACGTCAGCAACTGGTATAGCCACAACTCGCGGAGCTCACATACCTGGAACGAGCACAGTAGACTCTCATCAACGCTCATCATGGCGCCAGCATTGTCGAATTCTCCACAGTAGTTGGGAGCACTGAAGAGGGTGACAAGTTGGCGTTTGCTGAAGAACTCGTAGCCGTCCTCCACGACCTGGTGAGCGCGGCAGATGAGATCCATGTCGTGCTTCTGGAGGAAGCGCGATACAACATCAGGACCGAAGGTGAAGGATACACCACGGTCGTTTTCACTCCATCCCGTAATGTCCTTGTCCGGGTCTGACCACAACAGGTCGCACAGCAACCCACAGTCGGGGATCTTGGAGAGTCAGCATGACATGCGCAACGCTGTGGCACTTGGGATATCGGCTTACATCTGTAGGGCGCATCACGCGGCGAATCTGCTCCATGGAGTTCAAGTCAGGGCTCAAGCCACCGTGCATGGTGAAGATTTTCTCGTCGATGATAGCGGCGATAGGTAGGCAGTTGAAGCAGTCCGTGAAGGTCTTCCACAATTTGATGTTGTAGCGACGCTTGCACTCGTCGTAAAAGCCGTAGATGCGGTTGATGGAGGCACACTCATGGTTGCCACGCAGGACGAAGAAGTTCTCGGGATACTTGATCTTGTAGGCCAGCAACAAGCAGATGGTCTCGAGCGATTGCTTGCCTCTGTCGACGTAGTCGCCAAGGAAGAGGTAGTTGGCTTCGGGGGGGAAGCCACCGTATTCAAACAGGCGCAAGAGATCGTAGTACTGCCCGTGGATGTCGCCGCAGATCTGAACCGGTGTTAGCATGCCATCTTGGCGTTTTCTACATGTCGCCCATATTCACCTTGATGGGAGCCTCAAGCTCGAGGAGGATAGGCTGCGAGATGAAAATCTCCCGAGCCTTGGTGCACAGATACCGAATCTCGGCTTCGAGGAGCTGAACCTGCTTGCCGGGGCGGCTGCCGCGAACTTCCAGCAGTCGGTCGATTATGGAGTCGAGATCGACCTCGTGTTCTGCCATCGTAACAAGCCCTCGATGGGAAATGTCAGGCTACAAGGAGAGATTGTGTGGGCGGCGGTAAGGGAAAGGAATCCAGCCGATGCGCAGGGTTGAGGCAGCTGCGGGGACTCGGTCAGTTGACGGCGATGTTCGTAACTGATCGCTGCTGCTTATGCGCTAGGTTGGTGGTACTCGGATCGAGCCTGCAGACCGCAAATACGGCTCGTCAGCAAGCTGCGGAATACGTCGCATGGTACAAATTGCATAGTGTGCAGACTTGCAAAGCCAAGTAGAGAAATTGAGCGCACAAATGGGCTATTGTGTGGTGAGGGCAAGGCGAGCGAAATCTTCTTGACTCAAATGTGAATGATGGGGGGGAGCGGGAGGAGGGGTTTGCCGTTTTTTATCAAGAGGCTAAGCCATCACGGAACTGGGAATGATTCGACTCACTGTGACGGTGGCGTAGCTCCAGGCAGGAGAAGATTCCCGTCGCAAGATTTCTCGTTAGGGTAGGTATTACTTGTCAAGAGAATGACGATCAATATAGGCTGTTTGTCGTCGTCGTCGTCGCAATTGCCTTGGGAGGCGATGTGATGATTGCGGGTGTGGAGGTCTTCGTCACCCAGTGAGTGGAGGCTGGCGTCTTGGAATGCAGGTTCGCAAGTGCGTCGTGGATGGTACGCTTTCGCGCTGTCGCCTGGATTTTTTTTAAGGTTTTAGGTCGTCCGTGGACGATGTCGCCTTGTATGATTTTGAGTGTGATCTGGGAGGATCGATATCACCAGGTGGACGGTTGGTGATACCTACAGTCGATGTTGGCGGTAGGCTGCCACGAGGACTGAGGAAAGAGTCAGGATGGATGTTTTCGGCCGCGCGCGTTTGACGTGGTCGCGAGGAGTAAAAGCTGCTCACAAGAATCGCAAGTGTTTAGTATCGAGATCAGGGACCTGTCTTGTGTATGACGCAGGCGGCGCTGTGTCGTTGTCGTCTGTTGATTTCGCGTGTCAACTCTGTCGAGTGGTGGCAGAGGAGTAGGAAGAGGGATGGATGGTCGGACTTGTTGTGCTTTTTTTTCTCGCGTGCAAAGGGCAAAGGGGGGCCGCTCGAAAACCCAGCGGCTGTATCGACTGGATCGTCTGGCTCCGGCGCGCCGCTGGGTAAGGGACCTTGGTGCTGAAGGGAGGAGCTGGGCGCTGATTTAGGCGGCTAGAGGCTAGAGCGCAGTGGGCTAGAGGACCGGACTCCGGCTGGCGGGGCCACCGATGTGGACTGGATCTCAGTGCTCACCTCAGGACAATTAGTAAGGTAAGGTAAGTGAGCGCCTCTGCCAGTGGAGGCTTCAGTCCCGTATACTTGGTAGACGAGGGACTGGATCTAAATAACTAGACTACATGTACACTGCCCGAGTACACGTATTACGGAGCGAGTAGGGTAAAGCAAGTTACAGGTGAATCCCACTCTCAACTTGCTGACCGCGGGAACCCGGCTGCCTGGTCTGGCCGTCCTTCCATCTCGCCCGAGAGGCCGAAACCATTGCCCAAGATACGTCTGTAGACCGCGACGTGAATTAGGAGACACATCGACCCAAACCTTGCCAGCCTCTGGCCACTTTTGCAGATCCATGGCAACTAGAACCTTGCGTACTCTTAGATCCTATGGCCAACCACTCCACTAGAGCTCCAGTGCTTGCGGCCAGCGTTAGGGAACGCGCAGCGCACACCACCATGTCAAGGCCCAGCACAGCCACTATCAAATCGATGCTAACAAACCACCCGGCCCACCGTTGTACTTGACAGTATCAAGGCTTGCACATATGCCGAGCATCGGTTTAGCAAGCAGTCGCACCAAGATACGGCAGCCGATGTTCCCATGTGCGTGGTAGGACAATTGCCACCCAGAGCTCGCGCAAGGAGAATGGCACTGAGCTTCCCTCCTTGCCTGTTCTCTGATAAGTGGTGGCTGACGGTACAAGACCAAAGACTGGACGCCTCTGCTACCCTTGATTACCCCTGAGACGACGTCGTTTCAGTTAGAGATCGCCATATACTCTGGACTGCAGCTCATTGACCAAGGCATCTCGACTCGCAAGCTGCAAGCTGCAAGGCTCGTCCATCGGTCCACGCCGATTAAAATGGGGGGCCCAGAAAAGCTTGGCCTATGGTCAGTTGCAACACGCAACCTGGCGCCAATAGTTCTACAGCAAGTGGGCGACAACCCAGGCTCTTCCGGGGCCCGATCTTCATCAGTCGTCGTAAGCCAGGACCCAGTTGACTTCGCGAAGGCATCGGGAACACGCTTTGTTCGTGTCGACATTCCCATCTTCAGCTAATTAGCTGGGCCTGGCGAAGAGGAGGCTCTGGCTTCTCGGCAGATCTATCGTGGATACCTCATGGGCCATGGCGTGATCAGAGTGATGGTTCGGGATAGCAGCTGGTAGATATTTATAGAAATTCCCACCTCACAAGCGTAAAGGCTATTATACTACACATTGCGCCCCCTGACTCTCGATGAATGTGATGAAAACATACCTGGTACCTTCGGGAGTGACGTCGCTTTTCAGGTATCACCACCTCATGACGTTTCTGATGTGTATAATTGCAAACAAAGCTGCCAATCAATATTGTAGACTGCGGACCTGTGAAATGCCTTAAAACGTTGTCCCACGCTCCTCGGTTCTGCTTCGCATTGTGATACCAAGGGCGCCCTCTATACTCCCGCCAACGCCCAGCTTAATTTGACTACGAAACCAGCAAATGTGTGTGTAATAGACCTCCAGTGCCCTTCCCATGATACGTCTCCCTGTGACTTCCGCAGCACCCATTCGCTAACGTCTTCTGGCCGACGTTCTCCGAGTACTCGCGACCGCCGGCGCCGCTCTTCGGGCCTTGCTCCTAGACGCGACCGCGGCAACCGGGACGCCCTTATCCCCAATGGCCGATTCGAGACCCTCAGTGACTTCCGCCCCAAGCGCCTTAAGCTCTTCGTCGTCCATGTCTGTGAGCTCTTCGCTTTGCATGTCCACATCGCTCTGCTCCGCTACCTCGTCCTCCACACAAACAGTGGTCCCAACAGGATCAAAAGGTTTGAAGTACCACGGTACGCCGCCGTCAGTGAGGGGATCAATGACTTTCCCCAGGCTGCCATTAGACTGAGGCGGTGTTGGAGGGCCAGCCTGGGCGACCCCCGGCTTGGTATTGATACTGAACCCATTGTTGTCGCTGTTGGGAGGTGTTTCCGACGTGATTTCGCCGTCAGGAAGCTGGGTTGTCGTGTCGGCCGCATCTGCCATTTGGACGTCATCAGACTCGGCCGTGCCCTCGACAGGCTCTCCGGGAGCGTCAGCTTCCTCGGCGATCGGGCTTGTACCCTCTCCCATCGCAATGTCGCTTGCTTCGATCGCCTCCTCGGCTGAAGCGACCGCATGCCCCAAAGCTTGAGTACCCTCCCGACTGCGGAGAATGATCTGTTCCTGCACATTGAGACTATGCTCGATGCGACTTGCCAGCTCTTGCTGTAGAATCTTGAAAGGTTTGCCGTCAACGATAGTGGACTCGAGACGAAGCGCGCTTTCGAGATGCGGCTGCGCCGCCTTCAGGATGCGCTTCCCGAGCTTCCGTCGCTCGCGGATGTCGGCAAGTGTGTGCTTTGGCGAAGGCTCATCCAAAGATTCTGTGCCTGCGCCCTCGTGCGCAGTGGCAATGCCGGTGCGGATGACATTGCCAAGGTCATGCGCGAAAACCATGGCCTTTGTATAATGTCGCTCTCTCGTCCGGCGCTCTATATTTCGCAGACCCTCCTCAAACAATTCCCTGTCAAGCCTGCATGCTGTCAGAAATCGTAACGACGGACATCATGGGCTTTTGACTTACGATATAGCCTTATCAATAGCCGCTAGTAGGTGTTTTGTGACCGGAAAGTAGCACTCATCGACAAACTCTTGTTCCACTTCCGCAGCAGACAACTTCTCTTGCTCGCGCAGCACAGTGTCATTTGTCAACGTCTTCAGGCGCTCCATATCCTGGATAAGCATCTCGGCAAACTGTATCCGCCTCGCCAGTCGCTCTTTGCCATCTGGGCCCATGGCTGCAAAGTCCCTGCGGGTGAGCTCCATGGAGGAGAAAGAGTCCATCTGTAGCTGCAGGCGCTTCAGCAAGGCGGCTCCCTTGCGGGACTCGCGCTTCAGGGTCCAGTAACGACAGGCTTCGGCAAGGAACTCTTTGCGCTTCCTGATGGAAAATCTCTGCAAGGAAATTTCAACCGTGTCAAAGACGGCTTGGGGGATAACAGGGGCTCCAGAGGGAAGACGCCAGACATTCTTGGGCTGTTGGTTCTTCTTCTTCTCGCCATGCGAACCGGCAATGCCCATAACTGAGCCATCTGCCTGAGTTTCGTCCACATTGATCCGTTGCTGGGCAGCAATGACGTTTGCGACGGCATAATTATCTGCCCAAAGACGACCTTTCATGTTCTTCTTGTAGAACCGTTTAGCTGCCTTTGTCGCCTCGGCTACACGTTGCTCGGCCGTGTAGTCAGGAGGACCGTGTTTGTTGCAGTATGCCTTCAGGACCATGTTTCCGTCAAGCACGGCCAGCTGGCCTGTGGGAGTCTTCATCTTGAGATAGAAGCGAGCGCGCCGAGCACACGTAACATGAAACGCCTGGTAGCAATTCTTGTTACTGCACTGAATGCACGCCCCCATCCTCTGGTTGCAGATGAAGCAGTTCAACTTCCATCGTGTCTTTGGGACCTTTTCCACGTCCTGGACAGGTTCCATAAATGTGTGGTTGGCCAAGGACACTTCGGGTATCCACATGGCACACAGGAGATGGGACCATTGATTGGCAGCAGTTTGCTTGAATGCGCCATCTGTGTTCGGGCAGAATATACAAGTCTGTGCATGTTAGCAAGAAAAATACGTTCCATTGAATGTGCAACTTACCGGGACACCTCTACCACAGGCGACACATTTCCGGCACAGCCACTGTCCTTCGGGAATAAATGGGACACCATAGCACTCTTGGTGAACGGCCAAGTTACAGCCGTCGCAAAACACAATGGCGTTTGTGTTTTCGCAGTCGCCATCGTCGCAGATGACGCATTTGATATCAGGTTCCTCGCCGGGTTGATGCTCGCCATTCACGGCGGCGGCTGAGCTCGAACGTGGACGGTGAGTTTGAGGGGGCTTTGGGTTTGGCTTCGGTATTCGTTTCTCCAGGCCATGCCATTCTTTTTCGATCTTTGTCATTGTGATCTCAAAGATTTCGCGTGTCACAGGTTCGAGTTGGCTTTGTTTTCTCTGGGCATTGTAATAGTCCAGCCACATGTCATCTTGCTCATCCATGTCGTACTCTACGCGGAAGAACTTAGACAAGTGTGAACCGTCGTCAGCAGTGGGTGAGGACGACTGTTCTGGATCCTCTTCTGCGCCTGCATTGCCGGCCTTGATGAGTTGTCGATCGGGCCGCGCAAAGTGGTCGCTTTCTTGATATCCAACATTACTCATGGCTTTGTCGACATACCGAGCTTGCCCAAAAGTCTTGCTCTCAAAGATTTCTATACGATTGGTTCGCCGGTACGAAGGTTGCTTGAGGTCGAGTTTCTCTTTCGCAGTCTGATTCTTGATCGGCAGCACTTGCGGTTTCTTTGGTGTTGCGGGTACGGGGAGCTCAGCCGGGCGGGTACCGTAGAAGCTGATTACGTCCCTCGTCGGTCGTCGCGAGCGCCTCGTCGGTGTGCCATTCAGCGCGTCGAATGGGTTCGTGTCGTGTTTGGTCGAGGCAGCAGGTGTATTGCCTGTCGAGGCGGGGTTGATGTGCCGCGACGGCGTCTCAGAGCCCACCTCAGAAGTCTCCAACGGTGGCCCGAGCACAGGTGTGCTTGGGCGCTCTTGAGCTGTACCGTCAACCTCCTCTGACCGAAAGACCTTGAAACACTGGTCTATATCGAGATTCGGATGGAATTCCTCCCAGCTACGCTCTTCGCGGGGCTTGTAGTCGTCGGCCTGATGCACTGAAGCAGCGACTGCGGCGGCAAAGCCAAACGGCTCGTTGTTCGAAACAGGATTCCGAGTGCGCGTGCTGCGCTCACGTGGCGGGAGTGCGCTGGGCGTACTGATGTTGACCGTGCTGCGGACGCGCGTGCGCGTGACAGTCGCCGCGCCGTTGGGCAGAGGGGTTTCTTGGTCGCTTGTATCGCACCACCGCCCGCCGCCGCCTGCGCCCCCGGGAACATAACGACGCTTCTTAAGAGGAGGTTCCGAGGCGGCCAGTACGCCAAATGCGCCCAACGAGTCTGAGCGAGCGGCTCGAAGCGCACTCGATGTGCCGGGCGGGCGACCGCGTCGACGACCGGTCGGAGTCCGACGCGAGGGAGACTCGATCGAATCCATCGCTCGTGAAGTTGTCGTTTTAGTCGAGGAGCTCTTTTGAGAGCTAGCGCAACGTCAAACTGCTTATATCGTGGCGCTGAGAGAGTGGTGGATGGTAAAGAGCGTATTCCATCTGGCAGCGCCGTGGCAGCCTTCCGGTGGGGTTTGAAGCGCCACAAATTTGCTCATGCCGCCCTGGAAAGGAGCAAGACGCGCGATTCGGGATTCGCTTCGTGATATGTCGATGGTATTCGTTGCTAGGAGCCGCCTTGTTGCTGAGTTCACGAAAACAGCCAACGCGTGAAGTTGGAAGCACGGACCACCCCCTTGAATGCTGGGTCGCGGCGGGGATGAGTAAGCAAGCACTTCCGATTAAGGTATGCTAGTGGGGTTACCGGTTCAGGATTAGCGCCCCAACTAGTGTCTGTAGGTATAAGACAGCTGTGTTGGAGTTTGAACCACATCTAATAATACTCCGTACCTAGTATTCCAAAAGTACACGGTTTGCGATCAGACCAGTGGCGCTCAAGTGGAGGGTATTTCAGACAGTCTTTGTGGTGGTCTCTAAGCCATCCGCAACAATTCAGCGTTGGCTCCAAACTTGGGGCTGGCAATACACGACGTAAGGCGTTGAACTACACGCAGAGATCGAGACGGGTGTATGATGGAATTCATAAACATCACGTAAAGGATCTTGAAGATGCTTTTCTGAGCCGATCGCACATGCGTCTGTAGTATGCATTCATGTATCTCGGGTCGCCCTCGATCGTGCAGGGACCAGCCTCCACCATCATGCCTTGGAGAACAACGAACTCCCTTCTGTGATGTGTATAAAGCAACCAAAACCCCTCGCGGCACTCCAAACGCCGCCTACAGATCCCTCAAACACATGTAACAAATGCCAACGCCGAAAATCAATGCTCCGCAAAATCGCAATGTGGTATAGATACTGCCTGAGAGGCATTCTAAGCAACAACCAAGTGAAGTGATGTAATGCTTGAAAGAGAAACCCCCGCATTGGAACAACAGAGCGCTGTCCGAGAGGGTGCCTCGAAAGAAAAAGTTGCTACCGGCGGGTTCGAGCACCGTGCCGATTGGCAACTGGGGAATGTCGCCAGCAATGGGCAGGGAAGGGGAGCCAGGAGGTGAGAGGTGAGAGGGGGTATCATAAATAGGTATCGTGAGTGATGGCGGGATTCGAGACTTCTCAAGGGCTCACGGACTGGCCTAAAGTCCGACCGCCTTGAAGCGCCTGCAGAGAGTGGGCCAGTTGGTCCTCTTGTCCTGGAGCGATTGACTTTCTAGAGTCCCAATCGCTGTCTCCAAGAACACTGAGGTAGCCATCGCCAACCTTGTCTCGTAGTGTCTCGATTTTCAGTCGATAACTCTGCGCATCAGAGTCCCAACTCTGACCAGACTGCCAGTTTGGTCGCGAATCATTGCAATCTCTCTGCGGCACCGGGCGAACAGCGGTGCCTTGCTCGCCCCGGGGCACTGCTGCGGGTGCTATAGTGGCTGAAGTGTACGCATCAGCTGGAGGCGTCGCAGTTGACGCTTGTGGTGGCTTTGGGGCGACTTGGTAGTTGCCTTCGGGCGTGATCGCACTCGATCGATCAATAGGTGACGTGGTGCTACGCACATCGCCAGGCAATGGAGCGGATAGATCGTTGGTAGCGAGATCTACAATGCGACGCTTGGGCGTTTTCTTTCTTCGTGTCGAGCCCGTGTTGATTTCGCTCATGACGGCCCTCGGTACCGGGCGTTCGCGGCGACTGCTAGGGCTCTGGGGAGATCCATACACTATTGTCGGTTTTGCAACGTCAACGGTAGGGACCTCGGGGGCCTTAGGCTTCACCACGGGCACTGATTCGGGCACGGGTGGACGTTCCACCAGATAGCGACGTTCGTTGCTTCCTGGTCCGGCTCCATCAATGATGATATCATCAGTGTACCCCGGCGTTTTGCGGAACAGATTCAAGATTGCAATGCGATAATCTTTGTGTGTCCGCGTGAAAGGGTTCCCTTCAACCCAGATTTCCCGGATGTCAGGGATACCTGTCAAGCGAGCGATCTCGGAGGGATCAGTCAAGTGATTGTCTCGCAAATCAAGTCTTTCAAGCGGATAGAGCTTTTCGACACCCGCCAGGGACGAGAGACGATTGCCACGGAGGTTCAAAGCCGTGATTGCGGGCAAGGGATTGCGCGTTAGAGATTGCAACGAGTCGATCATACAGTGCGAGAGATTGAGAGCGCGCAGCGCGGTCAAGGTTGCAAGGCTGTCGGGAATCTGTGTGAACAGGTTGGAGGAGATGTCCAGGGAATACAGCGTGTTGGACAACGGCGCTAGACTGGTTGGCAAGATGGAAGTCATCGCATTGTCGGCCAGGCTCAAATGGCGTAGGAAGCGCCACTTTGTTGCAGGAAGGATGCCAGTGACCAGAACATTGCCGGAGCTACTACCTCTGCCATGATGGTGCCATGATTCGGAAAGGCTCGAATTCGAGCTTCCCGAGCCAGAGCGCCTGATGCGTTGCTGCGAGGAGCGAAGCTGGTTGGAATGGCTGCGGCCATTGTTCGGGCGTGACGGCGAATTGCTGCGTGGCCGACTTGACTTGGCAGGCGACTTTGAAAGTTCGTCACTGGTTCTGACGGCAGCGTACGAGCGTGTAGTATCTGAGGTACTGCTGTCTTCAATGGCATGCTCACTTGGGGTCAACGACCCGACGCGCACTTCAGAAGGCGGTAACCTCGTCTCGCCAAGGCCGGGCGCAGTCATGGATCGCTGGAGCTCAGGCGGGGGCACAACAGACCCACGACGGGAACTGCCGCCAAAACCCCATGTGGTTCCTGGAGAAGATTGAGTCTTTGAGGTTCGGCGCCGACGTTTGTCCATGTCATCCAGGACGATGTCGATCAGGATATCGGCGGGATCCTCGATCCCCGCTCGTTTCAGAGTCAGAGACCGAAGCTGGTCAGCCACGCGGTCCCAGCCAAAGAACTGTCGAAAGTCTATACTGCTGACCTCCAAAGCCTGGAGGTTCTTGAAGACATAGAGGGGGACGGCAGAATCAAACGGAAATTCCTCGTAGCCCCTTATCAACCGGGCGCGCCAATCGGGAGCTAATCGGAGGCAGGGGATCTTGGTGAAGGCGGAGTACAAGTACTTCAGGTCAGACTGAACCGCAGCTTTCTGACGCTCAGTTCGAGCAGCAGATATGCTGGCGCCGATGCCCAGACTAGCCCACAGGGCCGACATGCCGGACATGACACTTCGGACACTGGAAACGGAGCGGATCGAGCCTACGTCAGACTCCCGACTCCGAGATCTCTGGGTATCTCCGAGAAATGAGACGTAGTTGGCGGCCGTCGTCGTGTCGTGCAAGTTCTCCAGGCGAACCTTCATAGGACCCACAGCGATACCGAGTTCTTCGAATCGAGACAGCAGGTAGAATAAGTGGTGAGGCGTGAGAGCCAACCTGGCTGATTTGACATTATTCGAGGTTAGATTCAAAGCACCCAGTGAAAATGTAGCAGCTAGCGTTGAGGCGGAGGAGGATGTTGCCGGCCGATTGGGGAGGGACGGCGACTTGGGGATCGTGGAAACAGAGCTGGTGCTCTGCGAAGGCCGATGACGAGTTTCTCTCCGCTGGAACTGTAGGGCGTTTGCCAGCGCCTTCTCGTGTGTGCGGACGAAGCTGGCTAGTTGCTGCTACTGTCAGTACAGGATGCTGCTATAGAAAATGGCTGCCCACTTTGACAAAGAACTCGCCATCTTCGGAATCCATTTTGATGCTTGCAAGCGCATGCGGCGCCAGCCTCTGTAGGCGTGCAGGATGGCCTGGATGCGAATAGCTTTGGTTGTTCGTGTGTGTCGCATGAAAATAGAGGCGTACACTGATCGCAACCGGGTTATAGCAGCTCAATCACGAACAGGATAGCCTAACAGTTCAAGGTTAGATAAGTGACATGGAACGTTTGTGAGTGACTCAAAGCAGTGAAAAGGGTATTTCTGGCTGCCAAAGGAAGGCAAACATGGCACATCTGATCTTGTAACAATGCAGACTTCCGCTCCATCAGCTGGGGTGGAATTCGAGCACAATGTGCATTGCCACCGCACTGCGATTGAGTCACGCAAACGCGGATGCTCAACTTGGTCCATGTCTTTCCCTCTCCGAGACTGCCGACGGGCTGAGCGACCGGAAATACACATTGGACGTGCTACTTGTTTTCTCTGAAGATGATATGTGCTCGCTGAGGCAGCGGGGGCATGTCGAGCCGGCAATTGCCGCACAGCACCACGCGGTGTCACAGCGGAGCAGCGATCAAGGTCGACAAGAGGAGTTGTACGCGCATGGCTAGTGAACTCGAGGAGGATTGCAACCGATAGGCAACATAGGCATGATATCGATCGTGGGGTTTCTCGCGCCAAGTCGTGAACGCTTCGAGTCGTTGAGCTTCGAGTTGATCGGGGTTTGCCTCGCAGCGGAAGGCACTGGACGAACACCGCTGACGACGGAGGATTGCACGCGAGACAAAGGGGAGAAAGACACAGTTGCGAAGATCAAGGCTTGGGACGGATTTGAAAGCATCACTCACCTGTAGCGTGGAGCTGGTGGACAGACCCGGGATCCAACTGTTTCAAAGGAATGTGAGGCTCGCCGCGATAAGGTGGCCCGGCGGCAAGGTGTCTTTGCAAGTCGACCAGTGTCCCGGCATGCACTGTGAGAAACTCCCCCAAGATAGCCTCACGCTTCGCTCGCTCCTCTGGGCAGCGAGGGTGCAGAAGCAAAAGCGAACAGCCAGAAAAAAAGAGAAAGGGTCCAGCAACATCAACAACCCGGCGTGAGGGATCCAATCCTAATAACAGACCGAGGGGGGGGGCACCGCTGGTGGGGGGGGTATTTTGCAGAGGCTCTTGCATGTCTTGGCGCTAGCTGCTCACTGGCGAACCAGGATCGGGCTCCAGTCCAGCCAGTCCATGTGCTGGGCAAGCGCAATTCAAGCGCGTCAAGCCCTCAATTGCCTGCAGTCAATTTCTGTGGGGCCTGTGTCTAGCGGGCACTCCACCTACTGACAGGGGGTGCGGTCCAACAGCGCCTGGAGCCTCCACTGATAGCCACTGCATCCACTGCTATGGGCATTTCGGTTTTCCCGTCTTGTTCCATGGCCTCCAGTCCATCTTCAGTCCGTGACTTTGCCGGTCGGACAGCTACTAGTGAAGCTGACGTTTTTTTTTTATCAAGTAGAGACGATGAGCATAGTTCAGTCATTTGCTGTCCATGAATGGTCATGGCAGCAGTCAGCAGTCAGCAGCACAAAAACTCACCTCGTCAGCCCCGACGTTCTAGGCGACATGATCTATCACCCTGGCCGCGGTTCCCAGCCCGTGATCACCACCACGCACACTGTCTCGAATCCCCCAGCCTAGTGACCACCACAAGTCCACCACCCCGTTGCTCACAAGGTGCGCTCACAATGGCGCCAGCATTTGGACAGTACAGTCAGGAATGGGTCCTCTCCCCCCAACCAAGCTTCTGTTGCTCAGTGTCAGGCATTCTCTCATGGCACACTGGAGATTTCGTCGAAATGAAGAGGGGATGATGACTCTGAAGATTACAGCAGGACATAGGGCCAATAACGGAGGCGCAGGGTCGCTGGCCAAGAGAAGATCTACGTAAACAGTGCTTCGTGCGCCTCATCAGCTCCAGTCGTTACAAGCCTGCCCGGGAATTTTGTCGCGCGAGTACGTACTACGTACGTGCAATGGGGTTTTCAAGTACGTGACGAATTTACCAGGCTGGGGGCCGCAGTTTTCGATGTTCAAAAAAGGACAGCCAGATCCGTATTATGGAGTAATCTAACGGTCCCTTCAAGCTGCATCAGCACTTGCATCATTTCGCATTGAAGCGCCAAGCTGATGCAGCTGGTACGGAAACCTCGACGTTCAGCCAGCCAGCATGCGCTCACTGTGTGTGTAGTATATCTGGCCAACTCGAAATCCGTCGATGACTTTGGTGTCGTGCAGGCATCGCATACCTTCGGAAGAAGAAGTACTGATAAGAGGCAAGACAGCAAGAAACCGCCCAACAAAGGGTGGTAGCAAGCAAACCCGCGTCTTCTAACGCGTGTTCGCGCTGGGCGGATATGAGAGGTCAGTAACGGTTCTTCAAGTCAACACTGAACAGTACCGTATAATAATAAAGTCCGAAGTAATAAATCAGTCACTCTGGGGCTACAATCGCCGGGTCGGCCGCGCCAAGCGTGGAAGAAGTCGGCCAGGCCAGTCCAAACACATCCAAGAGACCGAAATGATGCTCGGGAGCGCAGGGTTTCCCACAGGCGCCAACCCCTAACGGGACGATGTGCGGGGCCAAGATGCATGGGTTCTAACAACGACGCCGACGATGCTGATGCTGTTTGTTTCGCGGAGTGACGATGGCTTCATCACATTCCGCCTCAGTGCATAATTACCACGTCCTCGCTGTACTTGACCAGGCTCAATACTCTGATTTCTGAGCAGAAGAACGTGCACAAGCGCGCAATGGAAGCCGTCCTGTAGTCATGAAGCTCGATGCACTTTTATCATGGCGACAAAGCCGTCGTTGGTTGTCGGTCTCAAACTCGCCCACAGGCCGCAACAGCAAGCAGAGCGAAGGCAGGTAAAGAAAGAAAGAAAAAACCTCAGCATGCGGCAAGCCTCGCCAGCTAGACCCCCTTTGGCATGACATTGGTCAATTCTTTTCATTGCAGAAAGAACATGTCACTCGAAAGGCACCGTGACGTTCGGTTCATGCCAGCTGATGAAGATGGCAGATGGCTGCCGTCGTCGTGTCTTTGGCAGCGCTCTGAAAAGGGTGCGACAGGGGGGGTCATGCTGCGCCAAGACATTCCATTCATGCAGAACCGTTCGCTAATTACGGTACGAGCACATCCTGGATCATCACATCCCGACACTCACGGTCTCACCAGCCTTTATTACTAGCACCTTGCAATATCAGTATTGATATGCGGCAAGCACGCGGGGGAAAGTCAATAATACTTGGTGCGCCACATCAGACTCAGATTCCAGTCGTATAAGACGCTTGGCGCAACACAACATCTCTGGTCAGGCCCGTGTAGAAACCGCACCATGACAACCACGAGGACCAGCCCTAGGAGACTGGCCGTTCACGCCCTGTCCCGAGATAGACGTGAGGTGGGAAGCTGTCTGTCATCATGCAGGCATCGCAACCGTCAGAGTGCGCTCCAATCGTGAATGTTCCAACACAATGTGCGTCGCAATCACTCACCCAAAGATGCCAGATGTACATTTGTCCCTACCCAATCCAATGGGTCTCCGCTGCAGTGCTGCTGCAAATCCGTCAACTCATGTCGTCCATGGGAATCTATTTGGCAGCCAAGGCCACCGGTTATGTCATGCCCCCCACTGGCTTGCCCGCGCTGCAGTTGTTGTGGTTGGGCTTGTGTGATCTTATCACATCATCTTGCCTTGCCCAGGCCCCAGCCCCCGCGAGCCCCTCCCTCCACTTGACCACGCACTCGCAGTTCCCCACCACGATGGCGCCAGATTGGCTGCGAATGTAACATCATCAGACATGTCTCTTGAACCTCACGCGCTTGCACCAGACGTCACGGATCGTTCCTAAAAGTCTCGTCCACCTCGTGCTCCCGTGCGTGGCTGGGGCTGATCTCGAACAAGTGTCACTCCCTACGGATATTATGCCCAGACACTGGAGGTTGAGGATAGTCAGTTTGGAATGAGATTGCCTGACCAACCGCCTGATCAGACGGTGCCTTTAGCCTATCGGCCTAGACTCAGGGTCCTGTCCTCTACGTACTCCGTACTCCGTACAGCAGATATCTCGCAAACGGATGACCCCTCGACCCAACATCAACAGCCAGAAGTTGATCCTTCGCTTTGTTTGGCCCAGCCCTCCAGCGTGTCTCATACATGTCTCCGCTGAGATGAGACTTTATGTCCAGTACACAGCTGAGTGCATGCAGCCATCTTGGATCTTCAAAAGCTCAAACTGAGCCCCTCGTTCCACAGCAGTCCATACGTAGCAGCGAGCCACCCAACCCCAGGTCACTACTGCGCGCAACATGCACACCGCCTCCATGTCCTGCGCGGCTTGCCACTCAGAGCAGAGCAGCTGCATTCCGCAATTGCCCAAGACGCACGTATCCGTACTCGCCGGCGAGTTAGACAGCGGAAGCACATGACCTGCGCCATTGTTGGTCAGATTGGCGCCGAGAAACCTCTGCGGAGAGAGGCCTTGTGATTCGATGCTCGCGCGCGCAGGCCGCAGCCGTGGCTCCAAGCACGCCTGGTCTCTCTCGAGCAACAAGACACACTGCCGCCAGGTTCGTCGCTGCCTCGAGACATGTCTACATGTATGCAAGGCTCTGGCTCTTATTAGCCCACCCTTGGTGCTTTCACCGCTCAACGCGGGAGAAGATCTAGGGTCCATCCATTTCAACATGGCGATTCACGAAACGACCATTGCCGCTGGTCAAAATGCCATGTCTCGACGATCTTCCACAGTAGAGCGGCAGAAGCGTAGCACGGTAGCACCTGGATGGTTGGCTGGATGCCTATCTTTGCTCGGTGTACCGTAGATCTCCGTCTAATCAGTCGAGGCCCCAATGACCTTCGGGTTCCCGCATGTGGCAATGCGGTTGGCTGACCACGTTTGCAACCTCGAGCAGCCCGCCGTTGAGTGCACGCTACGGGCCGGGGTGGTGTCATCATTGTTGCTGCTCTGGTGGACACGTACAGATTGGATATCTTCTGCGACAGCACCTCATCTGCCGAGGGCTATCCTTGCATCTGTAATGGCGATCTGGCACAAAATCACCACCAAGTGGGCCCTCGAGCATGCAAGCCTCTTCTCGCGCTATTCTCTTCTTCATTTCCCGAGATCGAACGGTCTTCCGATTGCGCATAAACTGTCGCGGGACTCTGTCTTGCGGTAGGTTATCACTAGCTTCCAAACTAGACGGTCAGTTTCCGTCTGTAGTGGCGCATAGACAGCTAGTCTAGCCGAGTAAACACGAGATCATGCGCCAGCGTGAATTCCATATTAGGCAAGGGGGGTTGATGCTTGCGGATAGGGTCAAGGCTAATGGTGGGATTGAAACGCACGGACAGAGCTGTCAGTCTGTAGTTTCCGTGGCCTGCAAACATGAAGCATCTCAGTGCCGGGTAAGCTGTCTCGTCAGTGCGCAGCATGTATTCGCAAATCCACGGTACTCCGGATATCAAAACCTCACCCAGCAATCGATACCGGTATAACAGCAGGATGATGTTTTTCTCAGACTATAAGTCATTCTCGAGGACATCCAGTCTAGAGCAACTTGCAACTTCGACATCTGTTACGGACATAGTGGCAACCACAACGCAACCGAGAAACGAACTATTAGAATCAGCCCTCAAGAAACCCCACCGTCTATCAAGTTGGGAGCCAACTTTCGGATGATTTCACTTATGCTCAAAGGGAGATCACTCTTCCAAGTGACAATGACATAATGGCACCGGCTAGAGCCATCATGGCGTGACAGGGTTCCCCAGTTGACAGCTCGCTGACCGCTAGATCGCAGCCCACTTGGCCGTTCATGTGGAGGAGGGGTGGTGGTGATTGCTTCAAGTCGCTCTGCCACAGGCGCGCGCCAAACGAACGGCCCCTTTGATCAAGATGAAAGAGGGCAAAGGCGATGAGGCATTTGTTTGATTTGACGAGCAACGTCGCGTCGAGGAAGCTAAGGTGCGAGAAACGCCATTGACGAGCATAGAGGGGGGGGGGGGGGGTTCTTGGGTGAGGCGAGGATGGAGTGGTTGGATCTGGTGCTAGTGCTGTGTTCTTGATCGTCTCGGACGCGGTAATCGAGAATACTATGGCTATCTTGTGAAAGCGATGCGGCACACCGATATTTACCAAAAGACTCTTCCCATCACGAGCAGGATCGTGCTGCTGGTTTGCGATGAAGATGGATGAGTTCCGTACATGAGTGACATGCCCGTTGAATGCGAGCCTCTTGTTTCGCGAGGCGAGAAGACCCGTACAGCAGACTTGATTTCCAGAAGACAATGGTCATTACCCCTCAAAATCATCAAACGAGAAGGGTACTATGGAAACCAAAAGCCTGGCAGCTAATTTCGCCTATATTATTTCTGTAAGTGCGTACATCTTGTCTACATTGCTTGAATGGTACATATTGATTTCACAGGTGGACATAGTCCTGCCTGCTGCATTACGCTTCCTTCTTGACAGGCACGAGCCTCTCAAGTGTCTTGAAGCCATCCAGCGCAAATCCCCTCTCGATGTTGACCCTGTACTGCTTGCCGTCCACGTTGATCACCCCGTAGCCCATGTCCGTCCAAGCCGACCTCGTGGCCCGGAAGAAACCAGAGAAGCCACGGCCAATCTTGCGGAACGGCATGGTGAAGAGATGCTCCATGTCGTACTTTTTCAAGGCCTTGGCCTTCTCCTCGGCCTCGAGAGCGTGCTGCCTGCTCAGCTCAGGGACCATCTCCTTGGGGAGGGAGAACCTCGTCTTGAGCGAGACTTTGTCAATGTCCGTGACGATCTTCTTGGGCTTCAGGAATGGCAGGCTGTTGTTGACGGACACCTCGAGCTTGGGCGTGGAGGCGGTGGTTGCTGGCAGACCCGTGGTGGCGGCGCCCACAGGCGCAGCGCGCACTGTCTGCGTGCTGGTCTGGGGCACAAGTCGGATCATGGACACTATCCCCCTTGTCTTGAGGATCAGGAAGAAGCCCATGCCCGCAAAGAGGATGTAGGAGATGTTGTACACCCAGTTAATCCAAGCCGCGAAGCCCTCCAGATGCGGCACCCACCAGGAGGGCCCTGTCAGCGCAGCCCACGCAATCAGGGTCAGGCCCGACGTCCAGCAAGCCGTCCTGAACCAGAAGTGGGAGGGTCCCTCGTAGAGGACAGTTGGTTTCGACTTCGCGGCCAGCGTCCGTAGCAGACCATAGCTCGTGGGCGGAGGAGCAGCAGTCCTTGCCGGCTGTGCCTTAGGTATTGACTTGGCTGGCTGGGATTTCGGTGCTTGTGGTGGTACTTTAGCTTTCGAAGCGTATGCTCGTGCTGAAGGTCTTGCTTTCAAGATGTCGCGAAGTAGTATAGATCGTGGGGAGCTAAAGGACTGTGCTGGTCGAAACAGTGGCTGGAGACCGGGCTGGAAGAGCCCCCGACAAAAGGAAGCCATGGCGATGTCTGCGCTCGCTGCGCGTGCGTAATGTAGCAATTGGTGATTGAATTGTTCAGAAATTGATTCAAGTCAGAGGGAATGATCAAATGTCGTCAGAGCACGGATCAGGGCCCATCAAGAAAATCCCCAAGCAGGAAACGCGCAGCAGAGTGCGAGGGTTGACGCGATAAGTAGACATAATTCCTGAGGACATTTATCCTCATAGTGTGTGGTGTACGCAGTCCCGCAAGAAATAAGTCACCCAATTCCGAGCCAATCCGGCACGGGTCCCGCCAAAAAGTTGGATGGTCCGTGCATCCTCAACAGCTTCATCAATTCCTCCGAAAGATCAAAGCTCGCTACCATCACCACCAGCCAGCCCGCCCAACGCCTTGATCCCCGAGCGAGCCACCGCCCACCTTACGACCGTCCATCTCTCCCCCCAATTGCGCCGTCGCACGCGCTCAGGATGGCGTCCCTCGCGGCAGCATGCCGGGCCACTGCCCGTCTCACCTCGTCGTCTCGCGCCGCAACCCGCAGTACGTCCCTCCAAATGGCGCATCAACCCACGTAGGCATGTATATGACTGACGGCAAGACAGACCTCTCGACGACGACCCGCGCCCTCGCCGCCCACAATTTCACCATGCCTGCCCTCTCGCCCACCATGACGGAAGGCAACATTGCTTCCTGGAACGTGAAGGAGGGCGACACATTCAGCGCAGGCGACGTTCTTCTCGAGATTGAGACCGACAAGGCGACCATGGATGTCGAGGCCCAGGACGATGGGATCATGATGAAGATTATGAGCCAGAGCGGAAGCAAGGCCGTGCAAGTGGGCTCGAGGATCGCCGTCGTCGCGGAGAGTGGGGACGACATCTCGAGCCTCGAGATCCCTGCAGACGAGAGCCCCAAGCAGCAGCAATCCTCTTCATCATCGTCCTCTGCGCCTGAGGAGCAGGAGGTCAAGCGGGACCAGGAGAACCGGGAGCCGCAGAGGGTCGCCAAGGATGGTGAGGCACATGTCGTGCGGTACCCCTTGCTACCCTCTGTTGGTCATCTTGTCAAGCAAAAGGGCCTTGGAGACGAGGACCTCAGCAAGATCAAGCCTACAGGGCCCGGCGGCCGTCTACTCAAGGGTGATGTTCTCGCCTACATTGGCAGCATCGGCAGCGAATCCCCCGCCACACAGTCCAGCCGCTTCGACAAGCTGGCCCATCTCGATCTCAGCAACATCAAGGTGGCCGAGAAGAAGGCGGCCCCCGCCGCGCCCAAGGAAGAGAAGGTTGCCCCGCAAGCGCCCGTCATCGAGAGCCTGGAACTCAGCATCCCCGTCTCACTGGCCAAGGTTGTCGAGGTGCAGAACAAGATCAACGACACGCTGGGCGTCTTCCTGCCCCTTTCGACCTTTATCAACCGGGCGGCCGACATGGCCAACGACGAGCTGCCTGCTGCCAAGCGCACGCCTACGGCCGATGAGCTATTCGACCAAGTCCTCGGCCTCGACAAGGTGAAGGCCGCCAAGGGTTCGCGCGGTGTCTACCTTCCACAGATCTCCGCCATCCCCCCTCCCTCCGTCTTCCCACCGGCCGCCGCCCGTCCTGCCAAGAAGGCGGACATCTTTGACGTTCTGTCCTCCAAGCCCACCAAGAGGGCCTCGCCCTCCTCGATAGCCACAGTCCCTGGATTCTCCAGCGGCACTAATGTGTTTAGCCTGGTGGTGCCCAAGACGGAGGAGAAGAGGGCACAGCTTTTCTTGGAGCGCTGCAAGTTGATCTTGGAGAGCGAGCCCGGGCGGCTCGTGCTTTGAGGTCCCCGTGTTTTCGCCATCCCTGTTGTATTACCTTTTAGACTTGAATATATACCTGGATATGCCAGTGGTGGGAGCTGACCATAATTCAAAGTGGCATTGTGCCACCTTTTGCTTGTTCATTCACTCATTGATTCATTTATTCGTTTCTTGTGTTGTTTCATCCAACAAATCCACCGTGGTAGCCACTGCCATGCGCTGCTCCTCCATATGGCCTTTGCGGGAACTGTACTGAACTGTCGACTGGGGCTTCTGTGGGTGCCTGAGCAGCATCAGGATCACCATAGGCCATATTCCCCGAGGAGTATGCCATACTTAAGCCCACCTGCTGCCCTTGTAGGTACCCAAAGCCAGGCGCCATCGCCATCGTGCAGGGCTCAGGGGTGGGATACTCTGGTCCATGTGGCTGTGATGGAGGGCCCATCTCTCCTCTCGAGTCGCCATGTGCATCGCCGGCCCTGTTATTCGCCGAGCTGCTTCGTGCTCCCAACCGTGCCGGCTGCAGCTCTGGATTCCCGTTGGATGGCACTACAGGGGCATTTGTCGCACTGCCACCAGGACGAGCTTGTATGGCATCGCGGAGCATGTTGATCTTGCCAAGGAGATCACCAGCGTAGCCGTCCACCTCACCCTCCATAAAGGCGACAGCCTGGAGGATGAAGGTGGCCTGGGGAAGTCGAGTGACATTCTCTTCCTTCGGCGTGTCAGGCAAGAGTTCGTTGCTCACAAGCAGTACCGCCGCACAGAACAGGACGTGCCTACGAAAGATCAGCATGATATAATGAGGCAATATGTTAGGCAACCCACAGAAAGAGGTGATTCCGTGGCGGTAACCTCCCCTGCGTCCATGCTGCGAAGAGAAGTGCAATCGTCTTGTGACAGGCAGAGAGACAAGACGTGGAAAGCCGCTGCATGTGTTCCACGGCAAGTTGGTCGGAAGTGAGGAGATCGGCTGGATTCTGGATGAGGTGCACCATGTACGGCCGCGATGCCAGCATGATGCCATAGTTCTCTACCAGATCGAGCCACAGTGCCGCCATCAAGTCTTGTGGCACTATTCGTGGCTCCGGTCGCTGTTGGAACAACCGCTGTGCCTTCAAGCGCGCTGGAACCTGTTGAGCTCGACGGGCATTGTCGGATAGCAAACCCAGACCAACCGTGAGCGGGACACTGTGCCCTTGGTAGACGTTTCTCAAAGTTCGGTCCAGGGCGAGTATGGCCTTTTGAAAAATGTCTGACGCCTCAGAGTCTATCAGCAACTCTTGGCCAGCTGGAGGTATAGCAGGTGTCTGAGTGAACAATGCCGGCATGACACGCGGACACCCCGAGCATGCTGCCACAATAACGTCTATGAGCTGCAGAGTATTCCACGTGTTGCAGGCCATGGCCACATGCACACTAGGATCGCCACAAGCGTCCATGTCGTGGAATCCTAACGCGAGTCCGATTCGGCTGGCTATGTCTGGCTGCTTCGTTAGCTCTGCGTCTCAGCGAAAGAGAGGTCTCACGCACGTAGGTGCTCGCTGGCTTCGGCCCACTGACACCGAAGCAACTCGTACAAGGCCACCATTCCATGGATCTGGACAGTCCGGAAGTTGTTGCTGAGCGGCTGGGCACATGCATCCATCTGGTTGAGCACACATCTGGCGGTCCAGTAGTACACCTCGGGGTTATTGGGTATAATGGTGGACATATCCCTCCATCGCTGGCAAGCCTGTGGATCTATCGGCGTCAGTTCCAGCGCCTTACCAATGGCCATTGTCAGATACACCAAGCAGGCCTCTTGCGGACATGACTGCCATCCTTGAGCGCTGGCGCAGATACCCGCCATCTTTGCAAGCTCCAGACGGTCGATGAGTCCTGAAAAGACAGGGACCTTGGCTCGGGCTTCAGTCAAAATATTGGCATGGAGAATAGAGAGACCGTACATGTATGAAAATGTCAAAAGCATACTGTCTCATGACTTCAGCCCCAGCGAACCCAAAGGGTACTCCCATAGGGGGGGTAGACACAAAGTCAGTCCTCCCCACCAAGGACGGACTATGAATGGCCTTTTGTATCTGAGCCAGGAAAGCCATGATAGAGGCGCTGCCCGTGTATGTCTTTGCATAGTCGTGGAGTACCAGGTCCCATTTCGTGCTCACCAGGATATCGTGAAAGGGCGCGGAGGTGTCTCCGACATGAAGGGACACGGATGGTGTCGAGTCGGGAGAAGCCTGCGCTTGATGCATGTGAGGAGGGACTCTACTTGGGAGAGTCGAATTCATTCTGCGCCGTGTTCTGCGCCGTGTTCTGTGCGTGCTTGCGGCACGTCGATGGGAGTCGTCCTCGTCTCCGGTGCACATGCTTGGGCTGACCGCTCGGGAGAGTGATGTGGCAGTCATATACCCGCGATTGAATGCCATGCAAGCCTGACACGGCACGGCTACTCGCACTGTTGATTCAGACCAGCATCTTGGTTCAAGGGGGCTGGTGATCCCCGTTGTGGGATCCTTGGACAACGTGCCTTAGTTTCATGCATGGGCCGGCCGCGGTGGCCGCATGGGAGTACGTGCATATACGCACATCTCTACGATTCCGCTTTCAAAGATCCGCTATTACACATGGTAACCGCTGATACAGTCTGGAGCAATATCATGGACGATACGCCGCACTCGACACGGTGGATCCAAGTCCAATTGGGGGCGAGTTGAGGACTGTGCATTTGTACAAGCATGTATATACACACTGGCTCTCGCTGACCAGACACAAACTTGCCGTGTCGTGTAGCTTATAAGCGTATAATCTTTCGGATAGATTGGATCTCATCGCTCTGCGCTCGTAACTGGCAGTCTGTCGCCCAGGTCCATGGCCACCCAAAACACCTCTCACTACCAGACATCAGGCCCAAACCTTGTCTGGCCGTCTATGACCTTTATCTGAATGGCTGTACCCTGCATATCCATGGTCGAGTCCACGACGGTGTTCCCCCACCACTGGGGCGGTTCAATCTCGTGCATCGTAAAGGCAAAGAAGATGAAGAGGGTCGCCAGGGCAAGCCCCAGATCCAGCCCGGAGGACGTGAGGAAGTTGAGACGGCTCCACCACGCAAAGTGACGCTTCTTGATCCAGAACTGGAAGATGAAGCCGACGATGCCCCAGGAGAGGTAGTTGAGGGGTGTAGCGGGCGGGATGGCCCCGGCGCCGCCAAAGATGATGGGGGCCATGGCGTACCGGATGGGGCTCTTGGGCCACCTCTTGATGGCAAAGTAGATGCCGACGGGGACAACGGCGCCGATGACGAAGAAGACAAAGAGGCCTGAGTAGATGCTTCCCGGGGAGAACATGCGGTCCGGGCCGATGAGGCCCCAGATGACGGACGCCGCGAAGAAGACGCGCCCGCCGGGGCAGGTGAAGTGGTCCGCCTGATCGGGCTCGCACACGTTGGGGATGCTCCCGAGGGCGAGGTTGAGGACGAGGATCTGGATGAAGCAGGAGAAGGTGGTGGCCACGACCTGGGCCATGAACATGGTCCGCGGGGGAATCTTCATGTAGTGGCCAAACTTGAGGTCGCCGACGAAGCTGAGGGCCTGGGACCTGTGCGTTCACCACGTAGTTAGTCTCGGGATACCCAAGAAGAGCGAGCGAGGACGGAGAGTACGCACATGGTGATGTAGCCAAAGGTCTTGAAGATCATGAGCGCTAGAGGCCGGCCTGGCTGGATATAGCCGTAGATGAACTCGGTCAGTACGTTGAGACCGATGCGGTTGTTGGTAATGGCCTCAATGATGCCGATTGGCAGCGAGAAACCAAAGGAGATGGCGACCGCCAGCAGGAAGGCCCACCAAGTCAGGTTGGTCGGGTAGGCGAGTACAGTCACGAAGCCAAGGAGCAGCATCTGTTAGCCCTAGTGTTAGTAAAGAATTCCCAGCCCGAGCCGATGAGACTTACCAGCCCAAACAAGGACATGTACCACCACGTAGGGGCTTCCTTGTACTTTTGCATGAGCTTCATGTGGATGTCTGGCGATTCCGTCGTGCTGTTCCGGTACTGCTTCCAGATCTGCTTGCGATTGTGCAGATATGTATATACGATCAAGGACGAAATAGCCGCAAACGAGAGACCGTACGACATGGCAAACGTAGTGCTGATGAACAAGGGTGAGTAGTTCTTGTACGCCTCCTCGTCGAGCGTAAAGTCGGCAGTCAAGATACGAGAAGTGTCGTACCGGTTGCCCATATTATCATACGTGTTGGAGTCGCTCATGGGGAGAAAGTTCCCATACCAAGCCCCGTTGAAATGCAACACGGCCGATCCAAAGCAGAAGAAGACGACGACGCCGACCAGGGTGTTGGCGATGGCGTGCCAGGGCGGGATGAGCGGTGACCCGACGTAGCCTGCGATCTGTGTCCAGTCAAATGTGATGGGCAGCAGGGACAGGCCCGTCTGGCCACCAAAGAGCTGGTTGACGACGGCATTCTGCGGCGCCAGCCAGGTGGCAAAGGCGAAGACACTCAGGAACTGCGCCAGAAAACCAGGGATAAAGTAGTAGAAGAAGGCAGCCACGGTGACGAGGCCAAACCAGCGATAGCGCGGCATGGAGCCGCCAAGCACCGTTGGATCCGGTGTGTCGTTGGTCTCGTGCATCGCGTTGAGGAGCGTGACGGAGACCAGGTTGCCGGGCCAGATCATGGAGGCTGGATAGACGAGGAAGCGGCGCATCATGCCGGCGATTCCGTAGCCGAGGGACTGCGTCGAGATGGTGAGGAGCAGCTGGAACAGCATCCCAAAATCCTGCTTGTAGAAGACGAGCTGCGCGAGGATGATGTCTGTGGCGTAGGCGACGGAGAAGGACACGCCGGCCATGACCACGACGATGGAGTGCTCCTTGATGTTGAAGGGGCCTGGGTTGAGGGGGATAGGCTTTCCGCGGAAGTAAAAGGTCTTTTCGGGCATGAACCTGTGCCAGCCATGTCCCATGGGCCACGAGATGATCTGGGCAATCAGGGGCCCGACAGAGATGGAGGGTTGGCGCAGCGAAAAGAGCGTGTTCATGGACGCCCCTAGCACAACGAGCATGAGTCCAATAGTCCAGGCCCGCAAGGTGTTGCAGGGCAGATCCTCGTCGTAGTTGCGCACAGCCGCCCTGACCTCTGGATACGGCGAGTCCTCCGCCTCATGGGCTTTGCTATCTGCGTCTTCGCCGCCAGCGACGAAAGCCTCCTCGGCATGGGAGCGCCTGCGCTCGCGAGGATCATCAGGTAGATTTGGATCAAGCAGCAGCTCATCCTCCGAGCCCTCGTCTTCGTCGTTGCGCAGGCCTGTGTCCGCGTACGGATTGCTGGCGTCGCCGCTGGGGCGCTCGCGCTCTTCTGACGCTGATGTGCGGGCAGTAGGGTACTCGCCCAGCTCGAGCGCGCTGGTCTGGCCATCTCGTGAGCCTCCCATCCGACTTGAGCTCATTGTAGCTATCCTGGCGCCTCAATCGGCGCTACGGTGGCTGGGGGAAGCTTATGGCATCCGAGGTGAGGATGGCCAAGGCAGGGCGACGAGTTTGTTCCTGACTGGATAGGCTGGAGTATGGTATAGTCCTAGATATAGTATAGCAGGACTGTACAGGGCCGTATATTCAGCCGTGTGGTCGACAGCAGGCGAGGCGCGTGTCCTGTCCTTTTGAGGCCCTATTGAGAAGCGCAAGCAACCACGCTCGGACCTCCAACTCTCAGAAACCGATCATTGCAGTATATTAAACAGAAGCAGGAAGATCAGTACGTAGTGCAACACGTCGCTCAAAAATCGTACAAGTGCGACGGATGCAAGTGGCTCGAACATGAACTTGAAGGTGACAAGCTCCAGTCGTCTTGCGCTGGCTGGGGTCCAGAGCCGTCCTGGGACGCGCTTGATCCGTCGCACTGTGCGCACTGTAGAAACACGCAGCCACAGCAGCGCATCACAGTGCGCATAACTCATTCAATTTCGACGCAGATCTCATGAATGCTTTTCTCATTCTCACCAGACAGACATCACACAACGAGTCTCCCACAAGACCTCGCAACCTGCACACAGGCAGAGGAGACAGACCGCAGACAGGCCATGATATAATGCGCCGAGTCGTCGTGACTGGCCTAGGTGCCATCACCCCCTTGGGCACCAACATTGCCTCTACCTGGACGCGACTCCTCGCCGGCGACTCTGGCCTGACCAGCGTCCTCGAGCGCTTCCCCTCGGATCCGCGATGGAGAGAGCTCACTAGCACCGTCGCGGGCCTCGTGCCCGAGGGCAAGGACGGATGGGTCGCGGACGACTGGTTGGACAAGAGTGAGCAGAGGCGCATGTCAAGGTTCACGCAATATGCCTTGGCGGCGGGTGAGATGGCACTGAAGGATGCCCAGCTGGAAGCGATGAGCAGCGAGACAAAGGAAGAGACGGGGGTCTGTCTGGGTAGTGGCATCGGGAACCTGGATGAGATGTACGAGACTAGTCTTGCTCATCAGTCGGGAGTGAGTGACAACGTGCCATCATCGCAAGACCCTCTTGGCTAACCTGACGAACAGGGCTACAAGAAAGTCTCACCACTCTTCGTCCCCAAGATCCTGATCAACATGGCTGCCGGGCACATTGCCATGAAGTACGGCTTTCACGGCCCCAACCATGCAGCCACCACAGCCTGCACCACAGGTGCTCATTCCATCGGCGACGCAGCGCGCTTCATCGCCATGGGCGACGCCTCCGTCATGATCGCCGGCGGATCAGAGTCTTGCATCCACCCACTCACCTTTGCTGGCTTTGGCCGAGCGCGATCGCTCTCGACGGCATACAACAATGACCCGTCCGGGAGCTGCCGCCCGTTCGACAAGGGACGAAACGGCTTCGTCGTGTCCGAGGGCGCGGCTGTCTGTGTCCTCGAGGAGCTGGAGCACGCCCGGGCCAGAGGCGCGAGGATATACGCCGAAGTTAAGGGCTATGGCTGCAGCGGCGACGCGTACCACATGACCGCGCCCCGCGAGGACGGCCACGGCGCCTTTCTGGCCATGAAGAGGGCGCTGCGCAACGCCGGGGTCCGACCGGCCGAGGTGGGCTACATTAACGCGCACGGCACGGGGACGCAGGTGGGCGATGTGGCCGAGGCCATGGCCATTCGACGCCTCATGCTGGGTGAGGACGGCGTGCGGAAGGAGTCGGACGTGACGGTCAGCAGCACCAAGGGCGCCCTGGGCCACTTGCTCGGTGCTGCCGGCGCCATCGAGGCCATGTTTGCCATCCTTGCTCTCCACGAGAGCGTGGTGCCTGCGACGGCCAACCTGGAGCAGCCGGATGTCGGAGTCGACTTCAACTTTGTGCCCAAGGCTGCGCAGTACAAGAAGATGGACGTGGCCGTGTCCAATAGCTTTGGGTTTGGGGGCACCAACAGCTCGCTGGTGTTCTCCCGGCTGGTCTGAGAGGGGGCGCATGCCGTGTATTGATGTGTACATAACTGTAGTATCATTGTATTCTCTGTATCATATACCCCAGACATAGTATGCAACGAGGTAATATCACTTGGTTCAGACTTCCAGGAGTCATTACTCTCGACGCAGACAGTTCAATGGCGTAGGGTAAGCATTCTGGCAGAATTGAAAGATACGTATCCCGAGATGCACCAATCCCTGCAATGTCATTGGCTATCGAGCTCCATGGGCGGGTCCGGTCCCTTCGCGCGTCCTGCGATGGAATTTCTCTGCACGACCGACTCCAACAAGTCGATGCTGTCATGCACTCCCGTCTCGCCCATTGATTCCCTCACTCGCTCGACCAGCACGATAATGACGTGAGCGCCAGTCTCAGCGCCAATCCGAACCATCCTCGACGATCCGACCTAGGCAATTATCCTGCGCAAGAAATCGCTTGGCCTCCCACACTCCCACTATGGCCTGCCAGAACTGCCAGAGCCAGGCGCGGCTCCTCGTCCGCGCTGCCACCCGCGCTGGACGAACTGCTCCCTCCTCGAAACGATATCTCGCGACAGCTGCTTCCAAGGCGACGACGACCTCCTCCTCCTCCTCTTCCTCTTCCTCTTCTACGGCGCCTGCGAATGCCAGGCTCTTCTCGACATCCCAACACAAAGCCCTCTTTGGCGGCATGGCGTCGCCGTACTTTGTCGTCGGCGCAACGGAGCGCCTGTACAAGTTCTGCGGCCCCGTGGCAGACTACCGCATCAACCAGAAGCTACGAGACCAGGATGAGGTGCCAAAGCTCGAGGACGGCGAGGAAGTGGGAGAGTCCCTCAACCCGGGCAACCCATGGCACACATGTACGTCCCACCACGTGCTCTCTCGAGCAGGGGATACTAACCACCCGGATCGCAGTGTTCAACATGCCGCCGACGTTCAGCACCTGGTCCCACGTCACGATGCTCCACCTGTACCTCCTCAACGCGCGCATCCGGTGCTTCGACCGCGACGCCTTTGCCAACTGGCGCCAGCAGCTCATCGACCACTTCTCCTTTGAGGCCGAGAAGAAGATGCACGTCGAGCACAACATCACCTCGAGCGCCCTGCGCCAGCGCTACCTCAAGGACATGTTCACCCAGTGGCGCGGCATCATGGTCGCCTACGACGAGGGCGTGGTCAAGGGGGACGCCATCCTGGCCGCCGCCGTGTGGCGGAACCTGTTCAAGGGCGCCGAGGACGCCGACCCCCGCGCGCTGGCCGCCATTGTCGGCTGGATGCGGGCCTGTATGAAGAGCCTCGAGGGCGTCAGCGACGAGGCCTTTGCCACGCGCGCCGGCGAGGTCCTCGCCCTGCCCGTCGAGAGCTTCTGGCAGGGCATCGAGAAGGCCAGCAAGGCCCAGGCCAGCGCGGCCACGGCCAAGGCGACGGTGGGGAGCACGACCACGGGACCTGTCAAGGAGCGGATCGTGGCGGAACCGATCGTTGGCAAGGGGCAGTGAGTGATGTGTGTGTACCATTTGTGTGCAGAGAGGATCAAGGAATTCCCTGTATATATACATATACTATGCATGTTGTATCATTATCGTGGCTTCTTCACAGGCATGGGTTGGTTGGATAGGCAGATCGTACCGTATCGTACCGTACACTGCGTACTGCCTACTCCTCTCGCTCCCACATCTCAAAGTGGTACTTGGTGTCGTTTTCTACCTGCCCATCCTCCTCGACATCCTCTCCCGTCCATGCTCTCAAGTCGTCTCGGCTTTTCTTAGCCCACCCCGCGCTCTGCGTACCCTCGAGCTTGATAGGGAAGAACGTGTCGCATTCAAAGTCCCTCTCGATCCTCGTTAGCAGCACGCGCTTCGCCTTCTGCGCCGCCATGTCGTAGATCTGGGCGCCACCAATGACAAACACCCTAGCAATGTCGTGCCCGCGCGCATACGCCAGCGCCTGGTCCAAGGTCGATACCCTGACGGGCTCTGTGGCGAGGACGTCGCGGGGGGGCTGTGCGGGTGCCGACCTCGTGATGACAATATTGAGCCGATCCTTGAGAGGCCGGAACTGAGACGGGATGGAGTCCCAGGTCTTGCGTCCCATGATGACGGCATTGAGCGGCGACCCGGATGATGCCTGACGGCGTATAAGTTTCTGGATTTCATATCAAACGACGGGTGAATGACGAACGTGAGTGCGCGTTGTGACGCGTCGGAAATAGGCCATCTCCTTGCGCAGACCGGTCCAGGGCATCGTGCCATTGAGGCCGATGCCCATTTGACGCGTCGCAGCGACGATCAGTGTGAGTTCGAGGGGCGCCATGGCGTGGTTGAGGATGGGTTGGGACAACTTGGGTGAAGACGTTGGCAAAGGTTGGAGGTCTTGGGTGGAGCGGCTTGGGGTCTCCTAGTCTAGAGCGGCAAACGCTGTATATTTATGGCGGTCTACATGACAAGAGACAAATCGCAATCAATTCGCTTCTTATCAATGATCAAACCAATTTGTTCCATCACGTTTGCTGCGCCTTGAGGTTTCAAGCGCAAGCAAAAACTACAACTTGGACGGTGGCAGCAGCGCCACATCCTGGTACGGCACACCCAGATATTCATAGACATGATTGAACCTGTACAAGTCAGTTTGTTTCTCTCCGACCGTCGCCTCGAACTTACCGGTCGCTCCCAAAGAAGGGCTGGCTCTTCCCATTGTCGTTGGTGACCCATAGCCAAGGAGCCCCAAATGCACCGAGCTCAACCGCCCTTTGCGTCGTCTCCTTGAGTCTGTCCTTCATCTCCTCTCGGCCCTTCATGATTCTCTCCACATCGTCCTGTGTGAAGACCTTGTTCCCCTGCTCACCACCATCGGTGACCTCGCTCAGCACCTGCGCTAGGTTCTCGTCAATGGTGAGGTTGACGTGTGGCGGTGTCCAAAGCTTCGCCATCAGCGTCCCAATGGTCGCGATAAGTACCTCCCGAGGATAGTGCTGCTTGATGAAGTGCAGCGCCCTCTGGGCCGAGATGGTCAGCGACATCTTCATAAAGTCCTTGGGCGTCGCAAGGTTCGTCAGGCCGACACGCTGTGCGGCGCGACGGGAGTCGATAGCTAGGTATTTGGCCTTGGCTGGGACGACCCATGGCGGCTTGTTGCCTTTGCATGGTCAGAGGCCTTTGCGGGCTGAGAGGTGTATATGGTATGCACGTACCAGAGAGATTGTTGACGCCCGCGATCAGAACAGGGTGAAATCTACACAGCAAAGGTCAGCCTCATGGCCCACCCAAGTCAGAGGCATATACCCACTCGACGGTAACGCCATGGCTCTGGAGGGTTTGCAGATTCTGTCTCAGCTCCTGGAAAGCAACATAACTGAAGAACGACGCTGCTCAACTGTTAGCTGAGTTCGCTAGGCTACGTGCAGAGAGAGAAGATGGCTTACCAACGTCGACATAGGCATCGATTCTGCCGCCCATCTTGGCAAGCCAGACTGTAGCCTCTCTAAGGGTAAAGAAGATCAAATTGGACAATCTCTTGCGTCATTCGAACGCAAAATTGCGATTGATGCCAGACGAGAGATGGAATCCGGGGAAGCGAACACGAAGCTGGGGATGCCCACAGACAGACATGCCGAGGTAGGACCCACTTTGATAACTCCGTCCGAGTCCGTGTTATACTTGCTTGGCTTTGGATTAATAAATCATTCATTAAGAGTATCCCATTCTGCTCTCTGTAGCATCGTCTAATCATTGTAGTTGGAATAAAAAAAAAAAAACGTTACAATGGCCATGTCCGACAAACCTGTTGCGCTCGTCGTCGGCGCCTCCAGAGGATTGGGTCGCCAGATCGCCCTCTCGCTCGCAAGCAACAACTACGCAGGTACGTAAAGACCCTTGATCGACGAGGCATGCCCTCCTGTAAAAGATCCCTGGTCTCACCTACGCAGTCGTCGTCGCTGCAAAGACAGCCAGTGCTCCAGGGACGACCACGGAGGACCCGGACCCCAACTCGCCAGCATCGACGATCACGACCGTGACCAACGAGATTCGAAAGGCAGGCGGCGAGGCCACAGCCATCCAGGTGGACGTTCGCTTCGAAGAGAGCATCAAGTCATTAATCTCACAGACCATATCCGTCAGTAGTATCCCCTCACATTCCTAGATGAAGACACGGGCTGAACAAACCCCCAACAGACCTATGGCCGCCTCGACGTGCTCATCTACAACTCGGGCGCCATCCACTGGGCCCCCGTCAAGAACACCCCACTCGCCAAGTTCAAGCTCATGCAGAGCATCAACCCCACGGGCCTCTACACCACCGTCCACTTTGCCCTGCCGCACATGCTGGCCTCGCCCACAGCGCAGGAGCCCGCGCGGCAGGCCAGGATCGTCGTCATCAGCCCGCCCATCTACTCCCGCTTCTTCCGCGGCAAGACCCCCTACGCCATGGGCAAAGTCGGCATGTCCGTCCTGACCAAGGGCCTGGCTATGGACATTCAGAGAGACAACGCCATGCGCGGACGCATCAGCATCACGAGCCTCTGGCCCGCTGTCGCCATTGAGAGTGCCGCCACCCAGCAGTTCACAAAGGTGAACCCGGAGGAGCGCAACGACCTGAGGAAGGCCACCATCTTTGGCGATGCCATCCTGGCCATTCTGAAGGCAGGCGGGGACAAGGTCAACGGGGCGCTGCTGCTCGACGAGGACTTTCTCCGTGCGCAGGGCGTCACCGACTTTGATCAGTACAGCCTGGTCCCCGGGACGGCACCGAGGCGCATCATGCCACAGCAGCTTCCCGATCTCACAGTGGCAGAGCAGGATGACGAGGGGAAGAGGTACGATAGTTCCGCTAAGAGTAAGCTGTGATTGCAATGTCTTCACCCCCAAGTAGTCAGCAAGTGTATGTATGCTGTGTGCATGCCTGCATGCGCCGCTGTCAAGACCCAAACGCCAGAAATTGATACCCGATTATTAAAATCTTTCCACAAGCCCGTGCCGTCCAGACCATTCATACCAACGCCTACACGTCCGCGTTTTGCCGTTGGCTCAGGTCCGGCATGCCTCCCGCCTCTTCAATGTCCCCAATCGTAGAGTTGAACACAGAGGTCGCGCCGTTGAGGGCCTTGTTCCTGTTCCACTCGTTGCGGCTGCGCCAGATCTCGTCCATCAGATCCCGGTTGATCTGCTCGAGCTGCTCAATGGTGAAGCCCGACGTCTTGTTGGTCAGCTCCATGAGGAACTCGTCAACAGAGTGGCCAATGTCCAGCGGCTGCGACGCCGACGACCCAGAGTTGCGGCTCAGATGCTGTTCCTCCGTGTGGTTGTCGTTGAGCAGCGCCCCTATGCTGCCCTTGGCAGGCGTACGAGGGTATGCATTCGACGACGAGGGACTACCACTGAGCATCAAATCCATGCCCGTATTGTCGCCCCGCAGAGCTTGGGCTTGCGAGTGCGGCCATTGCTCTCCACTAGAAGTGGCCTGGCTCATGGGCGGCGCTGTGTCGGGGATATCCTCCTCGTCATCGTCTATTCGACTCGGCTGCTGCCCACTGTGGTTGCCGTTCGTGAGTTGGGTGCTCCAATTCGAGTCTCGGTGTGTCGATGGATCGGACGTCTTGGTCGTCGAGGCCTCATTGATGACGGCGGATGGCGAGACACCCGGGGGGAGAGATGTGACTGCGGACCGTTGCGAGATCTGGGTCATGGCTGTCTGCGATTTGGGCGGCGGCCCCATCTCGGACGCGGCCTGCGTGTCGTCGTTGACACCACTCATCTCCACATCGCCTTCCACACGCGTCACAGTGTCATTGCTCGTGGACCCCTGCTCTGCATTGGCCTGGGAGCTATCGCGGGGCGGGCTCTTGACCTGGAACCTCGCCATTGTGCGTTCACCGGGCACGACATCGCTCTGAATAGGTGCATCTTGCGAGTCACTGTCGTTGCTCAACCCAGCGCCCAGATCCGACTGCACCTTGTCCACAATGGACTGCATCGCCCTCCTCTTCCGGTCCTTCTCAGCCTGCTGCCTGGCTCTCTCAACCTGGCGGTGATACAGGGCGTCCCAATCGACGTGCGGATTGTTGGTCTCAATGGTGGCAATGTCAACCTCCACATTCGTCAAGAGCTCGTTGGTTCGGAGAGTGCGCTCCTTGTCCCCTATGGCTTTGGCATCCTTGGCCAGCGCCCGGATATCGAACAAGAAGTCTTGCGGTCGCGCATAGAATCCATTCGAGAGACGCTCCTCAATCGTAGTCGTCTCTAGATTGTAGAAACACTTGCCCGTCGCAGTATCCCTCAAAACGTCATTGTCATACTTGTCCTTGACGATCTCGTATGGTCGGCTTTCGCGCTCTGTAATGTCGGCGCGGACATAGTGCGGGTCGGCCTCGGCGAAAAGATACTCGATCGATGCCTGGGGGATGACGGGTTGCCTGAGCTTCTTGTATCGACGATTGATCTGGTCCATGATGGGCTGCAGCTGGATCTTGAGGGAGTTGAGAAGTTGATGGTCCTTCTTCTGCAGCGCCTTGATCTCAGCCTTGGTCGGTGGCTTTGGCTCTTCTCGCGGAGCGACTGGGAGTTCCTCCAACACACGCTTCTTGCGGTTCTCCGGGTCGGGGAACTCGGCCGGCTTCTTCTTGATGTACTCGAGCGTTCTGCTAAAGTACCTTCGGCGACTCAACGGTGACGGCGGCGCAATCTCCATGTGGTTTTTGCGAGAGAAGCCGAAAAAGTCACGAATCATCTCTCTCGGCTGTTCAACCTCGGCTGTTGCCAGAACAAGAACTGGATCCGTAGGTGGAATAGACCGAAGCATTGTCTGAAAGGTGATGAATGCAAGTGAGTCCCTCAGAGTCGCGTACCAAGCATCGTAGTTGGGAATGTAGATGACACTCGGCTTGTGGCGTCGGACTTCAGTGAACAAGCCGACAATGACCTGTTCCATGGGCTGGGGCCCGGTTAGCTCGAATTCTTTCTATGCCGCAAGAGAGCACTTACCCTGCCATCCCCGAGGAGTGTGGGCAGATCAAAGTTTTGAATGTGGACGCCCTCCAGATAATGAAGAATAGCCGATGCTAGATATCCATGGCCCATACCATGCTTTCCTGTGATGATGAAGCGGGGGCGGAACACCCTCGACCGTTCAAACTCCTGGTGGAGGGCTTCTCTTCCGAAGCCATGATCGTCGTCGTTGTGCTGCTCGTACATGGCTTCCTGGAGAGCTGTGAGCTTCTTCTTCCGAGGAAGCAATTCATCGAGCGCTGCCTTGGCCTTGTCGAGCTGGTTCGCAAGCAAGGGCGCAATGCTGTCGGGCAGCGCCTGAGCGCCCGACGTCGCCGAGCGCTCAGATGAGGGGATCAACTTCTTGACAGCCATCATGAAGTCAGACGCATGAACCGAGATATTCTCCGGCTTCACCACCAATTTCTCTTGGGTTGAGTAAATCTGTGGGTATGTGCGTTGAATGGCGTTGAGCGCAGCCTCCGTGGACAGAGCGCGCAGGTCGGCACCGCCGTAGCCCTTGGTCTGGACTGCCAGCGACCGCTTGAACTGGTCAGACAAGCCCCAGTCCTTGGTGTGGATGTCGATGATGGCCCGGCGACCATCCATGTCCGGCAGGGGGAAGTAGAACTCCCTGTCGAAGCGACCTGGGCGGCGCAGCGCAGGATCGATGTTGTCCGGACGGTTGGTCGCGCCGATGACAATAACTTGACCGCGCCCATCCATACCATCCATCAAGGCCAGCAGTGTCGACACGATAGACGCGTGGATCTGCTCCTGCTTGCTCGAGCGCACAGGAGCCAGTCCATCAATCTCGTCAAAGAAGATGATGCTCGGCTGCGTCTTCCTGGCCTCTTCAAAGAGGAGCCGCAGCTGCTTCTCCGCCTCACCAACCCATTTGCTGAGAGCATCAGCGCCCTTTCGCATGTAGAATGAGATTTTCTTGCCGCCAGAGCCAACCGAGTTGGCCAGCGCACGTGCGAGCAGTGTTTTACCAGTGCCAGGTGGACCATGGAAGAGCACACCACGCGGTGGAGTCACATGAAATCGAGTGAACAGTTCGGGATACAAGAGAGGAAGCTGCACCATCTCTTTCAGCTGGTCAATGTGACCCTGGAGGCCACCGACTTGGTTGAAATCGACGCTCATGTCAACGCCCAACGGATCGGCGTCAGCAAGGGCCTTGCGGTCCTTGATCTTCCCAACATTCGGGGTGGCATCAGCCAATCCTTGACCGCCGGGGACCAAGCCCCCAGCGGCAGCGGAAGCAGGCGTCATGCCAACATTTCCAGCGGCGTTGGAACGGTGCATCATCTCGTCATCACTGCTGTCCGAGTCGACGCCACCGGCTGCACCAGTGCCCCAGGGTCCGGTGAGGAGCGAGCCGGCACCGCCGCCGCCACCAAAAGGACCGTATGTGGTGTTGAGGTTGCGTTCCCATATGGCAGAGGCTGCTCCACGCGCGCGACGCGTGCGTGAAGGCGTCGGCGCAGGATCCACCTCGTCCTCCTCGACAATAGCGGGCGGGACGGGGGGCATGAAGTAGTTGACGGCCTCTCTTTTGCGGCGAGGTTTTTCGCCATAGACGATACCGGGTGACTCTTGTCGTGCACGTCGCCTACGGCCCTTTGACGATTGTCGCAATTCGCGAGCCTCTTCCTCGAGCTCATCCTCGTCAAGCTCGATATCGTCATTTCCAGATCCGTCGTCGGCGTGTTGGGAGGAGCGCCCAGACCTGCGACCTCTTTGGCTAGCCTTGCCTCTGGGATTGGGGCTGGCCAGTTCATCGTCGTCTCCACCGGCGGACATGGGCGCATCTTCTGAATCTTCGCCTGGCTCAAAGTCACTACTAGGCTCTGCTGCCGACCTCTTCGTCGCGCCTCTTCCCCTCGTCAGACGACGAGCTCGCCCAGTTGGCGCGGCATCCGATTCACCTGCCTCCGGCGCCGCTGCGCCCCGGGCTGCCCGCGTTCTTCTAGTGATGGGCACGTCGTCATCATCCTCGTCATCCTCAGCCACAGGCGGTGGGGTGACTTCCTCCTTAGATGCGTCTACGTCGCCCACCTCCACCCCAACATCGTTTGCCTCCGCCATCTCTTCGTCGATTTCTTCCTTTGACTCAATGGCGATTTGGTCTTGCGATAACTCGTCGGGCTCGTCCGCATCATTCACCTCCCTAAGGCTGCTTTCTTGCGTGGCCTCCTCGATTGGTTCTGGAGCCTTCTTGACGCTCTTGGCTGCACGTGAGGCGCGTGAGGTGCGTGCAACAGTCTCGGGACTCTTGCTTTTGGACGATCGCGCGTGCCTCCCAGAGTTGGTAAGCTCCAGGAACTCATCGGCGTCTTCGGTCGTAGCGCGTGTGCGTCGTGTGGATGCGCGTTGGGGTACTCGCAAGTGCACCATTCGCCTCTTTGTTGGTTTGGCTTCTACTTCTTCAGAAGCTTCGTCCTCTTGCTTCAGCTCGTCGTCACTCTCGTCGTCGCTTTCGGCGTAATTTGTCCGTTGCGTTGCCGCTTTTCGAGCGCGACGACCAGCTGCGTTCTTGGGGGCTTCTTCGTCTTCTTCGTCCTCTTCGTCCAGGGATACATCCTCTTCGCTGTCGGAGAGCACGTCGTCATCCTCGTCAATGTCGGAGCCGCCATACCCGCGACGTCTTCTTGGTTTCGTCCCGCTTCTCTTGGACCCCGTTCGAGCCCTCCGAGAAGTCTTGCGCGGCCGGGCCTCCGTCGGGTCAAAGTTTTCATCGTCAGAATCAGACTTGTTTGGGTCGAAGACTTCGAGGTCCCTCTTTCGTTTGCTCGACATGGTGGCGGAATGTGCAGAGGTTCAAGCGTGTGTCCAAGGTTGGATACTCGCAATCAGTCGGGCCGCTGAGGAGGCGTCCGCACAAAGAGTAAAGATGACGGGCTAAGAAACGAGTCAGTACGAGGCTCTGGGCCATTCAACTCGACCGATCGCCAGAACCCAGTCGCTCAAGTTGTCCTCACTTACAGTGATGGAGGTAAGTGGCCTGTCCAGACCTGGTCGCAGCGTGTCTCAGCAAGGAGCGCGATTCTGCTGAGCAATGCGCGACAAGGGCACCTTGGAATAGGCGCTCTGTCAAGATTGCAACAGCCTGAGCCACCACTGCAACAGAACTCGTCGAGTGGGGTGTGCAGCTCTCGGATGTGCTGCTTGTATTAATGATGGATGGACGGACGGACACTGAGGGAAGCGTCGACTGTTTTCGCGTGTCGATGTCGCGGTTGGGTCCAGATCCGCTTCTCGAGCTCTCAGTGGTCGAGAAGGCCTCACGTGCAGGCAACCACCGACGGGCGACTGGGTGGTCCGCGCTTTTTCCGCCCAGATTGACCCACTTTACCACGACCAAGCGCCGCACCACAAACACAATTGCCAGGGGCGCGCAACTGCATCTGCGCTTGTCTGCCATTGGAACACAATTCGACATTTAAGTCTAAAGGATTGCACATGCCAAAACGCAACAAATTCAGCATCGTTTGGTCGCAAAGTCGCATCGATTTGCTCAGAGACCGTCTCAAATCGCTACATCTCGCGTTTTTGGCATTCATGACCTCTTTGTCGTCGCCTACTACAACGCAATGGCATCAACCCATGAATTCAAGATCTTTAAAGCTTCCCCAGATCTTCATCCCAATGACGCCATGGGCATGCGCCATTGATGCGGCAGTCGTCGAGAGCTCGTAGGGCTGATTACACCCGGAGCCGACGGCTGAGGGGCGGCTCCGAATTTTGGTGCCTGATATATGAGGCCAGCAGGGAGCTCACCCTGGTTCTTACAAGCATCCCTTCAGATCGCTTCTCACGTGTTCGAGGCAACTCAACTCATGGATGGCTCAGATCACGACACTTATTCTGTTTTCATACTCAATGCCTCGAGTCTGGACTAGGAATTCGACATTGTCTTGGAGGCAGGATGCCCTCATGTCAGGCACTCACGACATGAAAGTCTATCCATCCCCAAATGAACCAGCGGGGAGCATCGTCCGAGCATGGGTGGACCTCTGCAAGTGGGCATCGAACCCTGAGAGTCTGAGACCGACGATCAGCCTTGCCCGATGTTACAGCATCGTCTCATGGCAGACTGATCCTTTCTGGGTCGGTGGTTGATGCTTTGCACGTCCTCCAGCAATGAGATACCTCCAAAGTGTGAAGGAAACCATGACGTCGAGACGAGGCAGCCGTTCCTACGCTACACATCCAGGGCCCCAACGACTTGGCAGAGTCTACTGTTCCAGGAAAACAACTGACAACTGAAGTGTAGATGAATGGCTTTTCCAACGCTTTCTCTATATCCGGTACGTACTGTGCCCGGAACGACACTCAACCAACCATAACGCCACGCCATCCAAAGAACTCGACTTTACGACTTGTCGAGGACGATGCGAGCGTAGTCCAGGAGGTTGACCTCTCCAGGGGCATTCTGTGTATATCGGCTGTTGAACTTGACAACCTTCTTAGTGTTGCGGAACGTCTTGACGTCAATGTAGACGGGATTGGCCACGACGTTGAACTTGACGCCCTCGTCGCACGGAGGGGTGGTCAAGGAGCCGGAATAGTGGTAGACATCCGACTTGCGAATGTGCTGCTCGAGAGCACCGAAGTTGAGGGCGGCGGTGGTAACCTTGTCGCCGACGCTGGGGATCTGCAACACCTTGGCGAGCGACTTGGAGATGGGCTGGTTGATGTGGTCGCCGGAGCCGGCAATCTCGATCATGAACCAATAACAGCAAGGTCGTCTGGGCCGATGTCAGTGTCTCTGTGTTGGTCAGGCTTCTAGGAAGGGGGGACGTACTGCCGTTCTGGAAGACAAAGTGAACCTCGGAAGGGTAGTACTCGTCGCCAATGCGGTGCTCCGAGGGCGTGTGGAAGTGGTACTGGGCAAGGCTGTACTTTGTGCCGTCGAACTCGGCGGAGCCGTTGGCAAAGACCTGGACGTTGTGGCCAGTGTTGAGGAACTCGGCGCCGTGGGGGTAGTTGACGATGTCGAACTTGTATGAAGCGCCGTCGGCAACGTCATACTTGCCGGTCTTGATGTTGACAGGGGATTGGTTCTTGCCCATGGCGCAGATCGTATTGTTTGGGCTCATGCTGTGCCACTCAAGCGCGGAGTGGAGCTCATCGTAGCCAAAATCACCATCGGCACGACGCTCAAGACCGACATCACGAGGCATCAGGTTTGTGCCATAGTGGCACATGGCAGACGCCAAGGATACCGAGGAAGCGAGGACGGAAAATACCTTCATCGTGGAAGTGTGTCTAAGGGACTGGAGTGAGTCGAGTATCCGATACAGAGCAAGTCTCTGGCGCAAAGAAGGTCTAGACGTCCGAAAGCAGAGGCCGTTGGCAATCATGGACAGCCGCCGAAAGAGAGCAGGGACGACCAGCATGCTATTTAAGCTTATTTTGAGATTCGACATGATCCTGCCAGATGTGCCGGGGCATCAGTACTGCGCCATGCAGCTGTGTTCCTGGGCTTTTCGGGATCATCCAAGCGCCCGGTCAAGCTTACAACCATTGCCCACCAGGAACATGGCGCCAAGAGACCATGTCCATGCTACCTTGCACAAATTCTTGTATCAAAGGAACTCCGCAGCGGAAAGCGATACGGATGGGTGTCAGACCAAGCCAGCGCCGCAATCATCAGTGAGGCAGGTTGAGGTACATGCACCCAACCGTCCCCGTATGCAAAGTTCAGGCCACCAAAAAGATCATTACAACAAAGATCCCGCATCCGAACCCTTCTCGACTTGGTTAGTGGCACGAAGAAGCTAGAATACTCTCAAGACGCCACATGCCGAGCTAATGAGGAAAAAGAAGGTCCAAAGGCCGTAGACAATGCCGCAATGGGAGCTGACAGGATGGAGCTCAACGCGGGTTGATTGACAGTCTGACAGACAGCCTTGCCCTCTTCGATGGCCATTGGCAGGTGCAGGCAGACTGTCCAGCGTCCAGTGACTCCTGTCATACGACGAGTCACATCATGGAATACTTCGGACTTCGGAGTGCAATGCAGAATCGCAGTTACCCCTCCGATACCTGAGACGAACTTCAGCAAGTCACAGTCCTAATATTCCCGAGCGAGCCCCGACCCTTGTTCATGTTCACGGTGCGCGCGCGCGTGGGCGTGAATCCCATTGTACATACGTACTTCAAGCTGAGCTGCCTCTTTGGGTCAGCTGAAAGTTCGACATGCGAGCGCTCGCTAGTCTAGGACGCCTGCGAAAATCTGACAAGCTCAGCGGCCATACGAACGGGCACGCCCATCCTCTCAATCTCCAGTGACGGTCAGTAGGCCGCTTTGCTCGAAAGGGGTATGGACCGTATGGTCAGCCTTCAGGAGTCAGGACTCGGTGCAGCGGTTCCACCACCCACATGTCGACGGGTTCATCAGGGCTCTACTACGTATGATTACATGTACGTAGTGGTCTCACTGTGCTTCAAAATCAGAAACCCGTTACACGTGTGTGAGTATCCGTGCTTTGTATTTCATTACGTACTCGGTTAGCTCGGTGCGAGTCTATTTAAGCTACCCGCGTGGAGCTGGATTCCTAATGCCGTGATACACGGCTTTGGAGAATTGAACGTTCTCCTCAAGAACAGCGAGCCTGTAACGCGAGGAACAAGAAGATGGATGTCGTTCCCTGGTTGCCGCATTGCCGTCAAGTCTTGGCAACGGACGGAAAGTGGAGAGCGGAAGCCAGGCCCAACTTCACCACCAAACCTTCTCTTTGATGGACCAAATAGGACGAGGGCACAAGTCTTCCAGACGGTAGGTGAGTCGAGTATTCCGTCCACGCGCTGGCCGATCAGTGGCTGATCATGCCCGGTCAGTTTCAAGATGCTAATCCTGTACGTATGCTTCTGCGGGCGCGCTTGGTCGTAATCAGACGGGCTGACTGTAGTCTGTGGGATGCTGATTAGCAGGGGATCCTCGCACGTGCTGGTCCCTGGGCGCACCACCTCTCTCAACCGCGTGTGCTTTGCTTCATTGACGACAACGACTCCAGTTGCCGCCCTCCATCTATAACGTAGGAGTCTAGCTGCCCTGGTGACGGAGAGACTCCTGCTGCAGCCTGCCAGCGCGCGGGCATTCCGCGGTGGCAGCAAATCAGACGCCGATTCTGCGCCTCAATCTCTCCAGCTGATGGCAGCAAGGCTCCTCAGCCTTCCGTAAGTCAGCTGCCTCGTTCGGCTGGTCTGCATTACTGAAGCCTCCCGCTCCAAGAAGCGTGGTCTGGTGAGAATCTGAGCCGTCCACGACATCTCTGCCAAGTCGCAGCTATCATGAAATAGCCTGGGTTGACGACGCCATCCGCAGCAAGCCATTTGATAGCACGATGACTCACAAGAGCACCGCTCATCCCGTGTGCTGTCACTGGGAGAATGTGACAATATCTCGTAAGCACTGAGCACGGATTCGGCGGAAGGCCAATGGCTTGGAAACTTGGCGCATCTCTGGCGCAGTTGCGATGAAGATGAAGAAAGATGAGTCATGCCGTGTGGCTCCCTTGACACTGATCGAACAAATGTTCAACCATCAGGAGCTGGCATTGCTTTCTCTTCGAATGCCGAACCAACAAGCGTGCGTCCTATGCAGGGTTCGAGATTTGACATGCAATACTGGCCGAGTGTACCCGCTTGATGCGATGCTGCCTTCATGTTGTATGATGGAATCGAACGGACTTGTTCGAAAGGTGTTGTTGTCTCTTCATGTTTGCTCTGTTTTCCTTCCTCTGATTCCAGAGTTATAGGAGTGCATAGATGGCTGATGCTGCCGTTCGCGCAGGACATCAAGTCTCGACTTGAGCATGTGGCCTGGCAGTAGCTTCCAGCACGCAACACTGCCAGTTCATCCAGCATGGACGGACGCAGAGGGTCGGTGAGATATGCCTGTCGTCTTTTGGCGGACAGATTCCACGAAACTGGCATCAGCAGCATGCTCCCTTCCGCTACTCTGCCAAACCATGAGTATCGTGGGATCTTGACTGTCACTTGCGTATGTCTCGCGTCCTCGCCTTGCCTGTATTGCAGGAGCTGAGGCCGGTTCAGCCACAACGTTTAGTCCAACCGCTTCAGGCGCCGCTAGATACGGGGCTGGCGGTGTCATAAGTGCGTCGTTGTAGAATCGTAATGGTGATACCGTATATACTACCGGTCTCCGAGCACCACTTTACGCATTCAGAACAGTTGCCACTGAAGACACATCGATTGTAGAAGATCAGGCGATGATGAGCACGCGGTGTTTCCGAGGACGCGAGTGGGCGGGTGCCATGCCATGCCGTAAGTCGATTTGATCCAGCCGAGCATCAAGTCGAAATCAGAGGGATAAATTTGGTCATTGGCTGTCTCTGTTGTCGAAATCGGCCGGATGTCTGCGCGGTACGATGCCGAGTACCATGAAGGAAATCGAGGAACGACAGCACACAACACTAGCATATGAAGAGCCTGGCTCCAGTCGTCTGCATATATATGTAGCCTGAGGAGAACAGGTGACGCCTAGACGCCCCAATGATTAATTCCATTCTATCATCAATATATGCAGGCTCGATGCCGGGTTACCGGCTCCCTTGCTGCGTCGTCGAAAGGGGCACTGGGACCTTGATGGTACATGTACATTGCCTGTACTTCTGGAGTTGGTCTCCTCTTGATGAGCAGTGGGAATATGTGTCCTTATCACGCGGATCTTCCTACGTAATGATCTTGTGTGGACCAACATGCAACATCACGTTATAGTATACCATCGCCAAATTATCGTGGCGGCCAACAAAGGGGGAATGTGCACAGCTGGAGGTGGATCTTCTAGACATGATAAATAACATGCAAATAGCCTTCTTTTCTCGAGAAATCTACGTAAGCCCTCGGGTCAGATTCTGGGGTATTTCTTTTGTTTGCTGAGCTTGTGATCAGACATGTATACTGAGTGACCCGATGTCCATCCAGCAATGGCATGTGCATGTATTGTATTCACATATAAGAGATGATATGTTTGGCTCATTTTACAAATGGGAATCACTAAGAGTCTCGTAATTGAGATGAATTAGGGCATTGTAGCCTTGGTATCTTTGCACAGATACGTGTATACATTCACGTAACGTACTTCCAACTTGACATCTCCAAGGCTGGTCTCATATTGCGGTTACTTACTTTCCATCCGAGGCACCACCTAGCTTTAAATGACCCTTTAGAGAATGGGTTTACTGATTGAAGCTCATATCGAAGCCTTGTGCGGACTATAGATGAATAACTTCCAAGGCAGACCATCGTTCTGTTCTTTGCTGTCGTGCAGGGTACGCAAAACACCACATCAACTCAACATGTCCAAGGATGCGGCATGGCCAAATTGATAAAAACTGGAAATAGGAGTAACACACATTTATCTGGGTGGCTCAATTTGGAGAGATTGAGTGACCTTGTGAGGCGTTGACGGCGCATGTCGCCCTGCCGTTTCATGCTTAGGATGCGAGCCGCCGGATGCACACAGACATGGACGGACGATATGAGCAACAGCAGCCAGGGTTGGAATGATAATGACACCAGCCACCACTCTCAAGTCCATACATGTATACAAGGAGTAAAGTCAAGATCTGGTTCCGCTGCGTACCTGTAGCATCGAGAGTAAGTATACAACCAAAAGTACAAAATCCTTCCCCATTCGCCTTCGTACATGCGGTAGGTATGTAGTGGAACCAGAACTCGAGTAACATATGGGATTTTACAAACATAATGACTCGGGCGCATGGGAATTCGACAAAATCATGCGTTATTGGCCGACATTATGATAGTCGGCTGCTGTGCAACCTTGTTGCATCGAGGCTGCTAGCTGTACCACATACCGCATTTGAACAGCAACGTGTCGAGAGTGTGGTCAAAGCTAACAGCCTATCAGTGCTATTTCTCACAATGGTTTGTTGCTAGGATCCGTCGTTATGATAGTGACTAGCTCGGCTTCATCGACATGAAATCTCATGACCAGCTTTCGCATTCGTTCATTCCGCACCGCAAGCCACACAATAATAGATTGGGTCGCAATCATGATCATAGCTCTGCCCTCCTCTACTTGCAAAGCATTGACCAAGTCCCGATCTATCACAAATTACAATCAGTGATCAAAGTTCGCACTGATTGATATTATTTCGGCACGCTCCGGATCCGGTGGTGCAGTGACGCGAGGTCTGGGGTCCGCTAGGTTCAAACTTCAGGGTAACTAGGAAAGCTTGGCACCAAGACCCTAGACATGGCCACCTCCGCTGGTTCAATCCGCTCTGGCTGCTTCAGTTTTGATCCAAACATTTAATATCACATGTTTGACCACAAGCTTTGCTGTGCTCGGGCTCCGACACCCGAATTTTGTTGGCGCAACGACATACGCAAGAAACTTTGCAACGTTAAGACCTCCCCACCGAAGGTTTTAGTTTGGGGGACTTCGCTGCTCCAGGTCCATGCGGCGGCCCCTGAGACCACAGTCGAGCTTATTAGCGTAGCCTAGGCAGCTCCGCCCCAACTCCGGTCCGCCATTGGCGACTCGGATCGCTTCGCCGGCCCGCGTCGTACACGCGGCCTTTGTTTACGCCAGCTATCCGTACACGGCTGCAAAGCGTTCGACGTGCTGTGAAAAATTCCATCGCGTCCTCGCTTGGAACATCCCCGGTGAGACTGTTTCATGCAAGGGAGTGAATTGGTTGACAATTTGACGGTGCCTGCAGGCATAACCTGGGGGAAAATTTCGTGGAGATTGGAGGGATGTTCCTGCCTTTTTAGATTAGGGGTCGCACATGTCGATCGTAGCGCATTCGGCCCTCAGTCGTCGCGTCATTAGCGCGTTCTCATCGCGTCCTATCCGTAGTTTATTTGGACTCTGGCAATTGACGCGAAACATCCGGCAATCAAACAAAACCTCCCATCTGCGTTCGAGCTCATCAACATGGTGCACCGGCAAGTCCGATCCTTCTTGGACAAATTCGCCCCTCGGAATCAAGTCGGCCGATAGTGGCGTCCTGCATCAAGCCTGTATGTATGTATGGTTGCGGCTCTGCAGAGGGAATTGAGTTTGTCCACCTGCTGCTCTTCACGTTCTAAGGCATTTAGTGGACGGATGTTTGTGATGGTGGCGTACTTTAGACGGAGTATATGTCGAGTCGACGCATCCGGTGCCGCAACAAACCGATATCCACGCGTCTCGCAGCTGGTCGTCCGAGCTCGAGCTCGCAGAGTAAGAACAATTGCGTGTCCATTTGTGCGAAAAGAACTTCCTCGCGAGCACAGAATACGTGAACAAGTAAACGAGCTCGCCGTGCTGCTTCATGCTGCCTTATCTTTGAGTGTTTTTGTCATCTTCTGAGCCAGGGTGCGTCCACAAAGAGGGGTTCGCAACGCCAACTGATAAATGTCCCTGGGACACCACGGAGCGACGGCTACAAGTATCTTGAATTGGCAAGACTGTGTAATATCCTTTGTACGGTCTATCTGGTCATGATCTGATTTCATTGGTGTGTCAGCGCAGGCTACTTCGGCTCTTGGATTGTGTGTGGTACGGCTCGGATGGGAGGTGTGTCCTTCACGGGAAGGTCCTGCGCGACGCGTCCGTCGGCTTCGAATTCATCGTCGGCTTGTGATAATCGAGCGCATGTAGCACAAGCCCTCGCCGTTCCTTCTGGTCACCCGAACACTGGCACTGAAAGACAGTCATGTGAATTCTTAGATCCCTTTGGTGAGTACTTGTAGACGCACACACACACACACACACACACGCACGGGGTTTTCGTTGAATTTCATGCCAGAACTGGAGATGATCTGTGATGCAGGCAAGGGTCGAACGGACACCTCAATCTTAGCGCAGGTCGACTTGATGCCGTGGGGTGATCTTGGCCCAATCAGCGGGCTCCTCAGCCCTCCCCTGCGACAGCAACACGAGCGTGCAGCGTTCTCAGTCATGTCGACGCCCTCAGTTCCTCTCTTGCCATCGTTTGTCCAAACAATTAAAGATTGATTAGTGTGAAAAGGCTTGCGACAGACCATGATAAGATGCTTGTTGGATGAAACGAAACGTGGAAGCCCTTATCACGCCGGGAGCACATGGACTGCCGCGCCCCGGCGACACTTTACCTGGAATCTGATATGCATGGACATGGAGCCCCACGCTCGGTTCTAGGCCATTTTGCTGCAAATGCTTGTGCCTCGCCCGCTAATGGCGCTGTTCCGGGGCCAAGAGGTCCCGTATTCTCTCCTGAGTGGTGGAGCAAGGGCCACAGGACATGGGAGCTTGGGTGGCCTGGCCTTTCTGGTTGGGGACTGGATCCAGTGAATCTGTCCGTCGATTCTCCTGCTTTGCCTCCAGTCCAGTCGCCTCTCCTGTCGTCGTCTCCCTCTCACCTTCTTGCCTGAGGTGCTCTCTCGTTGTTGTTCCTATCCACAATCTCCTCACATCGCCTCTTTCCCTATCCTTCTCTTGCCCCTCATCCCAACCTTTGCCCCTTTTCCCTTGTAATTCCTCTTGTCCTCCGCCACAGGTCCCCCATTGGCGTCCCTTGCCCGGCCTTTCGAACCCCCTTTTCAGCATCTCGAAGCGTTCATTTTGAGCTCTCCTCGACCAGCACACGCTGCCGTTGCTCAGATCGTAGTCAGAACTAGGCTCGCTAGCCTACGACCACCATTGCTGAGCTCAATTCCATTCGAAGCTCTTGCTGGCTACCGAAATTCCGGTTCGATCGATTTCCACAACGCGTGCTTTTGGCACCGACCCCATCAGTGCATCCACCAATTTTCTTACCTTCGAAAACGTCAAGAGGGCACGGGGCATCTTCACTGATTCTCTGTACCTCTCATACTCTACTTTCGACTCGTTTGCTTTTGTCTACGAGGCTGCACGTGGTAACAGCGAGCATCCCCTTGTAGCAGAGCGATTGACCTTCCTTCCCACGGCCGCTGGCGTCCTCACACCAGGGACATTATACCATCCTTCGCAAGGACGTATACAAAAGAAACACAAAAAAAATAAAAAAAAATACAAACCGACAAGAGACTCTCTTGGGCATCCAGCAGTTGAATCTCCGTCACAGAGGTGAGTAATCCATTTGGCACTGCACGGCTCCGCCCTCCGCGATGAGTCTTGTCTGGACGTCTCTAACATCTTTGTCAGATCGACCCGCGTTGTCGTCTTTGTGCCCATCCGAGTTTCCACTGCATCCAAGCGAGCTGCTCATCAGGACCCAAATTCACTACACTCCCGGCCGAACAGAACTTCTGTGACATTGCCTTGCGGTTCGAACTATGGCCGCTTTGGTCCAAACATACCCACCCGAGACAGCCACGATTACCATGCTCCAGACTCGCCCGACGTCTGCTACTGGAAGGATGCCTTCAGGACAACAGCAACCCATTCCCCAATATGGCGGTAACCAGGCACCTCGATCTTCCTACCACAGCAATACCAATTTCACCGGCTACCGTGGGAGTTCAACTCCCGTTCAGCAGTACGCCTTTCAGACCACGCCGACTCTGAACCAACCTTACAGAATGAACGCGGCAGAGTACGATCCCAGCGTCACCCACCACCGCTTTCCGAACTATGGTCCTTCGGTAACAAACTCGAGCCAAGGCGGAACTCGTGATGATACTGCCATTCTGCAAGCCAGGCAAGCAATTTCCGTGTCGCGCCCTCAACCCACAGTCATACCTGGTCCCGCGAAGAATACCCCGGATAGATATCGGAGGCCGTCAAACCAAGGAAACAGCCATAACCGATCACAGAGTGCAAACCTGCCAAACACTTCCAACCTGCCAAACACGGCTCAGTTTTACAACATTGGAAACAGTCCGCGGCACACAGCAACAAGCCGACCCACCAGCTTCTACGCGACCATCCCTGGTACCTCGATGGATGACATGCACTTGCCTCCGCAGAACCACCAAAAAGGGCTGCGACGCAGGAGTATGCATGGAATGGAGACAATGGCGAGTCAACAGAGCGACCGCGCTCTGCGGCCCGGTCTGGACAACGCAGCCCACTCACGCAGTGGGAGCACGGAAAGTGTGAACTCATCGCGCAGCAATCACTCGCGACCCTCGGTATGTGATCCTTCTGCACGATGACCAAGCGTGGTCCAATAGGCGCGGGGTTGAGCTCGTATCACTAACAATATGTGCATTCACAGTCTGCCAACCGCAGTGCTCCTGTCCCCACCTCCAACCCCTCCCCAGCTGCAAGTGACGATGCTCGACATGCGCCGAAGCAGGAACAGTCTGCCAAACAGATCAACGTTCCTCCCCGGGACTCGTCTGCGAATGTTGGCAAGCGTACTACGACGCCGTCGCCACTGTCAAAGCCGGTGACCATGGGAGCAGAGTCCGCTGACGGCGCTGCCCCCAACACCGCCAATCTGAGCTCGCCCGCGGCCAAGCAGCTTGCTGCCATCAACCAGAAGGGCAGCAAGCCCAAGGGCAAGACTTCACGACTTCGACGTGCGTTCTCCTTTGGTAGCGCGGCTGAGCTGCGCAAAGTCGAGGAAGAAGCCGGCGCCGGCCAGAAGCCAGAGCCATCCCGACTGCACAAGGAGCCGAGCCCGTACGAAGCCTACGATGCGGAGCAAGCGAGGATTGCAGAGAGACAGGAGGCCGCCGGAATTGGCAGCAGCATCTACGGCGGACGCTTCTTCGGTGGCTCCACTGACAATCTGTCCATCTCGTCGACGGCATCCTCGGCTTCCATCATGATCCGGAAGATGGGACGGGGGATGAAGAAGAGCACGCGTAACTTGGCCGGTCTCTTCCGTCCCAAGTCTGTGATCGGCGTCGCGCCAGCGGACGGCCCCGTCTCGCAAGAAGGCAGCCAGGCCGCCGTATCCATGGTCACCGTGGAGGCGGAGACGCAGCGTGTCAACGTCACTGCCGACCCGCAGGGCAGCGATTCATTCCCCCATCTCGAGCGAAATTCAATCGACGCGAACCGACTTCCGGAGATGACGCACGAGCGCGCCGGCAGCTCGAGCACAGACAATTCCAACTCGCGCAAGAGCATTGTCGGCGGCGACAAGGACCGAGCTGAAGTTCTCGCGGCAGTTCGCAAGGGCATCCTGAAGCGTGAGTGTCTCGAATGCATTCCTTTCATCGCAAATTGCTAATGTGCTCAACAGGTTCCGGCTCTGCCAGCCCTACCGTCCGCCCAGTGGATGCCTTGCCGACATTGACGAGCCCTCCTGCCATTACGGACTCCCCCAACTCGAGCGCTCCCAGCACGCCCAACGAAGAGGCTCAGGGCCACCGCCGCACTGGATCGGTTGCGTTGGGCAACGAAGATTACTTCATGACGGCCCTCCGTCTCCGACAGGACACCAAGAGCGCCCCTGGAACTCCCCAGGGCAGCCTGAAGCGCTCCGCCAAGTTCTCGCAGCGTATTGTCTTTCATGACACTTGGCCGCCTCAAGAATACGATCGCCGAGGCGAGGTCGCAACGTGCAACCGCCTCACTCCATTGCTTGCGCAGCAAATCAAGGAAGAGCTCAACACATTCAAGATGGTGCGCACCCCCTCCTTCCTCCACCGTCTGGTGCGCTCATGCTGACATTGTATAGGAGATGGAAGTCCACGAAAACTCCAAGATTTATACACACTTCTTTTAATGCTAGACAGCCACGTCCTGCTGCGAGGGACCACTTCAAAGAGCATCATTGCATCGAGTCAAGCGCGCAAAGATCATGTACACATCACATTCATATTCAAAGAGGCGTTCAGGGACAGCATAGTAAGGTGCGGCGGCGTTCTTGTCACTCTGTGCTTCTACACATGTCTGGAGGATTTAGACTATAGGGTCGCGATTTTCCTTAATATCAGAAAGCCGGCGCAGCCAGATTCTGCCGACGGTTGATAGACCCCACGCAGACCAGCATCGTATCAGCTACCGACGGTGTCCGTGATATGAGCTTGGATGGATGCATCAATGGAACACAGACACGCATGAACAGTATGATTGACTCGTGAAGAAGTGAACTACATTCCACTCCGTGCATGCCAAGGACTGCCCTCGGTGATGTAAACAGAGGGGCACGTGGGATTCTGAATGTGCCTGGCTTGGACTGGGCCCTTTATTAAATATTAGCCTTTAAGGGACTTTGGCGCCATGCCTGAATCCTGATCCCTCAGCCTCGTGGTTTTGGCGCGGCGCTATGGGGTCTCACCCCCCCACCAATGGTAGCTCCGTCCCACCGTCAGCCTTGCAGAACTTCATCTTCGCGATGGTGGTTTTTTTTTTTCTGTCTCTTCACTCTCCATCGACTCCACGTCTGATTAGTATACGTCACAGTATTAGCGACTGTTCCCACCACCGGTGCTCGAACCTTGCTGCAGATCGACGCTCACTTTGCCCTTATGCGAGGACGCAGCGCGCGCCTCTCCTCGATTCCTTTCGCTTCTTATCGACCAACTTTCCAAATCACCTTTCGACGATCATTCGCAGCCATGGGCAGTATACCAAAGGATGCGCCTGCTGGCCCCGGCAAGGCGAAGCTCTATGGACGCGCTTTCTATGAGAGCATTGGCAGCCCGAAATACATTGTAGCGCCCATGGTAGACCAGTCTGAATTTGTGAGCAAACCCACGAGGGGCTGCGGATGACCGCCATGCGGCAAAACAAGCATTTGCTGACCAGAACAGGCCTGGCGCATGCTCACGAGATCCTTCCTGCCCGAGGCTGAGCAGAGCAGCCTTCTCGCGTACACCCCCATGTTCCACGCACGACTCTTCGAAGAGACGGAAAAGTATCGACACGCCCATTTCCAAGCGACACGACCCGGGACCGACGACATCTGGCTAGACGGCAACCCGAAGCTCGACCGACCTCTCTTTGTACAATTCTGCGCCAACGATCCAAAGCACCTCCTCCACGCCGCACGGCACGCTGCCCCGTACTGCGACGCGGTCGATCTCAACTTGGGCTGTCCGCAGGGCATCGCGCGCAAGGGTCACTACGGGTCATTTCTCCAGGAGGATCAGGACCTGATCTTTCGACTGATCAACACCTTGTACAAGGAGCTGGAGATTCCCGTCACCGCCAAGATTCGCATCCTGGAGACAAAGGAGGCGACGCTGGCGTATGCGCAAAATGTTCTCCGAGCGGGCGCCTCGATATTGACGGTCCATGGGAGAAGGAGGGAACAAAAAGGGCACCTCACAGGACTGGCCGACTGGGAGATGATCCGATTCCTGAGGGACAGTCTGCCCAAGGAGACGGTGCTGTTTGCGAACGGCAACATTCTACAGGGGGCGGACATTGAACAATGTCTGCAGGCCACGGGTGCCGATGGCGTGATGAGCGCAGAGGGCAACCTGAGCGACCCGTCCATCTTCGGTCGAGCCCCGGAGAAAGGGCAAGAGGGCAGAGAGTACTGGCGCGGTAAAGACGGGAACGGCGGCTGGCGAGTCGACGCCGTCATGAGACGGTACCTGGACATCCTGCACAAATACGCCGAAGAGACGGAGCCGCCCAAGCGACGGCCACTCTTCATGCCGGGGGAGGACATGGCCTGGATCGAGGAGGAGGACAAGGCGGAGGCAGAGGCGGAGGAGCCCCCGGCGAAGAAGAGGAGGAAAGAGGACAGCAACAACAAGAACGCCCCCGCGAATCCCAACCTCTCCGGCGTCCAGGCGCATCTCTTCCACCTGCTGCGGCACTTTGTCACGAAGCATACCGATATCCGAGACCAACTGGCCAAGTCCTCGCGCAAGGGCATGCCAGGCTACGAAGCGGTCCTGTCCGCCGTCGAGCGGACGGTCGCCAGGGGTCTTGTCGAGTACGAGCGTACAGACGGACAGAGCTGGGCAGACGAGGTGAAGGCGCTGTACGAGCAGGACGACGGCGTGGAGGGCGAGAGCTCGGTGGCGACGATGAAGAGGTGCAAACGACCGTGGTGGGTTGTCCAGCCCATTGTGCGGCCGCTGCCGAGCGAGGCGTTGAAAAAGGGGGCGATCCGACCCAGCAAGAAGGAGATGAAAGTCGAGGGCACTCCTAAGGAGACGAAGCAGCCTGCTGTGGTGAACGTGGCCACGTCAGGGGAGACGACTGCGGATACGACCCCGAAGCCTGCCGACGCTGCTGTCGCGGAGGAGATCAAGAAGGACGGCGCAACTACGGAGCAAGAGAAGGATCTCGCTGCAAGAGACAAGCTGGTTGCTGGGTAATGTGATCTGGCAACAAGGGCACTGCCTTGGCTTGGGGAGTGACCTGAAGTGGAACGGACTCTATGAGAGACCCAGGTCTATGGTGCCGTGGGCATATCAGAGCCTTGAGCTTTGATTCCCTTCTGCAGGCTATGGCTGCTCTCTCTCATCTGACACTCTTGTCCGTCGGACTGTGCTCAGCGTCCAGCCTCAGTACCGCACACTGCTAAGCAATACATGCTGACAGCTACTTGCTGGTACCATTCTCCATCCTGTTTTCGATTTTTTCGAGTACGATTTCGTCTCCGTCTTCGTCTCGGCCTTCCTCCCCCGTTTCCTCCTCGTTCTCTCCCTCTTCACTTTGGGCCCACTGCATCGCCGACGTGCCTGCGGTGACTGCTGCAGCAGCGCCTTGGACAACGCCATTCACCGCGGCGAGACCGTAGCCACCGGCGCCCGCACTCTGCAGCGTCGCAAAAAAACCTTTGGCCGCTACCGCGCCGATGGAGCTATGCCAGGCAGCAGCAGTGGAACCTATGTAAGAACCAGGTCGTCAGTATCGTGGCCCAGAAGGGAAGGGCTTCGTGGGCTTACCAGCTGCGACCCCTGAAGCAGTGAAGCCGACGGCTCCTAGGACGAGAGCCACAAAGACGCCCGGAGCGACCATGGCAATGCCTCCGACAGTGTATAGTGCAGCCGTGCCTGGGTTTGCGGCGACGTAGGCCGCGGTCTGGACCGACGAGGTTAGATGGATGACAGGTTTCACAGGCGAGGATTGTGTACATACGTATTGGAAGGCTTGCTTGGTGGCGTTGATAGGGAACTGCATCTTGTGCGAAAAGAGAAGATACAAGGTAGGATCAAGAAGAGTGTAGAGGTTGGTGTGTGGTGATAAGAGAGAGAATAACAAGAGAAGAGTGAGCTTGATGCGCGTGGAAGAACCCTGCCCTCGTGCTCAGTCAGGGCTGGGCCGATCAGATGGTACTCACTGTGGCAGCACCGTAGCTCTCGCCGGCGGCACTCAAGGACTGGACTACGGACTCTCCATGTCAAGCAATGACTTGAGCACAAGGTGTCACAGGGTATAAGGGTGGGGGGTCTCACGCCTTATGCCATCATTGCTACACAACATAAGAGAGCGAGTGTGGCGTCACATCTTTTCTTGTCACAGGTGGCCATATGAGAAGAGTGCTAGGATGAGTTTGAGAAGACAATTGTGCCTTCATTGCCTCATGAGGTCTATCTCGGTGCCCATGATGTATTCCACAGACTACCATTGCCGTGATCTAGCCGATTAACGAGAATCGACCGCCTAAGCTGTGTAGTTCCGAAGATACGTGATGAACCCGCCGATGACAGCCACACCCGGACGAGCAAGTTCAAAATGAGATCGCCATAGCCGCCCGTGCCAAAGCCAATCATCCTTAGGATGGGGGTGTAGACCAGGCTTGAAAGGAAGAAGGACAGCACATCGAGAGCCACGGCAGTAGTAGGGTTGTTGACAATGATTTCGAGTAGCTGAGAAGACCATGTTAGTTTGGACTTTGTTTGCGGAGAGTTGAATCCTAACGAACCGTGCGGAGTGCGCCATACGCCCACCTGACGAGAGCTTCCATGTCGTGCAGATTCGTCGAGTTGGCCACGCTCGTCTGTGAGTGGTACGGAGCTTTTTGCGAGCAAAAGTTCGAATGGTGAATGTTTTGCGTGGGAATGGCTGATCTCTTTGCTGAGGAGTGATGGTTGAGGGGATCATAGGTGAAGGCGAAGGTGAAGCTCAAGATCAAGGTCAAGGTCAAGGCGACCCCGAACATGTGAGATCACTCTGAGCTGACCGTCGGTGCCCTTGTGAGGCTGTTGGCCAGGAATCGCATTCACTGTGACAAGCGCCTGCGTCTTGTTTGGACCAACCAACAGAGCACCAAGCGGGAGAATTGCCTCAACCATTAAGGCATGATGGGGACCAACTTTTCTTCCCACCCAAAGGCAAGCTTTCATAGCTTCACAGCAGTCAGTCTGCCTGCCTGTCTTTACGCGTTTGATCCAGTTAGGCTGACCCAACATCAGGGCGTGGGAAAGATGCTCTGGAACGTTATGTTCTCGCCCCCCAGAAACGTGCTCCAGTCCAGCTCGGCCAGCTGGTCGTCGTACCAGCCAAACAAATCAAGACTGCCGGTGCCCGAGGGCGTCGAAAAGGCACCCTCGTAGTCCGCCGTCATCGCCTCGTACAGCGCGGAGATGATGTCGGGCGAGTGATCCGTCGCCTTCATCCAGGGCCGCATCTCGGCAAACGTCTCGAGGGCCTTGCCCAGGTTGGCGCGCCAGACGGCGGTGCTGTCCACGGCAGAGGTGGGCATGTTCTTGTCGACGGCCAGCGCGAGCAGGGGCGCCATGCACGCTTGGAAGAGGTACCAGTTGGCGTTCCACACGTGGAAGCGGTTGGGCGTCCAGTAGAGGGCGATGGCGTCAATGGTCTGGCTCGCGACGCTGCAGCACTCGTTGAGCAGGTGCCGCGACTCGGGCGTCAGCTCGCTGAGGTTCTGCCGGTGGCCGTTGGCAATGTAGAGGAACGACGAGCGCGTCAGCAACATCCGCGCGTTGAGGTAGCGCGTGCGCATAAACTCGCGCGCGGCGAGGAACCGCGGCGGCGAGAGCGTCGGGTCCGTCAGCGTCGGCGGCACCGTCTGGTACCAGGTGACGAGCTCCGTGTCAAAGTCCATGACCTCCTGCGTCGAGAGCCGCCCGGAGCGCGCGAACCGCTGCTGCATGCGGTCGCAAATGAGGCAAAACTCGGAGCTGACCTGCAGGGAGATGGTCATGTAGTCGTCCGGGGACGACGCGGTGGGGAAGAGCGTGTCCATGGTGCTGCTGTCCCATCGACCGCACGTCGGCCGGCCCTGGGTCATGGCACCCCATGTGTCGAGGCAGAAGAGACTCCACCACGTCCGCCTCCTCGTCTCGACCTTGCGCTGGTGCCACGCTGCCTCCTCCATGCTCTGAAAGTTGGGACGCCGCCTGGGCTCGCGATGCAGACCGAGTGCAATGGCCACCCGATGGGCCGCACCGAGCACGCTGTATGCCATGTTGGGGGAGTTGCGATAATGCAAATAGTACCCTCCCAGGAGGCACAGCGCCTGCAGGCTCTCGAGATTACCTGCCCCGAGGCTCTCGAGGCCAATGAAGGACCTCGCTTGACGGTAGTAGCCCTCGTGTAGACTGTCACTGCCAGAGGCGATGGACCCCAGGACAAAGACCATGTTGACGAGACCTTGCCAAGACGCATCTTGCCGCGTTCCCCTCGCAAATTCCTGGCGGAACTCTTCTTCATCTATAAAAGGCGTGATGGCATGGATGTGGTCAAAGTAAAAATCGATGCATCTTCGCTCCTTGAGACGGTTGAGAGCCGGGTCTCTCTCGAGAAAGGGGATGCCCGGCAGCGGCTGGCCCGGTATGGTGGACCACATCTTGGAGCACTGGGCCGTGTGCTCCTTGGCAGCGGGCCAGAGACGAAAGATGGCCCGGATGACGGCGCTCATCGAGGTCATGCCCAGATACGAGCGGACCTGGTCGTCGGTGACGAGGCCCATTGCGTTGACATCGTCGTGGGCGACGTTCCCTGGCTGGTCGGGCAGCTCCTCCCATCGGCGATCGGCAGGTGCGTCGCCATTCTCCGAGACGGCAGCCGAATCGCCCACGTCGGTGACGGAGGGGGGTCGGAGGAAGTGCGGGTGCGGGTGCGGGTGCGGGTGCGGGTGCGGATGCTGCTGTTGCTGCTGCGGGAGTAGATGGTGCTGCCCAGCACGCTGCCGGGGAGATGACGGCGTGACACCGCCGGGAGCGACGCCAAGCAGAGCCCGTAGTTCGTCCTCGCTCTTGACGGCAACCTCGTCTAGGCTCAGACCAGGGAAGAGAAAGGTGAGGATACGGGCCTGTGTCTGAAGCTGCTCCGTTACCTTGTCAAAGGTGCTGTGATGATGAGATCAGTCGGCTGCCCTCGAGGAGGACCAAGACAGGCTGGTTTGGATTTCTATCGGGTAGATTCATACCTTCTGCTCACGGCGTGACGCTTTGATCGCTGGCGATATACACAGGCATCCTGGCAGCGATACCGGACACAGCTGCGGCACGGCTCCGCCCCGTCACATTTGACCTTGCGTCTCGTGCACTCGAGACAGGAACGATTGACCTTGCGTCCTGCGGACGCGTTTGGTGGGCTCTGCGTGGTCTGCTGCTCACGTTTGGCGGACTGTGGGTGGGACTTGTTGTTGTTGTTGTTGGCCTGCTGCTGCTGAGGCGCTGGCGAGTCTGTCGAGTCGCTCATACTCGTGCGCACTACAATTTGCTCCATTGGAACAGGCCCATTGTTGGCTGCGCCCGTCGTCCGTGATACCAGGTCGACAAGAAAGGACTGGTCACTGGGGTTGAGTTGGGTTATGGACAGGAGATGGAGTGAGTGAGTGAGTGAGTGAGTTCGGGGTTGGCGTCCCGATTCTGAATCCGGGGGTGGGGAAATTGGGGGTGCTTGATGCATGGGCTAGCAGACAGTACCTGGAACTAAGAGACAGCAGCACATGTTCAGAAGTACCTGCACATAGCACTGCTAGCTACCCCAGCAGACGCCTGGGGACGGGGCGATTTTCGCCTCCAACAAATTGAATCCTGTCTCAGGCATATGCGTCCATGTCTCTTCATCAGCACGTGCATCTTGCACGCAGAGCCAAGCATCAATTGGGAAGCTTGGCACTCAGCTTTCTTCAATTTCGTGGAAGCTCACAGATTCAGCTGAGCCACGTCTACTTCTTCCAGCACCTCTCTCTCCACCTCTTCCAGCGCTGCAGGCCCATCGTACAATTGCGCGTCAAGAGCACTCGTGTTCACCTTCAATGGGAGAAGCAAAGTCAGCTGATGGTCCAGGCCGTCGCTCAACAGCTATTGAGTGACTTACATGTCGGGGTCCCAGATCAGATACGCATTGGGCGCCCAGCAAGCGCAGCGCTGTAGTCGTCTCGTCAATCAGGACTGTTAAATACATGTCAGCGCGGTCCAACTCATTGTCACAGATAGGAATGGGCCAAATTTACTCTCAAGGGTCCTCTCTACGCCTGCTTGACCTCCCACCGCGAGGCCAAAGAGTGGCGCCCTCCCGATTCCTACGGCTTTGGCCCCAAGCGCGAGTGCCTTGGCCACGGATGTGCCTCTCTTGATGCCGCCATCTATCAACACGTCTATCCTGTCCAGGACCTGCGGACAAAACTTTCTAATCTCCATCAGGACCTGGATCGGAGGGGAGACGGTATCTAGCGCCCGGCCCCCGTGGTTAGACAGGATGATGCCCTTGACGGAAGGGAAGAGTGTCGCCGCGTACGCATCCTCGTACGTCTGGATGCCCTTGAGGATAATGGGCAGCTCCGTTTGCGTCTGCAGCCAGGCCAGCGTCTTCCGCCAGGTCAGGTTGCTCTCCGTGCCCCACGCCTGAGGCGGCGCCTCGGACGCAGTCTTGCTCGCTTTGGCGCGCGCCTCCGCATTCTTGAAGCGGACCTCGGCCTCTCGCTTGCCGGGAAACGGCGCGTCGACCGTCAAGACGAGGAACGAGACCTGCGGCACCTCCTTCAGCAAGGCGAGCTCGCGCTTCGTCTCGGCAATGTCCTTGAGGATGTACAGCTGCCACCCAAAGACGGCATCTGGACCAGCCTGGATAATCTCCTTCAGCGGCTGGCCAGCATTCTTGCTGATGATCTGTAGCGTCTTGTACTTGGAGCAGGCCCCCGCGATGCCCCTCTCCCCGTCCTCGTGGGCCAGCGTGGCCAAGGCGGCGGGCGACACGAACACGGGTGCCGCGAGTCTGTGTCCAAGCACTGTGGTCGACAAATCACAGCGTGTGCAATCGACGAGCACGCGTGGCCGGAGCTGGATCGAGCGGTATACGTTCCCATTCTCCTCCTTGGTGATGCTGTCGTCTGTGGCCGACACGTAGTAGCTGATCGCCTTTTGGGACATTCGGCCCATGGCAAGGCTCTGCATTCCGCCGAGGCTGAGGATGTCGGACATGTTGGTGCCATCCTGGTGTGCCATGTTGGGCAGCCGTTTGCCGTACTTCGTAGTTAGCAAGAGGGGAGTGTTCCTCACCAGCAAGCCCTTATCGGTACGCTCAGTTGGAGACAAGGTCAAGCACCACGCAGCAAGTATATGTATGGCATGCCCGGCCCTCGCTTCCCCTCATCTGCTTGCAGCTGATGCATTGATCGACGTGGGGTTGGAGCCTGTCGAAAAAGGGGTCGTCGGCCATGCGGCGCTTCTAACTTCCGGATCTCGCCCAAGTATCACCACGGGAATACATGTATCCTTGCGGGACCCTCACATGGCATCCAGCGTATCCACCTGCCCAGACGACATTCAGCCTTAGAGGTCGACACTTCAGGGACCCTGTCAGGGTCAAATCCCCTCAGTTCATGCCGGTGGTCACTGGTGGTGAACAACTGGCGATGTGGGGTACATGGAAGAGGATCATCAACAAACGGCCTTTGTAACTCCAGTCCTGAGCGAAGCCCGTCGTCAGCAGTCACAGAGAATGACTGTGACGTGTCGTGTTAGGCTTCTTGCTATTTATTCAGTCCCATCCTCCTCGAACGCATGAATGTGATCTGGTGCCACTGCCTGACAGCTACTCGACATATACAATGGCCTCCACACGATCCAAGCTGAGCCATGGCTGGACCTTTCGCCAGCAAGACAGCCAATCCGAGGACTGGCTCTACATCCAGAGGGTACCGACTCAGGTGCACATTGACCTGCTCGCTCACGGAAAGTATGCTCCTTCGTCATCCCACTGAGCGATCCGTGGCTGACACACCCCTCAAAGAATACCCGACCCCTTTGAAGACCTCAATGAGCGCGCGGTGCAATGGGTAGGGGAAAAGTCATGGATCTACAGAACAAGTTTCGAAACGCCCGAGAACCATGCGCGCCACAGACACCATGATCTCGTGTTCGAAGGCCTCGACACCTTTGCCACCGTCTTTCTCAATGGCACGGAGATCCTCAAGGCAGACAACATGTTCGTTTCGTACCGGGTCGATGTGGCCCAGCATCTCAAGCCATCTGGCGCCAACGACTTGGAGATCGTCTTTGAATCAGCCTTTCTCAAGGGACGTGAGCTTGTCAAGCAACACAGCCATGAGCACAACTTTCTCGTGCGGCAGACAGACGTTGGCCGGCTGCCTACGAGAAAGGCCCAATACAACTGGGGCTGGGACTGGGGCCCGATCCTGATGACCGCAGGACCCTGGAAGCCGGTCTTCCTCGACTCCTACAATGTCAGGGTCCAGGATGTCTGGGCTCGATACGAACTCAGCAACGACCTGGCGCACTGTTCCGGCTCCATCGTAGTGGACGTTGCAGGCAATCTTGCACCAGAGGACGAGATACACCTGGGTATCTACAATGGCGACACAACCGTCTTCGAGACAAAGGTCTCCTCTGGGAAAGCTGGCGCGATCGAGGCCCCCTTTACCATAGACAAGCCCAACCTGTGGTATCCCCTAGGCTACGGCGCACCCTCTCGACACCTGCTGAAGGCAACAGTCCTCAGAAAAGACCAAGGGGGAGCGGCGGCTGCCTCCCTGTCCAAGTCGATCGGCTTCCGTCGTGCTGAGCTGGCTCAAGAAGCAGACGCCCATGGCAAGTCCTTCTACTTCCGCATCAACAACATCGATGTCTTCTGCGGTGGTGCGTGCTGGATCCCCACGGACAGTTTCCAAGCGCAGATCCCCGAGAAGCGCCTGCGCGATTGGGTGGCCCTCATGGCCGAAAGCAACCAGGTCATGCTGCGCATCTGGGGCGGCGGCGTCTACGAGCACGACGCACTGCTCGACGCGTGTGACGAGCTAGGCATCATGATCCTCCACGATTTCCAGTTCGCCTGCGGCAGCTACCCAGCCTACGACGCCTTCCTGCAGACCTTTGAGGTGGAGGCTCGCCAGAACATTCGTCGCCTTCGGACGCATCCGTCCGTCGTCGCCTGGGCGGGCAACAATGAGGACTACCAGGTCCAGGAGAAGTACAAGCTCGAGTACGACTATGAGAACAAGGACCCGGCGGCATGGCGCACGTCAAGCTTCCCCGCGAGGTACATCTACGAGCACCTCATCCCCCAGATTCTCAGCGAGGAAGACCCTCACGTCATCTACCACCCCAGTAGTCCATGGGGAGATGGCAAACACACCACGGACCCAACAGTGGGCGACATTCACCAGTGGAATCGTAGGTCGTCCTGGTTAAACCTTTCGAGCCATGGAAGAAACCCTGCTGACTATAGCACAGTATGGCACGGTGCCATGCACAAATATCAAGAAGTCGACCTGCTCGGCGGCCGCTTCGTCAGCGAGTTCGGCATGGAAGCCTTCCCGCACCTCGACACCCTCCACCGCATGGTCACCGACCCCGATCAGAGGTTCCCCGGCTCCATGGCCATGGACGCCCACAACAAGGCCATCGGCCACGAGCGACGCATGATGGCCTACGTCGTCGACAACTTCCGCCTGCCCCCGGCCTTCAGCCTCGCCGCGTACGCACACCTCACGCAGATGGTGCAGGCCGAGACGATGCGCTACGCGTACAAGATCTGGCGGCGGGACTGGCAGGGTCGAAAGTGCGGCGGCGTCCTCGTCTGGCAGCTGAACGACTGCTGGCCCACCATCTCCTGGGCCGTCGTGGACTACTACCTCGTCCGCAAGCCGGCCTTTTACGCCATCGCCCGGGCGCTGCAGCCGCTCGATGTCACCGTGATGCGGAAGATGGTTGACTGGACGCAGACGGGCGACTGGGTCGATGAGAACTCCGCGCTCAAGACGGGCCAGGTGGACCAGACTCTCCACGCCAAGGAGGGTGTTTTTGACGTGTGGATCGCGAGCAGCAAGATCGAGCCCGTCGATGGGCAGGTTCAGCTGCGCTTCATCTCCATTGCCACGGGCCAAGAGATCCGCGAGGGTATCACCCAGAGTATCACGGCAGCACCAAACACGACCACGACGGTTCTCGATCAGCAAATGGCGCCTGCCGCGATCCCTGACTCCGACGATCCAACCAAGCCCTTTGACATGTCGGCATACGATCCGTACGTGATGCATGCTGTGCTCAAGGTAGGAGACCAGGTCGTCGCCTCGGACGTGGCCTGGCCCGAGCCCATCAAATTCCTCGACCTATCCAAGCGAGACATCACATTCGACGTGACCTCCTCGTCGCGGGTGACCATCAGGGTCGTGAAACCTGTAAAGGGTTTTGTCTTCGAGGAAAAACCCGACGTCAAGCTCGATGACAATGGCTTCGATCTTGTCCCGGGGGCGGACAAGGTCGTCACTGTCGAGGGAATGGACGCAAAGGATCTGAAGTACACGTTTGTCGGTGCAACAGGAGCGTCACTGAGTGTATCTGACGATTAGAGATAAAAAGCAGGTAGTCAAATGCATGCCTCCACTATCGAGTTTAGTCTTGCAAGAAACGCCAATGATGCATTGAACTCCGACCGCTGGTGAAGAATCGTTCTGGTATCCGTGACCCTAAACTGACGTACAATATACCTTCCAGTGGTTGCAGCGTCAACCCTGACCCCCCTCTCAAAACCAAAATACACACTGAGATAAAGACAAGACTCTACGCCCTGACCGCGCGTCTCTTGCGTGGAGGCGGCGAGGCAGATCGTGACTCGGACCGCCCTCGTCGTCGGTTACGTGGCGGCGACGGCGAATGTGTGTATGACCTCCCTCGATCGCCTGCTTTGCGAGGCAGAGGTGATCGAGACCTGGAGTACGACCGGTCGCGCGCCGGACCCGCAGCCTTGCGAGGGGCGGGCGAGCGGGATCGCGACAATGACCTCGATCCTGAGCGTGAGCGCGAGTACGATCGCGACAAAGTCGATCGCTTTCTCCTGCGATCACGGGGCGGCGTCGGCGACCGCGAGAGAGACCGCCCTCGGGCAGCAGGCCTGTCGCGCGGCGGTGAAGAGGAGCCTCTGTACGACCGCGGGCGTCGTTGGTTTCGAGGGGGAGGTGACCGCGAATATGACCTGTCGCGGCTGTCGCTTCTTCGTGAGACTGGGGAGCGAGAACGGGAGAGCGAACGTGACCGGCTCAGCGAGCGGGACCCCGAGTATGATGAACCTGAACGACTCCTACGTCGCCCGCGAGGCGAGGCCGACCTCGAGTAGGATCGTCCACGATCAATGGCCCGACGCGGCGTACGTGAGCGTGATCTCGAGCGCGAGTATGACGACCCAGTGTATGAAGAATAGCTCGACACAGACTCGGAATCTGAATGGTCGGCGGGAGGAGCGGGAAGCGCCGGCTTCGGCATGTTCTGCAGATGCTCACGCATCTCTTCTGTGAGGGCTCCCATACCGATGCTGGTAAAGTAGTTGATGGAGAACCGTATGTTGCGGGGGTTGTCGCGTGGGAACAGGCCCTCGAGCAGAGGCCGCAGTGTCGGGTCGTTCATCCTCTCTTTGAGCTTCGGCATGCCGAGTTCCTCGACAATGTGCTGAAACAGGATCTTGACGAAGATGCGGCTGCTGGACGTTGTCTCATCCTCGTTCATGTGGATGGCCGACATGGCGTGCCAGCCTAGCGCGTCGACCCCAAACATGTGACCAAAGAGCATGGCAATGTTCCGCAGCTTGTTGTTCTCATAACGGTGGATGGTCTCGTAGTACTTGACAAAGGCCTGCTCGAATAGATCGCACCAGAGCCGGTTGATCTTGGCGAAACGCTCTCCGATCAGGCCAAAGAACTTTGTGTATGTCTTCTCCTGCGAACAACACTCCACAATCATGGAAGGGAGCTCGGGCTCCTGGCCAGCTGGCAGGTTGATCTTCATGAGCTTGTGCACCGCCTCCTCGGGATCAGCGCTCGACATGATAGTGAGGTAGATTGTCCTGCGGAGGTTGACCAGGTCCGCGTTCGACTGATCCTTAATCTCCATGGCCTTCTGTTCTTGGTCCTCCTCGTCCTCGGAACTTTCGTCGCTTTCGTCATCGCCTTCCTCATCGTCGTCGTAATCGCTGCCCTCGCCGAGAATCTCGGCCTTGAGCTTCTTGTACGCCTCTTCATTTTCCTCGTAATCGGGATCAAACTTGAAGATGTTGAGTGTGTCCTGCACTTCCAGCTCGCCGTCCAGGTCCACGCGATGCGTGATCTGATCCTCCTCCTCGACTAGGTCCAGCTCCTCCTTGATGGCTGGGTTATCCTTGAATTTGTCCTTGCGCACCTGGAACAAGACCTCAATCATGTACTGCGTTCGTGGCTGAATGTCGGCTTCGTGGAGGATATTTCTGAACTGGTCGAAAACGACCATGGAGATGGACGGCTGCATCTCCTCCAGATACTGCCCAACCTCTCGACAGAACCCCACCGCAATCTCAACACTGTCGTCTGAGGGCTTGTTCAATAGGAGAAGAAGGATCTGCCCCGCCAGCATCTCGTGTTGCACCTGCTGATTGATGAGGTGCGCAATGAACGTCGTCGAGGAAAGGCAGACGGCTTTGTCGTTTCGTCGGAAACCCTTGCGGAACTGCATGATCAAGCGCTTGATGAGCAGCTCGCCAACTTGAGGTAGCTTTGTGTTGACAATGGCCGCCATGGCTGCGTAGATGGGCGTGAACGGCAGACTCGCAGCCTGTGCCTTCATGATGGACCGACAAAACAGTCCGCGACCTCGGATCAGATTCTCGCCGAATAGCTCGGGCACAATGTACTTGATATTTGCCGTGTTGACTTTGTTTATCAGACCGTTGATACTCTTCTTCAAGGCTTCCCACGCCATGCGCTGATATTCCTTGCTCGTCTTGTCCGTGATTTGCGACTGAAGGGCCCTCAGACGGGCTGGCGGAATGTAAGTGCCGCCGGAGCGCATGTTGATGAGCTTGTCATATTCAGCCTTTGCTATCGCCTGCTTCTCCTCTTCGGTCTTGGGCGGGGGGGGCGTGCGCGCACGCGGAGGCGAGGGTCGGTACGAGTCGCCGCCATCGCGCTGTGGTCGTCCCTCGCGACGAGGTATGCCGACCTCGGCCGACGCCATCATTCGTAGAATCTCTGGCGCTGGATGTGGGTATGTGATTCGCAATCAAACAATGGTCGACACCTCGAGCGTTTGCGACGCCTTGAGTCGAAGGTATGAGTTGGTCAGGTGTGGGCTCAGTTCTGAGGCTGGGAAAGAAATCTCAGTGCACGGGCCACTTTCAGCTTCAGCCACGCGTGCGCCACAGCACCAGGTAACAGAATTGATGACTAATCATTGCTAGGCGCGTCAACCCACCACGCGCCTTCCCCGGCAATCGACAACTCAACCAAACCCCTTGCAGCTGCTTGAAGCTTGCCAACATCGCGAGTCCCCTCCACTCCCACGTCACATCCCCTCCTCCCGATTCTTTCTACCAGCGCATAAAGATGGTCAGTGAAGCTGTGCCCAGTTCTTTCTTGGACATCTACTGACTCTATTCCAGTTGGGCAAACTCGTCGGCCTCGCCATGCTCCTGGCCGCCTCCTTTGTCTTCCTCTACTACTCCATCTGGACACTTTTGATGGTACCTACTCCCACCGCCACCGACCTCACGCACGGTGCGAGACATTTCGCTGACCGCACAACAGCCCTTTGTCGACGACGATCACCCGCTACAGAACTTCTTCCCTCCCCGCGTCTGGGCCATTCGCATCCCCGTGATCCTCATTCTCCTCGGGTCCGCTGTTGTTGGCTCCTTCCTTAGCGTCGTCATGATCCGCAGTAACAGGAAGAAGGCTGCTAAGGCCAAGGCGGCCTCAAAGAAGAAGGCGTAAATCAGTTTGGCGGATCTGCGGCGCAAAACTACAGCTTCTAAAACGGGCGTCAACGCGCTCAGGGGCGACGAAGACATGTTGCAAATCCCATGTCCGGAGGAAAAATTATTAAATACTCCTGGTAGCTATCAGCAAATCCAAACTCTCAACAAGTCCGGACGGCTCAGTTCAAAACACTGCATGTTGAAATGTGGGTATATGTGTGTCTATCTATTGGGATCCCCCGGGATCCCAGGAGGGCTATCTGAAGAATGAGGACTCCTTATGATCAGCTCAAGACGAGGATTAATGACAGACGCCAACATAGTTCCTAACACGACGCAAAATCCTTGCATGGACCAAATGCATTCCAACAACTCCTAGACCGGGAACGTAAGAGCGTTATATTCCAACGATTGACAGCAGGCAATTATCAAACTCTCTGGTCGGCAAAATCCAATACCTCGCAGTCGTCTTCGAAAAAGCCATCGCCGTCTTGATCTCCGTTTCGGGGTCCGCGGCGTTTGCGAGTAGTTACGACAATCTGCTCGTGGTCACCGTACTGCAATGTGCGCTCCATGGCAGACGGTGGCAATGCCAGATCGCCCGGTTCGCCATCATCGTCCAGTGCCAACCTCGGTCCAATGTGTAGATTGGTCGCCGGAACATCCTGGCCAAAAGCCCATGCGCCGTTCGATTCGAGCACTTGCTGGTTTTGTTGTCGTGGCTTCTTTTTCTTGGAGGGCTTTGCCTCAAGGCTGGTAGCCTCAAGCCCATTCACCAAAGTCTGCTCATCTTGGCCACCATGAGGGGGCCTGATAAGTTCGCAAAGAGTGACTCGTCGGTCGGTGTGGAATGGCTGGTAAGGGGCGCTTGATTCAATCTCGGCTTGCGGGATGTAGAAGGCTGGCCCAGGGCCAATAGACGCCTTTTGTCGAGCGTGGTTTAGAGTCAAAGTGTTGTTGCCTGCTTCCATATCCCGATCAGTCATATCAAGAACCTCTTCTTCCGTGCCGGACTCGAGAATCTGTCGCACGGCTGAAGCGATGATGTCGTCGGGTAGCAAAGGTACCTTGAAGTCTTGGTTGCGACTCGACCCAGCTCCGCGATGGGTTGACATGCGTTTCTGCTTGGATGGAAAGGTTCGGACCAGCCCATCGCCCAGTGCGAACAGGCTGTGTGACTTGCGCCCTCGCATCCATTCAACACAGGCGGCTGCTGGTGAGGTGGAGCTTGGCGGCACTGCAACACGATTTTCTCCGGCATGACGGAAGTGGTTGATAGCCGTTCCCGTCTTGCCTAGGGAATGTGTTATCCCAGCAGCAATCACCCTCCCCCCATGGGCCGCTGTGTCCCTGAAGGTCGACGTAGGATTGATAGCACCAACGGGCGGGGTTGCGGCACTACCTCTCCGGGATCGGGCGACAAAGGGCATGGCTGCTGAATAGGCGGCGCCGAAAGCCCCGGTGGCCATTGAGACGGCTGAGTTATTTGCCTCCTTGGTGCCAGCATCTTTCTCTACATTGGGGACTCTCCGCCGGGGCGGTGGCCACATATGGGCACTGAAAGGCATCTCGAGCAGATGGACTGTACCTCGCTCGGTGACCATGGCCAAGCGCTCCCCGTGAGGCTCTGCCCAGGCAACATCTACGACCCGTGCGACTGTCATCCGCGAAAAATGCGCAATCTGTCTGATCAAGGGCCCGTTGCCTTCTTCGGGAGATATCGTCGATTGCAAAGGCGAGTATTTCGTGTGCTGGATGCGGAGTAGGTCCCAGACGTTCTGGACATCACCCTTACTGCTCGCAGTGAAGAGGGCTGTTGACGAAGGCGAAAAGGACAGAAAACTGCAGCCTTGCGGGGGGGCAAAGCTGGTGATCGGTACTACCGATGCGGATGTCGACATGGAATGCAGATCAACAATAGAGACTAGACCGGGCTCTTTTGATGAAGGTCGCACAGGCGTGCCGTGAGTTGGAGGAAACAAGCCAGGGGAGCCTTGAGCTGGCAAGTGTTGTGCTTGTGGCTGCAGATCGGTTGGCTTGTTCCAATATGTGTTCCACGCTTGCAGCCCTTGTTGACCAACCCATTTTGCCCCTGAAATCAGTTCTTGCGTCGTGTCCCGCATGAGTTTGTTCACGAAACTATCAGAGATCAAATCGACTGATGCCGTAATGAGGGGAACATGCGGCGCCAACAGGTCCTTGAGTCCCGCGGCGCGTCCCAGAATTGGCACCGTGATGTGCGCTTGAAGTGCTGGGGGAGACGAGCCCGAGGTGGGAGGGCAGTACGCAAGCCACCGTCCGTTGAGTGCAAAGATGGGTGCTGGCGCGCTCGGCCTTGCAGATTTGGTTGATGATGAAGCCTGTTGCTCATTTTCCTTGGGGATGTCGCCTCGGGGGCCGTGTTGCAGAGTTGTCCAGACCTTCCCAACACACGCAAACAAGTGGCTGTTTTGGTCAGCGGAGAGTTGGGTGTAAATCCAGCACTCGCCGCTCGCTCCAGAGCAGATTGCAATGTTCCCTGCCTCGGCCTTGATCGTGAGTGAGCCTGTTGGAGCAGGTGGCTGAAATGCCGGGCTGGTCAAAGCAATGGCGGTGTTGATCGGTACAGGAGGTAGAGTCATGAGTGTCTCGATCAGTTTACTAGTTTTGAGGGAGTAAACCTGCACTGTTGTCCGGTAAGAATCGACCTCGTTCTTGCGCTGAGCACCAGACGCCGCTTCGCTCTTGTCGTCGTGGTTGAGCGCGGTTGGTAAGACTGGTCCGTGTAGTACAACTGCGATTAGCGGGTAGACGTCCCCCGTTTCATCAGTCGTGGACCATGGGAGAATCTTGGCGTGGAATACGCCGCCGTGAAGTCCTTTTAACCCGCCCAGGCAGTCCAGCCCTTTCTTGTTCACAGCATAGACGTCCAGGCCGCCCTCGTAACCAGCCAGGACAACATGAGGGCTTGGTTTGCCATTAGCGGCCACATCTGGCCACCGGTCGAACCCGAAGTAGTATCCACGCTCGCTCGCCTTGATGCCAGATCGCGGTGTGATTGTCAGGTCAAGATCAGAGGCACCGTACAAATGCGCCTGTTGATGTGGTTGTGGAGCAGCCATAGCGCTGAATCGTGGTTGAGACAGTTGAGACTGCAGGGAGCTCCGTCTGGGCGCACCTGGAGAAGCCCTGGGCATGGAACCAGGCGGCTGATAATGTTGCTCCACGTTGTAGCTCATAGGTCTGCGGAAAGTGTGTGGCGGCGATGGTGAAGCAGGAGAAGAGCTCACAAAGGCCCTTTGGTCGGGCCATCCAGGTTGTGCACGGCCTGGGGCGTCCTCGTATGAGGACGGCATCGTAGGGGGTGAATCGCCCATAAAGTTGATCAGATTGCCCGGCGATCCAGCAAAGGCGCCGGAGCGCGCCCACTCGTGTGTCATGCTGGGGGCAGTGCTTGCGGAAACCGACACGTTGGATATGGCATCCAGCAGAGGCGAGGGTGCGGTTTGGACATTGTCAAGCACGGTTGCTTTGATGTCGGGTGTATTGATGGGGGGCGTAGATTCGTTCGAGTTTGGACCGCTCTTGACAGGCTGATTGTTACTGCTGCTGTTGTCGCTGCCACCACCGTTCCTGCTGATGACACCCGTTAGCTGCTGTTATGATCGGTGTTGAGTCACGCGGAGCGGGCGAGGGATGACCGGAAGACTCACGAGAACTTGCCAGCCGCTTGATGGGTCACCGCTGCAGCGACGCTGCCGCCATGTTCTTTGGCATGCTTCTTATCCTTTTCTGTAGCGAAGGTCAGTTGGACTGTATTCGTCTGGATATGGCCCTTGGGCACCGGATCTGGATAGCGCCAGGGTCCAGTTCGGATCGACCCTGGCGGGGCAGCACGCAGGCATCATGAGGGGCAATTGACGTACTAGGCATTCAAAAGGTATTGTTTGTAGATGAGGACGGAGCAGTCCTGCTGCTCCTGCGCTGCCGCGAAAGGCCAGGGAGGTCGAGACGACACGCAGGAGAGTGATGAGCTATTCAGGCCAACTGGTGGCGGCTGGGGGCGTCGGAGGATCGGGTGTACGAGTAGAGCGCGTCGCGAGGGGCGGCACGGCCGCGGCAGATGTATCTAAGTTGCCCTTGGATGGTCGGTCTTGCTTGATGAAGACCGGGTCATGAATCGATGCTCGGAAAGAAGAGGTACCTTAGACAGCTTTGGATGAACAATAAGGTGCGTGAGATGACACAGTAGAGGCTGGGTCTAGTCGTATGAAGTCAGGTCAACTGATGGGGCAGCACGCGGCGTTGGTGAGGTGAGGTAAGAGGTCAGGTAAGGTACGTGCCATGCATTATCGCACGCGTCTCGGTACCTTGCTGGAAGTACCTGTACTAGCGCTGGTCTGCTGATACAAGGTCATGTACGGGCGGTGCGGTGGCCCTGCTGAGCTGCCCACCCCCGCCGGTTGAGACCGGACTGGGCTGGACTGACAGCCGCTTCCAGCGCCAGCGGTTCTCAATGCGGGGGTTGGAGGGGGATGAGGGAGGGGGGTGCATGAGGCACTAGTCCGTTCTTGGCGATCGTAGCGCCATCAATAGTGACAACGTGCGGACAACATCACCCCAATTATCCAATTATCCAAGCTTCATGTCGCAAACCCGTGCGCAATCAGGAGTACAGTACTTCCGTAGATGGGCCGTGACATGGAAGAGATACTTAAACTCGACCAGCCACTGGCAGCTTGCACTAGTTCACCGGATATCGTCTCTACAGGAACGTCTTTGCAAGCCGGTGGTTGTCCCATCCAATCAACATGGCACCGGGGCAGACTAAAGCGGCGAGCGCTCAGCTCCAGGAAAGGAAAGCGAGGCACTTGACGTCCGTTCTGAGGGCGGTTTTACCCGTCTGATGAGTTGATGGATCTAATATCTACTTATCGACAGAGTCGCAGGTAGATAAGATGATAACGCAAGGTACCATCGACGGGCGACCATCGATCAGCAGTAGCAGAATACGTGCATAGACTCATCGCTATCGTCAATCATGAGCAGCAGCAGAATTACCTTTGAATGTGTCAATTCATCTGGTCGGCGGAGAGCCCTTTCTAGACTGCCTATATGACCAGCATGCATCGGGTGTCATTGTACGGGGTACTCGCTGCCCACAGCCGCGTCTCGAGATCGCATCATCCACCCCACGTTCCAAGTTGGCAGGTCACCACGGGGATACGACGCCTGAAAGCTGACGTCCCTCTCTCCCTTGCGCTGGCGAATCCCTGTCATAATGAATGCAGTAAGAACTTATCACGCTCCGGCTGGAGCTGACTGGCCGGCGACAGGCCTGACGTAGGCCACGCCCATCGTGGGCCCTCCCCGTGATGCTGGTCATGTGCACCACACACACCTACCTCATCATCAGATCGAGTCTACCGTGTACCGCTCATCACTTGGTTTGCGCGTTCGTCTGAATGATGTCACACAAGAAGTCGACCGTTGCGTCGGGTCAACGTGAAGAAGTGAATAGTACAGCATGTTGTACAAGGTGAGGTTCTTTGTCAAGCCACGATACAGTAATCGTAGTCACACTCTAAGAAGGAAGGGCCCCCGATTCGGCCACGAATCTGGCCACAGCAGTGGCCTGGGACCCTCATCAGGTCATACATTGCAGTAATGGGAGCAATGCAAGTCGACACGTCGAGCCGTTGTAGATATGTGTTGCGTCGCGACAACACAACATGTCAGATCAAGAAGAGACGGAACCAAAGGGAGGTGGCGATGGAATCTGCCAGGCTTGGTCCAAGCCTAGCGTTTGAATTACCAAAGTCCCTTGAGGAGATCTCATTTCCCAGATAGATCTCGTCCCATGCCTGCCTTGGACTCCTATGCGTTCTCCAGCCAGGGGTGTACTCGTGCCAGTGATACTTCGACGACATCCTTCAACTTGCTGCCCCGGACGAGCCCTTATCTCTTCACTCCCCTGGCGCTCACCTCGCCCTTCTCGCCAATGTTCAGCATCTTCCGGCAGTCTGGACAGAACCACTTCGTCGTCCTCTTGGGTATATCTTCCTCTGTCAAGCCGACACACTCGAGATGGAACCACTCGTATCGGCAGCTCTATATGGCCGTCAGCTCTGTAACTCGTGCCTTGTCTGGGGCTTCTAAATCCCATCGGTGTCTTGCAACTTACATCATTATCGCACTGGATCATCTCGCCAAAACTGACGCGGTTGCACAGGCAGTAGCGAGGCTCCTCGGGGTCAATCGGGGTGCCCTCGTCATCGACCTCTTCCCAAAACTCCACCTCGGCAGCAGTATCGCCCTTCTTCTTGGTGGTGCGGACCTTCTTCTTCTTGGGCGCGGCCTTTCGCCTGCCCACCGCGGCGCTGCCTCCGCTGCTGTTGGTACTAACAATGCCAGGAGCAGGCCGCTTTGCGCGTCGGCTCGGGGGACGAGCTTCGGGCGCGGGCGTGTTGTGCGCGGTGCTGGCACGACGAGGACGATCAGCTGCGAGGGTGGGCTGTGGTTCTTGACTCAAAGCCTTGCCTCGCGAGCTTGGTCGACGGGTCGTAGCAGGTTCCACCCCCGGCGGAGGTGTCGCTGACTCTAATTTCGTGGCGGAAGCATTCTGGACGCGTGCGGACGATCGACTAGGTAGCTCGCGCACTGGTTGGACAACAGGTGCTGGTGCTTCTTCCTTCTCGGTGTTGCGCTTCGCTGCCTCGCCCCGAGTCTCTCGCTTGGTCGCGTCTCGTGATGGAGCCTCTCGTGCAGGTGCAGCGGGCGTCACGGCAGATCGGCGCCTGTCAGAAGACCGTGGCAACGGAACTGGCGTCTCTTTCCCTGTGCCCTTGGCTGCTGCGGCTGCCGCCGCAGCTGCTGCTCTTGTCTGGTTGGTCGTGGAAACGATACTGGGGGTCGGCGACTGCTGCGCACGAGCACTCGTAGAACTTCCTGATGCTTTCAACGGAACAGGGAGGGGAACCGGTGTCTCTGTAAAGGCCCCTCCCGTGCTAGTTGCTGGCGTGGGATGCCGCCTGTTCGTTGTGGCTTCTCTTGTCGCTGATGCTGGGGGCAGTCGCCCGATCTGAGGCGGAGGAACTGGTGTCTCTGTCTTGGTACGCTTGACGAGAGGCCTAGCTGATGGGGTTTCGTCTCCTTCGGGAGTCTCGCTCGTCGCATCGGCCTCAGCCTCTCTCTTGCGCTTGTTGACTGGCCTAGCACCAGATTGAGGCTGCGCTTTGCTTGACGCTCTGCCGGCGTCTTTGTTGGATGGCGTGTCTTGCGAGCTGCCCAAGAGCAACTGTGCCGTTGCCGTCATGCTGCGAGCTGTCTCCTCCGCTTCCTCCGCTGCAAGCCTCGCGAGCGCCTCTCGCTTGAGTCTCTTGGCCTCGTTGAGCTTCATGCCGCGGTTGCTGGTAGGAACCTCTTCGGCAGCGAGCGAGTCGGCACTGATAGCACCCGCAGGCAAATGCTGGCCCGTTGCTCCGTCCTGGGCAGGTAGTGGCGTAGGTATCGTGGGTTCAAAGGGCTTTCCCTCTTCCTCGGCCTTTCTCTTGGCCTCTCTGTACTCTTCGGGACCTCTTCCGAGAGCACTCAATTCCCGAGCAACCATTGTTTCGCTTGGCGTCCATGTCGCGTTCTTCTTCATGCGCTTGCGGAGCTTGGCGAGTTCAAAGTCCGTCAACTGCAGCCAGGGGGCGTCGGCACTGCCCACCACGGCATTTGGAGGTGGTGGGTTCTGCAGGGCAGCCTCATGCGCCTGAAGCTCGGCAGCTGTTGGTGCCACCGTCCGTGGTGTGGCCCGCGGCGGTCGGCTGCCGGTTTTTGGTGTCTTTCTCTCGGTAGCTGTGACGAGCTTGATCCGTGATACGGGTGCTGGCGTCCTGCGCGTACTTCCTACGGCAGCGTCGTCCTCGTCCTCAGAGCTCTCCGCGCTGCCATCCGTGGCAGTATCGTATTCAATGTCATACGGTGCTAGGACCTGGCCCGGCACAGTGATCTTGGGAATCTTTGGCTTCCGTCTCTGCCCTTCCTCGCCAGGTAATTTGGCAGCGCCCTTGTGCCGTGTCGCTTGTGGAGAACGCGACATGACTGGACTCTTGGGAATATCGGCTTCGGCAGGGTAGTTGTCCATCATGGTCTGTAGCTTGGCGAGCAAGGCCTTGGCTTTGTTGTAGTGTCGGTCAACGTGCTCGGACATTCTCACAGCCTCGGCATGGGCGATGGTGCGCGAGCTGAGCGCTTGGCTTAGTTGCTCTGATATGTCGGCTCGAAGCTTGACTGGTGAGGGTCGCTCGTTGACGGGAATCGTCGGTAGCTGTCCCCATTTCTTCGTCAGGTCGTGGATCTCGTGCGATGCGTCTATGTATCTCTGGTCCAGCTGCCCAATCAGTGCGAGAGAGCGCGTCATGTCGGACGGCAAGTACTCGGTGAAGTCGAGGAAGTCGGTAACAGTGGTATGCGCATCGGGGTCGGCGCGTGTTTCGCCATCTTCGCTGTTGTCGCCTTGCGCTGCATCTCGCCCTTGAGGCTGTGGTTCCAAGTCTGTCGCATCGCGCATTAGGGTGTCACCCCCTGGATCTGTTTGTGCAGCCATAGTTCGAGCTGGAGGCGCGATGCGCGATGTCGTCGCAATGTCTAGTTTCAGGGCGAACTGTTGGTCACGCTATCTCGCAGCCATCGACATCAACCGGCCTTCAAACAATGTGTCCGAGACTCAGATATCAGGTGCTCCCAGGCGCTTCATAAAGTACGACTGTGAAAGCTGCGCTCACTGGCATCGGGGATCATGGATCGCGTCGTCGCAAGTGACTGCTGCTTCACCGACGTCGCGGTGGGCCCGAGTCACAGGGACGCGACACTGACGGGGCGCCACAGTGTGGCGCATTAGGCACGTGGCTCAGCTCCTACAAAGGGCCAAGGGGCCAAATGAGGATCCGCCCAGCTTTCTCTCGGCTCTCGACTCCTTGAGGCACCCTCCAACAAGTTCCAACCTACAGACGTGCTAATGTTCTGATTTTCGTGCAAGTTTTGTTGCAGTGTTCTTTCAGGTCTACTCAATTGGTTCGAAGCCAAGCGATAGCTTGTGCGGGCTTTTTAGACCATCGTTGTCGACATGACACAGAAGCGCATGTCTCGTCAATTCGCCAACCCAGCATTTGTTGCTCCCGACAGCGCCAGACTACAGTCAGCCCAGACTGGAGCTGCCGCTACTGTCGGCACATTCTTTCAGCTCTCCCCTTCCGCCCGGCAGGTGCAGTCTGCTGAACACTGATGCACTGTATGCCATGCGTCTAGACGTCAGCAGGGCTGAAACGATCTGCTCAGGGCTGAACACACCCCGGACGACGACCATTGGCATTGTGACAGATCAACTGACCCACACACCTCACAGTCAACATGAACTTGACAGGCTGCAACAACGTCTGGACGTGTGTAGTATTACTTTATAATATTTGATGGTGCTTTGACAGCTGAAGTTTGGAAGGATTTGGCACATAGGGGCGTGCATACACGTACAATAATCGCAAACACAGTCTGCCTCAATAGTCCCAATCGGCTTCCTGTTCGCGTTGCATTTTCGCCCCAGCTACGTCCTCCTTCTCCTCGACGATATAGCTGGACTCGGGCCCAATGAGAGTCAGCGAGCCGAACACTAACAAGTTCTTGCATCTCCTGTGGCTCAAGTTAGCACTCAACGCCATGGGTGCGAGCATTGGCACTCACAGCTGGCCATTGATGGTCAGATTGCCGTATATTTCGAGATCAGTGCCCTCGAGAGTGCCGACTATCTTGAGCTTCCCAAAGCCCTTGATCTTTTCCCTGCATTCGTGGTGAGCAGGAATCGGTCGTCAAAGGGGTTCATCCTCACTGTGCTACAAGATATCCAGTAACCGCAATATTGCCATATGCCTTGATTCTCCCCCTGGGTCCGTTCAGCGTCATGCGTAACGGCAGCCACTCGTGGAAACCACTTACTCCGTGCTCACATTTCCATCCATGGTAATGGCGCCATATGCGTCAATCTTGTCTCGAACAATAAAGTCCCCACGAAAGGTGATGCTGCCCCCTGATTTGATGGATCCTGCCACCTCAAGGGGTCCCTGTAGTTCGAGCTCCGTCTCGCTCTTGATGCTTTTGGACTTTTGAAAGACTGCCTGGGAACTCGAGGCCGTCGAGCTGGGTGTATGGTATTGGGTACTCATGACTGCTCTGTGACCACTCGCAGCGCAATGTGCGGCAGAGTACGTCGTCCTACTGGACCTGGCGGGTGTTGACGGTGTGTTCTGGCGGTATGGTGCAAATGGCGCATAGGGATTATCTGGCACGATCGCTGCTTGACAGATGCTTCCCATCTTATACGTACGTCGCCAGTTGAGATCGATGTATCCAGGTCAGCGTCTTCCCAATGGGGCAACGTATTAGTTCCGCGACCAGCTGGGTCGTTATGCCCGGTTGAGACGAGGTGCACGGGAGGTGGTTGGTTCCAGACCAATGCGAATGGCTTGAGACCGTCTGTGGTCACTGTGCACAATGGTAGGTTACCAGTCTGCCGCGGCACAAATCCCCTCTTGACGCTGTCACCCGCTGCGTAACGCAGTGAAAAGGTCGAATCGGGTTGTCCGTCGTGATGCTTACGAGCCAAGCAGCTGAAGATTAGGCGGGTGGGCTGCGGGTGAGAAAACAAAATAGGTGTAGCTGGGTGACTTGATATTTCTCCAACATGTGGGCGGTTGAGAGGGGGGAAGACCATCAAATGGGGGGATCTCGAGTGCTCGGCGGCTCCAGTCCCTAGGCCTGGGAAGCATCGTCACTTCATATTCGGCGCGCAGCGGGACATGACAGCGGCTGGGATCGCGACTGGGGGGGGGCAATGAACAGGGGTACGGATGGCTTAGGTAGAAGCCGGGCGGGGACCCTGCAGTGTAATATGTAGTACCTGCTCGAATTGGTCAAGCAAGCTTGTGCGTCGTGTCAAATCGGCAGAGGATCTGGGTCTGATGCGTGCTTGGTGAGCTGTGGCTTCCATGTATCTATCTCGATCCAACTCTCCCCAAGTCAGTCTCTCGGTGGTGCTGTGGAACAAAATCTGTCTGCATACTACGTGTAATTACTATATAAAAGAGTCCCAACCTAAGGATGGTCAGGAAGACGGGCGATCACTCAATGGCAAGGTAGGGGCAGGTTTGAAAATCCACCGAAGACTGGAGTCAGAAAGTGTCAAAGTGAGCAAGCCTAAAAAATGAGTGGGTGACGGTCCACGGAAAATCATCCCAAGCACATGGGCCAGGGACTACGAAGTTAGCAGTGCCAGGGCCGAGGTGCTTAGATAGCCAATAGTATCTATCTATTACTCACTTATGACACTACTAAAGTATTATGATCTACGGATAGGCATATAATGTAGCGACTAGGGCCAGACAGGACTGATCGACCAGCAGGGTTTGACACGAGGTAATACACGAACATCCCACGCAGAACAATCTGCATCATCATTACATAGTGGACCTGCCTGTCATGCAGACATCCGCGCAGCACTAAATCATTAGCCTGGCTGATGATCCATTCATTCTTACCACGCTAAAAAGCGCCAGATTGTCACATTTCGGTTGTGTGGTTGCTCCATGTGCTTTGTGAAGTGCCAGTCCGGTCGAGTCGCGCCTCTCACCACCCAGATATTTAGTTCCCGTATTACCAACAGATCATGTATATATGAATGATATGGTATTGCACTACCACGCAATATTTAGTGCCCATAGCCATATCCACATCTATCCAAGAAGTACCGGCAATGAGTCTGCGGCTCCTGTAGTTGACGGACGTTTCACAACCCTGGCAGCTCGCAGAAACCAACGACGAGAGAGGTGCAGACGTCATGCTTCATATCGCCGACCAAATGACAGCTTGCATCATCAGGAGGTGGCAAATGCACCCACCGCATGTGCATTGCAGCGTGTTCCATGTGGTCCTAATAATAATGGCAACTCTCTGCCACGGTGCGATCTCCCTTCGCGGATCCAGGGCCCCCTACTGGCACAAATCAGTCACTACCTAGGTAGGGAATTCGAAGGGCATGATTCACAAAAAGATCGCCACTTTCATGTTATACTACACAGCAATCAAAAGGGTATTAGGATATACACAACATTCTCCGCGACTAGGCGCAGCAGTCCTGCCACTAGCCTATATGGAAACCACCACCAACAAACAGCGCCACTTGTACAAATGTGCAAGTACGGTCAAGTCTCAGCCGGTACTCCCGTTTTCCTGTCCGTCCATGCTCCCTCTTCCTGTACCACTGCGGGGCTCCACTGGCCGTACCCGAAAATCCGGCTCTGCGGAACACACAAGACCAGGTGAGGTTGACCATTCTCTCTGGCCTCAAAGCTCCCGTGCATCTGGGCTGGCTTACTCTGATCCGACGTACGCGAGGCCCAGACCTGAGCTCAGAACAGCGCTCACCCAGACGGCTGCATAGGTAGCAGCGCCTGTCGATGCGATGCCATACACAGTCATCGTACAGGCAAGGTAGGTGTTGAAAGCCGTCACGAACGCGGCCGTCGCGGTGCGGCGGACGATCACCTTGGTCTTGGCTGTGTAGCCAGCAATGTTCCACTCGACGGTTTCGCGCAGCGTCGCAGTGGCGGGGTCAAACTCGCCAATCTTCTCGTCCTCCTTGACCTTGTCGGTGGTGGCGAACGGCGCGTAGATAAAGTTGCTGGCCGCTGCGCCAAAGGCAAGTGCGACCGGCAGAATGGCGGCATAGGACGCAGAGTAGGCTGGCTCGAGAGTTGGGAGACCGGAGAAGTAGATGACGAGAATGCGGGGCAGCAGAAGACGAAGCGATAGCACAATGGTGACGGCGTAGATTCCAGTCGACAGAGCTGTCGTGTAGGCCTGGAGGCCAAAGCCAACAAGCTCGCGGTTGGGAAGCTTGGAGGATCCGGAATGAACAGCGGACAGGGGTCGTAGAAGATAGAATGGCACGGCGGCGGAAGTGATGTCGACCAAGAGTGAGAGCATGCCAGTCGAAGGGCTCAAACCGTAGAAAGCTGTCAAGAGATACAGCTACAGTTGTTAGCTAGAATTCAGCATAGGTAATTCATACCATGTACTCACAGAAGGCCCGTGCGACAAGAGGTCCATCGCCGCAACATCGATGCTGTCCATGTTACCAAACCAGCCCAGCGCCAGCTCGATGCTATCCAGCCAGTTAGCCAGTTCTTCTCATTGCGTTGCACGCGCGCACGACTTACAGTCTCCAACTGACCAAGATTCCGATCTCGCCCCAAGTGTCCTGGCTCCGGCTCACGCTCGCCAATTCTCCTTTGGTAAACTCCCCCAACAAGCTGTAGCCTGTGCTTGCGAGCGCGAAGCTCAACGTTGCAGCAAGCGGAAACTGCGCGTACGCGGGAAGTTTTGGTCTCCGGATCGTCATATCCGGATATGGATCGCGAAACTCTCCTTGAGAAGCCAGAGCATCTTTGACGTCCTCCTCAGCCTTGACAACCTTCTCGGTCGCAGTGCTGGCGGTGTCGAGGACAGTGTCCTTGGCTGCTTCGGCTTTCGCGCTGGCGGCGGCACGTCGCGGAGGCATGTTGCTGTGGTCGGACTTGGCTGCAATTGTTTCGGGAGCAATGTGGAAAGGATCGCAACAGAATAAGACTTTGGGGTGCGGTATGAACGATCCTTGGTGTGGTCGCGCGCGAGCAGGTGAAAAGCTGTAGCTGTAGGATTTCGGAGGAAAGAAGATCAGTGGGGTCGGGGGCGCGGTGACGTCTGATGCCCCGTCGGCTCGGCAACGACTGGACCAGACACGGCCAACAAGTTTCCGAACAAAGGAAGATTAAATAATACCTTAGTTATTCGTTCAACTGCTACATTCACCGTTTGTCAACTCAGAGATATACACGAAGATATCCGTCTGCATACAGGAGTCCCTGACGTGGTAAAGCCACCTCGACCAAACGAGAAGTGTCATTGTCATCTCGACCCAAACTATAACATCAAGCTCGCCACATTTTCACACGGTCGCATAGTATGTTATTCATGGTGTATTTATCATATTGTTTCGTCTCTCGTGAGAGGAAGACATGGCGTTCATGGCCGCTAATGGACCCTGAAGGGCTCCTATCCAAGACTAACAATTTACAGCACAGCGCTAAGAAGAAGAGACGTGGTTCTCCTCAATGACCCCCAGCATCACTATAAACAACATGCGCCCGGTTACCGATTGACGCCGATCATGCCCGTCGTGTTCGAATGAAGCGTATGCCCAGTTACGTTGCCTTGACGACTACCCAAATAATCCCATAGTGATGCGCCGATTGCTATATTATTCCTCCATGGACCCAAAAACGCCATCATCCTCGTCGTCGCTATGTGTTCGGGCTGGCGGATCGAAATCGTCGTCGTCATTGCCAGATTCGACATCACCACCCATCTTGACATCTTCACTGCCTCGCCTAAAGTCTCCGCGAGTGAAGCTCTCGGGGGCGCGGCTGGGGAAGCTACTCATGCCAAACGCACCGTTGCTGTTGAACGAGGTTGCTTGCCCAAGGTACTGTTCAGGGATACGTGGCACCGCGGGCGCATCAGTGAGAACCACACGGCCATTGCCGGCGACCCCGTTGCTGCTGCCGACACTGCAGCCCACCAACGCCTGCGCGAGGTCCCTGTCCTCTTGGTTCGTGTTGCCAACGCCTGCGGAGGGTGGGCGCGCATCACTAGGCTTGCGGGCATGGCCAAAAGCCATGCCATCGCCGTACAGAGGAGTTGACTGGTAGCTGCGAGAGAAGGTGCTAGAGCTGCGATAAGCCCGGGGAATTGAGTAGCCGCCCTCCACCGCGGGCGGTGGAGTGCTATCCACCGAGCTGTATCTCTCCGCTGGTTCCGAGTATTCGACCGAAGCCGCTGGCGACGCCGATTCGGGTTCGCTATTGTTATCCTGGGTGGATTCGGGTGGCGTGGCAGGCTTGTTGTCATGAGGCTTCTCGTTCATGCCAATCAGCACGGAGGCTGCTTCAAGCAGCTGAACCTGTTGGTGCTTCGAAATCTGGTACTTCGATGTCACGCTCCATTCGGGAGTGTGTTCCCACCTATCCAGTGAAGTCAACAATTCTGTTCTAGAAGATGTCTTCATCCCACACTGGCTAGGAGCTTGGGCGCCACAAGACGCTGGTCAGGAATCGGACGGGGGAGAAGGGTCACCCACAGGTGTTTCGTCAGGCAGCTGTGATGCTTGTACGCCTTGCCGCACTGCTGGCAGTTCAACTCGGCCTTGCCGGACTTCTTGGAAGACTGTCCTTCTGAGGCCCGCCTGGCTTTGGCCTTGGTGGCCTTGCCGGCAGCGGCGTCATCCGCAGACACGTCATTGCCGTCGTCGATAGCGCTACCTCCCAGTGCGGCTGCAGCATTTCCAATGCTTCGGCTAGAGTGCGGCAGGCTTGCGGGAGGTGATGGAGGGCTTAGTCGTGACAGAGTGTTCCTCCTCCCCGCGATGGGCCATGCCGCGGACCGCTCGCCTTCGAAGACAGCGGTCACAGCCGCGAGATTCGCATTCCCAGTAGTGACAGACTTGCGACGCGCGACTCGGTTACGGTCGTTCGATGCACCCAGGATCGTGTGGGATGTTTGAGAACCGGTCCGCCCATGGCCTTGTCGCGAAGGAGCAGTCGCCGAGAGATTCGACAAAGGTGACCGGTGGGCCAGTGGCCGAGCAGGGGTCATATCCTGAGGAAAGATGTATGTCAGTCTCACGAATGGCCACATGGACGATATTAATATGGATACTGTGCAAGCAGCGAGGGACGGTTTTCGTTGATAATGCTTCACCGCAAAAATGGCCGGCAACCTTCTTTTGCATCAGGGGTTCGGATAGGCTTTTCGCTTGCAATGTTTCTACCTCTTTCAAGACACGTGACAATGCTCGGAAATTGTACGTTGTGATAGTAGGAGGAGGCCATCAAGGTAGATCGCTTGCGAATATCCATAACATCGCACGTACCTTGGAGCTGGCCATCACGGCTGCGGTATGGAGCGTCGAAACTCTCTATGGTATCTGTTTGTTTTCTTCTCAAGCCTTGTGGCCCAGACCACACACAAAGAATGCGGTGCCTGGTTGGCGGAGGCTTATGAGGATCGCGTCGGCAGTGGGGGACAGACAGGCTGATGCTAGTGTCGTTGTCGAGTAGCTGACCCGTAAGGATGGACCGTTTGGAGCAGAGCAATGTGCGAATTGTTCGATGACCAAGATGCCTTGTAAAAATACTGGAAGAGTGAAGCAAAACCACAGGAGCGCGAGAAATAATATTTTGGAGTGAGGAGTGTTCGGGAAGGACAGACCCAAGGTGAAGGAGGGCGTGTGTGCGTGCCAGCGGGTGGGAAGGTACCTGCTTGCGACGCTGCCGTAGGCCTGGTCTGGCTAGACTGTTGCTCCTCGCTGCGGGGGGAGGGGCGCGTCTGTAACAATCTCATAGTGGGAGAAGTTCGGGGGGTGTCAGTAGGTGGAAGTGGACCACCATGCCTGCCCTACCTAAACCAGCCAAGGCAGCGCAGGTGAGGAAGGACTGTGAGGCACGGAGTACGTGATTCACTGTCATAACGAATGCCCAAGCGTCTGTTCCATTTTGTATACAAGCACTCCAGTCGTCTGGACGGTGTATCAGGGTGCCAGTCGAAGCACCGTGAACTCCTGGCATCAGCATTCGGCCTGGCTCGCGATTGCAGTTCGCGGCGCAACTGAGTGATGCATCGCAGTGTGGCTAGGGTGAGAGAGGCGCATGCCCCTCGCTTCCCTGGCCTGGTTCACTCCTCCCGGCACTGCACAAGCAATAAGGTGGTAGTTGCGACGACGAGCGTCTGGTCTCTTGGGTTCCCCCGGATCCAATGGGAAACCTCTCCGTGAGAACGAAGCACTGTCCATGTCGTTCACAGATTTATTACCAACCGCCGCCCAGATCGAAGTACCGAGACTACGAGATGCTGGCCATGAAAATTATAATGATCCCAAGCTCATCCTCGGTGCACGCGCAGACTCGCAGTCGGAGGGTGAGTTAGTGGTGGGGTAGTCGCAGATGAACTATTGGTCAGCTGGTCAGCCCCCGGTCGATCAGCAGGTCGAACTTCGACTGGGGAGCGTGTGTTGAGAACGTGGGTGCCTTGAGGCCTCTGGAGCAAGAATAGCACCAAGGGGAGGGGTGAGTGCAGTCCGTATTTGATGGAATGCTTGTTGGAGGCTGAGCCTCCGATGATTATTATTATTACCAAAGAACCGACACAACCTCAGCTGACCTGTCCGCGTAGCTTGCTACCATATGCACGTACGAAGTACTTACGATCACAAGGCTGGTTCATAAAAGTTATGGACCGCAACGCATTGTTCGATGCATGGCGAGGCTTCTTGTGCTAAAAGTATGGGTCCTCTGGACGTGTAGATTGAAGGTTCAGTCAGTGAAAGGGCCTTTCACGCTTTCACGCGTCGACAATGCGTCTCGTTCGAACAGGAGGTTCACAATGCCCTGTCACGAGCATTGCGATTTGATAGCGTCTCACGTGGTACATCTTTTCCTCGGTAGACCGCACCTAGCTTTGCGCACCTCGTGGTCTGCTGAGGAGAAGAGAGAGGTTGCCGGTTGCTGGACACTTTTTATTCTCCTACTAGAGTTCCGTCGGGGAACTGCAGCAAAAGGAGGGTCTCCCGAGAGATGTACAAGTCTTATGGAATGAAAATGCGGAGGCTCTGGGGAAGATATTGTACGTATGGCCATTTACAGCGCGTCCAACCCAGGACAACCACTTCATTTGGCAAATCGATGCGGCCCATTTTGCTGTCGAGAACCGTAGATACGGAGACGACACTGGGCGCATGTTCGCAGTGGACGGACGACACGCATCGATGGCCATGCGGCTGGTTCCTGTGCCTGGCAGCAGCTTGGTATGCAAGGCGACCAATGGTTGGAGATGGCTTCATGCCCTCATTCTCATTGCCCTAACCTAACCCCAACCCTAAGCTTCCCCAGAAAGAGGAGGGCGGCGATGCGCCGGGCAGATCGATTGACTGCAGCGACGCCCAGGACGGGGCCATCGAACATTAAGCAGTGTTATCGGCGGGCGGTCCTGTCCAGCGCACTCCACTGCCCGCCGCCGTGCGTTCTTCTGGTGGATTCCATCCTGCGCTCACCCCCCCTGATAGCCAGCCGGTGAACAGAGTGCGAATCCGTCGTGAATGCCCGCGATTGGCGACGAGATGGAGCCAAAACGCGACGATGACGATGGAGATGGCCATGCGAGTGATGATGGCATTGTCCAAAATTCCATCAAAGTTTCTTAGTTTGGGTCTCACCGACTCGCCAACAACCAGCTTTTGCAATCATGGATCCAGAAAGTCACTTTTTTGGACTCGTACATTGCGACACAATGCCCTCAGTGATTAATACACCTCTGCTCGACGTTGAACTTGCGAATCAAGTACCGGCACGCAGGGCACGAGGCATTGCTGGACAATGACGTGAGCGTGTCTCGGTGGAGTCGGTCGCCTGATTGCCTGTTCTGATGCTGTCCCAGCCGGACCGTCTCATACTGTCGACTGCCAATTGTGCATACGTACGCTCGAGTCGCGTAATTAATACGTATGTATTACAACATTTCGAGACCTATTAGTGGTGTTCCTGGGCAATGGAAATGGTGCCTTGCGTTATCGCGTCAGGGATCGCGGCGCTTTTCCATATTGCCTATCACCAGCCCACGTCTGAATCGATTATAGAAAGCCGGTGGGATAATGTACCTCCTGGGTGTGCGCTTATCAGGGCGATACGGCGCTATGCAGCACGACTGGTGCGTGGCCCCGGCTTCGCTTCCTTTCGGGCTTTCCCCTCTTTAACTTCTCAGCAGGGCAGCTGGCGACAGAGAGGGATCGCTCAAGTGTATTATCCGTACTACGTACATAGCTGTGAGGGGGGCCTTTCACCACTTAAATCAGTAGTGAGAACAGGCTCGAACTATTAGACACCTGCAAGACATCGATCTCCGAAGCAGCACGGCTCTCAATGAAATTGCCAGCGTCCCTCGCGTACGTTAGCAAAGTGACTAATGCTCCTAATCCAGTCCTTGATGCACTCGTCCGAGTTCGGGTCATGGGCAGTGGAGGCCAACCCACAAGCCCACTGTAACTTGTAAGCGGGCAGCTATTGAAATGACCGCGTAGGCGAGAAGATGATCCCCCGCGATCATGTGAAGCTTCACGTGTCGGCCGCATCGCCAGATGAGTTACGAGCAACCCCCTCCATGTCTGGCTCGACAATTGGGGACGGAGCTGGCGGTTTCCGACGGGTAAAGCCAGCTTTGGCTCAATCGTTCCTCGCATCGCCCATGACTGCAACGTTGTGGACGGACGGCGAAGCCCGACTGTGCGTCTGCCGTCTGGTGCCTTTCTAATCATCAATTTACCGAAACGGCAAAGAGGGGGAGGGTCTAGATGATTTGTTGGGGTTGCGCTTGGCGACGGTCTGGTTCCGTGTCGCCAAGGTGAAGATGGGTGGCGGCAATGTGCGCCATAGGGAGGAGTCTCGTCAAGCCAGAGCGTCGACCAAGGGCTTGCACTTTTATTAGGCTCCCGAAAGGGATGCACTACCCCTAAACCGAGCCTTTTGGAGATCTCAAGGGTCCTGTTGCGAAGGCAGACATTGCCAGGCTTGACTCAGGAAGGTTGAAGTCGAGTATTAAGTTAAGGAACACGGCACTTGTGCCTGACTATCATCAGGACAAGCCATAACCCGCTTCGTCGAACATGTCAGCTTCCTTGCGTCCCATTTCGCCCAGAACAGGTAGGAGGATGCTGATCAGAACATCGAGGCCACGTCCACAGTCCGTCCGTCTGGGGGCCGAGTGCCTCGGGGGTGTGGGGGCGTGCCTTGTGAGCGAGTTGCGCAGTCACGCAGTGTTCGGTTCCGAGGGCAGTGGTAGCGGATAGAAGTGCGGTTGATTTGCCTGCAAGATGGATGGAAGCGAGGAACTATTGCCGTGGGTAATTGATGGAAAGTCCAACTCACGGGGACCAGTCCCCAAACTTACATACACAGCTGTGAGAAAGGAGAGGCTCTCCCCGGCTTCCACTGTCTGTGGCTCCGCCATCCGTCTTCCGCGATCCGTTTGACAAGCGAATGACCCGCATCGGCAGCGCGGGAAGGACGTCTTGGCAGGTTCCGCCTACTGGGCGCTGGGTCGAGAGAAGTAAGTCAAATGCAAATCATCAGCCAGGGGAAAGGCAAAATTTCTTCATCAAACCCATCCGCAGAAAGGGAGACGCGGTCAATTCTTGTTCGAGCCGCGCTGCCTCGAGCATTCAGGGCGGCAGGCATTGTCCAATGGAGTCATGGACAGCCCGACGGCGCATTTTTGTGGCTTGACCCTTGGTGGGGGCCGGAGGGGTGTTGAAGCAGTGAGGGTGAATCTCGATGACAAGAAGTGGTCTGTGTGTCTCTGAGGACAGATGGCGGGCTTTGAGAGGATGGAACTTTGTTGGAAGGGCGGATAATGAACCAGGAACCTGAATCTGTGCCCTGCGCTCAATTGGCAATTGGGAAGCACCAATTACAGACATCACTGCGACCACATCTCCAACTGAAGGGCAGGTTTCATGTTGTTGTCAATGTTCAGTAAGGTGAGGTAACTGACATGGACCTTCACAGTCAGCAGACTTTACTGCCACGTGACGACCACAACGGACTGTGTAGTCGCCTGCCGGCATCGGAGCGCGCCATCATCATGACTGGGCCGGACACAGATAATTATCAGCGTGAGTAAACGTATCGTATTGACGTGTAGAACGTACGTATCGCTCGAGATGTAGGTTCCTATTAAACATTAATTTAAACGTTTGTATCCGTATCTGGCGGGGAAAGGGCAAATTGTGAAGTCAAATCTCGCTGCAGATCATCTGGCACCATGATCTACAGTGATCAGATCTCCGTGTTCAAACCCAGCAAGCCCGCGCCCTGGTCGTCGATCCCAGGCATTTCTTCTGCAAGATAAATTGAGGACTTCGGCTCAACGCTGGTCGATGAGGACGGTATTCGTGGTTGTCGATCATTGACTGTCATCATCGTACCCTAGGGTAGGCTTCTGCCATATCACCACAAAGGTATATGTACTTACGATACCATTGCGCCCCCCTAGTCCAGACATATGGGGCTTGGTCATTGACAGGGTGCGTAGTGCGTGCTCGTTGTCACCGGCCAGATAAGCCATGGATAAGAGTACTTACAGTACCTTAGATAGCATCACGCGATGGAATTCCTAATAAATTCGGCACTACGGGCAAACCCCCACTATCGAGTGTGACGTCAAGTCAAGGGTCTAGTCCACCTGTAGTCTGCCTAGTCCTATCTGTTGTTGTCGGCAGCTCCCTGCTCCCAGCACAAGATATCAAGCAGTAACACCTCTCGAACTATCTTCAGCAAAAGGTCCAACCTGGCTACTACTTATCCAAACTTGTGACCCTTGACCTCAGACGATTCATCATAATCAGGCCGTTTCCACAGTTCGTTGAACACGATCTTCATACCAACGCAAAGGTCACCATGACCCAAGACCAACTACGGAAAGTCGGACGCGGTGGAGCCGGGAATTTCTACTCTGCGCCATCTAAAGAGGCGGAAGCCGTATAAGCCCCGAAAACCCGAACACTGAGAGTACATGAGCTTACGAGCGTTGATCCGCTCAGGATCTCGAGGCACAGACCGCCGAAGATACCGGCACCGCCCCCTCCTCGACCGTACCGTCCGCTGCCCGCGCCGGGCGCGGCGGAGCCGGAAACTTTATCAACCCCCAAGACGCGCAAGCGAACGAGGCTGATGTGGCGGCCTCGACAATGGAGGCGGTGAGGCAGGAACCATCCGCGCCGCGCGCTGGGGGCTACGCAGGCCGGGGCGGCGCTGGAAATTGGAAGGCCAAAAAGGAGGCGGACGGCGAGGAACGCGACGCTGAGGGCAACCACGACATTGAGCACAAGGTGAAAGAGGCCGTCGAACATGGGCTGAAGATGCCTGAAAAGGTGCATCATGCCCTTGAGAAGACCAGGGATCATTGAGTGGCTGCGTTTGATACCCCCAAATCATTGCAATCATAAGCCTGATGGCGCCCGTGATATCCTACATGTATCGTGCGTCCGGCCAATGCGCCGCTGGAAATCCATCGCGAGAAGCCTGCGAGAGCCGCCAAAGTGCGGATGAGAGCTCGTCTTGTGCCATAATCTCATCCTCCGATGGCTTCTGGAACAGATCGTGATCCTGGTCACATTGGCTTCCCTCCGCAGGCAGAACACCTTTCTTGAGATACTGTTGCACATGCTTCGCCGTACACGTAGACGGCCCCGCAAAGCTACAATGCTAGTAGGCGTGTCAGCCATGAGCGCTGGAGAGGGCTCAGAATGTCTTACGCCCAAAGAGTTCTGCTGAAGCACAACGGATCCGTCAAAGTGAGCAGAGTTGAGACGAGCGCCGTAGATGGGCGTGACGTTGTCGTATAAGTTGTTGAGGAATAAGATGGGGTGGCTGGTCGCTTGCTTCGTTTGCACTGCCAGAATGTCAGCCATGCTAGCGGACGATGATCCCATGTTACAAACGCACAGTCAGGGACATGTCGCCAACTGGACTCCACTGTCCTACCCGCACAAGGCAAGCGAAACATCAAGCTTGCCGCCCCCGTCCAGCGGCTGGCTTCCCTCAACTTCTCCAGATATTGAGCCGCCTGCGCGACTGACTTGTAGGAGTCTCCAACGTCCGAACACATGATCGCTGGGAAGGCATCCACTTCAAAGCCGGTCTCCAGAGGCTCCATCGCAGGCGTGTCATCAACGGAACAGAAGAGCTCGGACAGTGGACTACTGTCGCCCTCAATAGCCTTCCGTGACTCGAAGAATGGTAGACCATTCCCATTCTCTACTCCGGCGAAGACACGTGCGATATCTTCCGCATGAACGAGGGGTTTGTATATCGCCACTCGCACGTATCGCTGAACATCAGAGTAGGTGATAACCAGGGGCAGCTCGGACCCAGATTCTGTAGAATGCGCAGGTAAAATCACTGGATGTTCCTTGAGACTTTGGAGAACATTGGCTCTGCGATCACGGATTGCGTCTGCAGACGCCGCCCAGAGGGCACACTTTGATGGTCCGGCATTGTGGCATGCCTCATCAAAGACATTGAGAATGTTGTCCGCGTCGTGTAGGAAGTCTGTGTGGTCGAGAGTGAACCAACCCCCGAGATCGACATTGCCTGTTGATAATTAGCAGAAGTTCATCAATGCCACTTGCAAAGTGTCTTACCATCGCTAATCATTCGATCGATTCTATCGGGGTACATGCTCGCAAATACACCGGCAAGTACCGTTCCGTAGCTGAACCCCCAGTATCGTAGCTTCTCATGCCCAGTTTTTTCCACCAGGTCGAGGAGATCCCTAGCGGACGAGGCGGTGCTAAGATGATTCAAAAGCCTTGTTTCGTTCATGGTAGATTCGCAAGCCCCTGAGTAGGCAATGGCGCGACTGTAGGCATCGTAAATTAGACCGGGTCGTTCATCAGCGGCGGGTGTCTGTTGGAAAGACCACATCTGGCGTTTCTGCGATGTTCCCCAACAGTCCACCCGTGGTGTAGAAACGCCAACTGGTTGTGTAAGTGTTCAAAGAATATCGGCTGCTTCGCTGGAGAGGCTTTCTTACTTCCACGAGGATCCCAGCTGATAACGTCCTTGACAATGTGAGAACTTCTACGACGGCACCATGGGTCCATGGAGGGGACCTACATGATAGTCACCAGCGACAGTTTGAATTTCGGAACCCATAGTCTGCAAAGATTTGATGCCAGAACCACCAGGACCCTGCTTTCGTCAGCCTATAGGGATTCAAGCCGGCTACCTTGTCACTTACACCAGGGTTGATGAACAGAGGAGGGACGGAGTAGCCCCTGGTCTTGGCCGGGAGTTTCATCACGCCGAGAATCACTCTATCAGTCTCACTGGGATTCTGCCAGTCCATTGGTACCTAAAGTATGTGTGAGTATCTTGCTCGGCTAGAAATACAGCCACCGACTCACGTCTAATCGAGCGCACTCAAACTTGTCGTCATAGCACTTTGTCCAGACCAAGTCCCTGGAAGGCGTTGCCTATACTTGAAGTCAGCAACTGCTGAACCATTTTTGCCATGGAATAGTCACCTCATGCCACGACCAGTGGCCTATCTCGACATCCTGCCCACCGGTAGCCTTGCGCAACGGCGACAGGGTCAGTATCACAGACATAACGAGCGCTGATGTGACCAGCCCTCCTAGTGTGAGGCGCAAGCTCATGGTGCTTGGCCGCCGTCTACGTGGTAGGGCTCTGACCAGTCGAGGTGCCTCGTGGGGTCTCTGAGTCTCGAGCAGGGACGCCTTCTCGTCCAGACCGGCCGGTCCCATCATTACGTTGTCCATGGACACTCGACGAGAGGAGAGTATGGAGTTGCCAAAGCTTCTAACTCCCGAAGTTCGAACACCAGATGGTATTTAAGGGTCCGCGATTCAGTCTGGGAATCGTCGCCTCCTGCAGCTTCGTACCAATGATAGGTAGTAGCCCGCTATCTGACTCGTCCAATGGCGCCGTTCACGAAGGCGGCTTATCGCAGTAGCGATCGCCCGTGCAGACGGGATATGCGCTGCACTTGCAGCATTGCGTTTAGCTGAGTGGTTCCTGGTCCCAAGTGAGGAAGATGCTCGCCTGCGCCCCAGCTGAGGTGAGACATGTTGAGGACAAGAGCTGGACAAACTGTCGGTGGGCCGCTTTTGTGGAGGATCTGCGCGATTGATCGAGTCTGGGGAAAGTTGGCTGAGTAGGTACAGGGTAACCCAATGTTCTCGCGTCCTTTCATCGCTCACGGTAAAACTCCGGCTTAATGCTCTGGCTCCGGTCTGAACCGACTGGCCTATCGAAAATTCCACCTCTAATCCCGTTCCTTGCCATCATCACCATCACCCTCGTTCATCCTCGACATACCTCAACAATGGCTTCTGTTATGGCATGGGGCGCCGGCGCTGCCGTCGCTGCCTTTTTGGTACGTTTCATCAACAGCGCGTATGACCGCGACCATCCAGGACTAACCGAGCTAGGGTCGCGCCGGACTGGTCGCATACAGACGTTCGCGCGGTGGCGTGGGCGCCATGGGCAAGGCTTTTTACAAGGGTGGTTTCGAGCCCAAGATGACCAGGAAGGAGGCTTCCCTCATTCTTTCTCTAAGGTCAGTTACTTTGCCCGCCTGTGCCGATCCAAGCTAGCATGATACTGACCCTGACCAGCGAACGCACCTTGACCAAGGACAAGGTTCGCAAAGCCCACCGAACGAACATGCTCCTCAACCATCCCGATCGAGGCGGCAGCCCATACCTGGCGACAAAGATCAACGAGGCGAAAGAATTGCTCGACAAGCAAGTCTCGTAACGTACCATGGCACGACTTGTACAATATAGGGGCGGAATGGTTGTAAAATATGGTGGTGTTCCCACAGCGTTGGCGTTCATTCTGGTTTAGAGACAAGGAGATATCTGTAGCAAGGTACGCAGCAAGATGCAAATGCAATGACCCAATCCTCTCCTCATTCCTGCCCTCCTTCAAGGAAGATCAGTGCCCCAAAGCTCAGGGGTGTATTCGCTCCCCTCCGCCGTGGCCGACTCCTCCCTGATCTGCTCAATCGCTACGCCGATCAACGCCCTCAGGGTGAAAACCGCATCGTTCCCTGCGTTGTGGAGATTCCTGCTGGAAATACCCAGCTCAGCCAAGACACTGGACAGACCGCGGCCCTGGTCCCGATCCCGCCAGGCCTGATGAATGGCTTGGCTGTCTAGCATGCGAGCGACGCATTTCATTGCATGCATATCGAGACCAATCGAGGCTAGGTACTGAACGTCTTGTTGGGTATCATGACCTACAAGAATGAGCTTGCGTCTCGCGTCGATCAAGGGCTGGATGATGTCGAGTATCGCAGCTGGCATCTGCTCTATGGTGGGAAAGGTGCTGGTTCTAAAAGTCGTCAGCTTACATCTCTGTGTCGGTGCGAGCACACGCACCCAAAGTCGAAGGCATCGGGGCAGCCCTTGATGAACTCAAAGTTACAAAGGCCAGAGTACTCCTTTGTTCGCAAGTGGTGGGATACAATCATCGGCCACCAGTTCTGGCCGCATATACCGCGAGGAACGTCTTGGATATCCTTCGCATCGAGAATCGCAACGCCAACCTCCGACACCGGGTTCGGTGGCCGCTCAAGAGCCTCAACGTCGATGGCAACAAACACCACTGGTTGGTCGCCCTTTAAGCCGATGGGGATGCCTGGCTTGAGTCCGAGCAGCTGCTGCGTCGTGTAGAGCATGTGCTGTCGATCGGCTCTCCTCTCCGCCGTCCTAGACTCGCCCTTGTTCCTGTCTTTCACTTTGGGGGCGTTGACTAGTCTGAGCTTGCGTTCAAACTCGGCTTGCTGAACCGGTGTAGACACATCGAGTAAGTGCGCGTCATTTTCATCTGGGTCGGGCCAAGCAGAGCCGTCATCGATATTTTCGCCCTCAGAACTGCGACGTAGATAGCGAGGCTGGGCGATGTCTTTCGTGAATCGTAGGAAGAATCGGTCAGCATTAACACCAGCCGGGATAGAAAGGGATATCTTGAGTTCTTCGTTGATTTGATCAAGGAAGAGCTGGAACTGGGAAGTCGGCACGAAGAGGTAGGGTTTGTCGGCCGGTTTGGATGGGTGATATAGATAGAAGCTGATGATATCAGTACGTATTACCGCGACTAGCACATTTTGTACTCACAAGTCCCAGACTCGACCGTCACAGATTCTCTCAAAGTACGGCTCCACGTGAGGTCGGTTGGTTTTCCCGATGAACGAGCTAGGGTAGTTCATCACAACGTTCCAAGGACAGAGATCGATATCATCCTTGCTTGGCTTGCCCTTGATGAACCGCTCGGAGTCGAAGGCGCCCTCCGTATCAGGGCGAGGACCGGCGTCATGGTTCAGAAACTTCTTCGGAGCATCGTCAGCTACGGGCTCTGGATGAGGTTCCCAGGGCTCCGCAGGAAGGGCGTGTTCCTCATGGGTCAATGGTTCATGTTCGCGCTGTTCTAGAGTGTCATCTGCAATCTCGACGATTGAGATGTGCTTGCCCAACAGTTGAGACAGCGTCTGTAGCCGTTGGTCGAGATCATCGTCCGCCATGGTGCCACTCAGAACTCGGCGTTGGCAGAAGTGAGATTTGACAGCGTGGTGTTCAAAGTGGAAGGGTTCTGTATTGTGATGAGTACAGGAGTAGATATCATCGGTTTGCGAGATCGGAAGAGGTGAGAAGGAAATGAGGCCCTGCGATTTGCCATTCCGGATGGATGCATCAGCACAGCAAGCCAAGCGAGAACGGGGTGGTTGAACAAACGCGGTCGGAGATGGGACAAACTCGCAATTGTTTCAGGCATCTTTGTTAGATTTTGAGGATTGCTAGCCCTGTCCGCATACCCTCTATTCCGAGAATTATCTACCTATCAATAAACACCTTTGCCCCCCAAAGCATAGAAATTGACCTGGACGAGATCGGTCTCGAGGCTGTACATTACGTGTAAATGAACGGTCTCAGAGGCCTCACTTTGCTTTGTAAAACTGGTCGGGTCAGTACTGCTCTGACCAGCGCCAATCGTCACTCACCTCGTTTGCTGCATCTGTAGTCACATCTGATGACTCCGACTGACTGCTGTCTATCAAGCCTAGTTGCGCCCATCTAAGCTTGAACCAAAAGTCTCGCCGATCGCCCCCTAGGGTTCCGGATAGCAACTGCTTCTTCAAGTCTGTCACAAAGGTGTTGAATAAGTTCGGCTCATCCATGTTGATCAGCTCTTCCCGCATAACACCGCAGCATTCAATAGCTCGGTTGTATTTGCTGTCACCAAAACTGTCCGTAATTAAAGAGCGGATGATGGCACCCATCTGCTTGGAAGCGTTCTCGAGGGCCTCTTCTGAGTCTGCAGTCTCGAGAGCATGCTTGAAATCCGGTACGGCGTTTTCGGGTGATATTTGACCTTGCCGGGTGTTGCCGAGCAGGGCATCCACGTCGAGGCCGGAAATAGGCTTGACAGCGTCGCGACGACGTTTGCCCTTGGCTTTTGGTGGTACTTGACAACGTTAGGAGAGTCCTGGGATTAAGCATAACACCGTGCGTACCTTTCTTGATTTCCGCTGCACCAATCAGAGTATCTATCTTACTCTGGACTCGCTCGACCAGTTCATGCGGCGGCTCGGCGAATCTGAGCAACTGAGGTGGAATTTCTGGTACGGGATCCTCGGGGTGCACAGCTCGATTCCGCACGGCGTGGTTGATGCGATGTATCGAAGGGTTGTACGTGTCGTCAATGGGCATATACTCTGCCGGAGCTCTAAGATTCTGTTAGTACATCAGTATGCGGCAGAGCGTGTACCAACTGACCCATCTTCGTCGATTCCATAATTTGAGAGGTCCATCGCGTCGACATATGCGCTCATAGCATCATTGAGATCATCAGACGGGATGAATCTGTGCTTGCTCAGCGTTTGCCCACTGACCGTGATAACACGATCCAACGGTGGGAATTGATAGCTGCGGACATCTTCCGCGAAAGGAAGGGGCACGTCGTATAGGCACTCAAAGCCCGGCTCAATGTGTGGTATCAACAGTACAAGAAGGGGCTCTTTGCCTTCCTTGAGCACGAGTCTCGCCACAGCATATGATTGTACCTCGTGAAGGGCCCAGATCAGGGCTGAGAGAGCCACTTCCGAGGCCTCGTCGAATTTCTTTGCGTGGGTCACGCAGACCTCGCCCATGTTGAGGAAGGCTTCATACTAGGTCCGTCAGTGCAGCTCTCGGAGGATGCTGGGGCACTTACCCTGTCCCAGGGAATGAATCCGAGGATTGTGAAGCATTTTTGGGTTTCCAGCTTGGTGATGTTGTGTTCCGACTCGGTAATATGGACAGCTGTTCGTCCATACTCAAACCCCTTGGCCAGGGACTCAAATTCGACGTCCCGCTTACCACCAGGTGCATCTGGGTCGTTGACTTTGTACGTCCGTGCTTGTTTTACGCCTGTAAACTCTACACCGTCCATCGTATCATTGCCGTCTACGGTCTCAGTCGTTTGTGAGCCGGGCTGGTCTTGCTTCGTGACCACAGTACTGGCTCCAAGTGGTCGTGCCTGATGTGTCTTGAAATACCGCTCAACATCAATGTTCATTGCGGCAGGGAACGTGTTGGGGTCGCCAAGTGTCAACTTGCCGTCGTAGGTTTTGTAAGGCTTGGGTGTTTTGACGGTAGGGGTGTCCAGACGATCTATTGCATCTGCCATGGTGCCGAATCTGCCGTTATCGCAGGCTTCGGCCAGCTTTCGCAAGGCCCGCTCGTTTTGTTTCTGTAGATGCTTTGTGAGAAAGGATGCGGCATGTCTGTGCTTTGTCTGACCTTGTGTGGCGGCTTGTCCTCTTCCTTGAAGCCGTACTCAGGATCGTCAAAATCCACACCCCTGCTTAGGTTAGCAGCGTTAAGGCACAGAAGGGTATGACACGGACAGGACAGTCAGCTCGATGCCGGAGGCATTCATCTTCTTGCCAATGTCATCAATGTCATCGACGTCCATGCTGCCTTGGCCGTCCGTGACCAAGTAGATCTTGCGAATGTACTTCAACTTCTTTGTCTTGGTTTCGATCATGTCGACGGCAATGACAATCGATGAGATGGCATCGCCAAATCTGGTCTGACTGGGGACTATGGAAGCTTGGAGCTGACGCAAGTCCGTCATAGTCATCGGCTGTAGTTCTTGAAGGACAGAAATATTCTCATAGCCCTCTGTGCTGTCCAGCTTGTTGTTCGTCTCATCGGTTTTCAGGCCAATGATACCGACATTCAGAGTCTTGCGGTTGGACGCGACGGCATCGGTTATTTTGTCCCAAACGAATCGCATGCTCCAGTCGAGGTCCGACTCTTCGCGGCCATTGTGAGCCTGGCCCATAGACGAGCCGAGGTCAAGGATGAAGACGGTCGCTTCCTTGTCGGCCATGGTGAATGACCTGATTTGATCACCTCAAATGACTGAGAAAGAGGCGCGTGTGCTCAAGTTCGGTGTATCTTGGGACAACCCACTGCTTATATGTAGCAGAGGTCGAAGCTCCACAAGCTCAGTATCGCACCCCTGGGTACTTTTTAGGCAGAAGAGTGGAGCTGGCAGCATTGAAGTGGTGAAGCTTGGTTGAGGTGGGGTGGATGCCTACAGGCTGTGGACGCGACGCCAACGCGTAATCACGTGGTTTATCCATGATCTCATGCTTGGCTCCATTCAAGTCGCGGACGTCAAGGACTACTGGATACAACAAATCTCAGTCTGCTTCATTGCCGAGTCAATACACCAAGGATATCCATCATGGCGAGCTCAATCTTCTTCTCGGTGGCTCCGTACCACATCATCACGTACATTTGACACCCCTTCGCAAGAGACATAGCTTCCACGCGGCTAACAATGTTCTTAGATATGGGACGTTGCTGGGCACGTCGTTCTTCCATGTTAGTCCACACAGAACTGGCCAGAGCGCACCTGTAATAACCGTCGTACTTTAGTCCTTCATTAACGGTCCCGTCATGTTCAAGACCGTCGAGCGCCCTGTCTTTTCTTCGATGCAGCAAGCTCTCTTCCCCATCTACTTTGGCATTCAGACAGCTGCCCCTGTTCTCATGGCCCTGACATTCCCCGGCAATGCCCTCTTCGGGCTATCGTCAGGTGTGCAGGGTTTGGTGAACCAGTCGCAACGTTATCAGTCTTTGCTTCCCATGGGCGTCATGTTCGTTACTGGTGTCACTAACCTATTTCTGCTACTCCCCTTGGTCACTGGTGTGATGAAGGAACGCAGGGGTCAAGGTAAGCAAGCTCATTAATTCAAAGTTACTTTCAGAGATGCGAAGCTGACGGTAACTAGCCAAGCGTGACGGCAAAGAGTGGGATGCTGCGGGTCCCCATTCGGATGAGATGCAGGCTCTCAACAAGCGATTCGGGATGCTCCATGGGATATCTTCTCTTTTGAACCTCGGGACACTTATTGCAGCTGTCGCCTATGGTTTCACTCTTGGAGGCCGCATTCAGTCCATTACTGACAGGGCAGCTTAATTTCGACGTTTCAACAGTCTAGCAGGACTTGTCGTTGGGCGCCCAAGACAACGGTGTAGGCTATAAGCGAAAATGATAGCACTGCCTCTGGAATTGAATTTTGCGTGCCATGGGGAATTTCAAGTTTGCTGCTTTGCAGCCTTGGTCCGAACACATCCGAATGGCTTGTCAATGATCTCACGGCCACCATGTATGTCATTGACAGCCCTCATCACAGCCGAGGCCACATGCCAACCCGCCTACGAAAATTGCTACAAAACTACAATGGAATTGCTCTATACCTCACATTCCAGATTTGGGTTCAATTATGATGCGCCTCTACATTGACTGATTCGTAAGTGTTCGAATGGGAAAAGTGGCGATCGGCTTTCTGTCCGCGATGTTGTCAAGATGTTAGTCATCCTTCGGGAATTGATGTCAAAAGCCTCAACTCCTAACTTGAGCACCTGAATATTCCGTCAGCATAGGCGAAGTATCAGATTTGCTGCTTCCACTGTGAAATACAATGGCGCCGACTTACTTGAGCAATGACCGCGCTGCGGTGGATTCTTTTCTCGACAAGTTCGACGTAAGCGTCTCAAAGCCCAACTGACGAGACCGCCCCTAACATGAACCTTGCAGGTTTTCCTCATTGACTGCGATGGTACTTTGCATGATGAGCACACGTTAGCAGAATCTTACTATTCATAAGGCGTTCTTTGGTCCGGCGATCACGTCTACGATGGCATCCCCGAGACGATTGCGATGTTGCGCGCCAAAGGTCAACTTCTACCCCTCCCCCGCACCTCTGTGGGAGGCCCTGTCACTCACCTGTCGGACTAGGCAAACGCACAGTCTTCGTGACGAACAACTCTACAAAGTCCCGAGAGGAGTATCTGAAGAAACTGTCCAAGCTCAACATTCCTGCCGATGCGGAGGACATCTTTGGCTCGGCATATTCCTCCGCTGTGTACATCTCGCGTATCCTCAAACTGCCGCAGGGGAAGAACAAGGTCTTCATCCTCGGCGAAAAGGGCATCGAGAGTGAGCTCGATGCCGAGAACGTACCGCACATTGGCGGCACGGATCCCAACTTCAAGCGGGACATCACGGACGCCGACTTTAAAGGTCTGGCGGATGGTTCACTGCTGGATCCCGAAGTCGGAGTTGTGCTCGCCGGCCTGGATTACCACTTCAACTACCTCAAGGTTGCCCATGGCCTGCACTACTTGAAGCGGGGAGCCAAGTTCCTGGCTACAAATACCGACTCGACGCTCCCCATGCACCACGATTTCTTCCTCGGCGCAGGGTCTGTCATGGCCCCTCTCGTCAATGCCTCGGGTCAGAAGCCCCTTGAGCTGGGCAAGCCCAGCCAGGCCATGATGGATGCCGTTGAGGGCAAATTTCAGCTCAATCGCCAAAGGACGTGTATGATTGGAGACCGTCTCAACACCGACATCAAGTTTGGTGTAGATGGCAAGTTGGGAGGTACACTGCACGTTTTGACGGGCGTCGACAACAAGGCGGCTTGGGAGAAGGAGGATGCAATCGCGGTGCCTTCCTTTTATGCGGATACGTTGAGCGACTTGCGGATTGCTGAATAGATCATAGAGGGCCATTTATACGCACAGAGATACGTAGACGCCGTAACCCAGTGATATACCCACCACCCACCATCACCCCCCAGTCCCCGTTCCTGGCCAGCCCTCCGGATTGTGTGTCTACTGACCTTTGCCCTTGATTTGCTGCTTCGGGGGCTGGTACGCCGTGAATGAGGGGAAGAACATGCCGACCTGCTTCTGGTACTCCTTGTACTCGGGGTATTTGTTCTGCGTGATGTATTCAGTCAAGAGCGTCGACCCCTGGAAAAGCAAGCACAGAGACCCGGCGCCTAGTCCAGTGTAGCTGTACACGTTGTTGGTGGCATAGCAGCTCCACTGATACAAGGCGAACCAGACCATCTGCTCGGCGAAGAAATTCGGGTGACGGCTGTAAGCCCACAGGCCAGATGTGCGAAACCCACGCTCGAGATCCTTCTTGGTGAACCCGCCGCGGACTTTTCCGTCGTCGCGGTACTGGTATTTGGCAGTCTGGTAGCCTGTGATGACGCGTGAGCACTCCCGTTCGATCATTGAAGCTATGGTCGCGGAATGGATGACTTACTCCACTGCTGGCCGTCGCTGATGAGCTCGCTAACAACCAGAGCCATCATGATGCCCGAGTAGACAAAGTCGGAAGTTTGTAGGCCGGGTTCGAACTTTGTGGCCAGGAGGATTCCGTAGGCGGGAACGCAGGAGAAGGCGAAGAGCAGCACGCTCTGAATGGAGGAGATGAAGGTGACGTTGAAGATGAACCAGATAAACTTGGGAACATACTTCTGGAGAATGGCCCTATCACGGTCAGTATCACTTTGCACAGAATGAGTGTCGCCAACGCTTACCATCTGTAGTCCTCTGAACCCTTCTCATACCCTCCCCTGCGCCAGTAGTTGAACGTAAGCCGGATCTGGGAACTGTCAGTCGGATGGCCGCAATAGTTATGTGCACAAAGCACTCACACTCCAAATTGTCGTCGTAATGGCAGCCAGATCTATGCGTTCATGGGGCATGCCAGCCGCCCTTGCCCACAATGCGATGTGAACAACGTAGAGGTTGGGGAGGATACTCCACATCCTATCGACCTGCGAGTAGTTCCTGTTGATCTCCGAAACGATCAAGAAGATGGGAGCCAGGAACAGCGAGGCCGCCAGGCCCGACATGAGTGGGTTCGTGTCGATATAGAGCTGCTTCAAGCGATCCAGGCTATGGTAGCTATTCAGGAGCTTGTAGGGCAGCTCGTACAGCTGCGGCCAGAATGGCTCCACGGTCTTTGCGTACTCGCCGCATTCTTTGAGGGTTTTTAGTAGGGGGAGCGCCATGTCGAATATCCTCGAGTGTTGGATGTAGCTATCATGTGTTTCCCTGTCGCGATTGGGGGTGCGCTGTGGGTTTTATGCGCCTGGACGATCTAAACCATCGCGTGGTTCATCGTCATCGATGCGCACCTCCAGTTCTAGACTATGTCGATTCAGAGGGGGGATTTGCACTACTTTCTGCAAGGTCCAGTCCCTAGCCGGCAATGATTTACAGCGGATCTGCAGGGCAGCTTGGTGCTCGGAATGCGGGATCTTGCCGTTCATGCCCGATGATGATTGGCCCAAATCACGACCAGGCGTGCACTGTAATTAGTTGCCGTACGGTGTACCTGCGGCAACGATAATTTCACCGCCGTTCATGTCAAGTAAAGGCTTTCGACCAGAACAATCCTGAATATTGGTCCGCAATTTGCTCGCGGTCGCCGTGCATGAGGCCTTGGACCATCCATGAGTGGCTATCGAGGCGAGACTGGATCTTGTGACGATGATACGTTAGTTTTACGCCTCGCGCCTGCCCTAACTGCCCGGTGGTAAGCTCGATCGTTGCGTGTCGGGATCACGCGCCACATCGATGAGCATTATCATTCCGTCACATTCCCGACACCAGGAAAGCAAAGTGAAAACGATTGGTACAGCGGGCTCGCACCACTGACGCTGCACCATGAAGGTCCTGTGCGTCGCCGAGAAGCCTTCCATCTCCAAAGCGGTTGCAACGCACCTGTCTGGAGGTTCATTTCAGACTGTAAGCCTTTTCAGGGACATCACGTTCAGACCAGGCTGCTCACAACTATAGCACAACACGCGCTCGCAGTACATCAAGAACTATGCGTTCACTTTCGACTTTGGCCAGCCATGGGGACAGTGCGATGTGACAATGACAGCAGTTGTTGGCCATCTGACCCAGACTCTCTTCGCCGACGGATACAAAAATTGGGAATCACCTCCGCCTGTCTCCCTCTTTGGTGCGCCCACTATCACCACGGTTCATGATGTAAGTGACAATTCAAGCAGGCCGCCTATGTGGCATTGACACTGTCAGGATAAAAAGGCCATTGCCAAGAACATCGCCGACCAAGCACGTTACGCTCGCCTACTGGTCATATGGACCGACTGCGATTTGGAAGGGGAATATATTGGCCACGAAATTGTTGAGGCGGCCAAGTTTGGTAACCGCGACATCACCGTCAAGCGTGCGACCTTTAGCAACATTGAGCGAGCGTGAGTCGTGATTTTGTCTTTCCCTATCCTGTGCTCGGGAAGTCCAACTCTGATCCTGGTCACAGACACGTCCTCAATGCGGCCCGAAGGTTGGGCAATCTAGATGCCAAGCTTGTCAACGCTGTAGCTGCTCGCATTGAGCTCGACCTACGTGTAGGATGGGCTTTCACCCGCTTCATCACCAACAGTCTTCGACCCTTGGGAGGTCCTGTTGAGTCCTTGATGATCAGCTATGGTAATTACTCCCCCTCTCTCAAACGCAATGCCCCCTGGCTAAGGGTGCGCAGGATCTTGTCAGTTTCCCACACTCGGATTCGTTGTGGACCGCTATTTCAAAGTGCGAAACTTCACCCCTGAACCGTTCTGGAGCATCAAGGTTATGCATAAAAAGGACGGCAAACAGGCCAACTTTTCGTGGGCGCGGAACCGGGTCTTTGACCGCATGTCGGCCGTCATACTGTACGAGCGATGTCTCGATTCGAACAAGGCAAAGGTGACAAAGGTTCAAGAGAAAGCAACTCGCAAGTTCAAACCACTACCTCTGACCACCGTCGAGCTGCAAAAGGCTGCTACTCGCTTGCTCCGCATGACTGGTCAACAGGCACTCAACCTTGCGGAAGGATTGTACAACAAAGGCTTCGTCAGCTATCCAAGAACCGAGACTGATCGTTTCGACAAGGGCATGGATCTCAAGAAATTGGTAGAGAAGCAGACGCCAGATCAGCGTTGGGGCCCTCACGCTCAGGGGTTAGTTCAGGGAGGCTTTCGACAACCCCGCGAGGGCAGGCACGACGACAAGGCACATCCTCCGATTCATCCTATCACGTATGCCTCTCCTTCGGTTCTGAGCCCGGACGAGGCCCGCATCTACGAGTACATTGTTCGTCGTTTCCTAGCCTGCTGCTCTGAGGATGCCAAAGGCATGGCTACGGACATCGAGCTCCAATACGGCGAGGAAATCTTCACGGCCCATGGCGTTGTTGTTCTGGAGCGGAACTACCTCGAGGTGTTCATCTACGACAAGTGGGAGGATTCTGCAGAGCTGCCCAACTTGAGGGTGGGCGAGCAGTTCGAACCGACGGAGGCCCTTTTGACTGAAGGGAAGACTTCGCCGCCCAACTATCTCACGGAAGCAGATCTCCTCGCGCTCATGGACGCCAACGGCATTGGCACAGATGCGACCATGGCTGAACATATCCAGAAGATCCAGGATCGCGAGTACGTGCAGACCACGGAGCGGAGCGGACAAGCGGCGAACGACGACGACGACGACGACGATCCCCACGACGCTCCAGTGGCCCGCGGCACCCGCGGCCGCGGACGTGCGAGAGTGGCTCGCGGTGGCAGAGGTGGACGGACAAGTGGCCAAGCTGCAGGTGGTGGGAGGAGGGGCATCAAAGTCTTCGTGCCGACACGACTTGGGGTTGCACTGATCCTGGGGTTTGATCGGATGAACTTTGAGACCAGTCTGGGCAAGCCCTTCCTCCGAAAGCAGATGGAGACGAAGATGAAGGCCATCTGCGCAGGCCAGACTACCAAGGACGTAGTGCTACGAGAAAGCGTTGCACAGTACCGCCAGGTCTTCTTGCAATCACAGGAGAAGCTCAATGTTCTGAAAGCTGTAGGTGGCCCCAATGCAGTGCCGTCGTTCTATAACCAGGCTGATCCAAGATCACAGGCATGCCGAGAGTTCGTCTTCGCGGGGTGAGCCACGTCAAGGTACCACCTGCTACAAGCAGCGTGCAAGGGTGTCGCGATACTATCCCCGGACATTGCGCTATTCTCGCCGAGGGTACAACGAACTGGGCGGAATCTATCGGAGCCTTGACGATGCGCAATGACTACGTCTCCCCCACGAGAGCCATTCCTAGCCCCGCCCAGGAACACAATGCCCAGGCTCGACTGAACGTGGGGTCTATCAGTGGTTGATAAGACACATGGATCAACGCCCCCTCAATTTGATAGATACCTCACCAACAGACTCAACCGAGAATAAAGAGTCGAGGAGGGGTACAGCTTTAGGCTTTATCCAACCCGCAAACGGAGCCAGTGGCGCGCCGTTCAATGATGGGGACTCGGGGTCACCTGAGGGATGCTGACTAGCATGTCCCCAATCAGAGACTCGCTTGCCAGCAACGTGATGGTTGCACAGGAGCCAGCTCGCTGGTACCACTGGAGACTCGCGACGACCATCATGACGCGGCGCTGAAGGGGCGATGGAGGGGGCATGGGGATCTGTTGCGCGAATTTGACAAGTCGCGCGTGTGTTCGGCTTCTTTGCGATAGGAACTCTGCACAATATGCAACCACATTGCACACATCTCAGCGAACATTGGATGGCTAACAGGCGTCTAAGTGCCGCGAGTCAACAGAGGCTGTTCTAGCGGCACCAGGACGAGCAGACCTGCAAGCAACGCGGAACAGCCCGCCCAGTAGGCACAACCTCTTCGATCGTGGCTCTTCCTCTTTCACTGGTGAAGTACCTTTCTTCAGGGCCTAGGGTTTGCCGTGGGGGTAGTGGTGTAGTTGGATGCCACAACACAGCAATTGGAAACCGCATCCGGCTGCGGGACATTTCGGCCGCGGATGACGATTGTCTCCATTCAGGACCCGAACATCACAGGCGTGGCCAAGAATCCACTGCGCAGTCATAATGTATTTGACAAATGGCCCTTGATTGACGGCTGGTTCTATCCAGTCGCAGCACGCGCACCGTATCGCGACTCGCATTGGTGGCTACTTGGCTAGGTGATGAAACCATCCTTGGGCAGCCTGAAAGTGACATTGCTTGATGTCTAGGTGAAATTCAAAGAAACTAGTATCTAGCAGCGGGGAATTTTGTATTTTGGCAAACACATTATGGGCTGTGAATGTGCGCTGCCAAGTCGCAATTGACCCCATCGCCAGGCTGTGTAAGTTGTTAGCTCTCCCCAGACGGCAGTGCCAGCCTGACGCGATTCCGGTCCCCGGTGGATCTTACGGCCTCCATGTCGCTGAGGATCAAAGTGCTTGCATGAATGAGCCCTCATGATGGTGACGCGTGCACGTTGTTAGTCTATTACTGGTCGACATGGCGTGTGCAGTTCTCTGAACAGGCTATTGCGACGATGGTGTTGCTTGATCACTGTTTTAGACCAAAGTAGACAAGACTGGAGCCCTCGCGCGTGCGTTGCAGCCGAACTGTTAACAAGTGCATGATGGATCAAGGCAATATCACATCTATCAAGGCAGTCAAGGGGTCGTCCTGAAATCTTTTCCGCCCTTTGAGTTTGGGCCCCTATTATTCGATCGCAACCCTGGCAACAAGATTAAAGGGCAAGCTTTGACAAAGTTTGAATTATTTTTTTTCTCTTGTCCCAAAATTGAAAACACGGCGCATCCGCCAGCCTGCTGGACCGGGGAGCCGGATAAGCAACAAGGTCGCGAGTCGGGAAGTGGTTCCTGGAGATGAGGTTGGCCGGGGCCTTCATTTTACAAGTTTGTGCAAGCCAAAGACAAGAATGCACAAAGCGGCGGCGGCGGTCGAACAGTAAAAGAATCCAAGGATGCTTCGGCGAACAGCATGGAAGCTACCATGATGATTCTGTGCATGATGATTGATGGCTGACGTGCGTTTGTTCCTGGCCAGACAAACGTTAATAATAACTGCATGCGCTGCGAAGTAGCCTGGGCCAGGGTCCAGGGCGTTATGATTAGTGTTACACAACTTGGAACCTTGCGATTCATCCTCACGACATCCAGAGAATCAAGTCCGAACATGTAACAATTTACGTAGTATTAGACAATCTCTGGATGTTATGAGGCGACTTCCCTGAATAGGTACTTGCGCGGTCGTTAAGGGCCAGGGCTCATGTCGGCTTCATGAACAGATTGCCGACCTGTTGCTGCTGATTATTATGCCACAACCGAGCAAGCGCACATTTGAATAACACAGTCGGGGCATTGTTATCTGTAGCGCAGCCACAGTACAATCATGACTTCGGTATGCACGCACACTTGTTGCGCACATGCTGACGGCGTCATAACTTCACCCTGTTGACCAGCTGATGCACAGCCACTACTCCCACGCCCTCCGCAGCTGATACGGGCTACTTGCTCGGGGACTGACCTGTGAGATTGCCGCCACGAGGCCGCTAGGCCAGCCCCTCTGGGGTGCGCACAGCAGTCCCGTCTCCCTTGGGCCTTGGTTTTACCTGTAATATCCGGTGCGAGCGTTGCTTGTTACGCTGGCCGCGCTGGCCTTGGAACACGCCGCTGGGTCCAGTCCCAAGTTTAGCGGGTGGAGGGCACAAAGCTGGCACAATCAGCCATTCATTCGGTCCATGCATTCCATGCGCTCCCATGCCGTCGCCTGGCTGGAGCGCGCACACATCGGGACGGGTTGGGTTGTCATTGCGATGGATGGATGCTAAGGCAGGTTGGATGGGTGGGTGGACGGATGGATGACTGTTATTGATTGTTGCAACCCTCCAGTCCTTATCCAGCCATGACTCCCTCCTTCCTCCCTTCCCCTTCCCTTCCTTCCTCCCACAAAGCAACAACAACAGACAAACGCTCAAGCAAAAGAATCATTCGAGAATCCTCTGTCACAGTCACGATCATCGTGCCAGCTTTGCCAGTAACCCGCCGTCCATCAACTTGCACTAGGTCAGCTTCGCTGCCGTTGCTTCAGAGTCCAGGTACGTACCTTACATACGTGCCGCTGCTCGGCACCCGGCCCTCATCAGTGTCGCGTCCCGGGCAACAGCCAGCCAGCAGAGCAAGCAAGCAAGACGAGGGTGTCGCTGCAGACCTCGCATCTTCTTGGCCTGTCCATCTCTTCCATTCATTCTGATCCGCCTCTCATAAACCTGCAAAGAACCCCCAGCTGATAACATTCCTGCTGCAGTACTCCGAAGCACTCAAGACCCCTACCCGGCATCATGGCTACCACGGCATCAGCTGCTCGCGATATCCCCCAGGCCTCCTTGAACCGAGACAACTTAGCTGTTGTAGCGGATCGGAGCGAACCTGCGACTGTGGCACGAACACTCGACCTCCCGACTCCTCCCAACTCCATCTCGCCAGCCCTCGCGGCCCACGGCCTCAAGGCCCAGCTGCAGAAGGCCACGCTCGAGCCCATCGACTCCGACCTCGACCTCCACGAGTCGGCTGATGGGAGATCCGTGTCGCCGCCCCTCGAGGCCTCGGGCGCCATCACGTGCGCCCTGCTCGCCAAGTACCACTTGCCTGACATCCTGCTGAACCATGGCCCGCTGGCCATCAGGCACGTCATGGGCTATCTGACGACATCTGTCCCTGGCTTCTCGGGCATCCCACCTGCCAAAGCGCGCAGGCTGGTCGTTGGCGCATTGGAGGGCCGAGGCGGCGAAGGAGGAGGACCGCAAGGAGACATACACTTTGAAAAGGTAGGATGGGGGCGATGGGACGCCTGTCGCAGAACCTCTGGCCCCAGGTCTCGCAAGACCTCCCCCAGCAGGCTATCACCCCATTCTGCCGGCATCCCCATTGGAGGCGCGTCGCGTCACGAGAGACTCAAGGTCCGATCCTCGGGACAGGAGTCTATGCGTTTCTCGTACGACGACAGCGCCGTCTCGGTGATGGAGAACGAGGCCGATAATATGTCGCTCGATGGCTCTGGAGCAGCCTCCTGCTCGGAAGCCCCCGATGACGACATGATCTTGGGCGACAATCCGGACGATGCCACGGATGATGAGGACTGGGCTGCCGTCGGAGCAGCTGCCCTTCGCGCTGAGTCCTACCGTGCTAGCTTCTCTAGCCGCGGCCCATTCAGCCCTCAATTTGGCGCGCGATCATGCTCATATGGCATGATCCGCTCGCCGCAGACACCGATCGAGTTGCTGTCCCTCAATGGACCTTCTGACGCGCAGGAGCGTGAGGCTATTGAGGGTCTTTTGCGACTTGGTTCTGTATAATACCCCCCAACATCGCATGGTACGGAGTTTGGAGCGCTTTGATTTTCTACCTCTCCGGGGTAGGAGTACGGATATGGCTGGACCACACGGCGCGTGTCGGATTCTGATCAAGTGGCATACGACATGGACACAGTCTACTTCTTGACGACGACACGTTTTTTACGACAATCTTCTTACTTTTCCTCTTATTTATACGCGCCAGGACGCGTGGCGCAGGACCCCTTGCTACTGGCTTAGCACAACATTTGCAAGCCACATGGCCCGCGCGATCGACTGCGAGGACAGCCCTCGAGTTTTGAGATCATTCATCACCAACGGTGCGCATGGCACAATCAACGGAAACATGGCTCTCGCACGCGGGGAGCTCCCTGCATCAATCACGAATTCAACAGCTCGTGATGGGAATGGTCATTATTTGGAGTTGCATTTCGAGTTCTGGGACGGGGGTGCACCAAAAATCACGGTTTGAAGTATGAGCATTGGGGCCCGTTCACAATCAGCATTTTTAATATATATCTTGGAAAGGTGTAATAGCATCCGGTCTTGTGAAGACTTGGGAGACCTTGGGAGCGGTTGGCACGGTAGGCATCATTATGTCTGTCCAAACACATAATTACATTGGGAACGAGAGGATGGGCGCAAACGAGGGGATGGGCGCATGCAGAATCGGTCGATGGGTTCAAGTTTCTTCCGAGGTGGAAGACATGGACGAACCGGCCATGGACCTTTTTGGAGGCGGATGAGGGACAAGGGTTTCGGGGCTGAAGGAGTTCCTCAGTCCCTCATAATAACAAACTCACCATCCATCCCATACTTGTACATTCAGTGTTCCCTGTAATAGCTGCTGGCTGGTTTTCTGTGATTGCGAGTACGTATGGTGAGGTTGTGAGTCACCCAGCAAGAATCCGGCGAGGCCGGTGGTGATCGGACTGTGCGTAATGTGACAGGGACGGGTTCCTTACCCTATACCATGCTAGGAGATACCTTGTGCAGAGGTCAACACACTGGTCACACGCTCGGCGGCTCGCAAAGCAATGATTGCGGCCTATTAATTTCAAGTAATCGCATCTAATACGCACTGGCCAGTTCTATTCAAAGGTTGTGTGCCGGGATACTTGGCTATCACTCTTTGCGGGGATGTTGACCGTCAGTGTATCTCTGCCTTACCATCAACCCGAGGTGCACGCGACATGGGCATTATCTAAACCACGAGCCAACAAGACCAGTAAGAAATGCTCAATCGAATGCAAGGAACATGTTGCCCATCGATCGGTAGCCTGCCGTAGATACCGTAAGAACTTGGCGCGGCAGTGTCTCTCGAACAAAGGAGCACCGAACAGCAATCGCAGGCCCCGGTACACGCTTGCGGCTTACGGCTAACCACACGTGTCGTTTTCCATGATTCCAAAGCGTAGCGTCGCGAGTTGGAGCTCGGCTTGGCGCGCGCAATCTCTTGGCACAGGAAGAATAGGTCCGAAGATGTGGAGAAATCCGGGGGCGAAGAATGAAGATAAGAAAGAGACGGTTGCGGCGGTGCGCGCAATAATACTTGATAATAGTCGTAGGTTCATTTAATAAACCAGGTTCATGTGTGAAGCGTACGAGTGTAATCATGGGCTGTCTATTAGGATGAGGCTGAGTAATGGACAGTGAGTCTGTGGTCTTTATTAAGACGCAGCTCTCCATACTGGACCGGGGCGCACAAGTCAAGTACATTGTGTGATGAGTCCAGAGATAGTTTGATACGTGCCCGCACGAAAGCTATGTCGGCCGCCTTGATAGGGCAGTGCTTCTCGAATGAATCCAACGCGACAGTGAATACGTGTAAAGGGCCAATTAGCCGTGTTCGATCGGGTATGGTCAGAGAAACACGAGAGACCTCGTGACCTTTGAATGCATCCACCCATTAACACTCACCCAGCCCATCACATTTCTCTCGAATCTGGTGGCTGGTTCCGGCACAAGAGTTTTTCTCATCACGATCGAAGCCAGTCTCTAACAAATTGGTTACTTCGGACCTGTGCCCGTTCGGCATGGCCTGCATGTCCCTGGCCTGACGGACTGCATTCGATGGCGGATGGGATTAGGATGACCAGGGGTCCCAGCAGGAAGGATTCTGTGGTGGTGCCAAAACTGCCAGGTGTGTCACGCGTGTCGCGGGCGGAAAGTCTGGGCGTGGCCACCAGGAGAGGTCTTGGCGAGCGGAAAGCTTGATTCCTCTCTTGGCTGATCCATGCTGTACGTACGTACGTAGTATTGGGAATCACATTTTGTTACCAGATGACTGTCATTGTCAGTTGCCGCCAGAAACGGTCTGGCCAGCGTCCTGTAACCCCGGTTGACAGTCGTTACTCAATTCCGCGGCAGGTGATTTGGGGACGGTATATTCGCGGGGGCCTTGGTCTGGACTGGTCGGCTATTTCAGGCTGTTGCTCATAGTCCGTAGTGGCAGCCAAGCACACCCTGGGCAGGCACTTGTTATTAGCGAGTACTACTAGTATCAGCCCTGTCGTATACTAATAAGGCGCTCAGCGATTGATTAGCCATCGCGTACGCGACGGTGACATTCAGGGACCGACTGACCGATTCGGCATGTCGGAGTGTCGGAGTTAGAGGTGCAGCCGGTTCAATGGGCAGCAGCCAGCAGGCCTTACAGAGGGTCGCGAGAAGGCCTCGCCAGAAAGCAGAAGAATCGTGGGGCTCCAGTCGCCACAAGAGGCTGAGAATTTGCAAGGACGGACGAGTGAAGTCTAATTACGGCGTCGGAGCAGCGCAGATCTCGAGTTGACAAATTCAGGTATGATGATGATGTGCGCGACGCGGCAGCAGAAGCGCTCGTCTCTGGGGAACGACGGCGACGGTGGTGGTAGCGAAGCCAATCGCAGCCTCGCGAAGAGGGGCGCTGCCAATATGCCAAGCCACGCCAAGGCTTGGCAGAACTTGGCACGAGAACGAGCGTGGCGGCTCTTGGCATGAAAAAAGCTAGCGAGTACCTGCCACCGCACCTGTTGGCGCACTTCAGCTCGTGTACCCACTCATCGTCGACCACCCGGTCGCGGTGCCAAGACCCTGCCAAGACCCTGCCAAGACCTCCGCTCACCCTTCTGATCTTGCCCAGGCTCTTGTGCGAATGTAAAGGGTGAAGGCGCCCCCGAGAATGCTTACGGAGACTCTTCCCTCTTCATACCCTTTGGAACAAGTCGCTTTTTAAATCCTCGATCGCCTTGTACATCAACTGCTTGTCGAGAACTCACAAACCCGGTCTCTCGACGGTCTCCTCACTCAGCCCTACAACCCACAGGCGTCACTCATCTTGTCTCAGAAGCACAGCCAAGGCAGTCGCGCCCACGCGTAGGAACAGCTTACCCCACGGACAATGTCTCCCCCGATTCCCGAGGGCAACAATCCCTCGTCAGGGTCCAGCAACAACAGCACTTCGGACTCCAAGTCGACCACCCCTCCTCCCTCGAGCACTACCTCGACTACCTCTGCAGCACCTCCCCTCTCGAGCGGCCCGGATGATGCTCTGACATGCCGCTGGAACAACTGCCTTCAAAAGTTTCCCGCACCAGAGTCGCTGTACGAGCACATTTGTGAGCGCCATGTTGGCCGCAAGAGCACCAACAACTTGAGCCTCACTTGCCAGTGGAACTCGTGCCGCACGACAACCGTCAAGCGCGATCACATTACATCGCACATCCGCGTTCATGTCCCGCTCAAGCCCCACAAGTGCGAGTTTTGCGGCAAGTCCTTCAAGCGACCCCAGGATCTCAAGAAGCATGTCAAGGTAAGGCATACCCGGCTACTGCTATACGGCGAGGACTATCGACTGACTGGAATAGACTCACGCCGATGACTCTGTCCTCGCGCGTCCCACGCAGGACCAGCACGGACAAGGTGGCATGAACGGCTACAGGCCCCAGATGCACAAGAGTACGCATCCTCTGCGCCATGTCGCGAACCAAGACTGACTTTGTCAAGCCCCCAGCTACTACGATCACAACGGCCAGATGCGCCAGCAGTATCAGCCCCAGCATCCCGGTGGCCCTCACGCGCACCCAGGGAACTACTACGCGCCCCAGCCCTCGACCAACTACGGTCTTTACTTCAGCCAGGCGCCCCTGAACAACCAGCGCACCGAGCAGCACATTGGCTACAATACTGCTCCCTCTGGCGGTTACGATCGCAAGCGCGCTTTCGACATGGTGGAGGACTTCTTCACCAGCGCGAAGCGTCGCGAGATTGACCCCTCGTCATACAACCAGATTGGCCGCTCACTGCTTCCCCTCCATGGTGCCCTGTCGGTCCCCAACGGCTCCATGGCTGCCACTGAGCACCAGTACGTGCCTCAGGCGGCGCAAATGACTCACGCCGGGCCTGCCCCTACTCAGAACCCGCTGGCTCAGCAATATTACCTGCCCACGCCCTCAAACGTCAGGACACAGAAGGATCTCGTCCAAATCGACAATCTTCTGGGCCAGATGCAGAACACCATTTATGAGAATGCCCAGCATGCGCCTACCGATATCCACCACATCCATAACGGAGACCAGTTCAGTGGGTATCGTAACACGCCCTCGCCTCCCGTCGCCCAGCGCTCTCCGACGGGCATGCCCATTGGTGCTGATGGCTACCAACACATGTCTGCTGCTAGCATGCCTTCGCCTCTGAGCGGCCTGTCATCGACCGGCACCCCTGCCGTCACCCCACCGTCAAGCGCCATGTCATATAGCTCTGGCCACTCGCCAAGCCCATCTGCTTCGGCCATGTCCCCTCAGTCCCGCCACAGCTCCACCACATCGTCTGTCATGTACCCGACCCTGCCAACTAGCTTGCCCGCTGTCAACCAAGGGTTTGGCCAGTCTACTACCGCGACGCTCGGTCCCAGCTTCGAGAGCAACGAGCGCCGCCGGTACTCTGGTGGCATGCTGCAGCGCCCTCGGGGCCCCCCTCCCAGGTCCATGCCTGCTGAGGATGGCGCAAGCACGCCTAGGAATGGTGACTCTGCCCTCTCCATCTCCTCACCTGCCTCCGAGGAGTCCGAGGTCAGCGAGGCCACCCGCGAGCGTGAAGAGCAATTCGACCGCTGGCTCGATAACATGCGTGTCATCGAGAACTTGCGCAAGTATGTTCAAGCCCGTCTCGAGCGGAGGGACTACGTGGAGGAGGAGGATGAGCGTGGCGAGGCGCAGGTGAAAAAAGAGCACAGCCCCGAGGCCATGGACGTCGATGTCAAGAGCCCACGCAGCCCTGTCCCTCATCAAGAGAACCATCCCAAGGAGGGTTCATCGCTGTATCCCATCCTGCGCATGCCTGGCGCATAAGCAGGGAAGATGGCGTTGGTGGTTGAAGCTCGACAATTGTTGGAAACTTGCTTGGACGTATATGATGAGCATTTGAGTTATGGCAATGTATATGACATGATCAAGGCACCACTGCCGGTGCCGCCTAGTAGGAAAACAGCTACGGAGGATTGATTGGCGGAGTCATGGAATCCTATTTTGTCTTCACTTTCTTTCACCACTGCGCGTGCATGAAGTGATCTTGCCAAGAGTAACAGAGCACAACCTCCGCACGAGGTAACAGCCACCAGGGTAGTGAGTGACCTTTTCCGCGTGTGAGTGCACACCTCTGCTGTCACGGTGCCCTCGTTGGCCTCTGCGGATGATGTCGGCGATGACGGAATTCTTTCGCTTGTGGAATGGAGATGACCGTTGGCCAAGATGCGGTGGCGCACCGCCCAGCCCGCGACGTTATGTAGATCCAGTGAGTACTAATTACGTCCAAGCATGAGCCAACAGGGTCTTTCTTGCACGTTTGCGGCAACTTGTACACATTCTTGAAAAAAGAAGATAATCAAATCTGACGACACCGCAGTGCGGTCAATGTGTAAGTAGGGGGTCAGAAGCACGGTCTCACGCGGCGAAGTAGGGAAGTACATCTCCGTTGTCCGTTGTGCATCGCAGGACATCCACAGGCAACTGGCGTCCGAGGCTAAACATTCCCATCCTCAGCTGATGCTATTATGGAAAAGTTCCTGAGTCTAGTCTTGGATGGCGACCGGATGAGGCAGGTAATATGGTAAGCACAGACTGAGAGTGTGAGACGCCCGAGGCGGACCGGTCGATAGAGTGAATACGTCGGCTCTTAAGACTGAGTGGTAAAGGGGTAGATCGGCTCTCTGAGGAAATGCAAGGGATGGTATTCTTATTCAACCTCAGTGAACGCGGGTTGAAGTAGGTTGACTCAGCCAGATGATGGGTCTTGGAATGTGTCTCACTCTGTGTGAGTCTACGGCAGCTGTGATTACCGAAAAGTGCAGCTATGTACCTTTGACGTTACTTTACTTCACGCCAGGTACCATTGCGGTCGACGGTTATTTAAGGATCGCCTAGTCTAGGTGTGCGCGGTGACCAGGGGCCGGCGATGCTTTCACTTTCATCTCACTATTCGCCTTGTCTGACGCAACTCGGCTTGGCTGGCTCTAACCCTTCAGATATAATTAGCTACCAAGATCTGGCTTCGTCTTCCTCCAACCTCTAAAACCACAGAAGTCAATCGACCGTATTTTGTTGACACGAGAAGGTCCTCTCCACCAAGATCCATCATGCGTCTCATCAACCTCGCGTTCAGCATCCTTGCGGGTGAAGCCGCTCTCGTCTTCGCGGCGCCGGCTGGCTCGGACCCTAACGTCTGCTGCTGCTGTGACATCTCACAACCAGCCATGGTCTGCACCACCAGCAGCGAGATATTCTCCTGCTCCTGCCTCGCCGTGGAGTGTCCAGAGGACGCTCCCGTCGTCTGGCGTAACCTCGACGAACAGCCTCCATGTCTCTCTACGCCTCCAGCTCCGGCGCCCGAGCCCACCTTGCCAGCGGAGGGCGACACCGCCGACTGCTGCTGTTGCAACATTGGCAAAGGTGCCATAGTGTGCGACTCGAGACCTGCCGACGAAGGCTGCTTCTGCCCTCTGGTCCTTTGCCCTTCTGATGCACCCACCATCCGGGCTGAATCTGACGTGCCCATGCCCACGCCTACACCTCGCCTCGCGCCCTCTCCCGCGCCTCAACCTCTCGTCGACGCACGCAACGCCGAGGAGGGCTTGGTAGAGTGCTGCTGCTGCGACAGTTCCCAGCCCGCCATCTCCTGCCGCATGGTCCCTGAGGAGGAAGGTTGCTTCTGTATCGCTGTGGTGTGCCCCGCTGGCGCACCAACTGTCTGGCCCGAAGGCATGCCTGAGATGACCCCGATGCCCGAGGCACCGGCCTGTTGAACCTCTGGATCGCGTTCCATCTCGCGGTGGTGATCAATGGAGGAGTGCATGTATACTATACGGGTGTTTTAGGGAACTTGCTGCCTTTGGAGCTGTCAGCAAACTCCTGGCACGGCGTACGGGGAACAAAGTGCTTCGGCTTGCTTCGGCTTGTTGACTGTAGCGGGCGAGTCTTGGTGATAATAGTCCACAGCTCTCATAATGCAGAAGATGGTGCCCAGGAAACCTGGCCATGTCGCAAATTGCGATACATGATGCTTCTCATTCTCATCGCTTGTGCTACCAATTCGGGTCGCCAGTGCGTGCAAAGTGAAGGCTTCGTATACCTGGTACAATTATTTCCCTGGGCTATTACTATTCATCAATGCGCTGTCCACGACACGACTCGTGCGCTGGGTCACCGTTGCGCCAAGTCTTCCGACGGGGCCTGAGGAGGAGACGCTCTGGATAGGCTTTCAATGGTTCAGCCTCCAAGCGCTTGCGTTTCATTATCAATTGGGGCGAGCAAAGGAATAGGCGCGAAAGGGGCCTAATAATTCCCCTCCTTGTCCGCCTTCTGCATTATCGCTCTGCATGCGTAATTACAGTTGGGTATTAGTACGGATATAGTATACTGTAGGTAGACCAGTACTAGGTAGTGGCCAAGGCACGATCGATCGCACTGGTGACTGCCCAGAGACATGGGTTTGTCTGTTCGCGATGCATGCTTGAAATGAACACGTGGGAACTTGCCGCGCACGATGGGAGAAGAGGCTGGCTCATGATGTCTCTCATGATGTCTCCCCTTACTCGTAGTCAATGCTGTCGTGGCCAAGGTGGCTTGGAAGGAAGTAATTACAGGTAAGGTATTAGTCGTCAGTGGTAGTCTGGAAGGTGCCAGGACGAGCAAAGGTGAACAGGTAGAGCGAACGCCATTGGCCAAACGCCTCTCGTGGAACTTTCCCGAGTCCATCTGCCGCGAACATGAAGAGACTTGCTGGAGGGAAGAACGACCGGGGCGTGGCTGCCGGGCTCTTCAATGCGGCGTTATGGAGTACGCAAGTCCACAAGAAAGTTTGTGATTGGTCCATCTGAACAATCTACCCTGCCACATGGGGAAAAGACGGGAAGGATCAATTGGATAGCATCCCAATCCCTCCCACATTGCAGGCGTGGTCAGCCCCTTGGGCCGAAGCACCCCCGTGGACAGTGGTTACGTACCTTGCCTTTCAGGCGGCCCAACAAGTGTCGGTTCGTTTTTTCATATCGTCCCCACGGCTCTCGTCTTTTCCTCAACCTCTCAGCGACTTCCGGGACGCGTTGCGACGACTTCACTCAGTCACTCTCGTCGTTCGCAACAGCGACGCAGCCATCCAGCGAACGCCCAGTAGAAAGGGGACCGCAGCGCGTGCCGCACGTGGGCATGAGCTTGCGATACCTGGACTTCAATGAACGTGTCAGTCATGGGTCTCGATATGCCTGGCCAGCTGCCCTTCAACCAGCAGCCACCGTCCGGCGTCGTCAATCCGCCAGCGACCCAGCCCCGACCTGTTCAGCAGATGCAGCAGTCGACCCAGGTCCCTGCTGCGAAGCGCCGCCGTACGGCCTCGGCTGTCATGTCCAATTGCTGTCGCACTTGCAGGCTGCGCAAGGTGAGTGAACCGAGTTCTTTGTGCCTACGCTCTCACGCGCGCATCAACTAACGACCGACTTCTGTCCAGGTCAAATGCGATGGAAATCCTGGAGACGGGGGCCCTTGTGCAAACTGCGCACGACTCGAACTTGCCTGCCCGTTCGTGTCAGGCCCCTCAGTACCCGGTCCCCCAGGTAAGTCGCATCGCCACCGCCATCGCCGTCGTATTAATCACTGACACTGGTCAGACAAGATTGCGCGGGTGAAACCCTCGAGCAGTCACACGGAGGCCGGTACTGTTCGTAAACGAGCTCAACGTGCGTGTAGCCAGTGTCACACCCAAAAGACCAAATGCTCCGGCGACTTGCCTCGTTGTAAGCGTTGCGAGACTGCTGGCTTGAATTGCGAGTATCTGCCACCGAAGCGCAAATTCGCCAATGTTCGTGTGGGATCGGAGCCAGCTACAGACAAGAGTGCTCCCGACAGCGCTCGGGGCAGTACAGTACCCTCGAGCGCGACTGCTAACAACACCGCTGCTCCGACATCTGATGCACCAGCGCAGTCTGCCCGCGCCTTGACGTCGGAGAAGAGTGCCTCCCCCGAAGCGTCTGTCAACGGGGGAGCTAGGGGGGGAGATACATTTCCCCTCGCTCTTGATACATCTGTCCTTACATCTCAGTAAGCCACATTCTTGACCAGACTTGCCAGAGCATCTGTGCTGACCTTCAAGGCAACTACTCGTGAGGAAAGACCTCATTCTTCGCCATCTCGATGCATATTTTGAAAACATATACTGGCTGCCAGCTATGGGGTTCTTTCACCCCGAAACGGCATATCGTCAAGTTTACGTTTGTGGTCCCAAGCATTCATTCGAATTCGCATGCTGATATGTGACAGGAGGGAACTTTTGATCCACCCACAGCTGCAGCGCTATGCGCGCTCACTACTTTCTTCGTCAATCCGGATTTCAAGTCGTCGCAGGAGTTTGGTATGAAGTGCTGCGATGAGATCGAGTTCTACATATTCCGCAACGTCCACAAGTTCTCGGATCGGGTCCTCCTGCCATACGCGCTCATCTTGTGCTTCAACTTTTTGAACGGTTCATTTGCCAAGGTTTGGCAATGCTTTGGCCTCGCAACGCGACTCATGACCGGACTGCAACTGAACTGGGATGTCTCTTCCCGCAACAAAACATTTCAGCAGGAGGAGCTAGGACGGAGACTTGCATGGCAATTCTTCGTTATGGACCGGCTGTTGGCGGGTGGCTACGAGGAGTACATATCGTGTCGCGCCGATATCATGAAGATTCGTCTGCCTTGCCAGGAGAGTGCGTTCTGGGAAAACAAGCCGATATTGGCGGAGCGCCTGACAGACAAGAATGCGAAAGCCAAGGGCGTTGGGTTCCATGGTCTGACTGTTCGGCTAACCGATCTGATTCATCGGATTCAATGGTACGTATCGTGCCAAGGGCTTCTACTGGAAACACTTTTGCTGACCGCCATAGCTGGACGAAGCGACTGTCCTCCAAAACCACCCTCGAACCTTCGAAGGTCATGGAGGATATCAATAACTTCCAGAACGAGCTCACCCGCTTCCACCTCTCCATACCCGACGACATCAGGCTTAGCGATCAGAGTATTGCCAAGTACATCGCGTCACCAGAGAAAGTGGGCTACGTTTACCTGCATACGCACCTGTCGGTTGGCCACATCGATCTGTACAGGTTTGCCTTGCCTGGTATCATCGACCCCAAGAAGAATGATATAGTCCAGAGGCTACCGAAAGATTTCGTTGAAAGATCAAAAAAGCAGGCTATCGCTCACGCGCTGTGTAGCGGTCGCTTTTGCGTCGCTATACAGAAGGAGGCGGAAAAACATCCGTACACTGGCAAGGGACCGGTGGCAGGCGATTGCACCATTCCTCACATGGCAACGCAATCTCTCCGCGTCTTATTACTTGCGATACAGCATCGCATTTATGACAACTTGACGCAGGATACAACAGCGCCCCTTTGGCATTTCGAAGATCCGGACGAGAAGTACATTCGCAGGCTGATCGAGGATGGGCTGTTCAAGGTGTCTGAGCCATGGAAGCACATTTTGATGACTTGTTATCAAGCAGTAAGCAGCAGATGATTTGTTCTGTGAACAGACACGGCTAACCTGCATGCAGCATACTAACAACATGGCCATGTTTGAGGAGTTCAACAAGACGCAGAAATTTGCGGATCAAAAGGGCACCGTTGGCTTTGTTGGCACCAAGGCTTCATCAGGCGACAGCCGGCTCCCTGGGCCGCACTATATCCTTGAGAATGCGACATACGGCGTCGTGGAGCAAGAGAAGCGCACGCGCGCTGGTGATGCCGCAACAGCAGACCGCTGGTTCAAAGGTCCACAGCAGGAAAGGGCTCCATCGCCCGCCTCGATGCCTACACCAGGCGACTTTGATGCTACCTATGGTCCCCCTGGCCTGCCCCTGTTGTTGGCAGTAGCCCGCGACGCAACGGCAGAGCACAGCACCGGTCAGCCCATGCCCGAACACAACATCTACGACATGCCTCGGGAGACGTCCGTCCTCACGCAGGAAAAGGCGTGGCTACCCCCGGGCTATTCGGGCCCAGTTAATGACCAGTACCTGGGGGCAAGCGGCGCGAGTGGTGCAGGCGGCCCTGGGTCGCTTCCCATGATGCAACAAATGGATGCCCCCGAGCTAGCCATGGTGTTCCCCCCGCCGCAAGCCGGGCAGCAGCCTCCGAATGAATTACACACAACCAATGTGCAAGAGCAGTATGTGCCACCACAACAGGGTGTTTTCATGAACGGATATCCTCCAGGGTACGGCGACGGTGGTGCGTCAGGTGGTTACATGCAGCAGCCGCCGAACTTTGGATGAGTCTTGTGCAACATTTTTATGTATATACACGGATATTTGTTACTATATTGCACTTGCCTATTCGGAAACTGAGCTCGTAAATGAAACTTCGCTTTGAATTGCAGAAACTCGCGCAAGACCACTGAAAGGGACTTGCGAGCGCTGGCCAGGCGATGAGCCAGGGCTTTAAGATTATACACTATAAGAATATACAATGATACCACAGGGTTACTGCCAGGTACCCAAACGAGACATGAACTCGAGGCCATGTACCAGCCCTCAGCCTCCAACCTGTGAAGGGTGTGATTGTCTCCAACGACCAATTGATAATGATGGTGCCAGGCCAGGAGATAGGAGATGAGCAAGCTTGGGAACGCGACAGTGCGAGCGTTGCGTTGCGTCGCAGTGTGGTGGGGATAATGTATAATGTGTGCTATGTCGTTGAAATGATCCGGAAAACCCCATGCTGAGACCTGCAATGAATCCAAGTTGAAAGAGAGAATAAGCCACTGCGGAGCGTGGACCAGAAAACCCGATAAAGATGTCGTACGTTCGCTGGAAGCAAAAAGACACGCTTACTGGTAGGTTGTGCGGTCTTTCTCCTTCAGGCCGCCAATCTGGTCCATGTCGACCGAGTAGAAGTCACCCTTGGATTCCTTCTCATAGGCTGGTAGTTGCTCCTCCTGAACAGGTTCCAGACCGACAGTAGCGTTGTCACCCACACGAACAACGAGGACGCGACCGCTCTGGTGCTTGCCCTCGTTGTCATGCTCGTCGGGAAATGTGATGTGGATCTCGGGCACATTGTCGGGCGAGTGAGGAGGCGAATTGGGGTTTGCGAGCATTGGCTGGCCGTTGCGGCTGATGTAGATGGTGCTGGAGCGGCCGTCGTGCGAGGTTTCGATGGTAAGGCCCTGGGGAGGGCCACGGCCATGCGAGTGAAGCTTGGAATCGTTGTAGGAAGGCAGGATACCGTTGCGCATGCGCTGTTGCATGCGATGGCGGCGGATGAGGAAGAGCGCGGAGAGGACGACAAGGGCAGCAAAGACAAGGCCCAGGACCAGAAGGAGCATGTTTATCATGCTGTCATCCTCGAAATCACCGAATTCGTCTGTTGATGAGCTGCGAGCGAGGATACCGCGAGCCAAGTGCTGGCTCTCCGCGTCGGGGTTGAGGATAGGTCGCGACTGATAGCTTGAGGGCGACATGATGGGCGAACAAGTCAAAGGGGGCAGCTGTCCTTGATAAACGAAGGGATGGCCTGTCTGTAGTCTCGTTAGTCCATGCCCGCATGATGATGTTTGAATGTAATAATGGATGACGGTGGCAGCACGACCATTCAATATTCGCCCATCCCCCGTAATCCATTCCCACGCGAGGCCGGTCGACTTAAACAGCCAGGTCCCGGCGGTAGATGGTCTGACGCTGGGCTGAGCTCGCTGTGCAGTGAGGAGGGGCGGTCCGAGACATGTTCATGCCATTGCGGACCAAAGGGGGGGCTGCGCAAAACAATTGCATTTTCAGGGTGACGTGGTTACTGGCAGGGTTGACATACGCGAGGGAGAACAATTGCCAATAGTTTGTAAACAATGTTCAGAGCGTAGAGCCAAAGAGACCGTGATACTCCGTAGACCTGTCAAACTGGGGGCGGTTCGAGCTGGGTCTGGAGATGCGTCGTTATTGTCGTCGGCGTCGTTGAGGTCGATTAAAGATCGGACGGATATCAGCTGAAAGAATGAAGCTGACAATCCTAATGGGACGACTGGAGCGTCGAGACGCAAGAGCCTCGTGTAGAGTAAAGAATGAACGACTTGGAACGCTGTGCGCTTGTAGTGAGGAAGGAGAAGAGAACGAGAGAAGAGGTGGATGGTCGTCGCAGAGGACTGGAGGTGACTGTACTGACGGACGCTGGCTGGAGGGCTACTGCAATCCACAACCATCAGCAGTCAAACGGTGAATATGGCCAATCAGAAGCCAGTCTCTGGGCGCTTGGGCAGGCCTGGACGCGCCCGCCAGGTGCTGATAGTGGTTCGCACGCCAGATGAAGGTGCCATTTCCGATTGTTCGATGAAATTGCGCTGGGTCGTGGCCTGGGCTCCCATTGGCCACAACCTGGCGCCTGCTGCATCCCACGCCAATCGTATCAACGGCTGGCTTGATGCATGCGCTATGCCCGCTATAGTTAGGCAGTGTATTGAGTGAGAGACGTGCTGATTGGTCTCCTAATTAGAGACCATGCATTTCCCCTGCCAAGCCTCACGATCTTTCCAGGTCTGAACTCTGAAGATTGTCCCTGATAAGTCGAGTTGACTGTGGAGCTTCCACGCCCGACAGTCGAGTCGTTGACGCTGGAGGAAAATCGCGACATCCCTCAAGTTTCTTCAGTGACTGTGTCATTCTCATAATGAATTAACATACAGTTGGACCCTTTTCTTGAGTGCTCCGAGTCCCATTACTTTCAGACACCAGGGGACTGACCGCAACTGCTGCTTGACCACATTGACGAGACGAACCCTCAGCAGGATGCTATCTATCGAACGACTCATTGTTGCTACGAATCCCGTGCTTCCAAACTGTACTCCTGTTCTTTCACCGATTTCGCGGAGTGGGTGACGAACCCCGAAGGGCGGCTCTAGGGCATGGTCACACCAGGTTCACGCCGCCACACCGACATGAGAATCAACCCATCTTCAGTGCCGAATCACCTGATCTCAATAGGTCATACTTACGCCTGGGTTGGTGCTGTAAACTGAACATGTAGTATTGCATCACTAAGAGCACTGATCTTAAGACTAAGAGTCTTCGCATGAGTAAAGAATGGTTGGATCAATTGAATTCGCCTCGCCAACGGGAGGGCGACGACACACGAATAGCCACACGAGCCTTTCAAACGGGACAATGCAGATGGAGACCAGTGGTTCCTCGGATTCATCATGTCCGCCAAATCAAGATACTCGAGAGCATTTTAATACTGTCCAGGGCGACCATGTCCCAAGCTGAGCGGCGTCGAGGTGAGTCTGCCGAGGGTTTGCACCATTGCGATTGATAGATACCTTTTTAGTCAGTCGTGCTACAGGCTTCTTTGTCAAACCTAACAGAGGTCAAACACCCCAACAACATGAGGGCTGCCATCATGCCCAGCGAACTGGTCGGGGAGGTCCCAGTGGACTCGACGCATGCGCCGCCTATGATGCAAACATGCTGCCGTTTCTGTAATTATGTTTGATATGCCCGACGCCAACAAGTTGGCCCCTTCCAGAGAGAACACTGATCAGGTTGCCTGTAACGTTGTGTCTGAACCAATACACCGCGCATTCGGGATGAAGCATTATAGGCAAGCCAAGGGCATTGGAAAGATTGGTTATTCTCAGCATTCAACAAGGTATATAGTTGATGTCTGTACACCGGCTGGGCGATATGACTTGAACCGCAGCGGCGCAGCCTACTCGTGGTGGCCAAGATGCGGGGGCCCTTCTTGGTGGGTGCCTGCATGGCCGTGTCCCTTTACACGTCCCTACCTTAGGTTGGCAACAAACATCATTTCCCAGCCCAGATACGAATCTCTCTGGGCACTGGCCTGCGACTTCATCTCAGTTGAGCCGGCCAAGGGACATTTTGAGAAAGGGCGGAGGTTCATGAAATGAATGTAGCCGTCGCTCAGCTGCTTACCATAACATCTGCGCCGGGGCAGCAATGCGTCTGGTAGACGTGCCTAGTGCAACAACCAATGCAACTCAAACAACCAGACGTACGTACCTACCTTAGGTTGGCTGTGTGAAGCATCCAAGTCGTGCAGGCTGTCGTGCAATGTGCATGTGCGCCTCTAAAACACGGGCTCCCAAATAACAGGATAGCTGTCGCTGCTCACTCCTCATCCCCTTTCTCTTAACCCTCCCTCCTATAGCCTGAAGACATTTGCTCCTAGCTGCTACCGCTGTCGACTCTTCAGAGGTCTCACCGAGCTGCATTGCCCCCAGACAGCCTCATATCCCCATCTCCACGAGGTCTGCAGCGGACAGCCTACTGAGCCCGCCCACCTGTCTCACTTCCCATTCCTGCTACTGATTACCTTCAACTTTCGACACTGAAATAACACCCTCTCCCTACGCGTCGAGGGCAAACTCTGGTAGCGTTCTGGGCGAGGACACAGGGCTAACATTCCGAAGGGAACTGGTTTCCCTAGCCCTCCGGCTGTGGCTTCAAAGTTTGCGTCCATCTAGGTATACAAAACCAAGATATCGCACTCTTTCTTGTTTCCTTTCTCATACATATCACTTTTTCGTTTCGTGGCCCATACGCCTTACTTCACAGCATCACGCAGCCATCTACTCAGGTAGACAGGACGAACTCATACCTCAGCAGTTGTATTGCCGATTTCGACAGCCATTTCGACGCCGTACACTCGAATACCTGCACATGCTTCTTTGCAAACGATTACACGATATACCAACTTCTCATCAATCCACACTCGACCTCGCCATTTTGATGAAAAAGAACAATTTGAACAACTCTACACGATCCATCAATTCCATACCCCCCAGCAACTCTACGCCTTCCAGCAACTACTTGGCCAGATCACTTTGAGTCTGGGCACTCTGGAATACATCGCCTCCAAAAGAAAAAAAAAACAGCTTGCGAATTTCTTGCCCACCACCCTGCAAGAACCATCAACTGTGCGAGCTAATTGATAAAGTTACGACCGCAGCTCTGGTAAGTCAATTCTGACCCTTGATTATTTCTCACGTCGCGCCAATCTCCCTCGAGAACCCCTGGACGCTAGCTATCCCTTGTGAGCGCGCCGGCTAGCGCTGTTGATTAGTGCAGCCTTATCGATCACAACTACCGGTCGGGTGTCTACCAGACCCGGTTTTTATGCCCATGTCTGGCCCTTCAATTTCGGTGCTGGTGTCGTTCCTCTGAAGACTGAGAGCCTCACCAATGCGTGGACGCAAGTCATGCACAATGACATTGATCGATCCATTCCCTCGGTGAACGGTGCTGACAGCCTGGATGCAGTCGTTTCCCCTCACACACATCGACAGATCGGCAATTCGTCTGTGCCGCAGTGGACACGAGCGTCGCAACTTGCAACAACTGTGCGCGCGAGCCTACATCACCGCCAAGGACACTCTTCGAAGTTCGGAACCCTGCCTGTCAAGAAACAAGCGCTACCGAAAGCTATCCACGTCTAAGCTCACGCCAGACGACTGTCGCTCACATCGTGCGAACAGCGTGTCGTCTCTGACCAAAGCTTCTTTTTTCAAGAAAGTTTGGTGATCAGATATATAACAAGCTCTTAAACGCTGCGACAGCCGCCTGCTCCCTGTCCATTCACCCAGCCTCACATTGATCTTCCCCAAGGTCTAGTCAGGCAAGCCAGCACCCATCAAATCACCCCGTTTAACATGACAGTTTTGGTACGTTCATATCTCCTTTTGTTCATCACTCGCCCAGCCTTGCATTTTCTTTTCGGCCAGACTGCCTGTTCCCCCAAGCCGCCACGTCGTTTCTTTCACGACTCATGCCGCCCTCTGCATTCCCTGCTCTACTTTATGTAGGGCAGTGACCGACCGCCTTTAGCGGCGGTCTGGTGCAAGCGACTACGTCAGAGAGACAGGGCAGGCACGACCCACCGGCATGCTGTGTGTTTGCTAGCGCCTCAAATTGTTGGCGCAAGGGCCACAGGCTTTGCTGATTCGTCCGGGGGTGGGGGCCTGCACCCAAAGAGTCCAGAACTCCAAACTCGCTGCTTTTTTGCTGCCAGTGGTTGCGCGCAACGCCCTTCTCACTTCGCATCCTCAAAATCCTGGTGATTTTGATCGGCTGGGCCTCCAAGCATCACATCATTTTCTCTCTGCCGTTCTTCTCCAGGTTTCTGCTGGGAGTTCTTTGAGTCATTCGTTACCCTCCTTCACTGTAGCATCATCACAATCCCTGTTAACGCTCACCACCACCACCATCACCATCACCTTCAATATCGCCGGCGCCCTTATCGTATCGAGTTCCTGCTAACGCACCAACCCCGCAAATAGCCACAACAAAAGTGGCTTCTTACAATGCCATCGAACGGCAATCCCGACAAGGCGCAGCAGCCTCTTGGCTCTGGCCTCAACAGCGTCTATGGTAGCCAAACCAGGCACGGCATCTGGAGGACATACCCGGCGTCACACACAAGAGGCGGATCCCTCAGCCAAGGTCGGTCAAAGGAAATACCCAGAACAACTTCAAGAGCGTGCGTAACTGACTGGAAACACTAGATCCTGCCGAGAACACCAGCAACGGCACTCACATTGGCCGCGAAGGCACGTTCAGCAACTATCCATGGAACGACGATAACGATCGATCCTCCAGCTCGTCTCCTTCACGAACTCGAAATGGGGCCATACCCAGAGCCCCCACATTTGGCAATGGCGCTGAGGCGTCTGGCATGAGCAACGGACTGAACGGCCATGGCAGAAATGGATTCACTGACAATGGCATGGCTCGATCCACCAACGATGCCTCGTTTTTCGAGACTCTGTCCTCGATCCCAGCTACCGACCCGAGCGGCCCTCCTTCCCGCCAATCGCAGGCCTCTCCCGGCTATGGCGACTTGTTCAACGGACGCACAAACGGACACGCGCAGAGCAGTTCCTTCTCCCAGCGTGCCATGCCGAGCAACGGCAATGGATCTTCTCATCAGGCCAACAACAGCCAAGCCTTCTCCCTCAACCAGCAGCTGGGCGACCACATGGGTATGCCGTACGGGCGGCGCGGCGCGGCCGAGCATGGGAAACTCAAGGGCATGTCCTCTCAGTCTTCTCAGCTCAACCCAGGCTCCCAGCCTTTTGCCGACACCAATGGCTCTAGATTCGGCCCTGCATTTGCACAAGACTCGGCCCTCGAATCGCTGGCCAGCAGCTTCTCTACGCTCAGGCGACCATCCGACTCCCCAAGCGCGTCATATTATTCGGAAGGCAACAGCACCATCAGAAACTTCCCAAACAATGCGGGCCCATGGAACGTGAGCGCCGCTCTGATGAGAGATGCTCAGGCCGCCGAGCTCGAAAGGCGAGACTCGGCTCAAGCATACGCGGGCACATCTTACAGTCCCGGCTACTATTCTCCTCAGCCTTCCTACCCTTTGACCCCTCAACACGCCAACAACTATCTGGAGCAACAGTATCCCCAGGCACACAGGCAAGCTATGCTGTCAAGCTACAACATGCCCTATAACATGCCATATCCTCTGAGTGGCACGTTGCCACAGATTCACACGGCCGCCGATGGCGACCGGACGCGAGGCTTACGCAGCGCCCGACTGGAAGAGTACAAGAACAACAAGGGCAAGAAGCACGAGCTTAAGGACTTCTATACCTACATGGTCGAATTCAGCGGGGACCAGCATGGCTCGCGATTCATCCAGGGCAAGTTGGAGACCGCCAACAGCGACGAGAAGGAGCAAGTCTTCAGGGAAATCGAACCAAACGCCATCCAGCTGATGCAAGATGTCTTTGGCAACTATGTGGTGCAGAAATTTTTTGTGCACGGCAACCAGGTGCAGAAGAAGATGCTCGCGAACAAGCTCAAGACCAAGATGGTGGACTTGTCGCTACAGGTCTATGCATGCCGCGTGGTCCAAAAGGCCCTAGAGCATGTTCTCGTTGACCAGCAGCTCGAGCTCGTGCAAGAGCTTAGTGCTGACATTCTCAAGGTGATCAAGGACGGCAACGGCAACCATGTGGTGCAGAGGATCATCACCCTCGTCGACAGGAAGCACCTGGACTTCTTGATGGAGGCGATCAGTGGCAATGTTATGGCACTCTCCAATCATCAATACGGTTGTCGCGTGATCCAGCGCATGATGGACCACGGCACCCCCCAGGACCGCGACAGCATCATTGCGGAGCTGCGTCCGTCCGCACACTTGTTGCTGCCTGATCAATACGGCAACTATGTTGCACAACACATCATCCAGCACGGCAGTTTCCAGGATCGAGAGCGCATGGTCCGACTAGTTCTTGATCAGCTGGTAGACCTGTGCAAGCACAAGTACGCGTCCAATGTGGTGGAGACGTGCATCATCCATGGCGTGCCGGAGCTGCGCACAATGATCCGCGAACGCTTCGAGCAAGTCGGCAGCGACGGGACGAGCATTCTCAGCCAGCTCCTGAAGGACAGCTATGGTAACTATGTGATACGTAAGTGTGGACTTTGTGTGTGTTGCTGCATCGACCGCCGACTGACAGTTTTGCAGAAAAGATGGCGACTTTCCTTCACGGTGAGGAGCAGAATGCATTTGTCGAACAGATCAGGCCCCTTTTCTCCAACTTCAAGAAGAGCGGCAACGTGCGACAGATCTCAGCCATGGAGAAGATGTTCGAGCAGCATTCCTACGGAGAGCTGAAGCCAGACAAGAATACTTACGGCCAGGTCCGCCCCGTGGCGCCGGCCCCTGGCATCACACAGGAGCCTGGACAGTCTCCAGGAGTCTCCACTATGGTGAACGATAGTGACGACTCCACCCTCATGACAAACGGTATCACCACCAACGGAGATGGGCCCGGTGCTTAGAGTATATTCGGATGATCCTGATTGCGTGGTACGAAACTTTGCCATGCGATACGTTACGCACACATTATTACTCAGTTTTAATACCCACGCCCGGCTATGGATGGACACGGCAGAGTCCCAGGGCCACAGGCCGTACTAACTCCAACATTCTCGGACTTTTCTTACGTATCTATTTCCCTGAGGGAGGGCAGCGAAAGATCCTCGCCTCGTCGTGTACACATTGGGTGCATCGAAGGGTGGAAGCGGGTATACATACAGGCGCCGGACATCATTTTGCTGGTAGTTTTGCTTGTATGGGTTTCGGGGATCAGCGATACATGACTGGGTCATAGCGATTACGGACTATAGAGTGCGGCATTGTCTTCCACCCACTGTTCCCATGGGACAGTCTATAATGCACAGTATTTCCTTTTATCTCATGCCTCTCTTTATGTGCTTGTTGTCCTGACATGACATGTTTTCCCCCTGAGATGAAGCAGTAGCAACAGTCAGTAACGAGAGTTCGATGAATCCAATTGTCAGTCAACGCCCCTTAGGGGATCTTTCGCTCTCGGTATTCAGTCGCAAGCACTTACAAGTCACAGTCGAGCCTTGCTGGCCCATCCATCGGATGTGGCCCGACCGGGCTCGAGCCGGGTGAAAGCCGGGGCGGCATTGATCGGCATGACGCACGTGGGCGACGTACCTGGGAGGAAACAAATCCCTTTTGCCAGGACCCCGTCGAATCCTGGACCGTAATTAACATCAACAAGCCTCACGAAGAAGCACCCAGCGTCGCCTCGACCTCTCGAAATAGACCCTGACATCGCCAGGACAAGGGTCAGTGTCGCGTGGGACAAACGAGCGGCAGGACTCGCGATTGACTCCCCGCCCTGCTCGGCGACCTGCTCCCATCCTGTGCTGCTGCAATGTCAGTCGCAGCAAGACGCCTAGGCGTGCTGGGATGGCGCGTCGCTGGCGTCTCACCTGTGCAGCGTACACCGCGATCGCAATCCTCGATACCACACAGATTTCCAGTGCGGACCAGGTGGAAAAGTACCTTTGCGCCGCGACATGGCAAAGCAGTCGAGCCACCCCCTTCCGACGAAGCTCTTCCGACAGAAGAGACAGCGCCTTCTGAACAGCAGAAGCAGCAGAAAGAACCAAACAAGCAGCCACAGACCGAACAGAAACCCTCGCCGGAACAACGACCGCCCATGACGAAGAGTGTAGTCGCGACAGAGGATCCGGGGACGGCAGACAACACAGCAGAAGATCGGAAACGGGCGGCTGCGCGCAACGGCGCCAAACCGCACGGCGTATCGGACGACGTACCATCGGCCGATGCGCAGAGGGAAACAGAACGCGACATTAAAAGCACAAGCCCGCTGGACGAGGTGCTGCACGTGGAGCCTCCCCGGAAGGCCGCAAAACAGCACCCGGCCATGTCACCGCCGCCCTACGTACATCACTTCGACACGTGGTCGCTGGTGAATCAGCTACAGGACGGCGGGTTCACAAAGGGCCAGGCTATCGAGGCCATGAAGGGCGTCAGGGGCCTGTTGGCCCAGAATCTCTCTGTTGCGCAGGACAGCCTTGTGAGCAAGAGTGATGTCGAGAACGCGAGTTGCCTCTGATCTGGAAAGGTACTCTACAGGTGCTAACGGGCTTGTGCAGGAATCATATCTCTTCAGGGCTGCGTGTTCCGAACTCGGCCAGGAGATCAGGAACAACCGCCGACTGCAGGATGAGCAGATCCGTCAACAGAGGACGCATTTGCAGCACGAAGTCGATATCCTCACGCAGTCGCTCAACCAGGAGGCCTCGACGCTCAACGACAATGTGCGGGGCATGTTCAACGATCGGAAGATGGCCGTGCGCGAGGAGCAGAAGAATGCGGAGAGCGCGGTATGCTTGCTCCCTGGCCCCCGACCAGCTCAGTCGTGATGTTGCGTGGTGCTAACCCCGAGAGCAGGTCCAGCAGATCAACTACAAGATCAGCACCAGTCTCGGCAGCGACAGCAAGTCCGAAATCGAGGGCGTGCGCTGGATCCTCATCCGACGATCGGCCATGGGCATCTTTTTCATGGCCATGCTCACGCTCGCTACGGTGCGGTATGCGACATATGTCTCCAATGAGCGGAACAAGGAAGCTCATCGACGCAAAGAAGAGCAGCAGTTGCTCAGGAGAGAGGCGGGGAAGAGAGACCATACGTCCGCGGCCGACGCTGCGGCCATCTTGGCGGCGAATTGAAGGCGCAATCTTCATGGGGTACATAATTTAAACCAACTTAGACTACAGTGCAAACGGGCGCCCAGCGAGCAAGCCTCTTCTTTGTCGATGCTTGTATTACCACTGAATTAAAATTATTGAGGCCGTGACAAGCCAAATCGCATCCCACATCCCGCATCACGTGCGCGGCTATACGCGCGCTTGCTTGCACTCACGAACCCCTCGACGCGTCTCTCTCATCATTCTCACCAGAACAACCACAATCTCATACAATGGAACAGCCACCAGAGCAGCTCCCGCCTCCCGACAATGACACCCTCGAGGAGGTATCCCATCAGCCAACGCCAAATGCACAGCAGCCGCCCCCCACGCCGGGAGCACGCGCCACACGCTTCACAGATCTGTACGCCCAGGCACTCAACCACACCCTCTCCAAGATCTCCTACGACAACTTCCGCAGCTGCTACCCCACCATACCCGAGTCGATCCTGCGCCAGGTGCAGGCGCAAATGGTCGGCAAGCTGGGTGACAAGTGCCGGAAGGAATTCGACAGCATCATGGAGAACAGAAACGTCGTGGCACGGCTGAACGAGTTGGAGACGTTGGTGGGTGACGCGACGGAGCGGAAGAACCAGGGTGAAGAGGCTGGTGTACAGTAGGTGTCTTGCATCTGACCCCTCGGAGGAGAAGAAGGCTAATCTGGGCCATCAGACCGCATCTGCTACCGCCAGAGAGGATACTGCAGGCCCACCTCACACCGGCACTGCAGGCGCATCAGTCGCAGCTCAACGCGCGGCTGCAGACCACGCAGTCGCAGAACGCACAGCTCCATGCCGAGGTGCTGGACCAGCACGCCGAGATTGAGGACCTGTTGACGAAGCTGGAAGCCGTGACGGGGGACGTCAAGGGCGCCAATGCCGCGCTGGCGGAGGTCGTGGAGGCCTTGTCCCAGGAGGCACGTGAGGGTCGAGCTCTTGTAGATGGGACAAGTGTGTGAATCTGGTGATACCTTGGGTTCAGTGGACTTTAAAGCATTGGCGTTTTGGTGTTTTGACGATTTGTAGTGGGAGGATTGGGCTACTATGCTACAACACTTGTTCCCGTCTTCGAGAAGGGTGATCGGGATGTGGAATGCGAACATTTTCAGTTCTTTGACTTTCGAAATGTGATAATGTGATATATACTATCCGGCTGCTATATGCGCCATCCCCTGTCAAAGGCGATGGTTTGAAGGTCGTGTCTGAAAACCTTGAACTCCCCGCATGATCAAAATGATTTTGCCTGCCAATGTGTCCAAGATTTTGGATGCTTATGTTCCCGTGTATGCGCCAGCAATGCTCCTCGCGAACCCAACCGCCATGTCCCCGCTTACAATGCACCAAAGCAGACCGGCGTAACCCATGTTCGCCAGCCATGTCCCAAATAAAAGGGGTATATATCGAACCCAGAAACCTTGTTGTGATTTTTAGGCACAAGCAGACCACTGCCTTCGTTGTCGTGAAAATGACAAATGACACAGCCACTAGGGCCGATGATAAGAATCCACCACACGAAGCAACCTCTAAAGCCGCATGTTGTCTGTGTGGATGACCTGCCAGGGGCCGAAATGATCCGACTCGCCGTACGCCGGTGGTAGCACACGAACCATTCGTCCCGTAGCCCAATCCACGTACCACTTTTTGCCTTCCTTGATAATGTAGCTGGACTTTCGAGGGCTGCGGAATAAGAGGTTGCTGTAGCAAAGCTTGGCATACAACGCATCGTGAGCGCTGGTCCAACGATGCTCGGGTACCCATTTGCCATCATGAGGATCAATGCCTTCGTTTGGATACGATGTCGTACTCAGCCGATGCGCTACTTCCAGCCGTGTAGGAGCAGCTTGATCACTGGCGCCACCAATCTCGTGCTGTTGGTCGACGTCATCTCTATCATCGTCATCATCGAATACTGGTGCCGATTCGACTTGCGCGCTGACTAGAGCTTGCGTCTCCTGAAACTCAGGTACTGTGCTGGGCGACCGATGGTCCGCGTATAAAGACGGCAACGGATCCGGGGAAGACGATCTCCTCCGCAGGTGACGACCTGGGTGCCCTGTTGCACGAACTTCGGTATTTGTGGCAGAGGCAGCATCGGCACGACTGGAAGAAGACTCGGTCGCTTGTGCTTGAGCAGCTGGCGCAGCTTGGCGTACTGGTGAGTGTTCTCTGTACCAACGCACCCTCTGCATCCTGGGGACGGACATGTCTCGGGGGAAATCACGATCCTCAATGGGGAGCGCCACATCGATCGCGGCGAAAAGGCCTTGCAGCCACTTATTGAAGGTGCTCAGCTCGATGCAGGATAGGAGGAATTGATCAGTCTCGGCGCGGACTCGGATAACATAACGACGTCTAGATCCAGTCAGCTTCAAGCCTCCAAAACACACATGCAAGTCAGGCGTACTTCTTGTAGTCAGCCGCAATGCCAGCGTCCGCGTACAATAGGCTGTAGCTCTTTTCAAGCTTTGCCTTGCGCATCCAAGGCGGATTGTCGGGACTGACTGATGGGCCGTCCTTGGTCCTACCCCAGGTCCGATTCTTCTTGACAGTGTATAGGTTCAACGCCGTGCCTGTCAACGAGACGAATGTTGTGTGCCACCGGCGCTCCTCGGCCCGCTTCGTGGTCTCCTCGATCTCATGCTTCTTCATAAAGATCCCTTCGAGCTCGACAGAGCTTGTGTAGGCTGGTAGCATCTCTTTGCCTTCCAATGGCCCCGCGGCACCTCCAATGCCTCCCGCAGCCGTGACCAAGACGGCCTTTCCTTTTCCATTCCTCGAATGATCCTTTCCTTGCCCGTCTCTTCGCTTGGGATCGTCGACTTGGTACGGTGGAGGGCGTGAAGGTCGTCGGGGATGCTCCGTCATGATCCGTTGATAGTGCAGGTCTTCGTCCATGGATAGTCGCCGGCGACTGTTCGCCGGCGGCGGAGGCGATTCTGGCTCATGTCCATGTGGGAGGACCGACGCATCGTGACGGGGATCCATGTGGATGTGTGGTTTTATATGCGCCGGCGGTCCGTCCGGGCACACCGGCGCTGATCTTCGTATGGGGTCGTCGGTCGATCTGTGTGCGGACCAGACTTGGTTGAGGGTGTGGACGTAAACACGTGTGTCGGAGGGAACAGACAACAGCGCAGCACCAGCGCTGTGTGGTGAGGCGTGGGTCCTGTTGACGACACCGCCGGGTGGATGGCGGGATGAATGATGTTTCTGGCGCCCTTCTAGGTGGACGACAGTGCGTATGAGTGAAAAGTACGTAAAAGGCGGTGCCTATGTCACTTGTTGGGGCCCCGCCGATGGAGTCACGCCGGAGAATATGATCATAGCGACCCGCTCAAGACATGCCAGGTAGTAACAGCGGGCTGCGGCCAGAACCACAGTACAGGCTAGAAGCGTCGGGGTCGAGCTGGGAGACGACGGCGCAAGACAGTTGCGACCGCTTGTTGGAAGCCTTGGGGCGTGCGCGCAACGGCAGGAGTTGGGTCGCAGTCCGCGGAACAGACAGTTAGTCAGATGTTCGTGTGCGTGGCCGTAGATGCTGCCGCTGCGATCCGGGCCAGGACAGGGTGGTGTGGCCGAGGTTGGGACTCTGCGTTCGTCGCAACAGGGCCCGCCTATGTTAGTACAGTAGCAATGGATATGTGTAAAGGCCACATCAACAACGAGGGAAAGGGACTGTGGGAAAGATCGATTGTCGTTGGCACAAGCGCAAAGGGCAGCGCAGTGGGCTGGATTGTGGGTGATCGGCACAGCTCAGCCGCGCCGGCCGGACTTTGGTTTCGGGGCCTTAAAATGGTCCAGGACCTTTTGACACCCGCGCACTGGAATTGTCGGTAATATGGGGATATAGCGCACAGACATACGCAAGCGCAGCGAGTGGGCAACCCAGACTCAAGAGCCGAACAGTTGCAACAACAATTTGATGCACAGGGGCGTGTTGCGAGCGCGAGTCGTCAGCGTGCGTGTCGATCCGTAAGGTAGAGAGCGGGCTATAGGATTCGCGGTAACCGACATTGGAACTATGGCCGAACAGCGACTGCTGCTCCAGCTCATCAGGAAGCAGTACGGGTAATAGAGGCTGGCTGGCTGGCTGGGTGCCCGGTGCCGAGGGTGGATTATGGAGACGTTGTGGGAGGGACAAATGGAAAGGTAAGATGAGGTCGCATTGGCATCACCAAAAGAGTCCCCGGCATTGGCACTTTTCCTCCATCGGCGCCGCTGATGAGGGTCGTCGTTGCATTGTCAGCGGGAGGGGACTGGAGCCAGGCGGGCTGCAGTGGCCTCGAGGCGCTGAATGAATCGACAGTCCAGTCGCTCTTGCCCATCGCGACTGGAGCCGCAAAAGGTCCCCGTGCCATGACACCGCATCCGGCGCTTAGCCCCTTGCGGGAGGTGGCACGCTATTCTCCTGCGAAACCGCACGAGGGGCTGTAAACAGTCTGGGACTATCCGTACGGGCAGGAACAACTGGCGCAGCAAAGTTGGCAAACGGAAGTGGCGGCATCGTCCGTCACCAAAACCAATGGTGCCACTGGTCTTGGACTCTTGGTACTGCACACGAGGCTTCCATAGCCTAATTGATACCGTAAGATGGCTTAAGCAAGCGGCAAGCCACTTCAGCCTCCAACCTCCAATCTCCAACGAGGATCTGGGCAATTGTTTCCTGTCCAAGATCTTATCTGGAAAACTTATCCACTCATCCATGCTCCAGTAAATAACGTTGCTAATTCATGCATCGTAATGAGGAACGTACTTGTCGGCTTTGCTGGAGTTTGGACCCGTCAGCCATCGGGCCCTCGCATCGCTAACTTACACCGCGGACTACCTTGTTGACAAACAGAATCCACCGCAAAGGACCTTTTGCCAGCAGCAAAAGGACGACGCTCCGAAGCCAGTACGGACTCAGGCAGGGTCAGAAAACTCTGCTGTCGCGCCGTCATGCGCCGCGACCAACCGATGCATGCACAAGGAATGCACAGCAGCAGGTCATTCTCAAGCGTATGGGTAGGGAACGAGCAAAAACGGCAGATCCGAAGACCGACAGACTAACACAGTACGACCAATCGGCCGGAACTTTTGACCTCTGATCCGGTACCTTTGCGGCGCTCGTCAGCAGCGCATCATCATCATCGTCGCAGCTGACATGCCTCATCAATCCCTGCTGAGCCTGATGAACGTGCGAGCCGCTGATTGATTCATTTGTTGCATTGTAAGCTCCAGCGTGTTTCGAGCCTGGGTTTGCTCCTTCTGCCAGGGCTCACGTTTGCACTTTTGTAAGTCGATCAGTCGATGCTCATGTGGGATTCGCTCCGCGCGGCTTATTGGATACTCCAACAAGTTTTCTGAGTCTTGTGCCCTGCAACAACCCGGGCCAGTCTTCTGGAAGAAGTCTAATGGAAACAAGCTTGATTTGAATCGGCCAATGGTGGGTTCATCTTCACGACAAGCTACATCCAATATTCAATATTCATTACTACGGAGACGGGAGTGTCTGCGGGATCCTGCGTGCAGCGCATGGTTAATTAAATCCATGGATTCATGTGGTCACTGTACTACGTAGCCTCGTCATCAATTGTCAACTGCAACAGCTGGTGATTTCACAATCGGGGACTACGATGCTTGTGGTGTGGAATGGCTGGATAATATAAGTCGACGAACAATCAGTAAGGACGTCCAGGTGGTGGGTGCTGAGATGCCTCCAGATTGGCAAACCCTCGACATCCTACCCGTCGTGGCATGTGTACTCCGTACTGAGGGCCGTACATCACAATTCGTTCATCAGGATCCTCATTTCTGTCGAAAGGTAACTGACCAACAAGCAAATATGGGGTACCCGAGCCTCCATGTCTGTCGGACGTGCATGTCTGATTGGATTACCAGCACAGCATCGTATTCTGCGGCGTGGGACCTTTGATTGTCGCGATGCAAAAGGTCCATCTACGTCTCATCAAAATGCGCCAAGGCGCATGTCACAGGCAGCAGCACCGCGTAATGTGCCATCAGCGCGTGTGCTGAATGCCGCGCCGATCTCACACAGATCGTAGCCCGCTGGCGCCGCAGTCATCATGCAGTGGGATGGCCCGCGATGTGATGTTCGGGCTGAAGATTAGCCAGCCGCTGTTGGAACATGTGCGTGCCAGGTACGAGACGCATCGTGCTACACTCTACGAGACCTAATGGCCCCTGACACTCCTCTCTACAGTAGATCAACCAACAAAGGTTCGAGGTCTTCAGACACCAGCACACACAGATATTTAAGGTATAATACACCCATGTTGCATCTACCTTGCCTCAAAACTCCCCGTCCAATGCCTGCCCACCCCCAGACTATGGTACATCATCGTCAATTTTCGCACATGTCAAGCATTAGAACAACTACACATCCCCAATGCCCTGTGTCCTTCCGTCCAAAAACAGCCCATCCTACGCTCGCCATCGTATTAAGTAGCCACTTCGTTCCGAGTTTCCATCGATATTTCTTTTTCCATTGGGCCCTTTCCAGCGATCCGTGCAGGTTGACACCAAAAGGGGACAAGCCGTCGCCGCTCCTGCTGGTACCCTCCATGCGAAACAGAACCGACGATAAAAAGTGAAGACAAGAAGTGAAGAGAAAGAGCAATGCGGCTCCCACCAAACTCCAGATTCCATGCTCCCTTGCGCTGTAGCTCAACTGTTTGAAAGCCCGTTCTACGATGCAGAGCAATAGCTCAACAAGGTGAAAACAGGCTGTTGGGCACCGACCAGACATTATGCCTCTGGCGTAATAACGAGCAACACGTGAACACCTCTCAGCACGTTACACTCGCAGTTTCAATCGAACAGAGCGCTGGAAATTCCCACGGCAGCCCTTGTTGTTTCGGTCAATATGCTCGCTTAAGCATTGGTGGCCTGCGCGGCGCCACCGCGACCGCGAGCACCGCCGCGTCCACGGTTCTGGCCAGAAAAGTTACCCCTGGCGTTGCCTTGGCCACCACGGCCACCCTCAAAGCCACCACGGCCGCGTTGGGAGCCGCCACGACCGCCGCCGTAGCTGTTACCGCCGTACGTGCTGGTCTTGGGGCGACGCGGCTCGACAATGATCTGTTCTCCGTTGACGGTGTGAGGGTTGGCGCTCACAGCGGCATTGTAGCCCTCCGTGGTCTTGTACTCGACAAACGCGCAGTTCTAAAGAGTCAGCACACTCGCCAAAAACGAAGAGAGGGGGGCTATTGTTACGAACCTTCTGACGGTTGATGTCAAAGTAAGCAAGCTCACCATGGGCCTCGAGGGCCTTCTTGAGGTCAGACTCCTGAACCTTTTCTGTGACAAATTTCACGTAACCAAGGGTGCCCTCCTTCTCAGGGGCTGCCGACACGGACTGCGGGCGGTTCTGGCGCTTCGAGTCGCTGCCAGCAGTCTGCCAACCGGAGGCTTCCTTGGCAGGTTCGGCAGTCGTGGCGGGAGCGGGGGCACTTGTCTGAGCGGGAGATGCGGCAGCAGGCGCGGCAGCGGCCTGGGCAGTTGGCGGCTTGTTCTCCTGCTGCTGGGCGGGAGGTGTAGCTGTCTTGGGGAGAGGGACAACTGGACGAGGTCCAGCTGCTGCTGCCGCACGGCTAGCCCAGGTCATAGGCTTGGGAGGCCCGGTAGGCTTCTCGGCTGCAGGGGCGGCCTCAGCCGGCGCAGCCTGCTTGGGAGCAGGTGTAGGGCTGGGGTCCTTTGGCTTCTCGGGCTGCTTGACGTCCTCCTCAGCCAGCTGCTGGGCAGTGCTGTCGGGATCAATTGCCTGAGACTCGGTCTCCTGAGCCTGGGCATCACCGCCGGCATCGAGAGCGGCGCTATCGGCAGTCTTGTCCTCAGAAGTAGCAGCCTCCAGCTTCTCCTTGACGACCTCGGTGTCCAGCTCATTGTCTTGGCTAGTCGCAGCCTCAACGGCAGGGGCAGCTTCGGGCTCAGCGGTCTCCTTTGTTGTTGTGATGTCGGCATTGGGTCGATCGGCGGAAATCTCAGTAGGGGGCTGAGCTTCTTCCTCGGACTCTTCGTCGATGTAGCGGAGGATGTCGTTCAGGACGAAATAGCCAGAGGGCTGCTGGGCGAGAACAAATGTCTGGACAAACTTCTTGGGTTCACCGGCCTTGTTGGAGACCTCGCCAATGACTTGAATGACGATGCTGTCGGCAGAGGAAGCTTGGCTGTCAACGTTCGACACGCGGACCTTGCAGTCTTGGAAGTCGAGCTGCTTGATGCGCTCCTGAATAGCCTGGACAAAGGTCAGATACACTCCACAACTCTCCCGCCCCATGCAAACTCACCTGACGCCCAACAGATACGTTGGCTACCTCGGCCTCTGCACCACTAACGAACTGCGACCGCTTGCCGTAGAACAACTAGAAACTTGGTTAGCCAGGCGAATGAGAGCGGGATTTTTATACGTACGTGAAGCTTCTCGGGGAACTTGCTGAGGGTTGTGTAGTACTGCTCGACAAAGTACCAGCCAACCTCATCCTTGGACAGGTCATTGGTGCCCGACGCGTTTGTGGTCTCGATTGTGGCATTGTTGGAGTACTGGTCGGCGGAGCCCTTGTATTGGTCCTGCTGGGCAAAGTTTCCGTTGGTAGCCATCTTGTCGGTCGGGCTCCGCGTGGGAAGGGGTCTTGCAGTTGGGGTCCTCGAAGGAAGTGAAACTTTGGCTAATTAAAGGTTCAGGTGTGATCCCGTGCTTCACAGGAAGGCAGCGAGAGGAAGATTCTCTGTACACGGGGTCGCAATTGCTGGAATAGAGAGTCCAGAGAGTAATCCTTGAGGCGGGAGATGTGCGACAAGGAAGGATCGTCGGAAGATACTACGTCGGGAAGATGCTGCGCTGATGATGAACTGTGGCGTCGCGAGATGACAGCACAGGGGTTGCGACGTAGGAGGTGACGTGTGCGGAGCGTTGGCGACGGAGAATGTAGCCAAAACTTCTGTGGGAGGAACGCGTAAACGTGTGAGAGTTGGATTATGGGGAAGATTAAGGTGTTGGCGGTGGGTGGTGGGAGTAGAAAGCTTCTGTGGAATGCTTGATCAATGAGGTCGAAGATGGGGATGCAAAATTAGGTCTCCAAACTCAATGAGGCCGACTGGCTCTAGGCTCCATTGGGGCGCGTGGTCTGTGCTCTGCGATCCCGGAGTGGAGATTTGACCTCAAACCCTACCTGCCTTTAAGGTAACCGTACTTAGGGGTCGCGAGGAGACGGAAGGAGCTCACAAAGAGGAGGCAGTCGCGATGGGGAGAGGCCTTGGCGCGATATCGCACCCAGGCAGACAACTTCAAGGGTTTTTGAGGTGTCGTCACGCTCCAGTCACTCGAATCATCGGCGCATCCAAGAATTATATACCAAGTCTAGGCTGCTCGACACCACTCCAAATCCAGGGCTCAGAACCGCACAGCACTCGGCCGCCACACGAGCTGATCTCGGAGTCACGTCTTCATACACTGACAAGTCAGATATCTTCTCGCAGCAGTTGCAAGCATGGCTGCACAAAAAGCACGCGTATGGTCCCGCTGAAGCGCTGCAAATCGTCGCTGCTCTGGGGTTGTAGGTAGCCTCGGTGTGTCGGTGAGCAATGGACCCCACACTCACTCTGGCTGGCGCCTGCCACGGACCACGGTGAGTGAAGCCCGCCGCGCCGGCCCACACTGCGGGGCTGCCGAATTTCTGTAGATGCCAAAACTTTTTTCTACTATCTTATCGCTGCCAGTCCCTGCGTGCGATATTCTGGTTCACGAACCTCCAACCCCCACAAGCCACCATTTGCTCATACATAGACTATTGTGGCCTTGTTTGCATGCCCAACTGCGAGACACAAGTTTGATACGCGACAGATTCAAATCACACCACCGCCGCAATGCCTAAATCCAAGCGCGCCAAGGTCGTCCACATGACCCAGGTCGCAAAGAAGACCCGCGACGACAAAGACCAGCTCTTCACCAACATTCGCGAAGCCGTCCCCGAGTATCAGCATGTCATCGTCTTTGAGGTGGACAACATGCGCAACAACCATCTCAAGGTTGTTCGACAGGAGCTATCCGACTGTCGGTATGTTTCTTCCACCAGCCCTCCCCTCGTTCCTCGCTGCAACGGAAAAGCTAACAGCTGCTAGATTGTTCTTTGGCAAGACGAAGCTCATGGCAAAGGCGCTGGGTCAGAACCCTGCCGAAGCCATTGCCCCTGGCATTGAGGGCCTCACCAAATACCTGGCTGGAACTGTTGGGCTGATCCTTACGAACCGCCCTGTCGAAGCAATCCTCGCGTACCTCGACAACTTCCACCCGGTGGACTTTGCGCGGGCTGGTGTCCCCGCCACACGAGAGTTCACCATTCCCGCTGGTGTTGTCTACTCCACTGCGGGAGAGATTCCCGCGGAGTACGATGTACCAATGGAGCACACCATTGAGCCTGAGCTGCGCAGGCTCGGCGTCCCCACGAGGATGGTCAAGGGCAAGGTCGTTCTTGGCGAGGAGAGCGGCGAGGGTGAGGGTTATCTGGTATGCAAAGAAGGCCAGGTCTTGGACTCGAGGCAGACTAGGCTACTCAAGCTGTTCTCGGTCTGCCTCAGTGAGTTCAAGGTCAATGTGTTAGCACACTGGAGCTCAGCGTCAGGCGAGGTCACCGAGGTCAGCCAAAGCGCAATGGAAGAATAGAAAGGCACACAGATGGCATTGCTCGCATTGGTAAGGCTGTTGTCATTTGGTAGGCTCTATACCAGCGGTACTCTGGGTTTCGGCGTTGGGGATCAAAAGAAATGGGCTCCTTGGAATGATACAAAGGGGTCAAACATGATTTTGCGTTGATCAATGAACGATACTTGCTTACTGTCCATGGTTTACAAAGTGATGCTTCCTGCTCGCAACAAAGTACACATGGCATGTATCTACTGAAAACTGATGAAGATACTACTGCTACACTCAAATTGTCGGTATAAGTAGGCCACAGCTTACCTTTGACCTCACAGAATCTTGCTAAGCCAAACAGAAACCAGCCACAGCCGCTCCCAGATACCTGCCTTGTTCCATTTCATGTACAATTGCAGGGCTCGTTACCTTTCAGATGCCCACCCCCACAATGATCCTTGGTCGTGTGCGGATGTTTTGAACACAAACGTTTTCTTGCGCTTCAACAACAGCACGGATAATGCCGTGCTTGGATGCGATATGGGAGTGGTGGTCACAATACTCCCGTGATTCTCGGCTGTGGCTGGTGGCTGCTTACCCTTTGGCGAAGTAGGGGAAAGAATCGGAACGCAAGGAGACCGAACCACCCACCGAGAATTTTCGTGGCTTGTCTAGTATCGAGGCATCTTGCGCGAATCGTTGTAGTCGTCGTCGTAACCACGCTTTCTGCTCTCACCTTCGCGAGGCCGGTCAAAGTCGCGCTGGGGCCGATCGTCACGTCCACGACGCCCCTCGCCCACGGGTTCCATGTTGCCTCCAGTTCGTCGATTGTCGCGTCCTCCGAAGCGGCCGCTGTCTCGGTTGTCGCGTCTGTCATATGAGCGCCCGCCATCGCGGTCATACCCACCATATGAAGATCCGCGGTCTCCATTCCTGCGGTCGTAGCCACCTGGACCGGAGGGAGCGCCGCTCGGGGGACCGTAGCCGCGGTCGCCACCTCGATCGCCGAAGCCGCCTTCTCGTCGGAAGCCGCCACCACCACGACCTCCGCCGAATCCGCCTCGGGCGCCTCCTCGGCCACGGCCACTGTCGAATCCTCTAAATCCTCCACGATAGCCGCCGCCGGGAGCGCCATATCCTCCCATAGCAGGCCGACTGGCAACCTTGGTGTAGTTCCGTCCGCCCAGACCACCTCCAAAACGACGGGGTACCCACGCGCGGACTGTACGTCCACGCTCGACATCGACCTTGATTTCTCGACCCTTGATGCGCATGCCATCGCAGGAATCTAGAGCCGCTACTCATCAATGCGCAAGAGCGCGCGTGTCAGTAAAGCTTACCATAGTAGATGCAGCAGTGATGTGGTACGGGACTAAAGGAAAAATCTGTCCACGCAGAGACGGGCAAGCTTGAGGGCCCTTTGTGTCTCGCGGTCTTTGTAGAAGAGGGCAAGCTTGAGGGCCACAACTTCTAATAAAACTCCGGGATCTGAAAGCGGACACACTGCTGCAGTTGGGTGAGGGAGGGGGGGATGTTTACCTCGCATGTCTTTTTCGCGCTCAAATACAACAAAGGCATAGCCTCTGTGTGGCTTTGCCTTCTTGTTGGGCTTCTCATGCGCATGAGTGTCTTTGACGATACGGATCTAGGTTATGTCAGTCGATGATCAGTACAGTGAGATTGAGTATAGTGCATACACGTTCGATGGGACCGTAGCGCCCGAACTCCCGTTCCAAGTCACGCTCGTCAGCCTCGTAGCTTAGTCGTGCAACGAGAAGAGTCTTGAAAGCATCGCCACGGATGTTGGGATCTTCGTTTGGCTTGTCTGCGCTGCAGTTAGCGACTCTGCCGATGTAGAGAGGGGTGTTGATTCCACGCACAGAGTGTGGCGAGGTTGTCCTTCTGGTATTGAAGCTTGGCCTTCATCTCCTGCTTTTTCCTATCCTTCCTCTCCAGCCAACTCTCCGTCGGATGGTAGACATCCTCTTCCTTGTACTTCTGTAGTGCTGGCATGTACGAGCTCACGCTGTCAATGGCCGACGTCACGCGCTTTTCGGGCGCGTGGTCTGGGGGGTCGAGCCATTTCAAGGGAGGGCGCGCGGCGAACAACGCGAGAAGGTTGGGTGGGAGCTTATCGGTCATTGCGCAACGACATCCACGGGCGCTTGGAAAAAGTGGATGAGGCGCTTTTGATCGATGCCGACGGCGTTGCGTCGACGAGTGGTTGATGAGTCGAAGTCCCTGGGCGCGTGGTTGTGGGACTCGAAATGAGCTCCAACACCCTTGTCGCAGAATCTGGCGGCGATCTGATTGCTGGAGTTGTGGTACAGGCACCAGTCACGTGCATGGAGCTTCCCCGGAATTCCCAGGTACTCAGACCAACCTCCTACGTTCCATCTCATATTCTTTCTCTTCTTTCTAAAATAACCACACATCGGGTCTGGAGCATCTATACCAATAGTTGACTGGTGGAAATACTTGGGCGGGCTGGGAAAGCGGCTGTCCTCTTCTTGAGGCACGTCTACGATAGACTATGATGACCACCATCCGCTGGGTGGTGACAGTCTCTTTCCAACTGCTCTTTACAGTGAGGAAACGGTTCTCGTGAACTTGAAAATCTGTTCGTCTTCTCAGCTTTCGCTTTATGTGTAATTATATGTCAACAAGTCAAGTCGCGGCCGCTTTCCCTGGCACTGACGCGACGCATGGCAATTCAGATACTGTGGGACCCAAGCCCAAACGGCGCCCTTTTACCCGGATTTGTACCGCCCTCGAATTTTTGCTGCGTACTCCGTAGACGCAGTAGGACGCGACGTCGTACCTACTATTGGCGCTCCTATCCATCGGGTGCTTCATCCAGCAGATAACCTTCAAGATGACGGTCCACGGGATACGGACAGCTGCTTCTCAGACAGTATGTATACACGCTACCCTTAGCAGATGCGAAGATGGCTGATCGGCAAATTCTCAGACCAAAGTCAAGAATGGCGTGGGCGCATTCATCTTGCAATGCAAGAAGATGGAATTCCACTACTGCGACTGGGCGGGCAGCTCAAGAGGCATGAAGTGAGTACCGCGACACGGCATACAGATCTGTTCGACGCTGACTCTGTGTAGTGGCTTCATCAAGGGCATCCTTCCCAAGTTTGCCGCCGCGAACCCCCAGATCGAATTCTCCATCTCCCCCCGGCCCAACAAACACCCCGTCGTCACCGGACACTACATCAACGGCCGCACAAAACCAGTCTGCGTGCGGAACCTTTCGCCCTACGAGATCCTCGAGAAGGTCGAGCTACTACGAGACGCCAGCGGAGAGAAGCTCACAAAGACCAATAAGGCCGTCACCAGTACGAAGGACAGTGTCAGAGGCATCTGGTCGCCCTTCCACGGCAAGGGCGAGCCTGTGTGAAGGGGGGGCTGGGTTTGTGTTGTTTCGTGGACATGTACAAGTGCAAGCGGGGTGTATATCATGTATTAACACTGTATCTGCTGGAAGGGCTTTGGGTATTTGAGAAGCGCTGTGATATACCATCATCAATACGTCAAATTTTGCGTTTATTCAAAGGTTTCCGTTCGGATCTACATGGGGGGGTTCTTCATGAGGATGGGAACAGATTTACTTCTGCTGCTTGGCGTTGACAATGTCGACGACTGGTGTGTAGCGTTAGCTTTTGTGCGCAACGGGGTTTCAGCCAGGGTACTTACAAGCAGGCTTGAGCGAGGCACCGCCGACGAGGAAACCGTCAATGTCAGGCTGCTGCGCGAGCTCGCCGCAGTTCTTCTCGTTGACGCTGCCGCCGTACAGGATGCGAGTCTCCTCGGCGACCTTGTCGCTGACGTTCTTGGCCAGCCAGTCGCGGATAGCCTTGTGCACCTCCTGGGCCTGGGAGGTGGTGGCAACCTTGCCGGTGCCAATGGCCCAGATGGGCTCGTAGGCAATGACGATGCGGCTCCAGTCCGAGATGTGGCTCTTGAGAGACGCGAGCTGCTTGCTGACGACCTCAATGGTGGTGCCAGCTTCGCGCTCCTCGAGGCTCTCGCCGCAGCACCAGATGACGCTGACGCCGGCCTCGGTGGCAACCTTGGTCTTGAGGGAGACGGTCTCGTCGGACTCCTTGAGGATGGTGCGGCGCTCAGAGTGACCGAGGATAGCCCAGTCAATGTTGCTGTCCTTGAGCTGCTCGACCGAGATCTCGCCAGTGTAGGCGCCGTTGGGCTTGTAGAAGACGTTCTGGGCGGCGACGCCAATCTTCTTGTTCAAGCTCTCGCGAACAGTCTGAAGGAAGATGGAGGGAGGGGAGACGACGACCTCGGTGTTGGGGTCAAGGGAGGCGTTGTTGAGGTTGTTGACAATCTCCTTGATGGACGAGTTGGACCCGTTCCTGCGTAGCCATGTTAGTCAATGGGCTCTCGTCAACCTTGCAGCGTCTCGACTGCTGCTCAACGCGGGGCGGGCGCGTCGATGGATGCGTGGAGGGGTAGGTGTTCTTGCTCTAGACCTACATCTTGAAGTTGCCGCCGACGAAGAAAGTGCGAGCCATGATGGGCGAGTGTGTGTGATGGTATCTTTTGAGTGAAAGAGAGATGTAAAGTGCGATATCAGAGTGAGGTTGCGTGAAATAGGACCGCTTGGAAAGGTTTGGAAGAATGGTGCCAGAAAAGTAGCTCAACATTGCATGGACATGGAGGGGCAACCTCAGCTCAGCCCAGTGAGGTCCACGGGTGACCTCACTGCAACTCATGCTTGCAGTGCAGTGGCCGATTATCGGGTCCAGTGCTAGACTAATAAGGTGGTACCTTGCCCTTTATAAGCACACACATTATTAGCTCGATGTCGGCTCGGCCCCCCTAAGTTACCAGAATCACATATCCCACAGTTCTATCTCCCATGACGTTAATTGTCCTCTTGTCAGAAGGCGAACTGCAGGAGAAGACTGGTCGGAGGGCAATTCATGATAGCGTTGTGCGTTCTCGAAACTTCATGTTCTCTACTAGGCTACGCACATACACACTTGTCTACGGGGCTTGGTGCCAATGCTTGTTGGGATTTCTGAGCTGCGCGAGATCATGACCCAGTAACGCGTCTATCAAAATTTTGCATTTGTATATGTAGCATGTGTGTCCAAACTCCTAAGACCCAGTTTACTGCTGTGATCCTCTGAAACAGGCCTCTGGGACTGTCCTGTTGCCCTCCACCAATTCTGTCTATCTGTGTGCCATCTAGTTATTCCGTCGTGATTCCTCCAGCCGTCTTCCTCGGCGCGGCATGGCATATCCGCAGCGTCAGGGCACGAAACGGCCCGTCTGCGTCCTCAGCAGGGCATGGAGCATGCCTTGGGCGATCCTCGGCTCAGGAGCCTGCCTCAAGTCCAGAATACCTGGTCGAAAGCATCTCAACATCGGATTCGATGGGTGCTGTATCGACTCAAGAGGCTTTGCTCGTGTCCACGAATGGGGCATTGTGCTTGCGCACTCCTCGGTACCGTGGGGCTGAGGTGTCCCGTACCTCGTGTGTAGTGATCCTCAAATAAGAAAAAAAGAAGAAGAAGAAAAGGTTCATTCAGCCGCTGGCGGCGAACTCCATGGGCATGGGCGCAGGCATCAAGGTGCCGTGAGCCATGGTGTTGCTCATTTGCGACATGACACCAAGCAGCTTTTGCATGTCCGCGATCTGCTGGACAGTGCGCGCATCCTCGGGGTTGTCCAGGCCACGAGCCATGTCCTCAATGGCCTTGCGGCTGTCCATCCATTGCTCAACCAAAGGCTTGGCGGCGGGCTTCTCTACTTCCTTTGGTGGCGCAATCTTCTGAATGACCTTGCGGCTGGAGATGCTGCGCGACGGCTCAGTCTGGGTCTTCCTCTTGCGTCCCTTGGCTGGCTGGGCATGGCTGCTGCTGTCCGGAGAGGAAGAAGTGGTGTTGACCCCTGCGTTCTTCTGGTGGTTGTGTACACGCTCCATGTGGTCCTTGAGGTTCCAGTGGCGGGGGAATCCATTGCCGGGGGCACCGCGCTCGCATCCAGGGAAGGGGCAAAGGTGCGGCTTCGCACCATGGCCGTGCATCCCGTGCATTTCGCGCTCATGGCGGAGGAGGCAGGCCGTGGAAGAGAACTCCTTGTCCTTGCAATCCGAGTCCTTGCAGCGGTATGGCTTGAGGTGTGAGTCGACGAACTTGCTGGAGCGAATCATCAGTGGCTGAGTCTTGATAAATCAGTGTGGGCTCTTACTCGTAGTTGCACTTGAGCTTCTCAGGCTTGTGGTTGCAGGATGGCTGTCCCTCCCAGGGGCAGTGGTATAGTCCGTCCTTCTGGGTCACGGCACTCTTGTACAAGTCGTGGTTGCGGGCGCTCTCCACTTCTCGGCGGTTGATCATGTTGTTGGCAAGGGGCATGGCGTCCGAAACTGGGTAGCCTTGTCCGGAGACGTCGTGATGGCTGATGTAGTCAATGCTGCTTTGATACAAGTGTTAACGACCGGGGACGGGCCTGAGCATCGCATCGCAGGCATGACTCACCTTGGAGATTGGCAGGCAATCTCTGGAGAAGACTGAGGAGGGCTCAAAGGCTCATTCTGTGCTGAGGCAAACCAAGCCTCGCTGACATTGACCGGCGATGGGGTCCTCGAGACGGATCCGTCAATGCACCAGGACACGGGGGATCCGTTGCTTGAAAGAGGAGCCTCGGGCACCCAGAGCTGGGCTGGGTTCACCACGAGCTCGGTCCCTTGAGGCACGGCGAATGCGACATCATCGGTAGTGTGGCTGGCATCTTGGTAGCCAGACCAGAATCCTTGGGAAATGACAGCTGGGTCGCTCTCGAAAAACACGCACGAGTCCATTCCGGTGAGGTTTCCAACGCCTTGGGATCCGGCTTGGAAAGCAGCATTACCTCGAACGCCCATGCTGGACGTGCCTGATGACTGTGAGAGCGAAGATCCATTTGATCTGCTCGAGTCCAGCCTGGCCATAGCATGTGGCGCGACTGTGTGGACTGAAGTCATTCCAGCAACCGGCCAGTTGCTCTCGACGGGTCGTGGTCGAAAAAGCCTTGATCCACGGGGCGTGGTCTGTCCGGATGTGAGTACGTAATCCTCGGCCTCTCCTGAGTGTGATGATCCATTATCCGGGAAGTCCTGGTAAGACTCTGTGGAACGCATCCATGATGGCGCATGCATCAGGTCTGTGGAAGCTCCTGTGCTCTGAGAGAAGGAAAAGGGGCCAGCGGCGTGCGCTGCCATGTTTTGGGGGAAGCTGTAGTCGCTAAGTAGGTTAGTGTCCTGTTCTCCACTGACCAAATGCTGATAACGAAAAATACAAAAAGCGAAAAGAAAAACAGAAAGCAAGCACACATGAGCTGGCTCAACTTTGATCTAGTGCGTGTTAGCATCAAATGTCGATCGAAGCAGGTCATGTCTACCAACCCAGCCCAAACATAGATGTGACCTCGTCCGACATCATCAACTTGCAAATCTAGTCCAGAGAAGTAGGTCCAAGCACGATATTCATGTTCATCGGTTGGTTTGTGTTCTCCCAGTCGTCAGGATCCAGGGCGGGGCGCCGGCAAGTAAACGGTCCAGTCGTCGATCCCAAGTCGAGCGGCAGTGCCACAATAGCGGGTTGGTAATCCGGACAGTCTGTTCGTCGACACTGAGGGCCGTTTGTTCCATTGGTCTGTGCATATCAAGACATGGATCCGGGTCTGGGAAAGCGAGTTTGTCGAGTGAATCACAGGAGCGCGCAAGCAGATCAGAGTGTCGTTGGCCGGGTATGCATGGTCATTTCCAGAGTTCATCCTCCGCGGCTGCGGGCAATCGAATTAGATTGCAGTGGTAGAAGCCGAGTGGCTCAGCATCATTTGCTGTGCACAAGGCTGTGTCCGGGTAATCCGTGTCAGGGTCGTATCCAGCAAGTTTCCGGTGTGGGAGTGAGAATCCAGTAAAAGCAGATATCATTGGTGCTCCAGGAAGCGTAGCGGTCCATGTCCATTGAAGGGTTCCTCTGAGTATGTCCGGGGGTTGGTTGGTCGTCAAGATCCATGGCTCCGGCGAAAAAAAGCAAATCCAGTGGTACTCCAGGAGTTGATGATTCTGTTTCTCTCAATCTGTAATTTGGGATATACTTACCACGACAATGACTGTCGTTCAATATGAAGATTTCTTTGTTTGATGATCGTGTCTGGCTCAGACAGATCTCCTGAGTGATCCATGGCTGTCCTTGGTAGGTTCCTCGGGCGAAAGAAAACAGATGTCCATTGTCCGGTATGTCCAGGGGTAAGGTCAAGATCCTTGAAATGGCTTCCTCGTTGATTGTTGCAAGATTGTGAATGCGGACGGACAAAGGAAAAGACATGAATGTGTGCGATACATGGTGACAAGCAAAGAGAAGCAGACTAAAAGTACCTTGAGAGCGACTGAACCTCGTCGAGGTCAGTGGTTTTGAATCCAGGCATAGCTTGGCGTGGCACCAGCGTAGCTGTCATTGTGTCCGGGAGAAAGCAAGAGCAATTTGCACTCTTCTGAGATCCAAGAGACCAAAGGGGGGAAGCAATGGTCTCTGTATGTTTAGCACCTGTCCAGATGGGCTGGATAGCTGGCAGCGCAAAGCAAGTCCTGGGGTCCTTGTGGAACTGGGTTGCTGGTAAGAGAGAGGAAGAGGTAGAGAGGCCGGAGCGGCAAGTAAAAATGTTGTATAGGTGGTGGTATGGTATGTTGAGGTGGTCGGAAGTGTCGCAGAGTTGGGCACCGATGTTGGGCAAGAATATTGAGGAGCAGAGACAGGAGAATGCCCAAAGGACGGGGGCACGGGGTTTTATTGCTGCAGTCGATGCCCAACGCGAGGCAAGGGTGAGCCAGTCGCAACGACGTTGGAGGTGAGGAGTGACGGCATCCAGGAGGTGCCACGCCAGCAAGGACATGGCCGCATGGATGCGCCGGCGCTCTGTAGTTCCGGCTGATAGGCCACGCTCGCGCTGGATCTGCAGGAGGAACTTTGGCGGTGACCGTCAGTGGTCGCGATCCTTGTTTTCTGCTAGACGCTGTGGGCCGCCGTGCAGGGGTTTCGTCCTATCCGCTTCTGGACATGGCATGCGAGGATGAGATGGCTGAAATGGCCAGCTCAGCAATGCATGCTTGGCGCGCGAAAAAAGCAATGCATTGATTTTTCCTGGCTCCAGTCCGTCCTCCAAAGCCTCACTGTCGGTCAGTCATGAATCGTCTGCGCAAGGTGCCCGCCTCGTTCCGGCTGTATAATACAACAACATCATTAGCAACAGACAGCAGTTGCTGGTGCTGATGAAAGCCTCACGGCCAATCGCTTCCAGGACGACGAATCTCTTACCTAGCCTGTGTGACAGACCGGTATCATGCGTTGAGACGCAGCAGACGGACGCACGCTTCGCTGGCCACAAAGTTGGCCGTGATGACCACCATCAACCGTGTAAAGTCGCGCGTGATATGGCGCACTCCTCAGTGTGATTGCTCCTGCATCGAGCGGGGTATATGACTGAGAAGCAATCTATGGGATAATAATAGCACGTTGCACAACATATCTATTCTACCGATATTCGTACGTGTATGTGTTCGCTTGGGGTATCCAGAGTGAGTGAGGCTGTCGGTAGGATCGCGGGTCTTTCGGAAGCTTTGACCGCTTCGCCGCATTCTGTATTCTCCCGAAAGGAGTGGCAGGCGTGACGTTGCGCTGATGCGACGAAGAGCACACGGATCAAAGTGTCTAGTCCTTTGGGTGATAATGTTTTGCCTGGACGTATCCCGGACCGCTGGAAAGTCCCAGAGTCGACTCAGTCGAGTTCCAGTCGCAAAGCACGTGATGGCCGGATCTCACAGCAGGCAGGAGACAATCTTCACCAGTCGACGTGACGTCAACAACGAACATGAAGGCAATCAAATGATCGTTGGTGCCGGCGGACCTTGTCCACATTGTTTACATTATTCTACAGACTTCACTTCGTCCATTCGCGGAGGCATCGTCGAGGGCGTCGTCGCCGCACCACGCCAGTTGCCAGTGGGTTCATGCGCTCCTTGCCAGATCTCGTACAGCCCGCAATCCATATCATGGTCGAGGTTCGGCATGAACCCTCGAAGAACGGCGCGAGCCATAGGCCAAGTTTCAATGCCTAGCGCTCGGCTGATCTGCACGATCCGGCTGTTGTAAACCTCAGTCCACTTCCTCAACTGCCTCTCCTCCCTTGGGCTGGAGGCCCGACCTGAGGAGGCTATAGCGGCTCCGAACAAGACACACCAAAACCAGAGGGGGCCACCCCAGCTACTTGCCAGTAGCAACTCATCCATGACAGTCACGTCGTCAATCAGCTGCTCCAGCAACCAGTCTACCAGAACAGCGTCCATCTGTCCACTGCCTACCTCGGAGAAAAGGTAGAAGAAAGTGGCAATGAAGCAGGTGCGGCTGCTCTTCGGATCCCCGTTCAGAATACGCGGCATGTAGGTATTCGGATCAAAGCCTCGGGATATCTCATAGTCGAGCTCGAGATCTTTGGTATGATTCTGCCATAATCGAGCAGCTTGTGTATCTGATTCCTCCCACCAACCGTACTTTGGCGCTTCAGTTGGTGGCAGTGCAGATATGTCCCATATCGAAGCGAAGAGAAGGGCCATGAAAGTCGGTCGGTAGTCGGGAAAGTTGACGAGTTTTGCTGATTTACTTGCTCGCAGACCTTCTCCAGCCCTACACACACAAGTCAGCATTAAACACGCCGAGTGACAAACACCTCGTCTGCCGGAAACCCACATCTTGAACATCTTCTGGGCCAGCGAGGGACGAATGTCGTGCTGTCGCATTGCAAGTCTGAAGCCTTTTAGGTGCTTGGATGATGTATCCAAGTCTCCAATCGCGCCCTGGCGTTCTAGTCAGATAGACCCGAACAAACATTACGTGTCGATGACTGCAATACTTACTTCAGCCAGCGCCAGTGCTGAAATGGCTAGCATGGTCTCGCCCGTATGCGCCGTGTCGGCGTTTGACAGTCGCTCCCTTGCAAGTTGGTACGTGACAGATTTGTGGTAGAGAAAGGGCACCCGCACTTCATCCATGGAACCCTTTACCCATGCCCACTGGCAGGCAGACAGCATGAGGCACATGTGCATGTAGCCTTCATTCTCAAACGCCCTGTGGATTCTGGAATGTCGTTGCTCAGCGTTTCTCTTGGCAAGCAATCCACACCTGTCTTCATATACTTACACGCTCGACTCGAGCTCACGGCTCACTGGATTTTCGCCCCAGACAGCGAACTTTGAGACTGTTCTGAGTGTTAAACAACGACATAGTGCTTATGTAGTCGGCATGACCTACAGTGGCGAAGCAATCTTTTTGATGCTTCCGGCAGCGTCTCATATGAGCCGCCGACATAGCTATCCAGCAATCGGTTGCCTAGTTGTGTTGGCGCGAGGCTGGCCATAGTCTGATGAGCGACCAGGTCCTTCCTTGACGACAGTTGATCTATACGCGTGCCCACAGGCGAATTGACTGGTGGCGATGGATAGACGCATTCATTTCCAGATTGCAAGCAGTTGGTGCTACTTCATGTTCAGTACCGTACGTCTGCAAGAGCATGGTAGGAGTTGCTCGACCAGGCCAACAAGTGCTCCGCACGGGCGCCGGTGTGCAAGATGTTTGATCTCGGTCCAGGGATAAACTTACCATATTGGTATGCTCTCATCGCATCTAACATGTCTCTGTTTGCAGGTGTAGCACCCGTTCTTACTTCGCCGGTGGAATTTTCGTTTCCTCTCTTTCGGGGGCGCCATGGTGTACACCAATGTCCAATGGCTTGTTGTTACACATCAGGTTATTTCTGAAGAAAATATCTGAGCTGCCGTTAACGACATTATCTCCAGCGATATTCCAGTAACTCTCATCAGCACTCTCAGAGTCAGGAGGTAGCTTACGGGAACCGCCAAGCCGTGCATTCTATACGAAACTTGCATATCTGTCTCGGCCAATCACGTTTACAATGGCTTCCTGAGAAGTCGAAATTGCGGGGTGCATGCGAATGATGCGATCGATAATTCGATAATATTCGGCACGACCAGCGGACTCCGAAACTCCTGTCTGGTCATCCACGAACTGTATGAAATCGAGCTACCCTATATGCCTTCTCTTCCTCCTTTCTGCTCAGGATGGTCTTTATGCTTGTCGTCAAAATTTTTGGCAGGGTTTGGTTAATCCGAAACTATCACATTTCGAGTTGCTCGGGTTAGATTCTGGTTCTCGATCGACAGGCGAACCCATATTCCCATTTCGACTTATGTTTCCGATAACCCCAGACTATGTTCCTCATGTGAATTGCACCGTAAACACACGGGCAAAAGTAGGAGCACGAGCCGAGCGTATAATATATCGGAGTATATTCGAGCTACTCCATTAGATATTGCACCAACAAATCCCTCACACATAAAGCAGCATATTCTACTCGGGGTCAATGACTGTGAGCTAAAGGGTTGTTCACGTGATGTAGCTAGCTGTCGGTAACTTGGCAGCAGCCTGCCTCATGTAGCTCAGAGAGACATCCGCGTGCACCTCACCAATGATTCCGCCAACAACACTCACACATGTCCTTGCATTGACTGCCAACTGTGTCCTCCACCCAAATGCGTTACTAGACTAATACGTAGTCGTCACCGTGAAGCCTCACACGAGATTGCCGATGCTCGACAGAGTGCCACGCATCTGATGCAATGCTGGCCAATCGGTTTCGCATCGTCAGCACCTTCATAGTCGTCGCATTCCGTTGATTCGCCAGCATTGCCATGGGGACAATTCATTCATGTCCTGCTGGCGCCCAAGGGAGTGCCGTTGGTGCCCAATCTTCGACACCGAGGAAAAGCACCCTGCCGTTGACCGCTCCTCGCCCTACTGGGGCATTCCCTGTCCGCTATGTCCCGCAGCCATGGTCGCCTAACCGACGCCAGCATACGTGGGTACATGCTTCAGGCACTGAATATCAGATCCAATGAGACGAACCACTTGCTGGCAGGCCTTGCTTGTACTACGTGCTGTTGTTTGCTAATAGCGACTCCGTGCTCCTACTATGAGTGCCTGGTGCACCTAGATCTACTAGGCTTCCCCAGTCCTCGTCGTGCCAAACGGCTGCAAACTGTCGTCTCGTGTGGTATTTCAAAGACCTCTATTGTTGATCCATCGACGCCTCATCGTGGCAGCCTTCATTTGTCCAAATTCGCCACTCTCATCACACAGCACACCCTCCTCCCAGCCGATCCTCGCCCCTCCAGCCCTGTTTGGATTTGTTGCGCCCAACCGATGCTCTAGTCTTCGGTTAACAGCAGGCCTGGGTCACGCGCGCTTGGTTCCCTGCGCTTCCTCGCAAGAGCCTTGACCTAGTGATGCTAGAGTTGGTACCTGAACCACACTAGGGATTCCACCCAGGCCCAACGGATCAAGCTAATTTCGCTGCAAGGCTCGACGCCTTACTGTTGTTGACCTCTCGGCTCCTGGTCCCTGTCTCGCAACATCCTGACGCTCTCCGCGCCGCTATTACCTCCCGCGGTGTCTAGCTCGGAAGACATAAGATGTCCTGGTCCCAAAGTTGACTTCTGAGCTCCGATATTCCCAGCAGCACTATCTTCGTCTTCTCTACAGAGATAGGCTTCATCTATCTCGCATTGAAGCTGGACCCGCTACCAAGGCTTCCAGGTTACACTTACATTTGGTGTACTATACGTTCTCGACGCAACCGTCAGCCGTTGTGATCAGATCCCGGACGCCGGACCTTACCGCTATATCCCATTGTTCCCCAGGAAAGCCCAGGAAACCATCGAGCCAGGATACACAGACCATTGGAGCCGTTGGATTTTCTGTTCTCTTCCAGTAATTGGCTCGAGAGACCTGTCGAGACCACCACGGAGCGTTGATCATTTGGTTACCAAGAGGCTACCCCATAGCCCTTGTAGTTCTGGATTCTTTTCTTCTGCCTTGCTTTGGGTTTCTTCCGCGAAGCCTTTCCATTTGCACTGGCCATGTACGCACAAAGCCCTGCGAACATGTCTCAGCATAATCTAGTATGCAGCGGTCCCCCAGTCACGAGCGGACCATGGGACTCCAACCGCAGGTAGGAACCTGTGCCCCTCTGGAGCGGTTTACTGTTGGCCTAACCACGAAGACAGTCCACTAGTTGACTCCTTGAATGGTGCTAACAATGCATTTGAGAATGGCTTCTATACCATATTCTCCAAGTGAGTTGACACCAAAGGATGTCATTGCACTGCTGACGATCATCAGCGGACTGTACTCGGGAAACTCACACGGCCCGGCCGGTGCATCCATCGTGGGCTCTGCGTCTCATCCGTCGCGTACCGATCTCAACTATTCATCGGGCCCAGTGTACACCGGGCGCCCTCATTCTATACACCACAATGCCTCAAACCACAACTACGGCACATACCAGACCCCCACAGCCCACTCGTGGGAGGGACAAGGCAGATATTCCCCCACGGATTCTGTAGACGACATCATTGCATCGCCCAACTTGTCCGACTACTCCTTGGACAACGGAATCAAGCCAGGCAGCGGACGGCCAAAGAACCACGGCAAGAACCGACCTCAGCGACGACCATCGAACCGGGATGAATTCGACGGCCCTCACCAGTTTTTGCAGCGGCCACCTCCAACCGTGCTGGCCCAGCAGGAGAGAGAGCTGCCGCACCTGCCCACCAACCTACACATACAAGAGCAGGACGCCGTGTTGAGCCAGGTCAATGACCGACTTTCGCAGTGCGCCTTTGACTTTGTGGCAAAGTACCAGTTTCCCGTGCCTCTGACGCAGGACATGCGGCCCGTGGAGCGCCCACAGGACAGGGAGTGGACGGAATGGGTATACTTGCTGAAAAGGCTCGCGACCAAGAGGAGGATACCCGCGCGCGTTCTCTACAATGGACAGATCAAGCAGTTTGTCACGATACTGGAAAACTCATTGGAGATGCGCCACGCTGCGAAGCACCAGAGTCGACCACTCAAGGACGACAGGAACATCCTGCAGCTCATCTCGGCCGGCATCCAGGTCGCCAAGATCCTGAAAGATGCGTCCGCCATGGACCATCTGGATCAACTCTACGTGTCCACGGAGAACCAAATCCAGGAGCGTACAAAGCCCCGGCTTCGAGGCTGATACACGCGTGGATTGAAGTACAGGCCCAAAGTTGGACCGCCTGATTCACAACATACCGTTGAGAAGGATATACCAGCAAACCAGGGAGACGGGACCGCACGACGATGATGTTTTATGATAATGATCTGGCCATTTGCTTTCTGTGTTACTTTGCTCGGCATGATGGAGTCGACAGCCAGGACTCGAGATCGATTGACAGACACACCCGGGGTCAAATGGATATTAGTCGACACTGCACCGGATCTCGTGTCACGCACCTTGCTAGCGAGAATGTTGTTTTCACAAATGTCCGAACTAGCCTGATTGGAACTGTTTCTTGCTACTGTTTCTTGCTTGTGCTTGTCTTTGCGTGCATATGGGAGTCTTGCTATCGTCTCGATGAGAAGCTAACACCTGGACGAATTCAGGATTTCATGTCCAAGGACCTCGCGCAGCTCATGGAGTGCAGTAAGAATGACAGGAGGTCAGCACGTGCAAGTGCATATGGCCTTCAAAGTACATGACTATCTGCCGATTCTTTACGAAAGCTATCTATCATGGGCGTGGAGCGTTAAGCTCTCGAATGGCCATACATATCATCTCAGCACGACTTCATCAGACATGAGACTATGTCTGTCCGATTTTAGTCCTGATACCCGCACAGACGAATAGCAGGATCAGGGTGGAGCGGACTGGTTGTCTAGACCGGTGGATTGTTCTCCCACTTCGAACGATAAAATAAAGTTGACACTCTTGCGCAGTGAGGTCGCGAGGTGTAGGCAATCTGTGGGGTTCCCAAGCTGCGCATTTGACGCGTGTTGGTGTGTGGCAGGTATCTTGGCTTATTCCTTACCTGTTGAAGACTGCTCTGAGAAGTTCCAATCTCTCGCTGCGTGGACAGCGACGAACAACTCTTCATTGCAAGAACATATCGCCCTCTCGGGTTATGCTCACGCGCATGGCTACACTGCGTAGCTCATGTTCGCGTTGAATGTTGCAAAGCCAAGATGTTGAGAAAGAAGAGAGAAGTATCTGCAAAAATTCAAATCTGCAGATAAACCCTTCCCCTCCGCGCATGGGCCCCCTAGTAGCGGCGCACGTGACCTACCGACGCGAACGAGTCTCTTTAATCCACCCGGAGCGCCATGAATTTCTGCTCTTCTTTTTCCCTTCTCTCCTTACACTATTTCATATCACGCACAATTAATCAACTATCTGGGATTCGCCAACTCGCAGTTAGTCATATTTGTGTGCAAGACGAACGGATTTCTCTGCTCTAATACCCGTGATGAGGATTCGCTCCTTGTTGCGATCCAGGGGAGTTTCCGACATGTAATTATTCAACGCAGACTGTGCCCTGGCCTCTCTGTGCTGCCATGCCTTGATGAGGCTCTACAAGCAGCCACTGACCTGTCGTTGGAAACTGAATGTGTACTGGGTGCATGCCTTCGACGTGACGGGCGATCATCACTGTTGCTGTACCGCTACCTCGGTCGATACAACTGAATCGCCTTCTGTGAACATTGGCAGATGTTACAATGAGGAGAAGCTCTAATCGGCTCGCATTGTTCACTTACACGGGAGCATGTCCCACGAGCTCTGGTCTACTCGCTGTTGCGCTATTAAGCCGTGTATGCTCTACACCTACATGCTACTGACGGGCTTGCCAAGGTGTATTACCACTGATCACTGTATCTGATATCTTGCTCTTCTCGCGTTATGGCGCTAGAGTCTTCTCACCCTATTGCCCACTCATGAACATCGCCTGTCGTGACTATTCCCTCGGTTCAGGGTCCATGGCGCTTATGCTCGAAATCATCGGACAACTCCCAAGCAGCCATGGACAAGACTCATTCTCGAGCCTTCCGCCGAAAAAAAGCGCGACCTGCTGAAGATCAGTGAAGAAGGCACGGGAGAGAACAAAAGGCCGCGCCGGTGTTATACAGGTTAGTCTATTGATCTGGAACAAAAGAAACCGTTACATCCTGTGGCCCATTGACAAGGCGCATGACCTGCGCATGCTGCTGTCCCTCCCTCATCCAACGCACGTGCCGTTTTTTATGTACACATTCTACTCTCGCCCTCGCGAAACCTTCGCTCTTCTACGCAGCCTGCTTCTTCAGATCGCGGGCGGCCTGCTTGAGGCTGAAGTTGCACTCCTCGTACGCGCGTCCGGCACCGAAACCAACACCGACAAAGGCAGGCCACGCTCTGCGCTTGAACAAGAGGACGGAGAAGACGACGCCGAAACCGAGACCGAGGGTGGACTTGACGAGGAGGTTCGAGAGGCAGCGGTCCCACTACAGAATAGTCAACATGGTGCTCAACGTGCTGGTATGAAATCCACGCCCAGCATTTGTACCTTCTCGTTAAGGAGCGCTTCGCTCACAGGCCTTGAAACGGCGAGGGGCTGGGGACGACTGAGGGTGTTGTCGGCCATTGTGTGGTTCCTGAAGGACAATCGTTAGCCAAGGCCCACAGGCAGTGATCTCCGCAGCCATTCGACGCACTTTGGTGGTTTGAGAGGTGGCGTAGAGCGAGTAGTCAAGCTGCGACAAGCTTCGAGGCGGTTGATGATGGCATACCTTCACGAGAATGTGTCGGCGAGAATGCCAGCCCAGATCCCGAAGGCGGTGTACACCGGAAACTGCTCTGGTGTTAGCGTGGCGGCAGAATCCTGGAAATTTTGGCGAAGCAGCTTCAGCGTCACTGGGAATAATTAGTAGCTGGTGATTTGAGTCGCATTCAGTTCATTATAATAACAGCGTCTTGACATTGAATTCTTTTTTTCTTGATGTGATACCGTCAATATCGCGCCCACTCTTTTCTCATCATGGTAAGGCGGAATTCATTCTCGAGCGATCACAAAGCTAATCAGTGCAGAGTGAGGCAGAACTTATCAAGACTGTGCGAGGTCTTGACCAGAGTGGCCCTGGCGAGAATGGAGAGAAACTGGTCAACCTTTGGAGATGCCTGACTGCATCGGCTGACAGCCATTTCCATGCCGCAGAGCAGAGTTGCTTGAGATGGCTCCTCAAATCGATGAATGGATCAACGCGCAGCGCGGAGACATTGCGACGCTATCCAATGACCTGGAGGCTACTCGATTGCGTCTTCCAGAGAATACCGCTCTTTTCACTCGCCAAGTCACTCGCCGATAGGAAATTTGTCGCCGTGTTGCAGCAAGCTTTGAAGGATGTGTCACATTGCCAGGACGACCACACGACGGCAACATCTTCTAAACGGAAACGGTCGCCGCCCGCGACGTTTGCTCTCGAATCTCTGACAACTCGAGATGGCTGTGCGGAGAGTGGCCAGGCAATCTTTACATCTCTGAGAACATTGACGCGGAGGATCGGCGACACGACGACTACATCATCTCACGACAAGGTTGGAGCAGAGCATCTGGCCTCCCTGTTTGCGAGCCCAGCGAGTGAGGCCGCGACGCTTGCCGCGCCACTACTGAGGATATGCGACGTTTTGCTAGAAAGCGGCAGTTTTGCGGAAGCCACAGGGTCTGAGGATTGGATCGACGTCGTCGCCTCTCTGTGGCACCTTCACCTTCAAGGTGAAGATGACGCTACCGAAGTTGCGAGGCACCTTTTTGGGCCGGCGTCAGCTGTCGTTGTCAAAGTAGAGGGGCTGGCCGAGAAGGGCGATATGTCGATACCAAATACCATCCGAGACCGATGGAGCAGTGGACTGAGGACATTTATGCATCGCACCCTCATACTCCCTGCCCGCTCGACCTTCCTCAGCCACCAGAATGTGGACGTTATCACGAAAGCACTGGCCAGAGCAGAACTTGATTCGGGTGCACCAGCAACGAACACGACAGTGACAGCGCCCGCCCTGTACCTCTTGGCATCCACGGCCACACAAGTGCTGATTGAGCGAGGCGTCCGCAGAGGCAACTCAGAATGGATGAAGCGAGTCTTTCAAGCAGCCGAGGCTTCCATACACGAGCGGGAAGATCGAGCATCCGTCATGAACGTAATGCTCAAGCAAGCACGAGAAAGCAAGGTTCCCGTGAGCGCAAACGATCTGCGCGTTGTGTGTCGTCAGTATGCGCTTCAAGACGGGGAGACTGATTGGAAGCTTGTCGCCAACTTGACACAGTGTGAGCCCGATGTGTTCCAGGGCAGTGCGGCCGGCACAGAGCTCCTGAAAGAGATTTGCGAGAGATCAGTTGCACCCGAGGCCGAGCAACACTACGATGCGGTCTTGCAAGTGATTGACGCTATCGTGAAAGGCTTCCGAAATGCCAGAACTTTCTCAACATTCCTCCGCCTTTGGTTCGAACAGCTAGTTGCCGTTGAAGGCAAGAAGTCGAGGCAACGATCACCGTGGACAAGTATCGGTCGCGGTAAGAGTCCCATATTGGCGGGCACCTCGTGGGTTGAAGACAGCTGCTCTGTCAGTGAGGTCAATGAAATGCTCGACTGGATCGATTCACTCAAGCCGCAGCCCGAATCGCTCTGCCTCTGGTTGAACGCTGTCTCTCAGGGCATACACAGCGATGTGTACAAGGATGCACTGGGCCAGAAGATTTTCAACGTGATCCTCAAGGTCCCGCATTCAAATACCGACATCTCGGCGCTGAAGTGGAGGGTCGTCTCCAAAGCTGTGGCGTGCGCGCCTATCAGTCAAAGAGCCGACAATATGGCACTGATCAAGGGCGACTTGAAAAAGATCCTGAAGAAGAGAAGCCTGAACACGGCCGAAACCTTTGAAGCCTTCAAATGCTGCTGCCGCCTGTGGGTCGCATTCTCGCCTGACGGCGACCAAGATGAACTTCTTGCAGACCTAATAGGAGATTTCGACGACGGACTCGGATCAAGGGAGGAGTTGAAGGCGCAGAGTCTGGATTTTGTCATCCCCGATGGCGAAACCGACAATGACTTTAGCAGTGAACACGCCCTACCCCTATACGTGGCCTGGTGCCTTCAAGGATCGACTCGTTTCAGCAGGCTCTTTTTCAACCGGAAGAGCGAACTGCCACTCGCTGTCTCAACCTTGTTAAACCGCGCAGATGATTCGAAATCTACCATTGGACACCTCTGGCAGACATTGCTGGACAATGAACATTGCATTAACGAGACCAAGCTTGCCGGGATGAGCGTGGACCGTACCATCGATGCCTTCACAGCCTCTCAGAAAAATGGAAACTGGCCAGACGGCACGGGCAACATTTGGCTCCGTTCCATTGCTACTGTTCCGCTTGATGCCTTGAGTCGAGCCCAGCGTGAGCGGGTGATGCTGGCCCTCGTTACCGCCGGCACCTCTCCGAAAACGGCCAAGAAGATCTCGCTGGACAGCTGGAAAGCCATGTTCAGTCTCTCTGCGAAGCTCATGTCTCGGTCGACATTCTACGAAGGCATGGCCTTCCAGCACCTGCTGGACATGGCCAACTACGTGGTCCCCTCGGTTAATCAATCGCCTGCCGAGGCCTTGTCGGAGCTTGTCGAGCGTTTCTCCGCCATGGCAACCGCTACCATCCAGCGGGTGGCTGAACATGTCGAGAAACGCAGCGCGCAATATCTCGAGGAGGCGGCTGTCTTTGTCAAACAATGCGAGGAAGCCTTCAAGGAAGACAAGAGCCAGCGGATACCAGCCCTGCACCTGACCTTGTTGAAGACGTTAAGCAAGCTACTCTGGGAAACGAAAAGCCTTCACCACTATGATCTTACGGCTTCTTTACCGGCGAATGCTACCACTGCCCTCAAGGAGGGGGTCTTGCGGGTGATCCAAGGCTGGGCAAGTGAAAAGAAACTTTTCTCGTCGCCCCAAACAGACATGGATCTCGGTCTGTTTGCCGCTGTTGATGCGGCCGATGTCGCCAAGGACCTGCCTGAACTGAGTAAGATCAAGAGCACCTCGCTGCATAAACTCGAGGAGCGCAGCGCCAAAGCCATGGAAGCTGGCGACGTGCGTGGATGGAGGGTGCAGACCTTGCTGCAGAGGTTCGTGCCCATGGAGCTGCAGAAGCCTCGTCCTGCCACGTTTCATAACATCCAAGGCAAGGGTCGTGAGGCGGTATTGAGGCAATACGTCGTCTCGATCGTCAAGGCCATGCCTACTGCCGTCAAGATGATGTATCTCGAGTCGTTGCTCGGCGAGTACCTCGGTGGCTGCCATACCGATGGCCAACTCATAGCCATTCACTATGTGGTAGGCCAGCTCATCGAGGCGACCGACCTTCAGATCAGTCCCGGCGAGTACGATCTGGCCCAAGGCCACAGCGACTTGACACGAGCGCTGGCCACATCTTGCACGGCCGTCAATTCCGTCTACATCTGCCGTACCCTCTGTCAGCTCTTGGAGAACAAGCCCCAGGCCATGACGCAGTGGAATGTCGAGGTCCTGCTTGGGACGATTGCCTCCTTGTCTTCTGACAAGATCACCGGTGTATCGCCGCCCCCCTTCATCTGGATGTGCAAGCTCGTCGAGGTTGTCATCAAGAAGCACCGCCTGCGACTAGAAGGGCACTACCACATTCTCCTGTCGGTTCTGCAGGCCCTTCTCCGCAACCTCATCGACGAGCAGCCCTCCACGCCTGCGGCCGAGGGCCCTTCGCAGGAGACCAAAGCCGGCGCCTTTGCACGGTTGGTCACACTCGTCTGCGAGCCCACTGCCGGCGCAGTCTCGAGAGCCCAGCCTCACAGCGCTCTCGATTCAGCGACAGATGCGGCCAAGCGATCAGCCGGACGACACATGTATCTGGTACTGATGCAATATGTCAAGCTCCAGCTCGAGTCCCACGTCTCACGCGGCGTGCGAGAGGCGCTGGAACCGGCCATGAACTCCATCTTCGATATCACGCCTCCCGAGGGGCGGAAGATACTGAACGATGCCATGGACGCAAGTGGCAGGGCGGTTTTGAGGGAAATGTTCAAGCGATATACCAGGTTTGGCAAGTGGACCGGCGTTTGAGTAGTCATATACGGATAGACTTGCGAATATTCATTCAAGGGTATATAAGATCTGGCAAGCAAGCCGCGGCGGTTCTACTCTAGCGGTTTCCTTTGCACCTTGGGCGACCCGAATTTCTTAACGTGCTTCTTGACCTGGCCCCGTAGGTCCAGGTCGACAATCGGCCATATGATCAACGACATGATGGCCGCCACGAGGATATCAATGAGCCAGTTGTTCTTGCATGCCATTCCATAGGTACCACACTTCATCAGCCAGTTCTGCCAGCTTAGGGTAATGATGAATTCCCCCTTCTCCAGTCCATTGATGGCAGCTCTGGCCGCTTCGTCAGGTGTAAGCTTGGGATCTGACTTTTCGAGACTCTTGGTAACCTCCGGCTTGATGATCTCTTCTTGCTCGAACCCCGGGGAGAGAATGGTGCCGGGCGTGACCAGATGCACCTCCACGTTCTGGGGGTACATCATTAGTTCCATGTGCAGTCCCTCCGCGACGCCGCGCATGGCTGCCTTGCTCGGTACGTATGGGATGTACCCAGGAATGACCACCATGGTAGCCACGCTGCCCGTCATGATGATATGCTTGGCTTCCTTCTCCACGGGGGCGTCGGTCGCGCACCACTCGCGCAATATAGCCTGCGTCATCTCGACCGTACCGAAGAAGTTGATGTCCATCTGTCGGCGCATGGACGACATGTCCATGTCAAGGAACAGCTGGGGAGCGGACATGCCGGCGCAGCACCACACAATGTCCGGGGATCGGCCCTTGTTCCAGGCGGTGGCGTCGGCGAGAACCCCTCGAGCGTAGTCGTGCACGGCGACATCGGCCTGTATGTAGTGGAATCGTTGGGTGGAAGGGTCGAGCGCAGCAGCCTTTGCGAATGGTTAACTCATGACGACCTAGGACAGAGTATCGCTGGGTAGGCAGCATACCTCGACGCTCTTGAGCGCGGCTTGGAGCTTGGTCTCGGACCGCGAGAGGAGGATGACGTTGGCTCCTTTGGCTGCGAGCTGGACAGCGACAGAGAGTCCCATGCCTTCCGAAGCACCGGTGATGAGGACTGTCTGGATGCGCATTAGCCGCTTAGTCGTGCCCCAGAAGCGCGAGCAACACCAACCTTGCCCTCGACGGGCATATGATTGCGAAAGAGACCCATGTTTGCAGCGCTCGCGAAGAAACGTGCTCTGCAGCGACAGCCCAGGCAATGCTGGCAATGGGCACTCCCACGGGGGACGTGGTCGAGCTTATGTATCAGGAATGTCGAGAGAAGGGGGTTCGGCCTACGGAGGGGCGTGGGCAGATTGATGGACCGTGGGACCGTGGCTAGGGGCGTGTGTAGGCTTCATGGAGCTCGCGCGCCGAGTGCGCGAGGATGGCAGTGCGACTTGGATTTCGTCTTCTTGTTGAACGCTTCAACGCGACGAGTGTCATTGAAGCTCGTGTTCGCCATGGATGGCTTGACTTCCTAGACAAGTCGAAGGTCTCTTATCGAAGTAAGGCATCTGGATGTGAACCACACCGTGCAAAAAGCCTCACAACACACTGTAATCATAGCCAAATGGGTGAGCACTGACGTGACGCGCACTGTGCTCTTTCCGCGTCTACAATGTCAAGCTTGAATATCCGTTGAGCTTCAGAAAACCAAGCTTCCATCACCCAGCGAAACGCCTGAAGCCAACATTTGTCCGCGCAAAAACATCTGCTCTGCTTCAAGCGTACGCATGATGGGTTCATTGCAGTCCAGCAATCAATGGTAGCCATGTCTGATCGGGACGACGCTCGCTTGGCGGTTCCCAAGTTCTCATCCTTCACGTCGAGCAAGCCCAAGTCTACCACGTCAGACAAGTCGTTGACCAGACATGGAGCATCTACTGTGCCCAAATTCTCGTCTTTCAAAACGTCGGAAAAGAACGCCGGGGATACCGAGCACTCCACGGACTGTCACCGCAAGCACGATGATGAACGTTGTAGGCGACACGACGAGGATCGCAAGAAAAGGAGCCACCGCCATCCGGACAGAGACAGGGACCACAAAGATGTAAAGCGACGTCGTCATGAGCGCCCTGCTGCGGATGCACCGGCAGGACAGGATCGGCTCAGTTCTCAAAGATCCAGGGGCCCGGAAGAGCGGCACCACGCCAGCTTACCTGCGTCAGACTCGCATTGCTCATCAAACACGCTGCACAAGCCATCCAGCACATCTTCCCAGGCTTTCTTTTTTGATACTAAAGGCGACCCACTGATCCGGAAATACGGTGGCATAGAGAGAGCCAAGATACCAGATTACAGGCGGTGGGGCGCAGGCAAGGTTCTGGGTACGGCAGGCCGACTGGTCATTCATCGTGAAGGAGCGAGAGATCTCTTCAGCCTACGCATGCCGGGCGATGGCTTCTCGAGCGAGAGAGAGGGACTGAGGTCCAAGAGGCTACGGCTCCAGCCGCCAGTGGCCTTGAGGGCCAGAAAGCAGACAGCTGATGCAGAGTCTGAAGAAGGCTTCCTGCCTGTCGGTGGCTACATACCGCCTCGCAAGAGTGTCCAAGATGTGGACTCGGAAGGAGATGAACAGGTGAACTATCGATCGATCGAAGGCAAGGCAAAGACGAAACAGTTGGTTGACAGTGAAGCGAGCGAGGAATCTGAACCCGAGGACGAGGATGAGGCGCCACCCCTGGATCGGACTGACCCCCTAAAAGTGCGATCTATAGAGCTGAGACGACAGGTCAAAGAGCATCCCAACAACATTGATGCGTGGATTGAGCTGGTACATCACCAGGACGCACTACTGCGCGCCGGGCAGGTCCTCAGCCACGAAGGATCACGGGACGAGGCCCACAGCTACACGGAGATCAAGGTCTCTATGCTCGAATCAGCCCTAGAGAACACCAAGAATCCACGCGACCGAGCTCGGGTTCTCAACATGCTGATGCGCGAGGGTGTCAAAGTTTGGCCTCCAAAGACGGCTGCGAAGAAGTGGTCCGAAGTACAGCACGAGGAAGAGCATGATTTGTTTCTATGGAAGGCACACCTCGAGTTTGAAATGTCCAACATTGTGTCTTTTCAGTTCGACAGGATAAGGGATATGTTGACAACAAGGCTTCACCAGGCCGCGAATCGATCCGAGCGTGGGAGCAACGACTATATTGAAGCAATCTACGTCTTTCTTATACTGACTCGGTTCATCTTTGACGCGGGGTTCAAAGAATTGGCTGTCGCAGCCTGGCAAGGGCTGATGGAAATGACATGCTTCCGACCGAGCCATATCGCGAATCTAGATGAGGCCCGAACAGAATTCCAGGACTTCTGGGATAGCGAAGTCGCCCGCTTCGGCGAGCCGGATGCACAAGGCTGGAAGAGCTATGCTGCAGGCAAAGGCGATTTGGAACCTCCTGAGCCAGCGCAAGCCCAAGACGAGAGCAGGCCAGGGCAATCGGGTGACGTCTACAAACGCTGGGCGACTATGGAGCGCTCGCAGGCGGAGACAGCGCGTATGCCAGCCCGAACGTTGGATGAAGACACAGGAGATGATCCGTTCAGAGTTGTCATGTTTTCCGATATCCAGCCTCTTCTCTTCTTCATACCATCAAATGTCCTGCCACAAGTGCGCACCTACTTGCTAGATGCTTTTCTGATATTCTGCGGCCTGGCCCCGGCGTTTTCCTCGAACGAGTGGCCCCAGAACCCTTTGCAAGACGCATTCCTCTCGGGGGCCAGGGCTGCGTTGGGAGTCAACGGCAGCTGGGACACAGAGGAGAATGGCGAGTTGGGTGAGGGTACGCGGAAGTCACCAAATTTCGGAACTGCAAACATATGTGCGGTTCCCTCTGCAGATCTACTGACCAGCAATGAAACCTGGTACAGCTATCTTCGCTCGGTCGCGAGCTCGGCAACACTGAGCACCGATTGGAGCCAGAAAGGTACGATGCAGGCTATTCAGGGGCTTGGGCTTGGAGCCTCAGCGCCGTATGCACTCGCCTTGGGTGCTGCGAATCCCGAGACGATTTTGAAAAAACTGGCCAAGGGGATGTTGAAGCAGTACCCTACCGATGCAGCGTTGTACAACCTGTATGCGGTCATCGAGCATGCTCAAGGCAACAATGACACGGCCGTCAAGGTACTTGGCTCAGCTGCAGCCATGTTCAAGGACATGTCCAAGCCTTGTGGCTTGTTGCTCTGGAGAACATGGGCCTGGTTTGATCTCGAAGCTGGCAACAAGAAGCTGGCCATCAAGCGACTGTGCTCTTTTGCAGATGAGAACTTGCGCCAGGCTCCGGATGCCACGTTCAACGCATCTGGTGCGGACCTTTTGAAGGCTCGACAAGCCATAGCATCGATCGAGCTTGGTTCGGGTGCCGTGAGCGTTGAGCTGGCGCAAACGCAAGCCGAAAGTCTAGCATTATTGGCCTACCTTACAGCAGATGGCTGTACAGAACCCACATCCATAGCCCAGGGCAACATCTCGGCTGCCATGGCTAGCGTGGACGAGGCGACAAGAGACTTCCGTCTCCGAGGGGCAGTAGCTCGGGCTGCGCATGAGGCGACTCTGCAATTCGCAGCCAAGCTACTCCATCTCCATGCCTCCAAGGGACCCTTCCGGCGGGGATTCATACGCGAGCAGCTCATCAAATTTTTGGACATTTGTCCTCGCAACACTGTCTTGCTCTCCCTCTTGGAATGGTGCGACTCCAGCCTACGGGTGATTGATGACACGCGTACATTGCTACACGACAAGATCCTGATCCGGCCGCATGATTGCCACAGCAGCCGTGTTTTTGCCATTGAGCACGAGCTGAACCGGGGCAACGTGAACACGACGCGCAGCGCATTCGAGCAGGCCGTGTCCAGCGACGCCGGCAAGTCGAGCGTGCAGCTGTGGATATCGTACATACGCTTCTGCCACTCCCACAAGGAGCTACGCGCGAAGGCGAAGGACACTTTCTACAGAGCACTACGGGACTGCCCGTGGTCCAAGGATGTCATGATGGAGGCATTCGGGACGCTGGTGCAGGACATGGACAGCCACGAGCTGCGCAGCGTGTATAATACAATGATGGAGAAGGGACTTCGTGTCCATGTGGACTTGGAAGAGTTCCTGGGTCGACACGAGGTCCCCAAGGAGTGGAAGCGCTGATTTCGGACTTTGACTCCTGCGTAGGTGATGGGCTGCAGTCACGATGCCAGCCAAGGCGCACGTCAGGCTGCAGAGAGGGAGGGGACTGGAGGGGCAGGCCGACACGTTGCCAACAAACCCCGCCACGAATCAGCCTCTCTCTGTACGCACGCAAGTACGTACGTGTGCTGCAGATACAAGCCTGTTCCTCTGCTCAAAGAGCGCGTGGTCTCGACTGTCGGAGGCGGCAAGCTTGTGGCACAATTGACCCCAACGCGCGTTTCAGCTGCGGTGTCAAAGACGCAGCACCGCCTTTCACCCGCTTATTAGCACCGCAGACACCGTACCCCTGCTCACCGATCAAGTCCTTCTCACTTTCACCTTTGGCCATCGCTTCGACAACAACTCACACGCAACGCTGTGAACATGCCCGAAGCAGCAGTCAAGGCCGGCGGCGGTGCTGGCGCGAAGCAGCGCGCCATCACAGTCGTCGACGAGCACGTCCTCACCCACCTCCGCACCATCTACAACGCCCACGCGAGCGCAAACCCAGACAAGAAATGGACGTCCACAGACATTGCATCGTTCCTCACCAACATTCAAGGACACGACCCGTCCGAGACACTCCACCCCCAGACAGGCGACTTTGACTTCAACCAATTCCTCGAATACATGACCTCCCCCCGCAGCAAGATCACCAAGGACCCGCCTCCCACCGACCTCAGCTGGCCTCTGTCCAGTTACTTCATCTCCTCATCACACAACACCTATCTCTCAGGGAACCAGCTGTCAAGCGATAGTACAACTGAGAGCTACACCAACGTCCTGCTACGCGGATGTCGATGCGTAGAGGTCGACGTGTGGGATGGCGATGATTCCGACTCAGATATGAGTAGTTCTGATGAGGAGGAGCGGGCAAGGGCCTCGTCGTTACGCAAGAAGGAATCGCAAAAGGGCGGCCTAAGCCGCTTTAGCTCCATCAAGAAGCGGCTGCCAGGCTCGCTGTCTGCAAGACTGGAAAAGACAAGCATCGGAAAGCGCCTAGAGGATCGCGAGGCCAAGAAGGAGGGTGCGGCAGCGGTAAATGACGAAGCCGAAACCACAGCGCCTCGCGCATCGATGCAGGAGGACGTGCTCGAAGTGGCCGTGGTCGAGCCAAGAGTGCTGCACGGATATACCCTCACAAAGGAGATCACCTTTCGCGACGTTTGTGTGGCGATTCGGGACAGCGCCTTCCAGGTGACGGACACGCCGCTCATCGTCAGTCTCGAGGTGCACTGCTCGCCAGCGCAGCAGGCCATCATGGTCAGCATTATCAAGGAGATCTGGGCCGACTACCTCGTCCCGGAACCAGAGTCCGAGCCGGACGTGCTGCCGTCCCCTGAGCAGCTCAAGTCCAAGATCCTCGTCAAGGTCAAGTTTGCCGCTCCAGGTTCCTCTCCAGAACGCTCGGAAAGCGGCGGCGACGATGACGACGACCGACTGCCAGCTGAAGACAAGAAGAACAAGAAGCCCTCCAAGATCATACAAGAACTTTCTCGTTTGGGCGTCTACACGCGGGGCATATCCTTCAAGGACTTCACCCAACCCGAAGCCACCATGCCTACACACATCTTCTCCCTTTCCGAGAAGAAGTTCCTCGATAACCACGAGAACAGGAGCGTCGAGTTGTGGGAGCACAACAAGAGGTACTTGATGAGGACGTATCCAAAGGGAACAAGAATCACTTCGTCGAACCTGAACCCGGCGCCGTTTTGGGGCTCCGGATCCCAGGTCGTAGCATTGAACTGGCAGCAAGTTGATGAAGGCACCATGCTAAACGAGGGCATGTTTGCGGGCACGGGCGGATACGTTCTCAAGCCAGAAGGTAGGAGGAGGCCCTGTCGTGTTCTGAACACGAACCATGCTGACTTGTGCACAGGCTATCGCCAGGACCTGCCAGATCGCCCCCAGAAAGCCATCGCCACCAAGACGCTCAAGTCTCTGAGCATCACGTTCCTCGCCGCCCAGCGCATCCCCATTCCTGCCGACGACAAATCCGCCAAGGGCTTCGAGCCGTACGTCAAGGTCGAGCTGCACGTCGATGGCTCCGAGGGCCAACGGGGTGGCCACATTGCCAACGGCGGCCACGAGCGCGAGGGCGAGTACAAGGCACGCACCAAGACCCACGAGGGCGTCAACATTGATCTCAAGGGCGAAGTGGTCAAGTTCTCCGAGATCAGCGGTCTTGTGGAGGAGCTGACCTTTGTGCGCTTCACCGTCCGAGACGACGAGATTGTGCGTGACGACCTGGCTGCCTGGTGCTGTGTGCGGCTGGACAGGCTAGGCGAGGGGTATCGCTTCGTCCACCTGTTGAACTCCAAGGCCGACTTGACGGAGGGTGTCATCTTGGTCAAGGTGGAGAAGACGATGGTGTAACTTAGAATCTTCATTAGGCAGATCTTTTCCACAGCATACGAAGCCGGCGTATCGACCATGCATAGCGCAGCATCACGAATTCCATTCTTCCTTTTTTTTTCCTGCATACAAACTGCCCGAATGCACCATGAAAAACAGAAACCATTGCCCAGACTGGTATCATGACAAAAGAAGATGAACCCCCAATGAATCAATCAGTGTGCGAAGTATCCCTCGGATCACGTTCACTGGCACGACCAGGCGCGGTCCCCTCCCCAGCGCCGCCCTCATGCCCATGTCCATGACCATGGCCGCCGCCGTCGCCCCTCGCCTTGGCCTCTCTCATGTCGTGCCCCTTCTCCTGCAACTTGGCGTTGCCCAGAACACCACCCGTCTTCTCCATGATCTTCCCGACCAGGCTGTCCCTCCTTTTCTGCTGCTGGCGCGGGCGGTTGTCCACCTCCTGTTCACGACCCATGCCCGCGTAGGAGCCGCCGTAGCTGTCGTCGTCTCGCCGGCCCGAGTCCATACCAGACACGTTGCCCAGGCCGCCGCCGCCGCCGCCGGAGCGCTCCTGGGGGTCGGAATGCGCGTAGCCGCTCCGCTGCCGGGGAGGAGGGTTCTCGGCGTACCCGGTCGATGTGTTGGGCGGCACGTCGGTGCCTTGCGTCCTGGGAGTCCTATCGACATCCCGACGCTGGGTTGTATCCTGACGCCGGGTTGGCTCGGTGCCATATTGCTTGAGCATGGTGTCAGTCACTAGCCCAGGGATTTAAACGCAGGTGCAATTTACCGGATGCTCACCCTGGTACCGGTATGACTCCGTGGGCGGTTCGGTCTAGTATCACATGTGAGCTTCGGTTCCAAGGGGGGGAAAGGGGTTGATGGTACACGTTCGTATTGATCGGGTGGCATGCCAGACATCTTGATCTGATTTAGCTGGTTGACAGACTAGATAATACAGAGAGATAAGTGACTTATGCTCTCCAGAATTAGGAATAACGTGCCATTTGCGAGAGGCTCAAGTTGGCTTATATGCTCTCCCCGTCTTCCCCCACCCCCCTATTCCGAAGCATCCGCCGCCTGCTCGCTGCCACCACATGATGTGGGATGTCCACGACGTCCAGTCGTCAGCCCGGCCACGTCACAGTGCCCTCCTTTTCTGTATGACTAGGGCGCGCATTCAGGATCTTCCTTCTTAATTGCCATCCTTAGGCGCAAACCTTAAATGCAATCGCGCATGGAGGTGATAATGCGGCATCACCCGATATATCCTGGGCGAGTGTAGCTCTCCAAACGCTTGCCCTTGACCAACTCGATATGGTAGGCGCTGGGCGCTGGAATAGTTGAATTATGTGTATCGTTTGCCTTGCTTCGTCGGGCAATGGCTCGTAAAACCGGCCGGGAGCACGAAAATAATGTGAGTATCATTATAGACCCCGTTCGCTATATCTAAATTTTCCTATACCTGGCACTTTACGAGTCGAATCCCCTTCTTGCTGCCCCTTGATAGGATCAAGCAAGAAGTGCTGATGCCCAGGATTCAGGCATCGATGCCCGACTTCGGCTATGTACTTACTCCCACCTACAGCCCTCGATAACTACTGGGATATGCGCACTATCCTTTGGATCTTAGCGACAACAGCTACTGTTCCTTAATTGTCCCAAAATTATTGCATTTCTTTTCAAGATCCTCCTGAAGGCCCAAGTGTTGGCCATCCACGCAACGTTCGCTGGAGATCGCTTACAGAGTACGAGTCAAAATAGCATTAGTTCAGACAAGACTAGATTTTGGTTCAGTCACTGTTACCATACGCTGTTATGCCAATAGATGCAAGGGACTTGTTATGTTTCGTACCACTTTGGGTGTAGCTCACCATACATCTACAGGAGTCAAAAATGGCAACCCCTTTCCGCGGACGAAGAAAAACAACTAGAAAATGTCCAACGTGTATCTCTTGATGTTATCAAACCTGGTGAGGTTATTCGGGAAGTCCCTTTTCGCAATTGCTACGAAATAATGTTCGCCTCTGAGCGCAAAGAGGTTTGGAATGTCAAGTCGCTCAGTGGCAAAGCTAGTGGCAAGATACAGCTTCCAGCAGAGACCACAGTGACGGTATGCAAAGGCTGTTATTTAATTAAGTAAGACCCGCGCTATGTCTGGAGAGTATGGTATACAGATTTCTGCGCAGACAGTTAGTTTCACACAGTCTGTGTTATCAAAGCGCCCACCCCCTTTCTCGCACTGCCAACGTTGGAGCTGGGTTTCACATATGCAGCCGTCGCGAAGTCTCCTCACAGTCGACTTGCCTTCTCTTCGCCGACAAGTGCTCCGCGCATCATTGCCGGCCTGCTCTGAGCATGCCCATGAAGGACCATCTCCCGACCGCCCTTGGTCCCCCACCAGGCCACGCCAATGGCCGCTCGCTCGACGTCCATCTCTCCACTCACGAGCATATCGAGAAACCTCTTCTTGACTGGTTCGCGAAGACGAGGATCCTCAATGGCATGGAGTGACTCGGCTGTCCCAGACAGCCACTCTTCCACAAGCGGCAAAGGTAGGAATGGAAGAGAATCAATCAAGGCCAAGACCATTGCGCTTTGTTGCGACAAGTTGTCTCCCGATGCCTGGGACGCAGGGTCCTGCGCCATAATGTTCTCCGGTAGAGGTGCTGTGTCGGCATTGACCATCTGCATGCACAGCATCTCCAGTAATGTCTCGGACATGTGAGGCTCCTGTGCGGCGATGGGGAACGGCGGAGACACAATCTGCATGACGGTCTTGAATGCCATGCGGAATTGCCGAGGTGAGATCAATGTCGGGAAGGATTCGAATAGCTTGATGATGTAGAAAGGTGCCATGCGAATAGTCAGGGGACCGTGCTGTGGACACGACATGACGGATAAAACGGCGCTGTGAGCAGCCTCGAACAACTGCACCATGGAGGGCGTCAACGCACCGTCGTGCGATATATATACCAGTGCCGGCTTGACAATCAGGTCGTCACACGCGGCCGTGGAGAGTGTCAAGGGAAGATGCTCGGCAAGGTTGAGGTAGAACAGATCCAGCATCCTTTGTGCCTGGCGTGTTGGCAGAGAGGACTCCCTGGGCTTGATCTCGTTGAGGAAGATCTCAGAGGCAGCTGCGTATCTCGAGACAACATCAATCGCAGTCATGTACGCAAACGTATAGACCTGAAACGAACTGTTGCCGTCGCGCGCCGAGATGAAGTAGAGGTTCCGCAGGATGTGCAAGGACTTGACGGCAACCCCCGGCGCAGTCACGTCGTTATACATGTGCGGATCTAAAAGGCTTCGCGACACGACGGCTTGCAGTATGGAGGACACACCGAAAAGAAGTTTTTTGAAGGTCTGCCACAGCGCGGGCCATGTGTTGCGAAGGGTCTCTTGACCGAGCCGCGAGCCTTCGAAGGCAGGATCTACATCACATAGAAGTGAGCGAGACCAAGTTTCCCAGATCTTCTGACTAAATGCCACCAGTTGGTCTTGAGCATCGAAAACGGCTCGCGTGTCGGAGGCATTGAGAATGGCGAAGCCAGCGAGTTTGGATAGAGGGCCCAGGTTGCCCATCAAAGGTTTCTGCGCCATGTTCTGCATGAGGTGGAAAGAGGGCGACGTAGAGGGCCATTCCAGAATGCTCCCAACGCTCTCTGTCGTTTCGCGTCCAATGTGCTCGAGGAACGACCCGTTATCGAAGCCCTCCTCGCCGGTGATCGCCCAGATCGTCAGAGGGAGAAGCGAGTTGCAGTGAATCTGTGCTCGATGATGCTCGGACAGTAGCGGGAACGCGAAATTCAGCGCCAAGACGATGGACCCTGGTGCGATGCCGCCGTCAAACAGGTGGTCTTGCAAGGCGAGGTTGGCGGCCGTCACGACCGCTCCTTCGAGGGTGTTCCGCAGAGATCGGGACAGTGCCCTCCTACACTCGTTCTCCATGCCCATCAGCACGCCGGTGAGGACCAGAAGATGCTTCCATCGTTGCGAGCGCTCGTCGGCGCCTTTCACGACCGCCCTCGTCCATTCATCGCACTGTAGACCTCCAAACTCGCGTGGTTGCAGAACTGGAGTCTTCTGGCCAACAGCGCGCTCGTGCTCGTGCTCGTGTTCGTAGACTCGCAAAGCGGCTGTATTGTATATGCTGATGATTCGGACAGCAGTGCGCAGTCTGTCTGGCCGGTGCCATATCGCGCGCGCGGTGAGAAGTTGCGACGTGAGGACGCCCAGGTTCAATGGATTCGAGAGCTGGGTCAGGAGATGTGTCGTCGTTCCGATGATCTGCTCGGTCTTGGGACCATCGTGCACGTCTTGGTAGTACTGGAGGACCGTGTTGAGCAGTCGGTCCGCGGGCATTGTGGCGCCACTTGGCTATCGGGAGAACAGTGAACAAGCTGACTTCCTGTTCATCGCCTGTGATGGAATTCAAGAGTCAGAAGTTGGAGCTTGGATTGCGCAGGCAGCATTGCAGATCCTCGGTCACTCAATTGCCGAGGCTGTCGCGATCAAGTCCACCCCATGACGTCGCTTACCTACCCTGCACACGGGTTACCGCAGATCCCCAACTCCAACGGGATCCGAAGTTACCTTACTGGACTCGCTTCTTCTCAACACCACTTGCTGTCGACCATCGTACGCGACAAAACGCGTCCGAGGCCTAGCCTCTCGCGAGGACGCATCCAACTCTCAACCACCACCCGCAATCAAAGCGATAATGACAGGGTACCATAACCCACCGCCGCCCAACTACCAAACTCCCCGATTCCCGTCCCTGAACATTGGGACCGTCTACGACTACAGCCAGGATCGGCGCTACACGCTCTACTACGTTTCCGATGTCTGGCGCTTCACGGTCATTTGGACTCTCATCGTCTATGCGCTCTTCCATCTAGGCGCAGTCGTGGTGGCTGTGCTTACGCATGGCTGGCGGATTTCCACGTGGAAGTACCTCTGGGCGGTGCCCATTGTGTACTTGGTCATTGCTGGTCTGGAAGCAATCCTCGCAGGGAGCATCGTGGGGGTTATGTCAGTCTTTGACGACCGATGGAAGGCGAGAACAGGAATGCTGACTGCTGTAGGCTCGGAGCTGTGTATTCGGCCGGATACTACGAAATGAACACTTGGATCCCCTGCACGTGGGGATTCATCAACTTGCTGATATTGATTATCTCTTCGTTTACGATCCAAGGCGGCCTCTGAAGGGCGTCAATGCCCACAGATATCTAGGAGGAGAACTAGAAGAAGCAACAGCACGACAGCATCGCCGGGCGGCTAGACGGGAGGACGTGCTGCATGGAGCAAGCAGTCAAAACGATAACTTGGCTCGAAACTCCGACCACGCTGCGTCTTCCAGTATTTAACTTGGCAGGGCGGTGCATCCTTGGTCGAGCTCTGGAAGAGTACAGCTATCTCTAGCTGTTGAGCCAAAATAAGACCGGCAAGCCGGAACGGCTACATGCGAGGTGCACGCGATATCCTCAATAGGCGTTTTGCGGCTCGTGGAGGCTCCAACAGTGGTCCATACTTGCCCACCGTTGTCGGGCGGTCTTGCGGATGGTCTCGAACTTGGGCCAGTGCTGGCACGCCATTGCGCCAAAACGATATGCAGCCGGGTCCGGCGCAGTCCATACTACAACAATCCTACGTGGCGCCATGTGTGCCTGCCTGCTGTATAGTCTTTGAGCATAGCATGGGGGAACCAAAGGTACTCGATGGCTTGGCAAAGGCCTGGGGAGAATGGTCTACACGGTGAACCCGTCCAGAGAGCATAGTACGCCCAGCACGGACCTGTTAAACTCCCAAACTGCGCAGAGAACGGCTTGGTGAAAATAAAATAATAATAATACTCCAACTGTCAATTATAGTATGCGACGCGATGACCCTACCCTCACTGAGCCTGCGATCCAATGCAGGTGGGGGGGTCTGCTGCATCACGGACCCTGAAATTAGCAGCACTCGACTCGTGCTCCTCCCACCGTCCCACGGCTCGGGCCACATGCTTGATATTGTTCCGTTGAACAATCATCACCAGATTCCCCCAGCGGGAAGTATTTCTACATTCCCCTCACTTGTCCGTCCAGAGCTTATAAGCAAAGGTGCTCGTCCTTTGAATCAAAGGTGGTAAGTCTTCGCGTCAAACACCACCTCGATTTGCTCTAATGTCGCTCTTCAGACACGTCGAAACGTTCACCTCATCCTCATCCTCCTCACCTTCTCTACCGCACACGACGCCCCAATTGCGCCTAGAGAAAAGCACCATGGCAGACAACCATCCACTCAACAGTGACACGAACCCGTCCATGCAGACATTGATCACCCTCAAACCCTACTTTGCCGGCCAACCAAAGGCGCTTTCCGGCATTGCGCTTCGTGCGTTTTGCCTCGGGCTCACGCTTGCCTCATCGCTCATCTTTACACTGGCCATTCTCTTCTTTACAGACAGCCCGCTGTGGAGGGCCCCGTGGTTTCTGGGTGCGCTCAGCCTCTTTCACTTCCTCGAGTTCTGGACCACGGCGCACAAGAACACTCTCGTGGCGGGCATTGACAGTTTCCTCCTGACGGCCAACTGGCCCAGCTATGCCATTGCGCATACCAGTGCTTTCGTCGAGACGGTAATTGTTGGCTACTTCTTTCCCAACCGCGTCCTTGCACCGGCTTGGATTGTCGTTCCCTTTGGTCTGGGTCTTGTGCTCATCGGGCAGATTGTGCGGTCTCTGGCTATGCTGCACGCGGGAGCTAGCTTCAACCATCACATCCAGCAGTCCAAGGCCACCACGCACACCCTCGTCACCACGGGCATCTACTCCGTCTTCAGGCACCCGAGCTACTTTGGCTTCTTCTGGTGGGGGCTCGGAACACAGATAGTGCTGGGCAACCTTGTTTGCTTCGTCGCCTACACGGCCGTCCTGTGGTACTTTTTCTACGAGAGGATCAGAGGCGAGGAGAAGAAGCTCGTCGAGTTCTTTGGCAGAGACTATGTCACATACCGAGAAAGGGTGGGGACGAAGATTCCGTTTATTAAATAAATGTCAGTCAATCAAGGGGTCAACTGCTCCTCCATTACGACCCTTATCTCTGTGAACCACCCAGTGGGCACCCAGTTCAAGGAACCAGGTCAGGCGCCCATTTTCCGGCTCACACTGCCGTACTTGGCCTGCCAGGCGTAAAAATACATTAGAGCGGCAAATGGCTGGCCAAGGACCGTGAAGGAGACCCAGAAGATAATGTTGCCAATCAACTTACCCCCCTGTCCCATCCTCCTACTCTCCAGAGGCGCGGTGAGTGCGATGAGCGGTAGCTGCAAGAACATGCCCAAGAATGCGACACCTAAGAATTGTCAGCGCGGCTGTCCGAATGGTAAGGGGTCTAGATTTTACCAATGACATTGTGCGTCGGTACACCGACCAGAATCTCGTGCAGAACAGCCGACATGAAGAACACAGACAGACTCGCCGCCTTCGGGCTCCATCCCCTGCCGACCATGGGCATGTACACGTGTCTCTTGAAGTAGGTGTACACGGGCTTATTCCACGTGCGCCAGTACGCTCCCAGACTCTCGCTGTTCCACCAGTCGTCGTAGAATGAGCGATCGCCGAACCGCAGTATCTCAGCGAGGGCGTTGAGGAAAGACTGGAAGAGAGCAAAGAAGCCTGCGAGCCAGATGACGAGTGAGATGGTGGATAGTTTCAACAAGCGCTCGAGTATGGAGGGAATGTCGAGCGACGCAATCTTCTCGAGCGAGTTGATGAGAACTGGCGTTGCGTACTGTGCTGTGGCGAACCAGATAAACACACTCAGGCAGAAGACCTCGCCCAGCCGCTTGATGACGAAAATCCACCTGATTTTATCGGTACGGGGATACACAGGCTGGTATACGAGGGTGGGCGCCCACCAAAAGTAGATCAGATTCCCCATTGTGATGTTCTTCGGGTAGGGGCAGCTAGCGTATAGCTCGGGTACCAGCTCACCCTTGACCGGGTGAAGGTACGCATGTCGGAGATCGCGGTTGGTGAAGGCGTACGAGGCAGTCTTGAGCCAGACGACCACTGCGTGCATCTCGGTAAGCGTACCGATGAGCGGGTGAAAGATCTTGAAGTATACGACGAGCGTGGTAATGGCTAGTCCGAGGGTGATGTTGATCCCGTGTGCCCAAGCGACCAGAACCCAAGTCGAATGGAACTTCTTCTTGTCCTCTTCCGAAGGGCCTGCTTGCCCGTCCTGGATTCGTTTGCGCGAACCAAGCGCTTGCTGTGCTGCCGCTAATTCGATGAGATAGGCGGCGAAGAGATGGCATGGAATGAGGAAGTAGAGAAACAGCCCAATAAGTATGTCCGATCGACTGTAGTTGTGGCACCGCACACAAATAAGAACGCCGTACTGAAGAGCAATCAGATTTGATGGAACAGTCTTTGATACTTGAGACAAACCTTTTGAATATTCTCAATCATAAGCCTCAGATTTCCCACGACTGCGCCTCGTCAGTCCAGGCCTGTTACCCTGGGGCGTATGAGAGCTACTTACCCAGCACAATGACCATGAGATTGCGGAAACCCAGGAAACTTGGGTTCGCCTGAGCATCATGACTCAAGCACGACGGCCTCGTTTGGGCATGGACAGCCGCGACATGGCGATATTTCTTCTGCAGCGGCGGTGTTGCCTTGACCCTCTCCTCTGTGGTGGCATTGGACGGTTCCACGTCCGTGACGGTGGCATTGCTCTTGCGATTGGTGACGCCATTGGCGGCCTGGACGCCTGTCGACGAGGCAGCGCGCATCGCAGTTCCGTCGTGAGGGAGAGACGCAAGGCTGCAGTATCCAGGGACAAAAGCTGAAGGTGAAAGAGAAAGAGGGACAAGCTGGGCGATGGTGATGAGGAATGACGAGTTCCGAGAGGCTTAAGGTTCCAGGTTGGCGGGGCAGGGAAGCAAGCATGCACAAAGTTCGATAACGCTATCTCGGCTGGGTTCCTGCCATTGCTGATGCATGACAAGATGTTTAGGGGTCACAACACGCAAGACACGAATTTCTAAAGAATCTAGAAGGGGAGAAGATCTTTCATGTCAGACCTGGGCGTGGGGGATGCATGCCAGTGCGCATGCTCGAGGACCTGGTGCCTGAACAGAAGCTTCAGAGCTACCTGCGGGTGGCACCGGCGAACCCGACAGGTTTTTGGAAGCTTGATGAGCATGCGACCCTAGCGGGGCTTTTCTTGAGCGCTTGGAGATCATTTCCAGGGTCCAGGGCTGGTTTGTTGGCCTTCTTGCAGCATGTGAAAGTCTCCATAGTAATGGAGTCTTGCTTCCTTTCACGCATGTACCTAGTGACCATTGCTAATCAAGAACTCTCACCCGTTGTAGTTCAATGTTGGAATAACAACAAGGCTGGCTGAGGCTTGCACCATTCTGTTATGATGGCTTGAAATGGGTTTCAGCCCCTAATTGTTGTGAGGTATCCGTAGTGCAGCACCTGACATGACGGCCTGTTGTGCTCGCTCAGTGCGATGACTAAGCCTTCTCAAGAGCTCACGTGATCGAGAGCCTCGAGCGCGAAGAAGCTCAGACCTGGTTGCCATCATGAGTGAAGCCCTCATCAACCTCATTGTCTCAAACGTGGCGCATTCATGCCCGAAGCAGGATATATTTGTCGACCAGGAACCTGAAAGAGACCGAACCTCTTATCAACCAATTGAAGTTCAGCGAGGAAGCAAAGGTGTTGGCCCATCTGCCTCACCAGACGCGTCGACGGATGATCGAGGCCAACGACGCATACTAGCGCCATGGCCTATGAGCCAAGAGGCGAGCCTTATGGCCACAAGGGCGGTGACGGGCAGGACGGCCCTCCGAGGGTTCGCGGACGAAGTAAGTTTCGGTGCCATTGAGTGAACTGGGTTGAGGTGGTCGAATTACGAACAACACATGCACCGAGCACGCCACGGCGAGGCAGGCGGCATTGATGGGGATCTGAATCTTGAGAGTAATCGGCGCTGTGCTCTATCACCTCCGGTTCCGTGTGGTGCAGCAGTCGACAAGTTCATCATCACCTGGCCAGTGACCAAGTGCGGGTGATCATTTTTGTGAAGACGGAGTCGCGTGACGATGGTGCGAACTCTTCAAGTCAAGATTGCACGGAGCGCGCCAACTCAGCAGCATATCCCACAGCACTGTAGCGAGATTGCGGCGACTCTGCAGCCTGTCTTTGCCTCATATTTCTACGACTCGTGCAAGTTGCTGACATTGCTCAGGACCTGTGACAGACTACAGCGCGACAGTCACGCGATGGCTTCGAGACCGGGGTCCTCTCTACAAGCCTACCTTTCTAGGCGAAGCCGAACGGCCGGGCATGAGCTATATTGTTGATGTAAGCATGCGTGCTCAAGGATGCATCCCAGGTTCTAACACACCCAGATGGTCCCGCCCGTTGGCCGCCCAGCCAAGCCCGCTGATACGATACCCATCAAACATCTTCATTCCTCCCTCAACAAAATCAAACATCCCGTCAACGTTGTCCGGTGGACGCCTCAGGGTCGCCGCCTCCTGACTGCGTCGACCAGTGGCGAGTTCACGCTATGGAACGGCACGGGGTTCAACTTTGAGACCATTATGCAGGCGCATGATTCTGCGATCCGAGCTTTAGAGTATTCCCACAGCGATGATTGGTTAATATCGGGTGACCACGACGGCGTCATCAAGTACTGGCTGCCCAATTTCAACAACGTCGAGAACATCAATGCGCATAGCGATCCGATCCGCGACCTGGCTTTCAGTCCGCAGGACAACAAATTCGTCACGGCATCCGATGATTCGACGCTGAAGATTTTCGATTTCGCGGAGGGGATCGAGGAATCGAAGTTGGAAGGCCATGGCTGGGATGCGAAAAGTGTGGACTGGCATCATCGCCTCGGCCTGATCGTCTCCGGGTCCAAGGACCATCTTGTCAAGTTGTGGGATCCCAGGCAACGAAACTGCTTGACGACATTGCACGGGCACAAAAGTACGGTCACCAAGGTCTCCTTCGAGAAAGTTCAAGGCCACTGTCTTGCAACATCAGCACGGGACCAAACAGCTCGCGTCTTCGACCTACGTATCATGCGCGACATCTGTCTTCTCAAAGGTCACGAGAAGGACATCTCGACACTGACGTGGCACCCTGTGCACGCGAACCTCCTGTCGACGGGAGGCATGGATGGTGCCATCCATCACTATCTGCTCGACACACCCAACCCTCCTCCAGGGCAGGCCCTGACCATATCGCCCTGGGACAGTCCGGATCCAACATCGACACCGCCCCAGTCCATCTGGCCTATGCACAAACTACCCTTTGCTCATGACTACGCCGTGTGGACTATGGACTGGCACCCTCTGGGCCACATTATGGCTTCTGGCTCCAACGATCGCATCACACGCTTCTGGACTCGTGCGCGACCCGGTGATACAGACGTCGCTCTGGATCGGTACCACATTGGTGAAGCAGCCGCCGAAGCTCAAGGTACGTGGGACCGCAGAGGCAACAGGAAACAACGGCAGGAAGAGGAGATGCAGGAGCTGGACGACGAGGCCGATGCCCTTGTGGACCAAGACGTTCGTACGGGGCCTGGTATCCCAGGCCTACCGCCCGGTCTTCAGCTTCCTGGCTTGGGCAATTCTGTTCCTCCGCCTCCTCCACAGATCCCCGGGGTCGGCGCCGGCGGGCCTGTTCCACCACCGCCCATCCCTCCTCCTGGCATGAATGGCGCGCTGCCGCCCTTGCCAGGGTTGGACCCGAACAACCCACCCGACCCAGCGACCATTCTCAAAATGCTACAGGATGCGGGTATGCCTATACCCCCGCCTGGCATGCCTCCGCCAGGCTTCATGCCTCCTCCCCCTGGCGCAGGCGGCCTCCCCCCACCACCCCCGGGAGGTTTCCCTGTTCCTCCTCCAGGTATTCCCGGCATGGGGGCTCCTCAGTCAGCTGCGGATGCTGAAAATGCAAGACGGGGACGGGCTCCTCTGCCTAGTCAAGAGGATAGTCTGAAGAGCGAGCAGCGCCAGGGACGCTACACAAGAGCTAGATAGTTTTTTATGAGGGTGGGTTTTCTTTTTCCGACGATACCTTGTAAAATACACATGAATGGAGTTCAAGACTGATCCGTTTGTCCTGTGATATTCTATCTAAAGCTGATGATGATGCTAATCCACAGTAAAGGCATATCCTGCTCGCGCCTCCCTATCTGTGGCCAATACAAGTTCTATATGCACGTTCAAGTAAAGAAACCCCCCTCGAGAACCAGCTTAAGCCCTTGGTGACGGCAGAGCCTTCTTGTCCCCCTTGGCGAACGCCTTCTGGCGATCAGCATAGTCCCGGATGACCAGTGCGCAGGTCATGTCTGAACAGAGCCTTCTCCTCCTCTGCACCGGTAGCTTGGTCGCAAACTCGAGCCCACTCGCCCTCTCCACCGCCTCGACAGGGACCTCAAAGTCGGTGATCGGCTTGTCGTTGGCAATGGGAGCGTTGGGCAGGACAAAGGCGCCGAGGGCCACGTTGCCGCCCTCCCGGCCATCCTCGGCGAAGATGACCTTGTAGAAATGGGTAGGCACGGCGATGCTGGGCGGCGACCCGATCATCTCGTACTTGACGTACCACTTGTTGTCCACGGGGTCCTTCTTGGGCAGGTAGAGCGGCCCGGTGACGATGCGGACACTGGGGTACTTGACCGTGAGGCGTCGGCAAAAGTCCTCAAAGTGCGCCCAGTAGTCCCTGTTGAAGCCTTCGCCGACCTGGGGGCACATGTTGGTCAGGTAAAAGGTCTCGTCCATGGACTTTTGGCTCCATTTGCAGTCCGCCGCGGGCACCTGGTGGCCACGATCGTAGCCGCTCCGGAAGTAGTCTTTCAGGGTACCGCGGAACTTCTGTGGGACGGCATCGTCCTCGGCAAAGACGCTGTGCTTGCGGTCTCCCTCGCGGAGGGCGAGCGAGGCGGGCGTGATGTGCTCGACCACCCAGTGAGGATTGCGCAGGCGGCGATCGTACGAGGAAATGAGCGCCGAGCGGGAGGCGACGTCGGCGACGGGGCCCGGGAATCCATACTGGAAGAGACCGGCTGGGTCTACGGGCGCAATGGGCAGAGGGACGCCCGAGGGTGTCTGGATGTGTGGTTGCGGGAGATTCGATGGCATAGGCAGCGCTGGTGGCGCGCCAGTTATTGTGACTGTGGTCGTCGTTGTAGCGGCTTGCTGGGTAGGCTTGGGTTCGGTTCGAAGAGAGTACATTGCTGCTGTCAATGCGGCACCTCCTCCTGCGCTGAGGCAAGCGATCATTGCCATGGATTTCGACATGGTGGCGGTTGGTATTTGAGGAAGCCGGATTGATTCAGGCGGAATGGGAAGCTGATTGCGTCTGGAGACCAACGTCTGAGCTGTGCCAGTTCCTCGTGTGGGGGTAGGAAGAGTGTGACGCTGGCAAGAGGCTCCTGAGGTCAAGAGGCTTCGCGCGCGCGTGTTCACGGGTTTGGGGTCATCTTTTCTCGTTGTCTTGGCAGGGTCACTTGCATTAGCGGCGGGTGCAGCTGGCCAGTGCATATTGGCTACCCTGTAGATCCAACCCGTAGTTGATATTCACGTCGCCAGACGGATGAATGATATGTACTTTGAGACACGAAGAAAGCCTTTAAATATATCTTAAGAGGTAATCTTACAGACCCAGCTTCTTTAGTCTCGAGGACCCGAGGTGGGTCAGCTTGACTCTGGCTGTGAGTTGTATCGACAGTCTAGGATCACATGATGGCCACCACGGCTTCATTGTCTCAGACAATTGTCACATCGACAATGTAGATTGACTCGTGCATATATCGAGATTACAGACGGTACCGGAGCCTTGGTCCCCAAACCTGTCTAATACTTATGGCCACCAGCACGCGCGCTCCAAAAACCCTCAGGGTCATTTTGCTTCTGCAGCGCCTTCAGCGCAGCATAGTCTCTGTATGTGCCTGTCACGTTCTGGTCGCCAGCCGCGTCGTTCATAAAGTACGGCAGATAAAGGCCATCGACCTGTCCTTTGGTCCACTCGGGTACCTTGGCCTTCAACCACACCTCCATCTCCTTTGACATCTCACGGACCAGCTCGTCATCTGAGGGCAGAGCCCAAGAGCATTGCGTCTCAATGATGAGCCTGTCGCCGTCGTCAGGATGAACCCCCATCGCATTGCCGCCGGCTTCTTGGCTGTGCTTGGCGATGATAGAAGGGAACGGCTGGAAGGCAATTGCGCATTGCGCTGTTAGACGAAGAGGGCTCTTGAGGAAGTCGTCGAGGATGGACTTGAACTTGAGACTAATCTCGTTGTACATGTGCGGCGCATCAGCGACGTACGGGACGGTGAAGGTCTGTTATTGAATGATCTGTCAGTGACCGTACGAGAACTGGTTCCGAACCCCAACTAGGGAGTACTCACCCTGAACGATTGTCGAGCCGACTGCAGACCTGCACTAGCACCGTTTGCCTGCAGCAGACTTGCATAGCTCTGGGTCTTGGTTGTGTCAAGCGTGGAGGGAATCTCAAGGAATTTGGCGAAGGCCCCCTCCATCGGGGGCTCAGCGTCGTGGTAGAAGTAGAAAACCAAAAAAAGCGGCAGACTACCAGCGGCCGTCAAGTCTGTGGGAATGATCGCCGCCTTGGGGTCCTCGTTATTGGCAGGGACAAAGTCGTGCAGCGCTGAGAAAAGCGCATCGACCTGGTCTGCAGCATACATGCGCATGCCTCCCCAGACCTCTTGACCGACGGGCACAGTCTTCATGGTGAACTGGGTGACGATACCGAACTGGGAGCCGCTGCCACGCATGGCGGTTGCAAGCTCAGGGTCAGACTCGTCAGAGATAGTCACGATGGAGCCGTCAGCCTGAACCGTTTCCCATTCAACAACGGTCTATGAGTCAGCAGGCTTTAGTTTCAAGAAGGAGTGGTGACATACATCGGCGGCGAAGCCTGTCTGCGCCGAGAGAAACGAGATGCCGCCTTGCAAGACAAGACCACTTACACCAACAACACCTACACGATCATTAATTCTTGTTTTCCGAGGGAAGCAACTCGCATGCTCACCAAGACGTCCACCGACAACGGCAACACCGGCATCTGCGAGGTCCCCAAGGGGATCGTTCCACTCGCCACCCGGTTTCACGTAGGCCACGCTCTCCTCCTTGTTGAAAGTGGCACCCTTCATGTCGTTCAGACTGACCAATACGCCCCCATCGACGTTGGCGTGTCCTGGGTTCGGGTCATGACCTCCGCTCTTGACCGCAAACTGGACCTTGGGATGCTTGTTCAGGATCTTGACCGTCTCTGCGACGTCCTGTGTCGTCTTGGGCCGAACCAGACACGCAGGCTTCTCGTCCTGAACGGTCAGGGACCAGAAGTCCAGAATTTCGCCAGTATAGTCGAGCTGCAGACGGTGCGCGACCAACTCCGGGAGGGCCTCCTCGAGCTCGCCACAAGCCTTCTGCGCCTCTTTGCTGTCAGTGCATTGGATGGCGCCAACGACAGCCGCGAAGACAGTGGCAGTGCGGAATAGCATGTTTCGTGCAAAGCGCAAAGTGTTGCACTGGAGATGAGAAAACAATCATTCTTCAACAGGGGACATGTTCCCTTTTAAGCAAAGTAGCACCTCGCAGATCTGAAGCCCGAAACGGTCATGCTTACGCCCAGGACCCAACAAGCGGATCCATTGCGAACGAACGGGGGATGAGTCTGCCGCTCAAGTCGATACGACTACGCAACGCTGTATGGTGTTTTGTTCTCGAATCCGAGGTTGCCAAGGCTGAGTCCGAATACTTGGTCCGAATACGCACCCCTGGTAGGGGCGTCGGTTACGGTGGATACACACGTTGTTGTAGGTATTCTGCCCCATCAGGCGGTTCGCCGTCACCGAGTCGTACGAGAGCTTCTGTTGATCCAGGAGAGATAGACTATAGTCTGCCTCGCAAACCTTGCAATTAGCGGATCTACAGTCTACATGCATGGCTGACATGCAGTCTGGCTGCGCATTGGCCCCTGGCGGTGTAATCGAAACCGAATACGAGTCAGGTCAAGTCAGACCAGATCAGAACATGGCAGCCAAGACAAGAAATCATGGTCATAATAGCTCTCCATGAGTCCATGTCACCAGGTTCGTCGAGGCCACGGGCCTTGCTCGGGGACTTTGTGAGCTCATGATGTTTGCAAGATCGAAGGTAGGGCTGGAACAAGCGGCTGACACAGTGTAATACAACCCAAGCTATAGCAAACAGCAGCTCTTGGGGTCGAGGCTCCTCAAGGCAACACTGTGCAGGAGGAACTTCGTCTTCTATGAGACATTGAATCTAGGCCGGTCTGCAAACCGAGCTGTCAGTGCTGATATGTGCGTGATAGACAGCCTCATCGAAAGGGCCGCCTGATACTGGAGGTGCAATGGTGAAGAAAGCGCTCAGGGTGTCCGACCCCAAAAGATGGACAGATGCACAAATCGGCGCAGGTGCATTGGATTGCATTAATAATAGATGCACCTGTCCAAATGCGTTGAATGAGAACCCTGATGGTCTCCAGAGCGGGCAGCGACGTGCCATTGCTGAGAATTATTAGTCCTTCTAGTGCCCAAGGTATTATTAGCCTCCCTTGCGGTGAAGCGAAGCGGGACAGACCCTTTTCGCGTGAGTCGTGGTATTGGGTCGACTTTACCTTGCTTCATACGCGATTCAACCTGAAGGTCCCAAAAACAGCGAAGTACTAGAGAAGGCCAAGTGGACCCTGCGTCTGAGCTGCAAGACGTCACTCTTGAGCCGCCAAGCCAGCTCTGTAAAAACCCTCCCGCATTTATCATCTCGCTGCGGCATCACGACGTCGATCTCGTCCACCGAGAAAATCATCTTTATTGTGCGCGTCGACGACTGGACGCTCGCCAGCCAACGCACGAGATAGGGACCGGCTCCTCGAAGTTGGGAATTCAGACGATACGTCGCATGCGTTCGCGTCCAGTCGCCTCGATCGTCGGTTCACCCACGACTCGCACGAATTGACCCCTCGACACCAACATAGAGGACCTCAGACCGGGGTCGAGCGTCACCATGGCGCTGGCGACAATGGAGCTGAGCAATGACGCCCGTGGGTGGATCATGTGTATCATCAGCGGAATTGGTATGTTCGCGCCACTGTGAACCAACGCTGTCCGAACTGCGTACTGACTGTGCGCAGCTTGCGTTTTTGGAGCCGCCATCATCTGTGTCGATGCGCTTGTACGACTCTTTCCGGGCAAGCATAACTTTCGCATAGCGGAGAGCAACGTCTTCTTGGCCGCGTCCCTCAGCCTGAGCTTCGGTGTCATGCTCTTTTCAGCGATATACAGCATGCTACCAGAGGCCAAGGACTATCTCAAAAAGGACAACTGGTCGGATCAGAATGCGGGACTCGTCATGATGGGCGGATTCGTGGTGGGCTTCTTTGGCATCCAGATCATCTCCCGCCTGGTGCACCAGTACATGCCGTCGCATGTCGTCGACTGCGACCACACCCACGAGGAGTCGCACCAGCACGACCAGCACGACCATCACTCAAACGAGCGCAGCAGCAGACACCGTTCACGTACGAGCCACGCCCGGCGCCGAAGTTCTCACACGCGTTCGCCCCAAGATCCCGACCGTAAAACGGCGGAAATCGCCGAAAACGGCAACGCAGCATCAGAATCGACGCCCCTGCTCGGGAACGGCGCCCCCAAATTGACATCCCAGCAGAGCGATAGTGCTGTCCTGCAGCGTAACCAGACCGTCGACTCTGCGCATGCGACCCGACCTCGGATAGCCAACGACCCAGCCAACCTGAGAAGTCGACCGAGCATGCTCCAGGTGCAGGATAGGGTCATGTCCTTTGTCAAGGACACCAAGCGTGATTGTGATGCGGGAGGCTCATGCTACGGCTACTCGGACCCCTGTGGCCAAGAATGCTTCAAGCATTTGGGCAATCGATCCTCCATAGCACCTCGACATGGCAGTTTGATTAGAACCACGACTGGGCCATTCTATCCAGCCTCGGGATCAGCGTTGCATGGAGTACAGCGCAGTCGATCGCGAGACGTCACTCACGGTCCCAATGCGCCGAGGACCCTCGTCAGCCGAGCGACATCGCGGGAACCCCTCAGTCCGACAGGGGAGGAGGACGCAGACCAGGAATACCAAATGGGAGAGGACTCGTCACTGACCAGCAGCGATGTTGAGGCAGACGCCGAATCGCAGCACCACCATCATGTACCTGAAAACGCCTTTCTCTCCATCGGTCTCCAGACGTCAATAGCTATCGCCCTTCACAAATTCCCCGAAGGGTTCATCACCTACGCCACCAATCACGCCAACCCATCTCTGGGCTTCAACGTGTTCATGGCCCTCTTTGTGCACAACATCTCCGAGGGGTTCGCCATGTGTCTTCCCCTCTACATGGCCCTCGGCTCCCGCTGGAAGGCCATGCTCTGGTCCGCCATGCTGGGCGGTCTGTCGCAGCCGCTGGGCGCGGCCATTGCTGTCCTCTTGTTCAAGGTGGCGAGCCACACCAACATTCAGCCGAACGCGGTGGCGTATGCGTGCCTCTTTGCCATTACGGCTGGCATCATGGTCAGCGTGGCGCTGCAGCTGTTTGTGGAGAGTTTGAGCCTCAACCATAACCGCAACCTCTGTATTTTCTTTGGATTCACGGGCATGGCAATTCTTGGATTCAGCAACGCCTTGTTTGGTGGGCACTAGACTAAATGGTCTCGGGTTGGATATCGGCATTTTGGGCAGGCTGGGTTATAAAAGAGCTCAAGAGGGTGATTTCATGGCGTTTGGCGTATGTACCTGGATACATAAATATCACTAGAGAAGAATGCACTTATTGTAGAGACGACTTGGTTGCGCCTGATATTCGAGCCCTTTCTCGATCCGTCTATAAAGAGTTCATGTGCTTCGTAAAAGTGCTGGCATACCCCCGCCAGATGCCGTGATGATTTTTTCCGTTCCCAACGCCAGCGCAAAAAAGATACTAAATCACAAAAGACTAGGGTCAATAGGCCCATCCTCGTGAAGGGGCGAGTCTCTCGCCAGATTGAAGATGTTCTCTTCATCTTGCGCCCATTCGTCATTCGTAGCACCGTAATCCATGTCTGCAGCGAAAATCTCTTCCTGCTCATTGTCTTCTGGCCATGGGCTGTTCATCCCAAACAGACCGGAGTCCAGGGCCTCGACGTCTTGGAAGAAGCTGTCGGGGTCGAACGACTGGTGCTCAGTTGCAATGTGCGCATCCACCTCTTCGGGGCCGTTGAATGGCAGGGTGCAGACGTAGCATGTGTATACTGCGTCCACAGCACCGTGGACCAGGGCATCCAGGTAACCTGGTCTCTCCTCTTCCGGCACAGTCGCTGGCACGGAGACCTTGGGCCGATCCTGGCCCAGATGAACGTATCGAACATGGTCCTCTAGCCTCGCTTTGGAGGTGAAGTGCTCGCCACACCCTTGGTCATTAGACCACCCACCAATGTCAACTGCGATGCACCCACAGATGAATCGCTGGCCCTTGTGCACCGTTCGGACATGGTTGTTCCGGTTGGATTTGTTGGTGAACCACTTGTCGCAATCCGGGTAGGGGCATGGCTCGGTCCGTCTGTCATCAACCGTCTTGCCCGTATGATGCACCTCGACGTGCCTCTCTAGATCGCCTTGTTTCGAAGACCTGAACTCGCAGAACATGCAATCCTGGTGCTCCTGTTTCAGGTGATTTTGCAGCAGAAGCTCAGTCGTGAAGCCTGTCCTGCGTGGCTCCCCGTCGGGAGACGTCTGCTTCGCGCACTCGTGGCACCAGAATCTCGCCGTCCCGTGCTCCCGCTCGACATGTTTGCGTAGCGATGCCTTTGTGTCAAATGCAGCATCGCAGCCCTTCTCTGCGCATGGGAAGCCCTTGAGTCCCTGGTGCTCCTTCCGGACATGCTTGGCGAGCGTGTCCTTCTTCCGAAAGCTCTGCCCGCAGTCCTGACACCTGAATCGCTCCGCCCCTTCGTGGACCGCTTGATGACGCTTTAGGCGTGTTCCTGTGACGAAGCTCTTGCCACAGCCTTCTCGAGGGCAGACATGTTTCCGTTCCTGGGTGTGGGTCGCCTTGATGTGCTGCTTCAGATGTTTGTCGACCGTGTAGTCTTTTGTGCAGCCATCGTAGGGGCAGACAAAGGGTCGAGAATTGGTGTGCGAGTTGAGGTGATCTCGCAAGCGGGCGGGTCGGTTGAAGGTCTTGGGGCAGCCCGGCCAGGTGCAAGACAGGGTCTTCAGATCAGACGGAAATCGGGGAGTCTTGGGCGTAGTAGCTGCGGTGGTGGTGGCTGGAGATGAGACTGTCTCCGCTGTCGAGATGGGTGTTTGGGCGGTGTAGTGATCGTCGTCAATTGTGGTGTTGGTGTCGGTCTCAATGTTGAGATCGAGGTCGTGGTCTAAACGTAATCGTTTGGCGGGTGGTTGTGCCAGAGACTCGTCGACTGCGGTTCTAGTAGCCATCATAATGGCTGTGCATCGGGGAATATCAGCCCGTCATGCCACATGTCTTGGGTCGGCCAGCTCTTATCAGCAGATGATGACCAAGCTTGGTAGACGGGAATGGGAAGGTAAGATGTTGCTGGAATCACAAGAATTTGAGGTTGGCGACGAGTTTCTGAAAGTTTAGTGGGCCGCCTCGGTGAGCATACCCTGCGACGCACCCAATGCAGCTAAGCGCGTCTGCAGCTGGCGCTCACCGAGGCTGCAGGCGGCTGCAACTCCAATTCTCAATTTTTATTCTCGTTCACCCTCCCGCGACTGACAAGGACAACTTCATCTTGCGCCCACCACCACAACTTCCGTCACTGGCCGTCCATTCACTCTTTTTAACGCGCAAAACCTGTACCGATCTCCAGCAGATATGTCTGATTACGAGGGTGACGATGTCGATGTCGGCGGGTGAGTCTCAACCGTGTCGATCGACGTGGTGACTCGTGCTAAACTGTCAGCGGCGAGGAGTACTTTGAGGAGGAGGAGGAAATCTACGACCCCGAGGTCAACGTCGAAGACGACGAGAACAACCCCAACGGCAACTTTGACGAGGACCAAGACAACGTCGTGCCCTCGGGCGACCCTGCCGCCGCCGCGAGCGCCGCGAAAGCGTCCGAGAAGTCGCTCCGAGACAAGAAGATCCCCGACGAAGAGCGTACGACGACCCCCTACATGACAAAGTACGAGCGCGCGCGCATCTTGGGTACGCGGGCGTTGCAGATCAGCATGAGCGCGCCCGTCCTGGTCGACCTGGAGGGCGAGACGGACCCGCTGCAGATTGCGATTAAGGAGTTGCGGGAGAAGAAGATTCCCTTGATTGTGAGGCGATACATGCCGGATGGCTAGTAAGTTCACTCTGCCGTGCAGGAGAAGATGTCTTGTCGTCGTCGGTGCAGGAGAAACTGACGTGCGCAGCTATGAGGACTGGACTTGCGAGGAGCTTTTGCAGTGAGGCCATATACCTCGCCCGAGGACAACGTGGACCAGCGCATCGCTGCGAACGTGTCGCTTCGGAGTCTCCAGGACAATTTCGTCAATTACAGCGCGGCGTTTTACATCATTTTGATAGGAAAAGAGGGGGTACGACTAAAGATAGCACCATAACTCATCACGCATTGCTTGCATCACCGCATTCAAGTGCGCTGTTGTACCCAGTGTACAGCTCCCCCTTGTGCTGTTCGCGCCAAGGATCGAGGCGATGGGAGGGCGTTGCCCAGACTCACAGAGCTAGTGTAAAGTGTATACGTCGTACCATGATTAACCGATGTTCGCGTTACGGCTAGTGCAAATGCCAAGCAGATGGGGCAATGCCATAGACGAGACAATGCACAGCAGGGACGCTGCCCATTGGCAATTGGCTGGGGTGGTACGGAGTAGTGGTGTAACTTAAGGACTCCGTACAATGCGCCATGAGGTCACAAGTAATTAGTGCTCCTTGCTGGTCTTATTACACGTCAAACTAACATATCCTGTCACCCAGTCCGTCGCTCTACCTTATTTAATTTTTACCGTTCTACTGGGGACAATTATTACCACCCAGATATACTAATTCACTTTCACCACAATGAAGTTGTCTTCTCTCTTGGCCACAATCCTCTTGGCGACCGTGTCGTCCGCTTCACCCTTTATGAAACGCGAGGTCGGCGGCGTATGTTTGCCTGCAATGCTGCTTTGCTCGGGGAAAGGCTAACAACTCTCGTTGTCGCAGGTCCTCATCTGCACCGGCGCCAATGCAACTGGTCACTGTTCACACCAGGTCTACTCCATGGAGGAGTGCCATCAGCTCCCTGCTCCATACTACCAGAACACCAACACATTTGCTCCCGATGGCGAAGCTTTCACTTGCTTCCCCCGTCTATACGATTGCGGCGGCATCTGCATGAGCCCAACAGGGTGTACTTTTGGAGGCGTGGACTTTTCTTACGAGCACAAATACAATCTGAGTGCTATCAAGTGGGATAGCCTGATCAAGAGCTTTGATTGTTCACTGAAGCAGGTTTAAGTTAACCCGAGGAGCTGTCCTATATCGGCCGGGATGCGGGTGTCAAGGAAGCGCGCGTTATGCAGGCGTATAATAAAGATGCTCGGGTCTCATCCGAATAACCGTTTTCGGACTTTTCTCTTATCGTCAGTCGTGGACTCGTGGCGCATCATGTTCCAAGACCTCGAGTGCCTTACCCGCTGCTCTACGTGAATTGGCGGTTTTGTTTAGTGACGTATGAGGAGGTAATTCGGTGATCGCCCGGGATCCAACCTCCATGCATGGTGGGGTATCGGACTTCTTAGTATTGTCTCCTCAGCATCTTATATCCTCCCCCTCTGTCGACTTCACTTCTTTCAGATCATAACTCACATTGCCTCTCTGTATGAACCGACTTTTCACAATGGCGCTCGAGACCAAGGCTACCATCACCACCTTTGGGGGACGCTTCCTCAAGCTCTCCCACAACTCATCCACCACCTCCACACCCATGAACTTTACAGTGTTCATTCCCCCTGGCGCCTCTTCTTCCAAGCCGGCTCCTGTCCTGATCTATCTCTCCGGTCTGACCTGTACGCCAGACAACGTCACGGAGAAGGGCTTCCTGCACGCTCACGCGTCCAAGCTGGGTCTTGCGCTGCTCTACCCCGACACCTCGCCCCGAGGCACCGACCTGCCCGGCGAGCATGACTCGTGGGACTTTGGCAGCGCCGCGAGCTTCTACATTGATGCCACCAAGGAGCCCTACAGCAAGCACTACCAGATGGAGAGCTACCTCACCAAGGAGCTGCCCGAGCTGGTCTTCTCCGAGTTCAAGGAGCTCGACAAGACCAAGGTGTCCATCGCCGGACACTCCATGGGCGGGCACGGCGCCTTGACGCTCTACCTCAAGAACCCGGGCATGTACAAGAGCGTCTCGGCCTGGGCCCCCATCGCCAACCCGTCGCAGTGCCCGTGGGGCGAGAAGGCATTTGGGGGGTACATTGGCGACGATAAGGCTGAGTGGAAGAAGCATGACGCCACAGAACTCGTCAAGTCCTGGAAGAACGGCCCACTAAAGGCCCTCATCGACGTCGGCACCGGGGACAACTTTTACAAGCAGAAGCAGCTGCTGCCAGAGAACTTTGCGGCGGCCGTGAAAGAAGCTGGCGTGGAGGACGTGACGGTGCGGTACCAGGATGTAAGTCACCCTTGCTGCTGTCAAAGTACCGATCTGACGATAGCTAGGGGTACGACCACGCGTACTTTTTCATTTCGACCTTTGGCGAAGATCACGTCAAGCACGCGGCCAAACACCTTGGCCTGCTGTAAAATACAGGAGAATGGGAAAGAGAAAAAGATGGACCATCAATCACTCACATCGTCCACGCGTCATCATCTCATTCATCTCGCTAAAACAAAAATCCCATCAGGAACCCTCCTCAAAGCCCAGTGAAATCTTCCACCTTTAAAAAAACCATCTCGTCCCATGCTGTTAATCTTCGAAAACATGCGCCACCCATGAACCCGATACGTTTCCCATGAATGATAAGGCCTATACCCATTTAGATGCGCCCGCTCAGCTCATCCGCTGCACGCTGCCTGGCGATATCGCCTTCTCCAACGGACTCATGGCCGCCTGCTCAGCCTCCCGCCTCATGCGCTCGTATGCCATCTTCTCAAACCGGCTCAAGCTCTTCCACCAATGCTGTCCTGCCTCATGCTCGGCTATGCGCTCTAATAGTTCGGCCGTCTTAACTCTGACTTCGGGCTCCTTGTGGAAAAGGCCCAGCGCGATGTAGAACAGACCCGCGTGCGACTCGGGTGCCACGCTCAGAAGGAGGCATATCTCGTCGTACGAATGTATGTGCTTGGATAATGTAAAGTAAATGTCCCGACTCTGCGTAGGGGACAATCGCTGAAGACGCAGTTTGTCATGCATGTGTGCTACGTCAAGCCCCTTCAGCGGGCGCACCGTATATAACTGGGCGAGATCCTAGGGACGCGTCAGAGTGAAGCAAACGATAAAGCGTGTGCGCCTCGACTTACCTGGACGAAGCTGTAGTAGCTCCTCGTGTTGCGCCAGCCTTCGATCCTCGTGATGTTGCCAGCAAGCTCCCTGTGCTTGGCCGTGTCATCGGACCAGACGTAGCCATGCCCACTGGCGCCAGGGAGCGTCAGTTGCTCATCGTCGCTGCCAATGTACAGAGCGCTCACGCCATAGACGCTCTCCTCGAACTGTGCCGCGATGCGGGTCAGCTTGAGGACCCAGTCCCTCCATTTGGCGCGGATCACACGCTCGCCATGCCGGGCCGTGATGCTACGCAGAATGTCGGCCATAAAGGCCGAGTCCCCCGTCAGGTCCATCGACTGACTCGACAGGCCGCCCGCCAGGGGCGCATATGCAGGGTTCTGTTGCTGGTAGTTTTGCAACCCGTCAGTGGGCATCGCCGGCTCGATCTTGCTGCTGATCTTGACACGACCGCTTGGCAGATCACATAGAATGTCCCACCATTCCGGATGGTGTTCGAAGGTAGGGTTTGTCACGCCGGCGATGAAGCCCGGCACATTCAGCAAGTCGTCGATTTTGGTCAAGTCGGTATAGGGGAAGGCATGCCGCGTGAAGCCTCTCAGGATACCGCCAGAGGCAAGCGCGCAGGCCGCCAGAACAGCCTCAGCAACCTCGCCCGACGGCATGCCATGGCCCAGGAAGATGACCCTCTTCTGGGTCAGGAGACCGTTGACCAGAACAATGATTGGATGGGTATGGATGCCGTTGGTCGTGAGGTGTGGGTGCAGTGGGAAGGGCTGAGGCTGCTTCGCGTGCACGTCGGAGAATATCTGGATTAGCTTGATCAGAGAGAAATCGCCCACTGTCTCTGGCATGATCGCTGTAGGGACCTTGACGGGGATGGGAATGCCCTTGTACATGATCTTCGTTTCCAGCTCATGCGTGTCTCGAGGAACTGAGTAGGCTGATGGGCCTCCCTCGACGTAGGCTCTGGTGCCGTTGCGCGATATGCCGGCTGTTCGTGCAGGACTTTGATTGCCGTCCCCCGAATCTATAGAGGAGCCCTCAGCTTTGTCCTCGAGAATGCGCTGTTGGATCATTCGCTCAAACTTCTCGACGAACAAGTCTCGATTGTCGCTGGCTAGTAGCAGGTGTCTTTCCAGCAGACTCAGCTTGGGCATCAGAGATAAGTCCATGGCGTTGACTGCGTCGTAGAGCATCGATAGCGTCTCCGGGACAGGGGATTTGAAATACTCCTCGAGGGCGAGCAGCAAGAGAGGCTTCCAAAGTCAGTGTCAAGGTTCATGTGCTTGCGCGCGGACGGCTCACCTTGTAGATGTGGAGGAAAGGGTGCCTCGTGCATATAGCCATAGCCTTCACTACCGCACCGCGCTTCACTGACTTGTCGTGCTTGGTGTTCACCAGGTTCAGCACATAGATCAGCGGTGGCCCCTCGCCACCCTCGGGCTCACTTTCCGAAGTTTCGTAGCCGTCCGATTCGTCGTTTTCTTCATTCGACTCGTCGAGCGCGTCCTCGTCTTCCTCGTCGATGATACCTGCGGCCCGATTTCGTCTTCGCCTTCTTCGCCTGCGCCGATCCTCCCTGGCCTGGCGCTCCTTTTCTTCCTCGTCCTCGCTGCTTTCCTTGTGGAGGAAGAACAGGGTCCAATCCGACTTGCGCGAGTGTGCCTGATCCGGCAACATGAGCTCTGCCAGCATGTTCTCATCGCCTGTGATTGCGAGTGGAAACTGATGCTCCATGACGGGGCCGCGATCGATGTCAAACGACGCAACTAGAATATACTCGACATGATTCTCCGTGGACCCTCGAGGGTATTGGGATCGTAGCTTTCGCGGCGCATTCGAGCTCGCGCGCCGGCGATACGGCGCTGAGAGAGAGGAGCGTCGTGAGGAGGCATTGGCGAAGCTATGGTCCGAGGTTCGTGTCGGATCGAAAATCGGTGGTTGTGGCGACCTCGACGGCCCCCCTGAGATTTGCGAGGGAGATCTTGAGGATGGGAACGAGGATAGGGAGGTTCGTCGGGGACCAGCTGAAAGGGAGCCGTTGGGCTGGCCGTTGCTGCTCTGTGACCGTCCTGCGCCACCGCCAGGGTCCGCCATCCTCTCGATTGACCCGGTTCCTGTCCTTGAATGATCGCTTTGGTTGTTTTCTCACGCCATGAACTGGCCAAGGGGCAATCAATGTCCACGCGCCGAATTCGGGACCCTGAGGAGAAAGAGGATCCCACCCCCTCCGGCCAATCGCGCGACGTGGGTGGCATGGAGCTGGGTGAGCCTTCGCCAGCCGCTGTCACCTGCATGCTGAGTCACGACGAGCTAAAAGTTATAAGCATCCACGCATCGCAAATGCCAGGGGTCGACGCAAAACAAATTTCCAACTTGGAGGAGCTGGCTATTCGTACGGCTGTCCATTCGCCACATGTCTCGACCTCTGTCTGGAGCGCATGCGGGCTGTTGAGCTGGTGAAGGGAGATGACATGAGCGTAGCAGTGTGTCCACGACGTACGCGGATCAATGCGATTAAAAGACGCATATGGATCAAGTCACAGTCGAAGAGGTCATTTCATGACGATTCTTCTGGATCATATTGTTCTATCGTTAACCCGCGTGGAATACTGAGCGCTGCCACTGAGCGCTGTCAGTGAACTGGTGGTCGCACACCATGCAAGCTCGACAACAACTGCACAGGGCTACTATTTCTAATATCTCGCTAGAGAAATACATACATGTTCACACTCCTACCCAAGTGAAAAAGGCTTTACACACTTTATTGCGAGATCATCACCGACCCTGCCAGCTGTGCTTGCTGGAACAGAAGTACCCTTACCTTCCATTAGCTCCAGATTATCGTGGCTAGTGCGGGGAAGCAGCCTCGCGTCGAGAGCCAATCGAGCACACTGAGCCTCAAACGGTGCGCCACGCCTTCATGCAAGGCTGCGGGCTGTTGTTGTGCCACCGCCTCATTGTTTACTTTGATAACGCAACACCAAGACTCCTCAACATCGAGAACTACAACGCTTATTGCTTTTCTCCGGGCCACAATCTACTCCGATTGAATACCGCGAAATAGGTGATTTACTCCTATTTGTATAATTACCTGTAACATTCCGTCACCTAAACAACTTGCCTCGATCTGCGACAGAGCGGCCCAGCAACATGGTATGTACTGCAGAAGCTGCTGCCCTGTTTTCATCGCTGAAACGTGCTAACACGTTACTTTACTCAGTCGTCGCCGATCAAAGCTTCCCACATCGGGTTCAGCACTCCTCCCCAACGAAACTCTCCCTTTCAACGCCGTGCCGAGTCCCCAGCCTCACCATCCCCTCTTCGTCACGCTACTCCGGGGACAGGATCACCGACCAAGAACGGTCCTTCGCGGTTTGCGCGAGCAGAAACTCCCATTACCTCGACGGAAACCAGCTGGACACCACGAGGGCAAACTCCAGCAACGCCAACACGAGACATTATGCAATCGCCATTACGGCCTGTCGCGTTGCGCGCACCGGCACCAGCACCCAGTAGGGGTGATCATGGACACGCCCTATCAAAGCTTCAACCGACCCAGGTCAGAACTCTGCGGGATGGCTTTCAGATTCTAGATCGCGACTGCGATGGTGTGGTGAATCGGGAGGACGTGGCAGACATGCTGAACCAGCTCGGTACGTAAATCAGCGGACGACATGGACGGTCAGACCAATTAATGCTTCGCAGGCCTTCCGTCAAGCCCATCGCATGTCGCGCAGTTCTTCCCCCCATCGCAACCACAGACCATAGCCCTCGCAGCCTTTTTAAACTCGCTGGCTGAGATCCTGGCCGACCTTTCACCCAGCGCCGAGCTACTGTCCGCCTTTTCAGCCTTTGACGACGACGACAGTGGACAGGTCGACATTGCGGAACTGCGAGATGCGCTGATCAACACTGCGCCGGAGCCTGGTGAGCATGCGCTTGCACTTTCGGCTGCCGAGGTGGACAAGGTTATGGATGGCTTTACCGGGCGGCGTGCGTTCAACCGGAACATGAGTGCACAGCTCGGCGCGAAGAGGGGAGAAGTCTTCAAATACCAGGACTTTGTGAATTCCGTCATGGGTGCGAATGGAGGGGCGGAGGGACCCTCGCGAGAGGCGTCAGAGGCCTGAAGCTATGGCACTATTTTGGCTGAGAATTGTGGTCAAGCGGAATGAATGCACATGCACAATACAATGTAATGAGAAACAAGATGCACGACTATCTGTACAAGACTTGAGAGATTCTGTATAACGACACAAGTCACATAATAATGTCCAGCATGGGTCCTATTAATAATGATAGATTGCCTGCCAGGGTTTGAAATAGCTGCGCAGCTTGGCGGAGGTGGGCAATCAGAGCAGCTCAGCAGACTCAGCAGACTCGCGCGCCAACGAAGACTTTTGCAGAGGACTTCGTTAACAGAGTCTGTCAACGCAACGCAAAGTAGCGAACGAGATATTGAAGGCGTATCTCTATATACCTGTAGTCAACTTTCTTCACGCGCATTTGGCAATGCTCCAGCACCCGGCGCCGGGACGTGAGACGGACGTTGTCTGCAGCCACTTTACGGCCCCACCGAACCTTCTAGAATCGCTTCTCTTAAGTCGATTCGACTCTGTTAAGTGCATATGCACGATGACAGCAAGCAACGGTTCCCCAGCCAGCCATTGATTGCTGCGCAGCAGCGCAGTGCAGTGTCAGTCAGGTCTTTCGAGCGCAGTCCCTTTACATTGGACGCCCCAATCTGGCACGAAATGGCATGGCTGGGCCATTCAGGAAGCCTCTGTGATAAGTCTGTTGCGCGCATGAATCCACCCATTGGATCCTCGCGCTCGTGCCAGCGGGCCGCTCCCGGGGCAGGCGGACGAGCTGGTCCTGAAGGTGCGCGAACCTGGGACTCTGAGAGAGAGGATCAGTTGGGATTGGTTCTTGGGGGTGGGTTCGCTGGGTTCAGGAGCCAGTCCCGGGTCTCCTGACCCTTGGCTCTTGTTGTGACGCGATGAATCGAACTTTTTTTGTGCCTGTGGATGCATGTATGTGCATGGGAGGAAAGGAGAGGGCTGGTCACGGAGCTGACTTGTGCTGGCTGTGCACTGCTGGGGCTTTGTGCTCGACTGGAGCTGGCTGGCTTCTCATCTTGTCTTGTCTTCTTGTGTTTGTCTGGTGACCCTCATCTCTCTCTCTCCCCACAAGGTTCACCTCTGTAGCCGCTCCTCCTCGACTCTTCCCGTATCGTAGATTCACTTCTCCTGCCCGACGTTGCTCGCGCCTGGCATATCTTCACCCGTACGCGACGACCGACCTGAGCTGAGCTGACCCCCTTTTGCAAACAACCGACGTCGGCGACTGGACCCGTTTGAGCAATTGCGTCGCGTGCACGGTACGGTACCATACGCACGTATCGCGCATATCCTTCTGTCGGGTTTGACGTCTCTACAGTAGTCCCGTCACATTCGCCCGAGTGCCACTACGGCAGCCGGCAGTGGGCCAAATGAAGTTCTTCGGTGGAAGCAGCAACAAGAAATCTTCCTCTTCCAAAAAGCACGCCCATAGCGATTCGGCATCCTCCTTCACAAACGCAAAAGGCCCAGACGGGACGCCGCTCAACTCGGGCCACACATTCCCTCTTTCCCCACCACAAGAGGAACATTTTCGCGACTCTGGCTCGCACCGGTCCGAACCATCATCGCCGACGAAGTCCTCCAACAACACCACCACCAGGTCACCCACCAAGAAAACATTTTCGAATCGCGATTCCGTTTCCTCGACATCGTCGCACACGGAGCCCGCGAGCAAGCCCTCTCGCCCCTTCAAATCCTCACGATCCTCCGAGAAATCAAAGCGGAGCAGTCAATTTGACCCAGACACCCACCCACTCAACCTCCCGCCAGAGGAGCGCAGGCGTCTGTCCTCGCTTGCCCAGTCTGCCATGAGTGGGAACAACTCCATGGATATCGACCGCGAGCCCGTCAACGGCTCGACGTCGCGGTCGGGGTCGCCTCAGAACGCCTCCGCGCAAAAGAACTTTTCCGTCCCCATCCCCAACGGTACAAGCAACGTCGAGACCAACGGCAACTCCAATGGGACGGAGTCTGCGCCTGCTCCTCCACCCCACGGCTCCAACCCATCCAGTCCAATCCTCACAGCCGAGGACGATGCTGAGGCATACAAGGCCGCCGGCAACCGGCTCTTCAAGGAGAAGAACTATGCGCAGGCCATTCAGCAGTACTCCAAGGCCATTGACCTGTTCCCCGACTCGGCGACATATCTGAGCAACCGAGCGGCCGCGCGCATGTCCAGCGGCGCCTATGAAGCTGCGCTCGAGGACTGCACCCGTGCCGCTGACCTCGAGCCCGAGAACCCCAAGATCCTGCTTCGTCTAGCTCGCATTTACACGGCTCTCGGTCGCCCGGATGAGGCCATCCTCACCTTTGATCGCATCAACCCCCCACCATCCGCCAAGGACATGGCGCCCGCCAGAGAGATGCTGCACCATCTCAGCGCAGCCAAGGACACTCTGGAGAAGGGCAGCGCCATGTCCATGGTGCTCCATGCACTTGACCAGGCCGAGAAGGGTCTCGGGTACGGCGCCGGCAAGCCACGCAAATGGCAGTTGCTGCGGGGCGAGGCCTATCTCAAGATGGGCCGCGAGAACGCCCTGGGCGAAGCACAGAACATCGCCATGAGCCTGCTACGAAACAACAGCCAGGACCCCGAGGCCCTCGTGCTCAGGGGCCGCGTGATGTACGGCCAGGGTGAGAACGACAAGGCCATCCAGCTCTTCCGCATGGCTCTCAACTGCGACCCGGACTTCCGCGAGGCTGTCAAGTGGCTCAAGATTGTGCAGAAGCTGGACCGCATGAAGGACGAGGGCAACACGCACTTCAAGGCAGGGCGATACCAGGCCGCCATTGACAAGTACGGGGAGGCTCTGGAAATCGACCCCTCCAACAAGAGCATGAACGCCAAGCTGCTGCAGAACCGTGCGCAGTGCAAGATCAAGCTCAAGAAGTACAACGAGGCCATTGCCGACGCCGACAAGGCCGTGAGCCTCGATCCTGGGTACACCAAGGCGCGCAAGACCAAGGCCAACGCCCTCGGGCAGTCGGGGCAGTGGGAGGAGTCCGTCAAGGAGTGGAAGTCCATCCAGGAGCTGGATCCCGAGGACAGGACCATCCCCAAGGAGATCCGCAAGGCCGAGCTCGAGCTCAAGAAGAGCTTGCGCAAGGACTACTACAAGATCATGGAGCTCGAAAAGGACTGCAACGACAACGACATCAAGAAGGCCTACCGCAAGATGGCCGTCAAGCTCCACCCCGACAAGAACCCCGGCGACGACCAAGCCGAAGCCAAGTTCAAGGACATGCAGGAGGCCTACGAGACATTGAGTGACCCTCAGTGAGTATTTGACCGTCTTTTTTCCTCCGTGCGATCACTAACCTGTGCCAGAAAACGTGCGGCCTATGACAATGGTGACGACCTCATGGACCCTGCCGACATGTTCGGCGGCGGCGGTGGCATGGGTGGCATGGGTGGTGGCATGGGCGGCATCGACCCGGAGATCCTGTTCAGCATGATGGGTAACCAAGGAGGCTTCGGTGGCGGTGGTTTCCGCGGTGGCGGCGGAGGCTTCCCAGGAGGTGCCCGAGGTTTCCCTGGCGGCGGCGGCGCTGGAGGGTTCCCTGGTGGCGCCCAGTTCAACTACGGCGGCGGTGGTGCTGGTCGCAACCCATTCTCATGACAACCCGAGCGTGGAGATGCAGAGAGCGGGCCCTTTGATGATGAAGATGACCCCGACGCCTCTGGTCGCGCAGACCAATCCGAGTCTGATCCTCCGCAGCCGCAGCAGAAGACAAAGACGACGAGGAGTTATTTCGAGGAACGGCAAGAGCAGTCCCGGGAGGCGCGGGTCGCGGCCATGCGCAAGTATGGCGTGTATCTCGTGGCTGCGCTGGTACTACTGCCGCCGGAGCTCACCGGCGCACTGCTTGTCGTGGCAGGCATCGCGTACATGATGCGACGTGTCATAAGGAGGAGAAGGGAAAATATCGTTTGAGATAGAGAGAGAGAGAGGATAGACTTGCGACGGCTTTGCAACGATCTGCATGCGCATCATATCACGGCGTTATGGGTTATCTGAAGATAAAAAAGTGAGTCGTTGATAATGATGACGCGCCAATGGCCGGCTGATGCCTTGTGTATGATGAATTATTCCCAACGCCGTGCCCTATAGAATGGTATCGTAATGGCTCTGTCCCGAACGCCCTGCCAACATGGTAAATTGTATGCACTGTCCGTCCAATTCTTCCTTTTCACGATGCGGCATTGGCACCGCCAGACCCATTTTCCGGCCCTGCAGCACTCATCTGGACATCAGCCAGTCCATCCTCCGTCTTGACGTTGCCATGCCCAACCGCACTGGGCGACGCCAGCCCCGCGCCCTCCATGATCCTGTCCACGTCGTCCCTAAGCTCCGGCATGGCGCTGGCAATGTCCCGCGCCAGCATGTCGCGAAAGCCGGCAAAGGCGTTCAGTTTCCCGTTGAAGGTCTGGTTGCCCCGCCGCACGAGCTCGACAAACTCTCTGGTGTAAATGTCCGGGTTGCGCCCGTTCTCGACGTAGTGGATGAGCTCGGGCGGGACCGAGGGCAGCGGCGTGGTCGAGGCGGTGGTATGCAGGGTCTGCAGGGAGGCGGCGAGGGACTTGATCTGGTCGGCGAGGACGTCGCGCGTGGGGCGGGGCGTGGTGTCGTAGTTTGTGACCTGGACCATGATCTCGTACAGGTCTTGGATGATGTTCTGGAGCTGCTCTGTTTTCGGAGTCTGTCAATGGGAGGAATGGTGTCGCGTGAGGAATTGGTACGTACGCTCCACAACAGTCTGTTGGGCGCGGTCGACGGGCGCCATGGTTGGTGGTAATTGGTGATTCGGGGCACGTTGGATGATGAAGGAGAGGAAGTGTAGACAAGCTTCGGAGCTGGTGTGGTAGTTGGGGATGGTCATGTCTTCGTGGGGTTGAGGCGCGGGCATTTAGGGTAGGCGGGTTGACTTGGTCAAAAGTCAAACGCGGCAGTGCCGCCTTTTTTATGTGCAGCCCGATCTCATACTCGAACCCTTACTTAACCTTAACGACCACTTCCCCCTTTACATTGACAAACCGCACCTTGCTCTTCAGTCCCTCGACACTCGCCTTGTCCACGACACCCTCGTCATCCCAGCTAAAATCCACAGTGCCGGCGCCCCTAACTCTCAACCCCTTGACGCTTCCCCCTTTCCACGACGCGGGGATGGCTGGTCCCAGCACCACAGTCCTGACAGCATCCGCGGGCGCATCGTGGGCCAAGGGCAGGTCGACGACCAGCATGCTGAGCACGGCGCCGCCCAGCCCAAAGTTGGCGTCGATCTGGAACGGCTCATTCTGCCCATCGTACATGCTGAACCCGTTGCCGACAAAGTTCTCCTGGATGGCGTACCGCAGATGGAAATGGGCCTGCTCCGTGTCATTCAGCCGTGCCCAGCATGCGGTGCGCCAGACCTTGGCCCAGCCCGCGTTGGCATCCCCCGCGTTACCGTCGCCACGAGCGATCAGCGTCTCGCGCACAGCGTCCTGGATCGTTCCATTGGTGCCGTACCCGGAGTGGTACGCGGACAGGGAGTAGCCTGGATGCCAGCCTGTGAGGTGGGACAGGTGGCGGTGGTCGCTCTTCTCGTCGTATCCGTACCAGTCTGGGATCTTCCACTCCTTGACGCCACCCCATTCTGTGACGTGGAAGCCCTTGTCCAGCTTTCCGAGCGCGTCGCGGACTTGCTCGAGGAAGTCCTCGTCGTCCTCTTCTGCAAAGGGCGCACCCGAGAGCACCGTGTCCAAGGTGCGGTGGATTTCCTGCTGGTAGTGCGCGCAGCCAAAGGTGGTAGGGCCGTGCTCGGGGCTGTTGCACGGGTTGACGACCAATGTGCCGTCCTCGAAGAAGCCGTCCTCCTGCAGCTGCGACAGCCAGAACCTGGCGACGCCCTTGATCAGAGGGTATCCTTGGCGCTTGAACCAGGCGACGTCTCGAGTGTAGTCAAAGTTGTCCCAGACATGCTGCATCATCCAGGCTGCGGAAGCAGGGTCTGGCATCGTGTGTTAGCGGGAAACCTCCTGATGTGCTGTGCCACGGTACGTCGTCTTCACTTACAGTCTGCCCAGCTCTCGCCTTCCTTCATGGCTGTGAAGCCCCAGATGTTCATCTCATTGTGGACAACCCAGCCTTCGCCGCCATACAGGAGCTTGGCCGTCTCGGATCCTCGAGGGGCCCAGTTCAGCTCCATGTAGTCCCACAGACCATCCTGGGTCTCGCTGAGGCCGGTCTGGTCCGCCGCCCAGTAGTTCATTTGCAAGTTGATGTTGGCGTGGTAGTCGGCGCTCCAGGCAGGCCAGAGCTCTTCTGTCCAGCGACCTTGAAGATTGGCAGGGAGGGAGCCGGGTCGAGAGGAAGTGATCAACAGGTGGCGAGAGTAGTCGAAGAGAAGTGCCTCCAGAAAGGGGTCGCCGGTGCTCTCTGCTGTGTAGCCTGCGATCAACTCTGCCGTCTCGACATTGGCTGAGCCATTGGGGTCAGGAAGATCCAGAGTGAACGCAGACGCGAGACGTCCGTAGTCCTCGGTGTGACTCTGGAGGAGCCTCTTGTAGGACTTGGCCGCCGCATTCTTGGTCACGCGCTCCACGTACTCCGCAGGATCTTGCCCCTTGAATGAGTAGTCATTCTCTGCATTTCCCTTGGTCTGGTCAAAGTTTGTGTTGGCACCATGTACAATCGTGATGGATCGCTGGCCTTGAGGCGCTTGGATTCTCAACGAGGAACCGTCACATTCCGTCTTGGCTCCGGAGCACTTGGTGACCCGGGCGATTGCGTCGTATTTGAGGCCTTCTGGCGGTCCAGATTGCGTCTTTCCTTGGACGCGGACGAGTCCTTTCTCGCACGACTTCTCATATAGATCCTCTTCAACCAGTACATTCTCGTAGGAGACGGTGATTTCCGGGAGAGTCTCCGGGGAGGAGATGTGGTACACGCAGACCTCGTCAGGGTATGTGCAGAAGACGACCGTCGAGAACTCAGTCCCGTTCACCTTATACGTGCTTGTGTGGACCCCAGTTTCGAGATCAAGGACTCGCTTGTAGTTCTTGTAGTCCTGAACGCCTTCGATGGAGATGGTCAGGTTCCCCAGCGTCTGATAAGCGCCATACGCGTCACTAGAGCCGAGGAGGGGAGCGACGCCTAAGAGGAACGTCAGTCTCATGAAGGGTGGTATTTTCATCTCCGGCTCTACTCACTCCCTGTGCCATTGGAGAATATTTCAGCGCGGATATCAGGCAAGGCCCCGTATTTGGGTTCATTGGGGTTGCCGCCATTGTAGTCTTCGCTCTCGAAAGGACCCCCAGACCACAATGAGTCGATATTGAGCACGGCTTTCTCTAGTCCTGGAGGTCCATGCGGAATAGCTGAGGCACGTCAGTCTCGTCCATGCTGTGGAGTCGTTGTCTCTACCTCCCAGCTGGCCATTACCCACGGGGTAGGCAGTTTTCAGGAGATAGTCGTCACTCTTTCTCCAAGCATGAGTCGCCGGCTTGGTAGACCACAGCGAGCGAGCGGCGACACACGTGAAGGCTGAAAATGCCAAAAGCGCATGTAGTAATGTCATCATTTTTTAGGCTAACGAACATGGACAATGGAATGGATATGGTTCGGGCTGAGGGTATATGTAGGGCAAGGAGCCATGTTCTTCCCGTCACAGCTTCCAAGATCTGGCCCCTCCCTCATCTGTCCAGGCCTTGTTTTTGGCATGACGATTCGGTTGTTAGGGATATTTCGCGATATTAGGCTCATTGATACAGGGTACGTGTGCTTGGCTTCGGGATAATGCGAGGAATGGTGCGGGGAATGATCTTCCGAACCGCGAGAATGCCTGCTGATCTGAATCCGGGGTATCGACATTTGGATTTTACATACACAAGCCGGGCAGATATAGCTCCGGAGGCTAATAACGGCATATTCGGTTATACTACTTCATTAGCTCGCCGTGGCGTGTTCGCGAATATGGGGTTCAAAAGTGGATGATGGCATTCGGCCGAAAGGCAGATGGATCTTTAGGGGCCTTAAATACATGTACATGATCAAGCTCTGAGGGAGTCATAGCCGTGGTCCAAGGCGAAATAACTCTTGCAGGAGTGAATGCATCTGTTATGACTGTCAGGTTGATCACGTAGCTTGAGCTGACTTGTCACCTTTATGCTGTTTGGCGGGGAGGCCATCAGCCAACTCTCAACCACAAGTTAGTCTCCTCCTACCAGTGCAACAGTACAAAGACCATTGTAGAATATGAGTGCGCCACATGTGTCGACCGTAGCATTCAACCAAATCATACCATGAAAGTATTGATTCAGGTTCTGTGAAGCGCTGTTTGGTGTCCGACAATAGTGTCATGTGATTGGTTCAAGAGTCGCTGAGTCCGCCTTGATCCCCGCTAATTGCCGCATTGAGCCACAGCCAGATGGAGGGGTATTCACGACCAAGCCAGTATCATACTGTACATGTAACATTCTCGAATATATTCAATTGCACCTATGTTCCGTGGTGACCCGTGTTGACATCAGTTCTCATGTTCGTAGTCGTTATCGCATATCCATTTAGTGCCACAGAGCATCGTTGGGCTTGATACCCTTCTCCTTGCAGTGGTCGTAGTACATCTTGGCAAAGCTGAAGATGTCCAGGGTGAACTTCAAGCTATCGTCGTCGTTGAGGAACTCAATGCTACCAGTGATGGTGAACACAATGTCGGTGTCGTCCTCGACGGACAGGGTGTGGATGACGCCGGGGTTCTCGCATACCCAGTCGCCTGGGCGAGCAACCCAGTCGTACCTGTGCGTAGATCGGTTAGCCAAGTGATCGCGACATTGTACAAGAACGGTGCTCAACATACTCCTTGTAGCCCCATTCTCCCGACATGGTAATGGCCGTGACGGTGCCACGGTGACGGTGCTTGCCCAGACTGGCCGCGACCTTGGATCGAAGGCCGACCACAAAGGTGCCGGTCCTGTTCTCCATGCGCATGGGCTTCAACTCAATGGGGCCGATCCATGGGAACCACAGGGTGTCATTCTTTGCGTTGATGTAGACATCGGGGGCGCTGTACTTGTCGACAAAGGCAATCTCGGCGCGCTCGTGCTCGTTCAGGGCGGAGCCATCGTCCTCGGCTCGCTCGGGGAGCTTGGAGACAGGCTCAGGGACGAGATCCGGGGTGGTATTGGTAACAGACGGAGCCATCGTGTATAAGTTGGGTAAATAACGTATGTTGTGCAGGAGGAGTGAAGGTGAAGCCTTTGGCTGGAATGTGGGATAATTAGTTGAGTTGAAGGAAGTGTCAACTGTCAAGACTCGAGCGTACCAACCACGGGCCGTTCCTCCTGGATGGATTCTGAGACGAAATGATGGTGGAGTTGGCGAGCGGGGGATGACTACTCGTGCTAGATCATTGGTCGAATATCTGCCGTCGAGACGAGGCGCAAGTTCCCAGCGTTAGCCTCGGGCAGACCGCCATCTTGAGTCTTAGTTTCTTCAACGGGTGCCACAGATAAAAGCCTCAGCCGCTCAGTGTCCCCCCCCCCCCCCCCAGTCTCCAACGCATCCCTGAACCCTGAACCAAGCCAGCTTGCCAAGCTGTCATTTGTTGATCCACAAAGGCTGCAGCTGACATGTCAGGTCATATTAGTGCAATGTCCACCTTCGCTCATACCGAGACCTTGTCACCTTTCTGGTTCTCCATTTCCCCTGAGACTCGATATTTTTTCCCCAGGGCTGGCTGGCTGGCTGGCTTCAGAGATCTTTACGTTGAGAAACCTTCATTGCTACCTTACCGTTGGGCCTGAACTTTGAAGGCGCTCCTGGTGCCGGGGGCTTCTTTTTATTCCCCGGAGGCCCTGTCTGTCTCTGACTCGCATTGCCGCACTGACATATTCGCACTCGGCAGTCCAGTCCCCCGTAGTGCACCTGGTCGTCAGCCGGCACGTACTCCGTGCTCCGTACATAATATTATTCTGTTCCGTCCTCTCGACTTCGTTTGCTCGTCCTCTCTCCAATTGACTTGATGCTGCCCCTGCGGTTCTTGACGAACTGGGTGCATGTGAGCTGCAATCAACAACTTGACCCTGACTGAATTGGGGGCTGTTTCTGTTTTGTTGCTTTTGTTGACCTCGCATGGCCAAGATGGAGTCCAGGCAGACCGACCTCTGGGTCGTGCTGTTTGTCACCTTTGCCGCTGCCGTCACCATCACAATACTCCGTCTGCTGAGTCGAAGACTCAAGAGGATCTCTCTCTCGTGGGATGATTACTTTGCACTCTGCGGTTTTGTAAGTTACATGTACTTGCATCTCATTCTGCAGCCGCTAATTCGTCCAGGCCATTTCCGTTGGTTGGGTCATCATCATTCCCTACTGTAGGTTCTTCACGTCAACCAACAACACTGCATGTGCTCAAATCGCTGACCCGATTCGTAAGGGGTCAACCACGGCCTCGGACTTCACATTGACGATGTCATGGCTATGCGGGGAATAACGCAGGGAGAGGCATTGTTCCAATCAAAATTACTGCTCTTCATCGCCGAGCTTTTCTACGCCTTCGGCCTGTTCTTCGCCAAGGTGTCCATCTTGAGCCTGTATTGGCGCATGTTCAACGTCACGAATATCCGACTTCCGATCCAAATTCTATTCGGATGTTCCTTTGTTTGGATTACCTTTCGAGTACGTACACTCCCACTGCAGCTTGGTGTTGGATCTAATGATGGCTAGATCTTTATGGGCATCTTTCACTGCGTTCCTGTCCAGGCATTCTGGGATTCCAGTGCCGGCGGGTACTGTGCCATTGAGGACAAGAAGTTCTTCTTTGGCACCACTCTTGTCCACGCCGCCATTGACATTGCCATTTTGATCTTGCCCATGTGGCAGATTTCACAGCTACAGCTACCCTTGATGCAAAAGGCTGGCATCATGGTCATGTTTACTTTTGGCTTTTTGTGAGTGGCACTATCATGCTGCCCAAGTACTTGTGGATGTAGTTGCTAACCAATGTAGCATTTGTGCGGCCGGTATCAGGTTGATTGTAGCCGCCAGAGTGTTCGACGACCATTCACCGGATCTGACGTGGAATATCTGCGACATTGTGATTTGGGCGACAGTCGAGGTCAACCTGATCAATGTCTCTGGTAGGTTTCCCACCTCGTTCCTCGCTCAAGTCCCGTGGGGATGGCTAACACTCTCTCTAGCTTCTCTTCCTACAATTCGACCGGCCTGTACATTCATCTTCACCTGCACACACCCACGGACACGGACGCAAGCCAGCTCAGGCAGCTACCCAACTACGGACCCTCGAAGCCGAACCAAGCACTCCATCCGCCTCGACCCCATGACCAAGTCATCGCCCAACGATGAATCCAGCTCGACACACCAGCTTGCCGACTCGGACGATGGCGGTGGTCGCGGCTCCGTGTCCGACTTTGAAAGTCACGCCATCGATCGACTGCGACCAACCGGCCATAAGTACACTTCAACCGTGACGGGACAAAGTGGCATGGGAGGTGATTCCCGATCAAACCTGGATGGCATTCTTGTCAAGAATGAGACCACGGTGCATGTTTCCCAGCACTGATCAAACGGATTGAAGCCAGGCGCAGGCCAATGGTGGAAGACGACGTATGTACCTTGTGAAATTAATAATCAATAGAAGGAGTCAAAGGGACTCGAATAGTAGCAATTACATGTACTTTACCTGACTACTAATAATAGCAGTGCGACGTTGGCGACGGACGTTAGTGTCTTGGCCTTTGCATACAACCTCGCTAGCAGCTAACCTTAGCGATTGAACTCGACCCCTACCATCACCTCGAAAACCTATTGCCAGTCCCAGCTTTCTGCAATAGATACTCATGGTAAGACTACTCAATCGAAGGAGGCAGCGTACACAGAAACTCTCTCAAGACTATGCCTCCCATGGCCGTACGTACAAGCAGCAAAGATGATCTTGGCGCATGGCAAATGGTGGGTGACAAGGGGAGAACAGACAATCAATCGAGAGCCTGGTGAACAGCAACATCTGCTCGAACTCTACGATCTGTTTCGGGGGTTTCGTGAACGCGTCACAGTCGTGAACAGCAGGCGATAGGCACATGCAGTGTTTCGCAGCAAACATGAACCATCATGATTTCAGCTTGCGCTCTATGGTACTTTCTGGCATGAATTTTGGGTGCGCCCTTTGTGTAAGTAGTCGCCGCAATCATTGTCAAGAAAGTAAGTACGTTCAGCAGCCTTCGAGGAACTGAAGTATTGTTCATTCACTGGTGGTCGTTTGCTTCAAACAACTGAACAGGAACAGGGACGAACATCACCGCCCGTCATGGCAACTACCAGAACCTACGATTCACTATTTAACCACTGATTCACTCGTGCTCAAGTCAATGCTCAGCCCTTACCTACAATTCCCTGCCTTATCTCGCAGAGTTCAAAATTGGGTCGAGTTTGGAGGGCTGTTCTCGACACTTCACACAACTCTGCTGTTCCGTCCGCCGTCTAGTCTCCTGTCTTTTGCTAAGCAACTTGCCGAACAAAGTGCACGAAATGCCTTGCAAGGTTCGCAAGCGTGACATTCCCAAGAAGATTTACCACGATTGCCGCAGCACGGGATTCCAGCCGGCATACCTCACCCCTGGTGAACTTGAGTTGTCCACAAACTACCAACCTCGCAAGGCGCTGCCAAAGGGACCTAGGACGTTCCATACGCCAGGAGACAAGCATCTCGCCTCTGCAAATGAACAGCAGACATCGCGAAGCAGTGAGCCATCTGTGTCGCGCAACAAGGTTCGCATGAGCAACAAAGGCGCAGTGAGCAGGGGCTGGTCCCTCCTCCGCAAGAAAACAAAATCGCCGCGCTCGCGAAATGGCGGCAACGAGCATTGTCCGGCTTCGACTCTTCTCCAGGAAGACTTTGAGCCGTGGCTTCCGGAGAGCAGCCAGCAGGCTGGTCCATCCCCATCGCGCGTTCAACACCGGCCCCTTGTCCTTCATCGCGCGCCGGGCGCCTGGCCAGATGTTCCACCTCCTGCGTACGAATCGAACAATGAGCAGGTCGACTCGGATAGTCAGGTGGCCCCAGAGTTCTTCCAAGCTCCTCGTCTGATGCTGACACCCCCGACGCCGCCTCCATGCTACGGTTGGTCTTGATTTGCTTTGGGAATGCACAGAGGAGAGGACTGTTCCGAGTCACTAGACAGGTGTCTCTTTTCCGTGAGAAGAGCGCAAGATTGATTGTCTTTGTGCATGGGAGTTGCGGCGGCGAATAAATATGGTCATAAAGAGGTACTTGTTAATTCGTAATCTCATAAAGTTATCCCTACTGCTTGTGTCTAAGACCTCGCCGCGAATGTCTGCGATGCGTCCAACATGAGACTAACAACTAGCAAGATGGCATTGAATACCGCCATCATGTAGAAAGGTGCGCCAGTTGAGAGCTTGTCGAACAAGTACCCTCCGAGCTTCGTCAGCAGCAGAATAGCCGCGCCTCCACAAAGCGAATACACTCCAGCAATCGATCCCTTGAGCTTGGTGCGTGCTACTGAATTTTCCTGTGTCGTAATTCGAAGGAGGGGCTCATCTTCGGCAGATTCGTCTTCATCGGGCGCGATTGATGGCTCGCGTGGAGTGGTACGCGACAGCTCAACTGCCAGCACGCCTTGACCAAGCGACCCGAGACTGCAAACAATGGCGCCGATCTGACTGATGCCAATCAAAGCGACCACCAAGAAGATTGCGGGTGTCCCTCCTCTGCCCTCTTCGTTCTTGATTTCGGGGCTGGACAGCTGAGGAAAGACGACGTAGCCGACCATGCCGAAGATGGTCGAGACGACAATTGGCCAGTTGACTTGACCCGACTTGTGTGAGATGTAGCCAAACACCGGAGCGCAGATTAAGGCAATAAGTTGCGCAACGCCTGTGAGAATGGACGAAAGAATGTATGCGGTGCGGCACTCCTTCTTGAGTTCTGGGCTGGGATCATGAGGCGAGCCCTGGCAGAATCCGTTATCGATGAAGAAGGTGTTGATGTACAGCGGAATGAAGAGCGAGATGGCAACTGTGGAAGCGCGTGCGACAAAGCCGCCGATGTAACCAATGGCAATCCTCTTGTCGGTTACGCCGAGGAGAAGAGAGTCCTTCATCAGGTGGAGATACGGGATGACTTTCTGGATGCGTGTCAGTCGTATAACGAAATGTAGCAGATCTTGCCGACTTACCTCCTTGCGCAGCTCCCTGCTACTGTGGGCGTCGAACTCATCCTCATCCGCCTTGCTTCCAAGACCGAGCAGAACACCCCATCCTTTGCCCTCCTCGCCTCTCAAGTTGCGCAAGCCAAAGAACACAAAGACCGCCACCACGATCGCCACACCGGCAACAACATAGAAACTATAGGAGACAGCTTGGCCAGGTGTGACCTTCTCGATATCGCCGAATTTCGTAGGGAGCGGAAGGAACAAGGACAGTGCTACTAGCGCGCCGCATCCTGTGGCCAGACCAACATAGCCTGCCAGAGCCGAGGCCTTGTCGAGCTTCTTCTCATCTTGCTCGCCTCGGGAGACACGATCGCTTGATATAGTGCGAGTGTACCGTTCGGGCGTAATGGTGAGCTCAGAATTCACAGAGAACGCAATGCTCTGTCGCGAAAGGCGTGCATGCTTATTGCGAGATGACTGGTTGCTGTCACCGTCTTCACTTTCATCGGTCAGACATGGCAATGTCGCCGTAACCATTGTCGCGCTACCAAAGGTTAGCAAAACACCCCCACTGGAGGGCCAGAGGGTGCAACTTACGCTGCGGATGCGCCGATCGCAAAGAAGATTCTCGCAAGCAGGAGCTGTGGGTAAATGTTCTTTGCTTGCACAAAGACGACCAGGGATGCGCCGATGATCAGGTACCCAATGGTGGCCACCCATCTCACACCTAGCCTGTCAGAGATGAGACCCCATGCTGGACATGCCACCAAGGCGACGACCTCGTCCGCAAATCCCAAGGTACCGACTACGTCGCCAATGTTATGCTTCTGCCCGATCAGGTCCGAGATGACAAAGCTCACAGAGCTGTTGAGGAAGACGAGGAAGGAGATGGAGAATAGCGCGACGCCACAGAGATATGTCGTAGCCTGCAGACGCGTTGTCGAGGACGAGAAGGGCACAAAGCGTGCGAATGACGCCATCTTGTTGGGTGTTCGACCTTGTGTGAAGCTGCAGATATCCAGTCTAGCTTCACATTGCCAGTGCGCGACCCTCCAGTGGAAGATCTTGTGGCAGTGTTGCACTTCGAGCGGTCGAAGGGGTACGTACGTCAACACTCGGTGGCATGTTGACGCGACGAAGCTAGCTCCCTTTTCGTTTAACATTCCTTACATAAGCGCATGTGTTTTATTTCGGCATCAACGTCATTGATCCCCTTTTCACAACATAATCACAATGTGATTTGTAAAGAAAACATGCGTGGACGATTTTTGTAATTATCAAGATCACAAGTTGAATGTCCCAACATCATATCTCGTCAATCGCCGTGCCTAAGATATGTAGATACTCCGTGACCAATGGCCCCTAACTCCATATGAACCTGCCCAGCAATCAAAATCCACGGATCTATCCTACCAATTCCACAGCACCTTGTGGTGCAAAGTCCTCGCGCCATGCCTCTCGAACTCGAACGGAGTGATCCACGAGTCGTTGGTGGAGAGCTTCGCGAAGACGCTCGCGCCCTTCCACGTGACAACCTGCTCGTCCATATCTCTTGCGCTTCTGCTCACGAGAATTCGGTCGTGTAGATCTGGTCGACGCTGCTTCAACTTTTCCTCCAAGACCACTGTGAATTGTGGCACCTTGGCGCCGCCGCCAATGACCATGATGCTGCCCAGTAGATCACGCAGTTTCTTCTCGTCGCCCTTGGCAGCATTCTGGATACTGGTGAGGATGGCAATATCCAACGGGGCCACGGGAAGCACAGAATCGCGCTCAGCAGCCATGTGCTTGGCTGTCCGGGCTGCTGAGTCGACGAACATCCCTGGCGGCGGCTGCGAGGCTTGGCTCGTCTGGCCGGGCACTGGGGTACCAGTGGCGCGGGAACCGGGAGGAGCAGGGCTACCTCCATTCGTAGCATCCTTCCCATTAGCAAAGACGAATGGCGGTGCTGGCGTGCTGTTGCCCTCAGGGGCCGGTGACCCAGCATGCGAGCCCATAGGTGTCCCGTTGACGCCGTCACGGCCAGAGAAGCTGAAAGGATGCGCCTTCTCCTTCATCGGTGTCGATATTTCCGGCTGTGACAGAGGGAAGCCATTGGCGTTCGACGTGATAGAGGGTTGGACAAGAGCCAAGATGGCAAGCTGGGCAGCAGATGCCGGATCGTCAGGCATTTCAACATCGTACGCGTTGTATGAGCGGTCTATTAGCTTCCGGCGACCCTTCAACTTGGCAGAATTGTCGAAAATCTCGGGGTCAAATACGCCCATTGGCGCCAGGATGACTTCGTCGTAGGTCTTGAACTGGTACTTTCGGGTCGGTTGATTCGGCGCACGCACGTGGAACTGGTAAAGCTGCACTGATATATCGGCCTGCGACATGGTGCAGTGCTTAATTTTGAGCTCTTCGGCCAGGAGGAAGTCGTAGCGCCTGCGGATGTTGATATCCTGGTAGGGGAAGTTGTCGTACAGCATCATCTTGATGAAGGTGTCGGTAATGTCGTATCCTCCATACTTGAGGTTGATCCGCGAGTCTTCCGCCAGCAGACCATCCTCGGCGCAACTGATAGACGTCTTTTGCGCGCCCACATCAACGACACAAGCTTGCGTGTAGCCTGCGCCGAAAGTCGCAGCCATGCTCTCCTGGATGAACGTGACTCTGTTGAACTCAAACCAAGTCATGCAGGACCGCAGCACCTGCTCCACGTATCGCTTGTCGTAGAGATCAGGTATCACGAACACGCAGCTGTACTGTTGCCACTCGCTGTTCTTCTTCAAGCCAAGCTCCTGCCGCAGCGTTTTATCCAGCAGTGTTTCAAAGTCGTCGTATAGGTGCTCCTCGCTCGTGTAGTCTTCCTCGTTCCACCAGCCATGCTGTATCGGCCACCACAGCTTGAATTTCGGGTCGGAGTCGTCGGGCACACGGAGCGCTCCATTTCCTACGAAACAGGATGCCAGGGAACTTGGGTCTTCCAGTGATTTCACATCTGTCCACTCAATCTCCAACGGATCGTTGTGCTTTTGGATAACCTCGGCCTCCGTGCGGCGGTTGAAAGTTTGAACCAGCTCTTTCGAGTTGGGTAGCACTTTGCGCTTGTTTGCTCGCATGTCAACCTTGAGATCGCTGCACTGCTTGTTGTACTTCTTGGACCACTCCTCCCCATACTGCTGGTCGGTATTTTTGGCTTCAAACTGCCTTCGCGGCAGCGCCTCATGCATTTCGGATTCGGTCTGCGGGAACTTTGTCGCAAGGACCATTGGAATAGTCCGCGGGAGCGCATCGCTCGCGAAACCGATTCGCAGATTTTGACTTCCAGGGTGGATGACGATGATCTTGGACGGGTCGATGCCGTTTGAGGGTGTTGCCGTCCCCTCGTCGTCGGCAAGATCCGGTATCGGCAGGGGAACCTCGCCGTTGGCCGGTTTCGAGAGAACTCTATCGCGATCCCGGGCGTTCTGCACGAGCTTGTCGCGGTTGGCTTCGTTCTGCAATCGCAATGCCAGAATCTGGTCGTCTCGCTTCATGTAATCCCTAGCCGGGGGTCAGCCTTGCGAGGGTGGCACCAGAAATCCAAATACGCACGTGTAGTAGTTCTTTTGGTTGATCGCGGCCACATCGGGCCATGTTGTCATTTTCATGCCATTGTCGGTTCTTTCCAGCCCTGTCCAGAGTCAGTCAGTAACTGAACGCCAGTTGCGACGCTTCGCACATTTGCCAACGATCGCGAAAGTGACAACTTACCCTCCCGGAGGAGCACCCTCTCGCTGACCTTTCCAACCATGGTGGTGGTGCTAGACGAAGCTGTGTGACCACGTTGAGGCGATTGACCTCAGCGAGGTTGAGGAATTTCCAGGCTTGAGATCGCCTTGTCAACCGCTGCGCGCAAGACGATCTCCGGGAGCCGCGTCGTTCATGCTATTCAGAAACGGGCTAGCGTCAGAAGCTCCCGGGCGACCTTTGATCCGCTCCGCGTGGTGTCAGGAGTCTGACAGCACTGAGACCCACAAAGCCTCTGGCATGGCAACTTAAACTTGTCGGTCACAGGTGGTGTCCCGAGTCCCGACTCCCACTGTACTACCACGACGACTGCGTGTAGCTTTAATGTATACTGACGAATTGGCATGTCTCCCGAATCCTTCGATGCCTTCATCTGACAATCATTGAAACCTTTGTCATAGCATGTGATCAATCGATGACAAGCCACCACCCCTTCACTCAGCCTGCCCGCTTGTCGGATCACTAACTACCACCACCCACCAACCAAAACGCAACTATTTAGCCCTCTCTCCGCGTCCCCTCACGCAGGTCGTCTTACGAGTTCCTTGCCTCATTCGGGAATCCCAAGCAAAAGACTGCCTCGGGTACAGCTCCATCGACTGATTGAGTTTCCTGAATGTAACGTACTCACCCACCTTGCGTAATGGCTGTTGGCCGTGCTCACAGTCAGGATCACAGCAACAGCTTGAAGTTTGCGACAACAGCCTCGGTTGCCTTTTGATCCCAGAAGTTTTGGAAAGGCCGTTCAGTAACCGTACACTGGGTCACATGGTAGCTTGTATTAATATCCAGGCTGTGTCCCCATTGTCGAGCAGAATACTCGTCGTCGATCCTCGAGGCTCCTTGTTACCTTCGCCCTCTTCGTCATGGGATTCTCAGACAGCAATTGGGCAGGCAATGCCTCAACGACCGCCGAGCCTATTGGCCCTGTTTACCAAGGCTTCACAGTCCCCTCGTACTCAGTGCTGAAGCCGTATTTGATCGCCAGTCTCATCGGCTATGTCACTCTCTGCACGGCCCTCCGCCATCGTCGGATCAAGAACTTCCAGAAGAAGATGGGTTTTACAGATCGAGCTTCCTTGAGCCGCATGAGCGTTCATCAGGCCCAGGCCATAGTCAGGAACATGATGTACTGGGAGTTTCCCCTCTTCTATGATGTTTCACTCCGGTTAGCCTTGTTCCGGGTACGATAGGCTTCACTGTTTAATTAGCCATCAGAGCTGATCAGAGTCCAGACTTATGCGGTTGAAAATGTGGCGAGAGTACTTGCCAACTACAGTGATCTCAAGGACTTGAGGACTTCGTCGAAACGGTATGAGGACACCGCTATTCTGTACGGATGGTAAGCAGCGCACATATCCTTCACTACTCTGAACTTCCACTTACCTAGGTATAGCTTTGCCCATTATGATCCTGCATCGGATGAATTCCTAAAGTCTGTTGCTCGCATGAACTATCTTCATTCTCCATACGTCAAGTCCGGGAAGATCTTGGATGAAGACTTCCTTTACGTTCTCTGGGCCAGTATGGCAGCTCCCGTCAGCTTTGTGTCCATGTACGAGTGGAGAAGCCTCACCCCTATGGAGCACGCTGCGCAGGGCACCCTCTGGAAACACATAGGAGATCTCATGGGTATCGACTACAACAAGGTGATGGGCAAGGACAAGTGGGCCGACGGTATCGAGTTCATGGATGAGGTCACCGAATGGGCATCCGGGTACGAGGACAAGTACATGAAACCTATGCCTGAGGTGCGGCAGATCGGCAGTGTTCTCATGGAGCTGCTTGCAGGCGCCTATCCCAAATTCGCCAAATCATCCGTGGACGTTGGTGTGAAAGTACTCATGGGCGACCGCATGCGCCACGCTTTCGGGTGAGCTGGGAAATAGAGCCATACACTCCAATCGCTGACTTGAGTCGCAGTCTAAGCACGCCTGGTCTCCTGCAGACCCATCTCGTCTACAGCGCGCTGTTCTTTCGACAACTGGTTCTGCGCCACTGTACACTCCCTCGCATGTTTGTCCTCAAGAACCTGTCGGACCCGGATGCGCAGACGGGTCGTATCCAACACTACCTCTACCTGAAGGACCCTTGGTACAACCCAGTCACCATCTGGACGCGCTGGGGTCCTGAGGCGTGGCTCAACTGGAGTTTAGGCACACCTATTCCTGGCGATAAGGCCCTCATGCCGCAGGGATTCCTGTGGCAGGATCTCGGTCCAGAGAAGAGGATGGGGACCGGTGTCGCTGAGCTCCAGAATACCGACCATCTGGCGAAGTACAGATCAGTGCATGATTCTCCATTCTGATTCTATATTTGGGCTGTCAACCGAACACGGTCAGAATCAAGAGGGGTCAGAAATAGCAACGATCGCTGGAGGCAAGTTTACATCTTCGGGAACAGCATCGGTTTGAAACTAAGGGCTGGGGGATTTTAGTTGTGAGATTAGGCCAGGGGAGGTCTGTTACAAGAATCACTGAGTCTATATGTAGACACTTAGTTCCAGAATTTTCACAGATGAGGAGTGCGACCTGGTCATCCGTTCTTTTCTGATTCTTAAAGAGTAATAGATGCCATATTGATTCGCAAAGATACCGTCTGCGTATATAATGTTTAATGTCCGACCCTCATTCAACGACAGCACTTCCTTGTCTAGGGTCGGTGGCGCAGCGGTAGCGCGTGGGATTGCAGATCCTAAGGTCACCGGTTCGAACCCGGTTCGGCCCTTCACTTTTGCTCCCTGGGAGCAAACAACCTTTGGCATTCTCTTACGGCGGTTGGGGTGTATCATGTGTGAACATGGATGAGTAAAAGAACATCATTTTTCTTTTGCATATTAACGAAACTGTTAATGTATGGAATTAGCCTAGGTTTTACGTACGTAGCACTCGTTCACTTGCACAGTGTGCTAGCGCTAAATCAGTCGCGTTTCCAAGCTATTTTTCAGTTGTCGCTGGTTCGGGCAAATTAAACTTGGAGGAACTAATCGGATTATTCCGGCTATCTCATCTTGTGCAGGATATTACTGCCAGGTATGTTCTCGAAAGACAAGTCGTGGCAGTGGACGCGAAAACCACAAGACCATTTATAGGGTAGGTAGACTGTGGCGGCGGGGTCGTGAACGCACGTACCTCATTATGAAGTGCTGAGCTATTACATGGCACTAAAGTAGAGAATTTGCATAACTTTCGTCGCATCCTGAAATACGGATAGCGCACCGACAAAAGCAATGAGTCCTGCTGTTAGCCATGATCACTTTCTGCTCTTTACTTAGCTAGGCCTCTTAGCGAGCCTGAAATGTGGCTGATCGTGAGGGACCACCACGTTCGCGGAGGGGAGTCACCTGACGTGGAACAATGACGTCGCCTGATCAAGGGACACCTCTTTGTGATACCTCAACATCACTTCTGAACTATAAATCCATTAGAGAACCCAAACAGCTTTCCCTCATTCAAACCGAAACCAATCAAACCACATCAGCTTACTCGTCATGGCGCCCGTAACTGTCTACACCGACAGCCCCATCACAGCTGCAAAGGCATCAGGGCCGACGCCTCAAACTGCCGACGCAGCACAGCAACAAGCCTCAAATCAGGACCGATACGCGCCGCCACCAACCACAACATCAGCATCAGAAGCCTCGCAAACAGGCTATCCCGCCCCGCAGCCTGCGGCAAGGCCATCACAGCCTGTCCCAACGGGCATGCCTCAGCTGCAGCCTACGCCAACACAGCAACTCTCTGAAGATGGACCTCCGGCTCCACAACCCGGGCCTGTGCCCGTAGCGACACCGACGAGCCATCTCCCACCGCCCCCCAAGGCAGGCGAGGCTATGTCCCATCCTCAGACAAGCAACCCTGTGACTGCGATGCCACCTCAGATGTCCTACCAGCCACCGACCTCATCATATGCTGCTGGCAGGTCTACGACCATGGGTCTGCCCCATTCATCGGGGCCTACGAGCTTGCCAGTGGGCGGCAATGATAACTTGTCCCACCCACCAGGGTATCAGCAAGACTCCTTTGCGTCAGAGTTCAATAGCGCTCAAAGAGCGGCGCACCATGACTCTGGGAGGACTGATATGAACACATTCGGCTCTGGTGAGGATGAGAGTGTATGGGACACTGCGAAGAAGTGGGCGAGTGCAGCAGGCAACAGCCTCGCTGCAGCCGAAGGCGAAGTCTGGAAAAGGATTAACAAGGAGCAGTAATTATCAGGAGCGACCCCATTCACTGGTGGCGAGACGGCGTGGCGCTGAGTAGATGGCCTGATGGGTCGTTTTCCTACCGGAGACAATTGTTCCTACGTACGTGTGCAATTGCAACCCTACGAGGAGAAACATCAGAAAAGAACAGGCCGTGTACCCGGCGCTTTTTCGACGACATGCGACCACTTCACATGGACAGGCAACATTCCTCCAGTACTTGGTACGCCGTTCTGGCAGGGAACCCCCAGAGATGCCGTTGTTACATTAGGCGTGGTATAATACACGGTTCGGCAATTCTGCGACCCTGTGATCTCCACAAGTGCCTTGCTCTTACGGCTACGTAGTACCGCGCCCTAAAAAAAGGTCCCCGCGCGATGATCACAAGGCGGAAGGTGGAAATCGAAGAGGACAAGGATGTGGCATCATGGTCATAGAAACATACCTTATGCACCAGGCAGCCAATATCAGACACCAGATATACCCTCAGGACAAGCCCGTGGCCTGTGCCCCCGAGGTTAGTGAGAGGTACCGGATATGGCCGACGTTGAAGATCTGGAGCCGGGAAAGAAACTCATCATATCTCACAAAAAGGACTCGCGACGTCAGCGTGAATGTCATCGCGGATGAAGTGCAATCTCGTGCCGATAGAAAAACATTGATGACTACTTAGTTAGTACTGAGCAGCACGCGTCGTGGCGTGTGCTAACAGGCCTGAAGAACGCGCCCGTGTCAGTTAGTCGCCAGGTGTGCTGATGGCGGCCGAAAGGCGAGGCGATCGCGTCCCACTTTGACGGAAGCTTGAGCAAGAAAGAGTGAATAATAATTACCTGAAGCAACTTAGTATCTAACGTTAGGAAGAGCGCGACAGGCGATGATGATGGCGACCGTCGTGAGCCAGTGGGGTTGACGCCAATTTTGACTTGTTGGTCCAGTGGACTCCAGTCGTCAGGATAGTCCGTGGGCCATGGCTAATTATAACTATTGGCGTCTGGCAGATCCGCTGTTCAGACTTCAGAGCCCAGTCCATGTCCCTGGCCAAATGTCAATTAATTACAGGCTAACATTCGCAGCGACGCAGCCCACAGAGCCCTACACGTACAGTGACGCGGCAAGGCGATCTTTGAGGGCGACATGGATACTCTAGTCTAAGTCCATGTCGTTTCTCACAGCGGGCCGTGTTGCCTCGATCGGATGGCGTCCAATGCCAACACTACCAAGTAGTCTAGTAACAACACTGGTACCCTCACTGGCCTCACATGACTCGACCTGATAAGATTGGGCGAGAGACCAACAAACGACGACACCGCTACGTAGATGCCATCACTGCTGGACAAATCACGCACGCCCCCAATTGAACACAGCCACAGCGTTGGCAGCTGTCACTCATCCTCCAGTCTTCCTCGAAAGAGTCCAGTCGAGTCTGGGGTTGCGCCTTCCTTGCGAAACTGATCTGAGACAGGATCACGTCCTCCCAGCTCCCACTGGACCAATTACGGAGCTTCGTTAACTGGAGAATTTCCAGAAGAAGCATAGACCCTAGAAGAGCCCTAGATGAGGAAAGTGTCAAATCAGGCCACGAGTCCACGACGTCCAGTCGTGAAGTCAGTCGGCTGCAACCTCAAACAGACGGACAGACTTCTTCTTCATCCTTTCTGCATCCGCACAATCTTGCGAAATTACCTGCTTCCCATGGTGCAGCAACTTTTGTTTTGCGCAACCACTCAGGCGATTGTTTTACCAAGGTAACTAATCATCCGGGCCTTCGTCTGTTCTTCTTGTCGGAGGTCGCGATCTGCGCGCAATCCTCAGCCTAACCTTTCTTTCTTCCCTTCGCCATGCCTCCCAACTATTATCCTCTTGTCCAGACTCGAGCCCTGAAATCCGCGGCAAAGCGAAATATCGAGGGTCCCGCAGCATGTCCATCCGCCCACTAGACTTGCCGGCTGCTGGTGCACGTCCAAGAGGGGTTCGTGATGGATTGTCAGCACCTTTGATGACTGTGTTGCTTCTTTTGCGCAATTGCGACAAATCTGCTTCTGTCACTTATCACCTAATACTGACAATACGTTCCTTACAGCTGCTTCCACTTGTCCGTCTGTCTGTCTGCTCACGCCGGATAACAAAGTATCCGGCGAATCCCATTCTCAAACGCGACAACTGTCGCACAGGGCCAAAACGCGACCATGCTTACATTCGATGAATCTCTGACACTAGCACGGCCTGCCTGTCAACGATGAACCTCACTGTGGCCCCTCTAGATCCAGCGCCAGTATTTGCCGGTTGCTGCCGGTTTTCAGTGCACAAGAGAAAGACGCCATGATGCAAACCATGGCAATCACGCGCGCAACGGCTGACTCGCGCTCTGGATGACCGCACTGACCGCACTCCGTACTGGCCGACAAGTCTATAGGTATCACGGTAGAGACCCGAAGTCGAAAGACAATAAGGCTCACACAGGTCGTTCTAGTCAAAACGACGTCACCTGTGGGCAACAAAACACCTGACGTTCATACCTTAACCACCGGCATCCAGAGATTCCAGACGCTGCCCAGAATCAGCGACGTGTTGGATTGGGCACTCACACGACGCTAATACGGCTCTGTCCCGCATCAGAGATCTCAATGTGGATACGCCTTTGCGATTCCACGACTCATTCACTTTCCAGGGGGTTGAAAACGCTACTTGTACACAGGAAGCCTTCGAATTGTCGTCTGTTTCCCGCGCTGTCAGTCAGCGCCCTTGGCCATAGGATGCTCCAACTATAGGCTTTTGGCGATTGCTACTGCCCTGCATTGGTCTGTTTGAAGATTGACTGCTAGGCGTCTTCCCGGCTTGCCTGATCCCTGTTCGGCCAAGTGTTTCCATCTGCGCCAGGACCCTGACCCTTGACCCTGGCCCATCGGAACCCAAGCCACTCCCCATCCACATCGTTGACGACATGTAACACACCAGCCTTCGGCCCCTGTGTCCACCGGCGGGTCAGGCACAGCGTCGACCCTCCTGGACTCCTTCACTCACGGCTGGGATTCCTCACAATGTTCCAAGCTAGCTGCCAGCAGCATGGATGTTGCGTCTTGCCAGGCGGCCTTTGAAGCCCAGCAAAAACATCGTCTTATACACCGCAGTGTCCGACGCCGTTCTACGCCTTTCGCTAGTTTAAATCCTGTCATTCCACGATCTTCATTTCAGCTGTCATTCTTTTGCCCCGGAACCTGACCTGCCAGTCGCTCACTCCGTTCGCCCTGCTGTTTTCCCTATAATACCTCTCTTATAGGCACCTACAACTCTCATTCAGAGCCTATCACACTCCTTGTCGAGTCCAACCTCCCAACCCGTCTCTCCTTACCAAGCCTCTTGACTTGATTCGAGCAACGACGATCTGCCGAGCCATTCAACCTATGCAGCTATCCGCCCTCATTGCCTCTCATCCTCGATTCAACAAGTACACATAACCACTCTCATCGCACACTGCCTTCTCGGTCAGGAGAATTTCTCTTACACACGCACAATCTTGCGGTAAGTCATGCATAATTAGCCTGGCACTAACGCCAGCATGGCATCAACACTGCGCTGGCGAGCCTCACCAAGTGGTCCCCATGTCATACATAACAACTGATGCTGACCTGGATCCTTGAACCTAGATCTCGGGCACGGCTGCCGCTCCAGTTTCTGCGTGTACGAGGCTGCCTGCTCCCGTTGGTCTTTGCATAACTGCCATGGACTCGGCCCACAGGAGGCTGTAAGTCCTCACGCGATCTCCATGTCGGCCTGTCTATACTGATTCCTTTGGTTGCATAGTCGCTCCAAATTCCAGAATTCCCTCTTTCAGTCCGAATCAAGGTTTCGCAAGCAAGTGTCACCCAGTACACCTCACATCAGTACTATGGCCGAGGACGACGTTCACAGCGCAGCGGACGCGGTCACAGCCTGGCCAGCTTCGAGTGCACACCCTCAGTCGACGCCGACAGCAATGTCAGAGGAGCTCTCATATCACGTCCCGGTCGAGAGCTATTCGAGGCCGCCCACGGATCACTCGATGCCCATGCTTGCATCTTCCACAGGGACACCGTCAAGACCCATCTCAGCCCAGCAAGACCTCCAAACACCCATGTCAATGGACGGCAGTACGTTGCTACAGGAGCTCAATAACGCATGTATCGCTGACACTCCTCTAGACTATTACAAGAAGCCGTATGAGGACCAGTTCGCCTTCCATGCCATGACATCCGAGGCGCCCATTGGCCAGGCCTACACGACTGATGAGGCCATTCCCATCCTGGACTTGGACACAAGTGATCACCGGCAAGGCTACTACAACTATCAAATGATGTATGATGAGGCCGCATCACGGAGAATCTCGGGGTCATCTTTCTCCATCTCTACATCCGACATGGTTCATGATGACTTTACGACCGCCATGTCCGACGCTCCTTCATACTGCTCGGATTACCCCCCCACCTCTAACCGTGATTCCTGGATGTCTTCGACGCACCTCTCGCCTGTTGCATCGCCTCGCATATCGGCACAGGGCCGATCTGACCTGGTTCGAGCGCAGAGTCGCGGCCGGGCGTCTCCCTCGCCCCGGCTCAGTGTGCGGTCGGCACCCTACAGTATCGACGTCCCTAGGAACAACAAGAGATGGTCCACTGGCTCCTACGGAAACACGTCAAATCGACGACCCATGCACACGCCGCTCATGTACAATCCAGGCCCGGAGACTCACGCCGCGCATCATCGCATGTCTCGTGCCCTCGCCGACCCGCGCGGCAACGGCACGCTGAACTCTGCATCGACGACCACGCAACCGCACTACCTCATGCCCAGCCAGCCCGTGCTCCAGAGGAACAGCATGCTTCTGCCGACTCAGCTGCCTTCGCAGCTCGTATCTCAGCATACACATGGCGAGGGACGCCACTTCGATGCTGCCCCGCCGCCCCTGCTCTCCCATGGACTTCTTCGCATGCTGCAGAGCAACGTGGACTCCCACCCTCTCCGTCGCTATGCCGATTTGTCTGACCCTCCGGACCTGTTCAGCTGCCTGCACGAGGAGCAATTGTCGCCTCCCGAGGAAGACATGAACCCCTCAGATCCCGACATGATGCCTCGTGAACAAGATCTGCGATTTGAGGGCGATTTGTACACCCCGCGCTGGGTACGCGGGCACGGCAACAAGCGTGAAGGCTGGTGTGGTATCTGCAAGCCTGGGCGATGGCTCGTGTTGAAGAACTCTGCGTACTGGTACGACAAGTCCTTCTCCCATGGCATCAGCGCGGCGACGGGCAGTCCCTTCCAGGAGCCTCTGGATATGCGCCGCATGGACGGCAACCCTGACGTGTGGGAGGGCCTCTGCAGCAGCTGCAACGACTGGGTCGCGCTGGTGAGCAGCAAGAAGAAGGGGACGACCTGGTTCCGCCACGCCTACAAGTGCCACTCGCACCCCAAGGCCAAGGACTCTGCAAAGCGTCGACGGGAGAACGCCAGCGCGCGCAGCAACATGCCGGTGAAGGCGACCAAGACGGACACACTTTCCTCCCCTGCGCATCTCAACTCGTCAAACAATTTCAACAACAACAACAATGGCACCGGCCCGCCGCCCATGCCCACGCATCTCCCGCCCCCACCACCTCTCCTGTCCAAATCCTATCCCAACATGATCTGAAGATGATCAAGTGCAACCAAGCGCCGGTTCCGCTGGTGCTACGACCGAGCCTCCCAGGGTGATCTGCAGGCTGGCGCCTGGACCCCTGACGAACGACGAATTTGAACGAAGAGACACCATAACATGATCACGGAATGATATCCCACATATCTCCTTCCATTTATTTTAGACATCTCTCTCTAATTAGGCCCTTGCTGGCCGAACACGTTCCTCCACATCCGGGCTGCGCTCTGTGCGGGACAAGCTACTGCTTTACATCTGCTTTACACGCCTTATTTCTGCACGGCTTTTCACTTGATACCTCGTTTTTTTTCTTCTTCTTGGGGCAGTATGTATGGAGACCAGAGAAAGGAAGGACTATATAGATCTAGGCAGTCCGAGCGGAAAGGCCTGCTGGACAGCCACCATGTATAGGAACGAAAATACTTAGCCAAAGCAAATATGGAAGCTACTACGCTTCCTGACAACCACCAAGTCCCTTCTCCCCAACTCGTAAATCGCGCCCGAGGCTGACAAGTGACATGTAAAATCACACCGTCCGTCCTTCTGGTTGCACTGGATGGTATGGTATGCCAGACCGACCGCACAGCCGCCAGCGCAGACCTCCGCTGGGGACGACGCGTGGCGCCACAATTTCCAACTTTCATGCGTCCCGACCCGAATCGCCATCATCCCAGCTAGCTCCCTTACCCCGCCTAGATAATAGATGGCAGACGAAAATCTCGAAGAGGAAAAAAAGGGAATATCGTCGTCGCCGCGGCCCTGCGCGCTCATGTGATCGGGCAGCAGCTGCGCGCTAGCAGCCTTATCCCAAGGTACCCCTGCCCAGCGTTGGGTCTCACGCCACGAAGAAAAGGGTCCTCGGTGACCGAGGAATGAGAGTGTGACCCGAGAAGGTCTTGTCTCAGACTCTCAGTGGCGCTAGAAGGGAGAAGTATGCTGGAATGGGGGTTGACACATGTATGTCTCTCCTTGGTGGGTGGCGGTCACGGGAAGGGTGTAGCCAGTCAGTCAGTCAGGCACTCTCACGGCCAATGGGTGCTTTCCATCGATCTGGCTGATTGTTTACTACACAATTAACATGTCCGCACAGACTTTGACAGGTCTGTAGTTGCCAATGTGTAACGTGAGTGCAAGTAGATTGCACGCGAGTGGCAAGGCTTAGTTTGTCACATGAGGACCAAAGTTGACCCTGGCAGGTCAACTCGCAGTCCTGAGAAATGGTATGATTCGTTTGTGTCCTGGGAAAGACGTAGCCTTCGCGGCCCCTGTGATTGTAGAAACGGTGATCATGGACGATGTAATCAAGTTCTGCCTTTCGGCGTCGTCCTTGATGTGCTCTCCCATAGAGAGCGTAATGGGATCAGCTTTGACGCTGACTAGCCCTGCCTTCCTCATGATTCCAGGGGCGTCGTTGATGAGATGTACACCTATGTCCGCCTTGCCGAAGATGGATGTAAAGGCTCATATGAGTGCTTCGATGAGTGGGAATCGTGACTCCGGTGTAGGCGTCCGAGATGAAACCCCAAGACTTCTGCAGCTTGTTGCGCAAAATCTGCAGCGGCCATAGCCTGTCTCCTGTAAATATAAACCTAGTGTATGAATTGATGCTTTTGGCCTGAAAGATATCATCATAAGCTAAATCGATGTCCTAAGGGTGATGTTCGCCTTGCTCTCGTCTTGGACTCTCGTCGTCGAGGTTGGAATCTACCCGGTCGAGATGTAGACGCGTGGCTAGCGCCAATCCTTTGTCCTCATGATGATACTCTACTCTGCAGCAATCGTCGACGGAGACTATGCGAATGCGTAGATGATCCGTCGGTGAGTCGTCAAGGCGGCTAACCACTTGTTGCTGTGTTCCGCGAAGCTTGCTCCGGCGTGATGGATGAGCGGACATTGCGATGGGGCACGGACCAGCGGCCTGGGCGAGGTCCGACGAGACTGGAGTCCAGATGACGTCGTTCTTGGACTGCGGGGCTTTCTTCAGGTACATTGAGTGCAGATGGTCAAGAAAGGACACCGCGCACAATTCGAGTGTGTCCTCAACGAGAGACTGGATATCGCTTCGCTTGACTTGAAGAGCTATCCAAGACACGAAAAGTACGTATCGCATCGCAGCAAGGTACGGACTGTTACGGGGATTAATTAAGACGTCCACCGGTGGCTATCAGCGGGGCACGGCCGAGATCGAGATCTAACCATGACGGGCGCACAGTGGGGAAGCCTGTGCAATGCCCATCATGGCGAAGATGGGATTCTGGGCGACGGCACCAGCAACGTGGAGCCAGGTTGAGACCGACCCTGAGTCCCTGACTTGTGTCTGGCTGGCCGCAATTCAATTCGTTGCGATGGTTCCTCGCGCTGTGCTGTGTGCCTGCGTGATTACCACCTTTGCCTGTTTGGGACTATGCGAACAGGCGCAAACTCAAATCAGGGAACCGTCCTAAACAGGCGCATAACGATATTAGGTGGCGGATTGTGTAGTTGGGCAGGCAGCTGGATCGGCCTCGGCTTAGCATGGCAAATTGGCCGCTCGTCGGATCTGCTGTTGGGCCAACACGTCGGGAAGTTGAACTGGTCGTTGGCATTAGGTAGATGGACGGACGGTGGACGTTTGGAAAGGCTGCAGTTGCGCCGCCGTGGTTGGCCAGCCCATGCTGGTTGGTGCTATCGGCCCCTTACACTAACGGGTGGCCTGGAAAGCTAATAAGTAATCCAGGTATTGTATCCGTGCCGACAGGGCGGCATCGTATGTAGAATGTTGGTTCTGCCCCTCGATACGGCTTTCGCAAAGGGGCTAGAGAGCGTTTCTGTCCTGACTGGACCGTCTGATCATTCTTGAATAGACTCGCGAGATTGCCTGCGGAGCATCTTCTTAGCGCCCGTGTGCATCTGGAGTTGCACAGAGTCGGCTGGTCTCAGCTGTTATCGCCCAGTTGCTGCGTGTGCAGCTGTTGCGCGCGCGCATGCAAAGCCGTGACTAGCTGACTGGCTGTCCGACTTTGTGCTTGGGGTTGTCGAGAAGGCGTAGAATGTCCGTATAGGGTCAGAAAGAGAATAAGGTGAACTTGCAGCCGTCGTCTCGAGGTAGTGTCATTGTTGCCTGTATCGTACCTGCGCAAGGCCGCCCCGCTCGAGCTCAGGCGGCTGATTCTCTCGATTTCTTGATCCGATGTATTCTAACTTATACAGTTGGCTTGGACAATGCTGCTGTGGCTTCAGCTCAGGTCTGGGCTAATTAGCTTCCACATTCAGTCACCTGGCCTTTTGGTGCAGATCTCAAAGGCTCGCAAGGCCAGTCATAACCCACCATTGCTTGCTCGAGACTGGCAACTTTTGGCAAGTGCACTCCGAGTGCACTCACCCGCCCTAGACTAGGCTCGGTGGGGACCACCACCACCACCACCACCCCAAAATCCATCCATCTCCCTGCCCACTCCAATCCAGTCCCTCTTCTGCCTAATAAGTTCTTAGACGCAAGCTGAGACCACGCCAGCGGATTCATTGGCCTGGGCTCGACGTGAATCTGCACTGCTCCGTTCATGCAATCACCGCAGCGATTGTCAATTGCTGACCGAGGGCCAGCTTGATGGTCTGAGCTTCCTTCTTTTCTGTCTGCAGGTCGACGTCTTCCTGTTCCTCCTCACTCGCCTCGCCCACATAGCATACCTTATCACCCAAGCTCTGCGTTTGTGCTGTGCGGTTTCACATTGTAGACCCAGCCTGGTGAGTCCCTCGGATACCTTACCTCCATCTTACCCTTCAGCTCTTTCTTCCCCCTTGGACCACCAGCTGGTGACCCTTGACTGGCCGTCTGACGCTGACCGGTCCGATTGTCCATTCACAGGCACGAGACCAACAAACCGACCGACCCTTCACTCCAACCTGTTGACTATCTACGCCCGTCCTGCACTGTCCACTCGCCTAATGACTATTGCCCTCGACCACGACTCTTAATGATTTCGACGACGACGAATACTGTTTAATGATCGATACGAACGATTGACGACCTAGACATCAAAAACTCACGTTTACCCTACTTCGTCCCTGTCACCAATATCGTTTGGCGACTATTGTATTTCCAGCAGCATATGCCCCGATTTGTGCACCCACGACCCGAACCCCCGTCCGTGATCACAGGTTGATGTGGCAATAACCACCACAATCCACTACCGCTGCTCTCTCCTCGTACGGAGCTGCTATGAGTAGAGACCGTCCATCTTCTAGGTAAACTTGAACATGTCGTCTCGAATGCAATGTCTCAGCTAACCACATTCCCGCCAGCTTTGGAGATCCAGGCGCTCAACCCCCGACGCCAACCCAGACTCCGACTTCTGCAGTCTTCCCGAGCCCTGTGCTCGCTACACCTCGACTTGCGCAAGGCTCCCTGACCCCTCGATTCGCCGAGAACTACTCCGTCTTCAATTCTACGCCCGGCAATCTCGACGGCGGCCAGGCCAGGTTCGAGGGCTTCCCCCCCTTCACACCATCGAGTCACAGAGACGGCTTGGACCCAAAACAACAGCATCCTGCCAACCAGACAAGTCTGCAGCTTCCCGGTTCGGGCTCTTTGCCTAGCCAGACGACGACCCCGCCGCCGACTGCTCACAGACGCAACAAATTCAGCACCCTCGAGCCTCTCACGATGAATCAGGATGGCCAGGACTTCGGGCAACCTGACTTTTCCACGGCGCCGCAGCAGCCGACGGACTTCAACCCCTTGCTGGCAAGCCCAGGCGACATATTCTCCTATCCAATGTCCGCGCCAGTGACGGCGCCCGAAACCTTCTGGGACCCTGCCAGCTTCGCCATGTCCATGGATATGGATTTCAACACTTCCAACATCTTTCCCTCCGAGCATCCTACCACAGGACATCGGCATTCGGCTTCATTTGACTGGAATAACGAACCTCAGATGTTTCAGGACCCGCCTCAGCCTGCGCAAGCTCCTCCACCACGAGCAAACCTACCTGCCAAGGGCGCAGCCACCAAAAAGTCACGTCCACTGGCGCCCAAGCCCCCTGCGAGTCGAGCGCCGACAGCAGGCACTCTGACCGCGAGTCTGAGCATGGATAATGCCTTTGGCATCACAAGCCCAGGGGCCGGCATCGACCCGGGCAACGTCTTCGGCGGCTCTCGGCCTTCCGCGCCTTTCTCCAGTTTCCAGGCAACCAACGCTCAGGCATCACATCCCGTCGCCCCTGCAACGGCCATGCGAAGATCCAACAGCTCGCGGGATCTTGGCAGCAGCAAAGCTCCAGACCGGGCGTTTGCTAGTTCCCCAGTCAAGCCATCGATGCCCAGACCGGGGCTGTCGAGAAGTCAAAGCGAGAACAGGGGGAGGAGACCCAACGGCAAGGGGGCCATTGTCAGCCAGCCCATGGCGCCTCGCCCACTGCCTCCGAGCAGGAGCGTTCCGGGCTTGGACATGGGTCGGGCGATGAAGACGTCTGGGAGAGTGTCACCTCTCAAGAAACAGAACCGCATGTCGGGTCTAGCCTCCATCCCAGAGTCCGCCAGTCGGCCAAGCTCGCGGGCGTCGGTCAAGTTTTACATTGGAGCAGACGGACGGGCGCACGCGCAGGCTGCTCACTCCACTGTCGGTCCATCCGAGTCGTACACTGGGCCTGCTGCTCGATCATCGGGGCAATGGGACGATGGTTCAGAAGGTTCGTCATCGGAAGACGACGAGCCGATCATCATTCCCAGTCGGAACACTTCATTCAACGCGTCCTTCGCCCTGCCTGACCCGAGACGTCCCGTTGGTTCCATCTTCCACCCCGCGCGGAGGAGTATCAGCGATAAGAGCACGAGTACGTTCGCTGCGTCGGCGGATGGCGGAAACAATGACATGGAGAGCGAAGCGGAGACGATCATGAACGACACTCCTGAGCACAACGGAGGCGATGCTGCGAGCGAGCTGCTCCGTGTCAAGGAAAACAGACAGTTGATGGCGAACCAGTTCTCGAGCGCCAAAGCGCAACGTTATTTCGGCATGGGGCAGGGAACCAAGAGCACTTCGATTTCCCCCTGCCGGACTGACTCGGGGAACACGACCGACGAGCCAGGTGTCCGTTGTGTGTGCCACAACACCGAATTCATTGGATTCTTGGTGCAATGGTGAGTTTCGATGATGACCTCACGTCTTGTCGACCTGTGTGCTAACTAATGAATGAAGCGAATCATGCGAAATGTGGCAACACGGCACCTGCGTGAACCAAGCGGCGCAACCGCACGTCTACGTGTGTGCCTTTTGCGCGAACACGCCAAACATGAGGGGAGGCAGGCTTCGAGGCTCAGGTCGTGCCGGCATGGACTTTGGGGTAGCAACGTCGCCCCTGGCGAGCAAGTCGTTTAGAGCGTTCCGTTGAAGTCGCGCGTGGCTTCACCCAGCATACTAGGCGTTGGCTGTTTCGGTTAAGGATCATAGTTATGCAATTACGATAGACTTGTTACTTTATCTTATGGGCATCTGGGCGGCGATCAGGGGCTAGAGGCACACACGGTTGTACACATGATACCCTGGAATAAGTATATATCAACTGTACGGTAGCCGCGGGATCCCAATAAGGGGGGAACCCGCTGGGGCACGTACATATATGCAAATCTCGCAAACCCATACGTAGTAATTAGAAGCTCAAATCTTTTGCATTCATACCACAACCAGAAGTATACCTAAGAGAACCTCCCAGGCACGCAGTCATTGGAGCTAAACGTAGCTGCGAAAAAAGAAACCAGATGTTGCCGTCCGTCCGTCCGTCCATTTCATCCATGTCCGTTTCCGCCGCCACCACCTTATAGCACAGCGCAGCTCAGCTCCTTAGCAGCATACCGGAGCGACACACCCAGGTCAGCCTTGTCCATTTCCTCTTTTTTTTGGTGGTGATTGTCCCATTCTCATTTCTTTTTCTTTTTTTGTCAATATGTCCGTGTTGGTTCAAATTTGATCAGGTCAGATACGTGAGCAAATCATCTGCTTTTTCGTTTTCTTCCAAGCCTCGCTCACAGCAGTGGAGGGACAAAGAGGTCGGAAGAAAAGGGGACAGCATCGAGGGCATCGGCGTCCACATCGACCTCTCAGAAGATGATGTGTAGGCCACGTCGTTGATCGAGGCTGTCCGTGGTGGAAACATTCTATTTTCCACCGAGGCTAGGGAAGGCCGACTCGTCGCGGGTGTTGATGGGAGCAGGGCCCTCGCGGCCGCCACGTCCACCACGGAAGTTGCCGCGCGCGCCACGCTCACCACCACGGTCGGAACGGTCACCACGGCCGCCACGGCCGCCACGACCACCGCGTCCACCGCGGCGCTCGCCGCCGGCACCGCCGCCGGTGCGCTCGGGCTCGACGAAGCGGGGGTCAAAGTCGACGGTCTGCTTGACCTTTTGCTCGCGCTGGCGCTGCTTCTTGCCGCTGGTGGCGGCAAAGTAGTCCTCCTCGGTCTTCTCGAGAGCCTTGGCGTCAGCCCACTTCTTGTCGGCCTTGCTGCCCTCGTTGGCAGAGCGGAGGTTGAGTCCGAGACCAAGCTTCTTCTCGGCCTGCTGGGCGAGGTAGTCGGCGTAGGAGACGGACTTGTCCTCGGGCTCGGCGGGCTCTTCGGGAGCGGCGTCCTCAGCAATGGCCTCCTTCTGCTCGGTCTTAGCGATAGCCTCGCCGGCCTGCTCGTCCTTCAGCTCAGCCTCGCCCTCGGTGGCGCCCCACGAGGCAGCGGCCTGCTTCTCGGAACCGCTGAATACGTCAGTCAAGCCCTGCTACAACGGAAGCAAATGGTGAACATACCCCTGACCACCGTGCCTGGAGTGGCGGTCATCACGCTCACGGGGACGGCCAGAGCCACGGCCTAGGCTCTATTAGCTTGCTGACACGACCAAAGGATGCAGACACATTGTGAGCCACAGAGCTGGAAGACACTTACCACCACGGACACGGGCACCGGCACCGCCACGGCCACCACCACGGCCAGACTCCTCGGTGGAACGACCCTGGTTACGGCCGCTGCCAGCATCGCGGTCGCGGAACGCTGTAAACTGGGTTAGCCGACATGTTCGAACGCTCGAAGCCTCCAAAGCAAATTGGGGCTGGACAAGGACAACATACCACCGTCGTTGCCGCCGGCACCAGGGCGACGCGAAGCGGCTCCGGGGCCCTTGGCGGAAGGGTTCTCGGGCGTGCGCTTAGCAGGGCCCTTGACAGCCTTATCCACAGTCTTCACGGGGACAACGGGCTTCTCCTCGCCATCGTCGTCATTGCCTGCAATACGAAAAAAGCGTATGTTAGTCAAGGTGCTCTCTTTTTGGATGTGTATGGGTCGTCATCGCAACGGCTCTCTCGACCATTCTCCTCTTGATTGTTGCTCAGTGGAGTTGGGGAGGAATATGGGTTTTCGTACCGAGGTAGGCAAACAGGTTCTGCGAGGGCTTGCGTTAGTTACAATTTCTCGAGCCATAGATTGGTGACGAAGGCGGCGAAAGCTACTCGCGAAACTGCGACACAACTGCTGCAAACACGCAGGGTTCGCGGAAGCTGGCGTGTTCACGCTCGAGAACACAGCTTGACAGCAGCAGCAGGGCAAGCTCATTTCTCTCACGACGTCGAGCGGACGGGCTGGTTGGGCTGGCGGAGGAAGAAGAACGTACCTTAGAGGCGACTGACATGATGACCGCCTGGCTTGTCGCCTCTCGTCAGACGGGGGAAGAGATTAAGTGAGCAACAATGCGACGCTGGTGAGCGTGTGAGTTTGGTGTGCCGAAGAAATCTTCAATTGCGCATGACCCGACGACGGTAGAACTCGAGGATGGTGGGAGAGAGGTTTGTTGGCAAGCGTCGTGGTGGTCGGGAGTCGGATGATAGTGCGAGCAGCAGCCTGGGCAGAGCTCTTTAGACGCAGCGCCAGGCTGCCGTAGGGGACACGAACCGCTGTAGGCGGTGGGGCTACAGCGCTGTGGTGAGAGCTCATTAGGTGCGTTGGTGCCGTAGGCGAGGCCGGGCAAACGAAATTCACTCTCTCTACTTGTATTATGCCATTCTAGCTCCAAGGCTGTTTTGTTCTCTACATACAGGTCCTACGAATTGACCTTGATTGGTGTTCCAGTGGCACACAACAGCTTGATAAAGCTCATGATGGCCTGGGAATGGGCGTAGAGCTGCCACGGGATTTGGGGAATTTTGATAATTTTTGTGTGGTTGGCAAGCGGCTCGCGGTTAGGGCAGCAGACGTGGCTGGTGGTGGTTGTGGCTATTACCTCATCCTCCACCCCGCCGGCAATTATCCGCTCCGTTTGCGGACCAACCCCTCCTTTGCTGGAGCTCTGACACGACGTCACATGATTGACGGTATGACTTGGATACAGCCGCAATAGGCATGTTGTTTGTCAACAATCTGTTAGGGGTAAAAGCTGCTAGCTTTGCGCGACCAGGCACGACTATGTCGCAAGTCTTCTCACTAGGCAAGTTCTTGTCCACGCTTAGATCGCACATAGGCTAATTAAGTTCGTTGGTGAACAGCTCATCCACGTGTAGAGTAGTGCCTGTGAGGGCTTAATCACTATGAGAACGCCAAACTAGATAGCATGCAACCTTACGCCCTGTGCGTCCTTCCTGAACTCCTTTTTCCTGGGTTTGTCCTCGGGACAATAGCCTATGCGGCCAATATGAATCATCCAACAATGTCGGGACTGCAAATACAAACTCCTCCATCGCCACCAAGCAGGCGAACAAAAATACCACGTCAAATCTACCAAACACCATCAGGCGTGCTCTCCTCTGCCGCTTGATGTGCCATTACCTCCACTAGGTCCGGTTTTTGGGGCGCGCCAGCATGTTGAGACGGCTCAGGCTGAGGCCACCCTTCTTGATTGGGCTCACGGAACCAGGTGTCTTGCTCGGGGTACGGCTTGGCGGCAGCTTCTTGGCACTGGCAAGAGGGGTTGAGACAATGCGACGAGCCGGACCAGTCTTGCTGTCTGGAGCCGCAGCCTTGCGCCTTTTCCCAGCGCGCTCATCAGCCTCTTTCTCGGTATCATCGTCATCGGAGACGGCACGGTGACGCTTCTTGTTGACGATTCCATGCGGAATGGTCTTTCTCATCGCAGTTGGTGCCTTGTTCTCCTTATTTGTGTCGGCGCTGGGCGAGAATGGCTCCGGGAAGCTTCCCGGTAGGGCCTTGGACGCTGAGGACGCACCGACCTGGCGGATGCTGGCCTGCCCATGTCGAGCGCCGAAGCCAGCGGGTGAAGTCGCGCCAAAGTCAATTGTATGGTCAGCACGGAAAGTGAAGGTACCGGGGGCGGAAGGTTTGGGGCTCTTCTGCTCCGAGGCGCCTGCTTCCACAATGTCCTTAAACGCCGATAGGTCGGGATAGACAACCGTATCTGTGGACTTGGATCCGGCGAGGACGCTGTCCATGGAGCTGTAGTGCCCCGACCGCGCTGTGGTGGACTGGCCAAATTTCTGAGGCGAGGGACGGTTCGGAGTCTCCGCAGCATACTTGGTGTCCGGTGTGAAGGCAACGTGCTTCACAAGCCTACGACGAGGCGTGGTGAGAGGTACTGGCGGCAGCTCCTTGTCTGTCGTTCGGGTCGGAACAGGTGTCCTAGACACTGGCGTAGAGGGCTTGGGCAGGGCGGTGCGCGCCTCCCTAGCAACCGACTTTTGGCCACGCAGAATGGACTTGACGTTCTCGAAGCGAACGGGGCTGATAACCCTACGGCGGATTTCGTTCGCCTTCAATAGGGGGGTGCCAAGGTTGGTTGTGCTTCTCGGCTTCGGCAGGGTGGTTGCTTCGCTCTCTGGGGATGTGTTTACCAGGGAGATGGTAGACTTCTTTGATTGCAGAGAGTGCCCGAGAGATGCCTTGGTCGGACTTGTCAAACGGGAGATAGTTGATGTTGTCCTGCTAGGCGTGTCCCCACCGGAGGGCGTACCAGAGGACGGGCCCTTGGAAGGTGTCCCCCTAGAAGTTGGGCGAGGAATTGTGCTTCCATCTCGGGACATGGGTCGGGACTTGGAAGTATCGTCATCGCGGAGCTTCTTGACTCTTTTGGCGAAGGTACTCTTGGGTTCATCCATGGGAGTGTTACGCTGCAATGCGCCAGCAGAACGTTGTGAATCACCATCATCCAGCTGAGCGTGCGAAGACGTGCGCTTGAGGCTCGACTTGACTTGTGCCTGGGGGGTACCAAGCAAGCTGGTCTTGGACAGCGTACGCTTCAAGCTGGGCTTGGTGGTCGGTGTGGTCGGTGTGCCCTCCGTGTTCGACTTGGCCGGGCTGCTAACCTTGACGGGGGTGGTACGCTGAGCGCGCCAGGCCGAGGCATGGTTCTCAATGGAGTCCATCTTCTTGAACTCGCGCATGTGCGCCGCGCTGAAGCGACTAGACTTGCCCTTGGGTTGGGCAATCTTCCTCTCCTGGTTGAGCTCTGTCTCCGCCTCTCGCTGCGCCCTCAGGTCGGCCTTGATCTTATTCGCTTGCTCACGGAGCTCTTTCATGAGACGCTGTGCGTTCTCGCTCAGTGGCATCTGAGGGCCTTCCTTGGCGAAACGAAAGGTGAAGTCTGTGGCCGGCACGTTTCGCAGGCGTGTGGGCGTTGCCTGCGCTACGCCTGGGATGTCCATGTTACCAGGTCGAATCTCTGAAAAACCCAGCCGCAGATCGGAGGAAGGCTCTGGCATGGTCGACTTGTGGTATTGACTGGGGTGCATGTCTTCGTGAGAAGGTGCGGGTCGAGGAGCCGTCTTGGGAGTTCTAGGCGTGTCGCGCCCTGGGTCTGCATTGTTCTTGTTGGGCTTGGGTGACTTGAAGGCGGGTTTCTGAACACTATCATCGGTCTCCGCGACGGAAGGTAGCTCAGGAGTGGCCCTTGTCTTAAAGGCAAGCCGTCAGCATGAGCGAGCTCTAGGTGTTTGGAGAGAAGACTTACCTTAACAGCAGAGCCAACAGCTGCCAGCCGAGATGACCGGCGGCGGGGAGGCGACATCGTGGTCAGCGATGAAATGGAGATACGCAGTAAATATCACAATGCGATATCAGCAAGGGTGCTCGACAGAATCTAATGCGAAGTTGCGATGCTTGGAATGGAGAATGATGTCAAAGTAGGCCCGGAGCTGCGAGCGCGTCAACAACTGGTGGGGGGCGGCTTTGTTTACTTTCTGGCACAGATGGTCCAAGCGGCAAAACAATCACAGTGCGTGGACAGTGTCACCAGGTTTTCACACGGTGCCCCAACGTCAAGAGGTTAGCCTCAGGCAACACAGGGGAATTAGGATTCATGTTCAATTCATAGAGCATCGCTGTATTAGGTACTGGCTGGTATAATATCTCACGCTTGTTTTTTTCCATCTATTAGATATACTCAATGATTTTCCAAGTTGAAGACCCAAAATGAAGAACTTTTGTTAACAGAACGCTCAGATGATCATCAACCCTCTTCTCCGCTAGTAAACCTTTTTTCCGCTATATAGTGAGCCCAGTACGCCAATCCGTCCATAACCTGCGGCGTCCCGTGCCAGTCCCATGCGAATCGTGATAATTATACCTGCAGCCTCGAAAAGCGTGCCGTCATGAGGATATCCCCATGGTTTTGAATATGTGTTGAGCCGAAAGTGGCAAGATCAGAACAAGAAGCAGCAAAACTCCAGCGAACCCAAGTGTACAATTACTGCGCCTCCCAAAATATGTGATGGGGCGCCCATTCAGGACGTACAAGGCGTAGCCGAGAACCTGCTCGAGCTTGGATGGCTTTTTTCTTTCGCTCGCGCATAGGTTCGGCGTGCCATGTCATCTCAGCGAACGCTGGGATCCACCTGGTACGATTGTGAAGGGAACGCCATGCTGGCACTCAGGCCGAAGGGATCCCAGTCCATGTTCTGATGATCGAGCAGCGAGGTCATGGATGGGTAGGTCTGGCCGCCGTTCATCGAGGACGGTTGGTGCTCGTGGTGCTGGTGTGGAACGTGTCCTGGACCATTCGACGCAGGGGACAGCAACTGGGGACCTTCGTTGGCAAAGTTGCCTGCCGCATAGGGACCAGGGCCGCTCGGTGTCTCAATGTCAGACTCCTCGGCCACGTCTGGTGGTGCATCGTACTCTTGTTCTGCGGCCACGTTAATCACTGCAGTACACCACAATTGTTCTCATCAGACTTACCCAGCTGCTCCAAGTGGGTCTGGAACCCTGGCGTAGGATAATATGCTGCACCGTTCCCTACCGATGGCGTCTGGCGCATAGCTGGCCGTCGTGGTGGCGGCTGGGAACGGTGGGTTTGCTGCGGCTGATGATGCTGTTGCGGCTGAGAAACAGGCATCCCATGGATATGTGGCCGTGGCAGTCCAGGGGCCGCTCCCCTTACCGAGAGATTGTCGGAGGCGGCTGGAGAGAAGCCAGATACCGGGTTGGTGGGAGAATTGGAGTGTGAGGACGGGGTTGGTCGCGTTTTGGGCGAGGCAGAGGTAATGTGTCCTTGCCCGATGCCATGGGCAGGGTCACTCTTCGGTGCAATACCCGAGTTCGAGCGCCGTGAATGGTGGTGGCGGTTGATCAGCGCCCTCTGAATTGGAGGCGGCTGGACCAGGTTCTGGGGCATGTGAGTAGCCCCAAGATCTGAGCCACCAGTCTTTGCGTTCAGCTCGGACTGGACGTCAATGCCCTTCTCGAGCAGGATACGCTCGAGGAGTGAGTTCTTGTAGCGTAGCATCAGGCACTCGTCCGCCGCATTACGGTGGGCCGTCTGCAGACTGTGGAGGTTGGTCTCGTGGACTCGAATGGTCTCCTCCAGCTGCTTGATGTACTCGGTTCGACGTTCTCGGAAGGCCGCCTGAGCCTGCCTGTTCCTCTGCTTGCGTTCCTCCGATGTGGCGTAGATCTAGAGCACATGGGTTAGTACCTCCACTGACACACAGAGTCTTGTCACGGGGAGCACTTACAGGCTTGCGACCACCTTTCCGCTTGGGCTGCTGGCCGTCCTGAGAGGTGGCGTTGTTGGCAGCCCCAGCGGAAGGGGGATGACTGCCTGGGGGCGCATGAGCCATGTCATCGCCGTCCCCCATGGGGGACGAGCTGATAGAGTCGTCGTCCTCCTCCAGAAGGTGGTGGTCGTTGGGATGATGATGCTGCTGCGGTGGCGGGACAGGCTTGGTGTCGATGGACATCTTGTCGGCCATGCCTCCAGTCGAGGCCGTGTGCCACGATCAACGGGCGACGGCGCCGCGTGCGACGCACGGCGACAGCGGGCAAGGGACCCCGGGGCACCGGGCGGCGGACGGATTGCAGATCGCCAGCGTGAATCGGCACGGCGCCGGGTGAAGCAGACGGGCGTGCAAGTGACGTCCGGGTCGCGATTGTGGAACGTGCTCTCCGTGTCAAAGGCCGGAGGTGGTCTTGGTGCGCCCGTTGAAGATGCTGGATTGCGGGCGTTGCGGGCGCAGATGACAGATGGGTACGACGTACTGGAGTCGTCGGGCGTCTGACGTGCCTATCAGAGAGCGAGGGCACACGTAAGGGAAAACAGGCTGGGAAGCGCGCGTCCGTCTGAGACCAGAGGTGGTGGTATCTGATAAGGCGAGACGAGGATGCCTGCAATTTGGTTTGCTAACGTTTTGCTTGCGTGCGGGCGCTGGCAGAGATGGGGGGAGATAACAGTGACAGAGAGAAATTGAGGGACAGCAGTTTATGTAAGGTAATGAGAATGGAAGGCCGGGCGGGGGGGAAATCTCTGGCCCAATTAGCTCCTCAGCTGACCTCCATTTTTTCACTGCACGCCTCCAGTCCGACCTCGCTCCAGCACTGAGCAGCCTCCAGGACCAGTCCATGTCTCCATGTTTAACTCAATCTCTGGACTCTAATAATTAATGAGCCCCCAGGGCCCCGAATCTGGGGAAGTTGGCGTGCAAGAGACTGAGCCCAATTACTACGTACCCTCGCTTGGTGCCAGCGATTCATCATTTGGCTTTCCCTCTGTCGCTGGATCGCCATGCCGTCAGGTCTTGCCGTGCCTTGCCTTGCCTTGCACCTTCCTTGCCCTGAGCGGCTGAGCCAAACGCACTGAAGATCAAGAGGAACCCCCACACACCCCTTCTCGCTAGAGACACCCTGCCTGATAAGGCCCTCCCTCAGCCTTCTTGATCATCAGTCAATCCGGTTGACAACAGCAACATCCTCGTCCATCTCTTTATAATGCCGGGCAGCATCGCCGCCAGCTTCACTCGTTTCACTTGTGAACCGTCACCTATGTCTTGTGCTGGCCTCCCCGCCGCCGATGGCCAGACCTACCTCACCTACTCCACGGGACGCTGCTGCGATTGGTCCCAGGCGGACAGATGCCTCCAAGTCTGTGCCCACCACGTACGCATCATTCATGCCCGCTTCCCCCTTTGTGGCCTGAGCTGAGGCATTTGGCCCGCTTTCACCGTTGTCGGGGTCCAGTGGCAGTGCTCCATCACACACGAGTCTTCTTCCCCTCTCTTCCTCATCGTCACGTGTATCTGGCTGAGCTAGGCTTCGTACAGCGAACAAGCTTCAATCCGTGCATCAAGTGTACGTAGGTCAGGTACCTTATGTTTGAGGCCACTCGCTCTGCAGATCAGCTGGAGATGTGGTCATGATGATAAGCTTTTTTCCCGTTTCCATGGCAGATCTCCCACGTTGCATGTCCGAGGGGTCCGGCTGTCGGATCCTTCTTCGGGCCCCGCGACAAACCGAGACGTGCATCTCCGCGGTGACGTCTGTCAAACAATTGTGTGTCCGTGTCGTGCGTAAGGTATCCGTACTTGTCCGTAGTACGCTCATGAGTTCAGAGTTCAAAAGCAATGAACAGTTGAGTGCCAGGTTCCATCTGACGACAGGCGCCAAACCCTGAGCCCCGAACTTGCTGCTGATAATGTATATCCGAATGGTCAAATCGCTGCGTGTCTGCAGCTTCTTCATGGTGTAACGCTCATGCATTAGCAAGTTATGCCGTCTGTCCCTCACGTACCTAGTGACAATGTGCTTTTCAACCCCTTTTTCTTCCAGATAACCCCCACGCCCACTACGCCTTCAAGGTACGCTCGAGCTCTTTCACCTCGACAGCCTTGGCCTCCTCTGGGAGATTGAGAGAGTAGCGCAGCATCATGACGACCGAGAGAATGGTGCCGATGGGGTTGACGATGCCCTGGCCCGAAATGTCCGGGGCCGATCCTGCGACTCTGGTCAGCTGCGCGCCACCACTGCGCTCATGAGAGGCAACCACTCTCCTTACCGTGGATGGGCTCGTAGATGCCGTTGCACTTGCCCTTGCCGTCGGGGATGCCGCTCAGACTCGCGCTGGGCAGTAGTCCAATGCTCCCGGGGATGACGCTGGTCTCGTCGGAGATGATGTCGCCAAACAGGTTGCTTGTCACCACAACGCCGTTCAGGCCTGTGGGGTTCTTCACCATGATCATGGCTGTCAATGAGCTGATACTCAACCTTTGAGATCGGTGAACTCCTTCTCAAAGGTCTCGGTCAAGACCTTGCGCCACAGACGGCTCGTGGTCAGGACGTTGGCCCCGTCGGAGACCAGACCTTCTTGTCACCTCGACCACGGGCCAGGAAACCAGCCAGTCGGGAAACGCGCTCAATATCGGCGCACGAGTACGGATACTGGGTATTTCATGGCACAGAAAGCACAAGGAATCAATAAGATGCCGAGCCAGCTGTAACAGTGGCCAATGTGTGCACTGCGTAGGGTAGGTGAGGACACTAACAAACACGTAGTACTTAGTCTGCCTTCCCCTAGTGCCACATCCTAAGGGCCCAATCCGTGCACGTGTTAGACCTGAGCACACGTACAAATTTATGTCTATGAGTCAATGAAGGCAGTTGAGCTTCTGCCCGATAATATACCTTCTGGGGGAGTTCTGGGGAGGGATCGAGGCGTTTGTGGCACTTGCAAGCGTATATTCATCAAATTAGTATCACCAAGCCAAGACTATCAAGGCCACGGCGGCAAAAGACACAGCCCATGTTGCGCCGACCCAACCTGCCATGCGGGGTGCGCCGTTGTCCCACAAGAGCATGACCTCGCCCGCCTCGGCACTGTCGTCGATACTGCACACTGCCGCGCAGCCCTCGTCGTCATCGTCCCGAACGGACAAAGCCGACCTCTTCCTGCTGGCCTCCACATCATCCGTCGTATTGTAGATCATCTCGATCCACTGTATTTGGAGATAGGCCTCGTCGTGCACGGACATGTTCCCGCTCCAGCTGCCACCGTTTCCCCAGGCGTTGAAGATGACGCGGCACGGATCCGTTGGTGTCTGGAATTCAATTTTGGCTGTCTCCGCCCCGTCGACATACCATAGCACCATGTCGGGCGTCCAGTCCATGCGGTGGACCATCCACTCGGACCACGGGCGGTTCCCGGGCGTTGATGCGTTCCTCGTCGCCTCGGGAAAATCGTCACCATCGTCAGAGTAAGAGGGCTGGTTGGTGTACTGAATCTTGTTCCGGGGCCCTTCGGTCAGGATCTCTATGTCTGACTCTTGCACATTGGCAAGCTCCTTGGCGTCTCTGTAGGTGAACATGGCGGTGACAGCGCCTGGAGCCCCGATGGTGCGGGCGAGCATGCGGAGTGACACGTAAAAGTAGTCGCTATTGCTTCTTATCTCGGCGGCCGACTGAAATTTGGGGAAGCGCTTCGTACGCATGGTGAGGAAGGTGTCTGAAGTAGCGTCGTCGTCTTCGTCGTCGTCTTTGGCCTCAATGTACACATTGCTGGGCGAGTAGACCATTGTGATCGTGCGGCCGACCTGCCGGCTCCATCCTTGGAGGTCCCACACGTCTAGGAAATCCTCGCTCTCGAAGTAGTCGCTTGATGCCGAAGCGTTTGAATTGGCCGCCACGCTATCTAGCGGATCTGGCACGTTGACACTGGCCTCCAGGTCGCGAAAGTCAAAGAACATGCGTTGGGCGTAGTATGTAGGCACCGAGCCGTTGATGAGGTAGCAGCCGCAGTCGCTCTGATTGAACGGTTGAGGTTCATCTTTTGCGCCCACGATAGTGAGCATGATCGCAGCAAGGGCGAGCCTAGTCGCCATGATGCTGGCTAGTATGCTGAAGGACACAAAGGTGAGAGAACCGGAGCCAACCCGGACTCAGAAAAGCCCAGCTCGACGTTAGCATTTCATTCAAGTATATATTGCTTTTCATCTGAGGCATCGTGCCAATGCGACCTTACCACTTACGCAGATGGAGCCTGGCGAAGGAATGCGCCCACTTGGGCGCTGGGCGCAGCACCTGATTGTGCGGAACTCGGCGACGATAATACGTTATTAGCACATTGGCATCTGCGAGTTTGACACAGAAAAATGATCGCTAGATGTCAGCTCAAGGGTCCAAGACTTCAAGGACCGCCGTCCAGACTCCAGGCCTTGGTGACAGGGGTACGGAGTAGACGGTCGGGCCTTTGAATGAGCCACCGCCGTAGGCATCGTGGCACCTGGAGGATGCATAGGTAATGTAGGCCAAGGAATGGCAATGGCAGGATAAAGCCCAGCCTTCAACCGGTCAAGGCAGACTTTGTTCAACAGTGCGAACTGCGTCGGGCCATGGGCACTTTTCTTGAGTACGATAGATGGCATTTGAAAGGGATGAGTGAAGCTAACAGAATTTGGCTTGATATTGCCTGGCGGTAGACAGATGGCTGTCACGGGTGCGAGGAAATTCCGGAGCCGTCCCACGGTGTGAATTGCTCGGACTTGACCGCCTACCTAACAATACTGCCCGCTAAGCGATGCGATGCGATGCGCCTCCCGCTTCCCTCCATCAACAATCTTTCGTCATCCACCAGCGAAAAGCGCTGGCTGACTTGCAGCCATATCACATCTTGATCTATCACTGCTAAACCACAGGTGCACACCTAAGTATCATGACGTATAGTATACCTTCAGGAGACTCACAACTGCAGATGACAGATTTCACGTGAGAGCATTTCTTGAGCCGCCATGTCGTCGCCAGATTCGCCCAATACCCCTGCGCAGGAGGCATCGCCCGCGCGCGCCCAAGACCAGGCCCAGGGGCATACGCCGGAGACATCCGCAGCGGACCAAACCGACGCGAGTGCGCCAGCTGCGAAGGATGCGCCAGAGCCAAAGCCAGACAGCGAGGCGCCGCCCCTGCCCAGCGAACCCGTCCCCGATGGTCCTCCTCTACCGAACGAGCCCACACCGCAGCCAAAGCAAGAGGACGATGGATGGGACTTCCAATGGGACCCCAGCTCCAGTTCGTACTTCTTCTACAACCGCTTCACGGGCCAGTCGCAGTGGGAGAATCCTCGCGTAGCCACCAGTGCGGCGACGGACGCCACTCCAGCTGCAGCTGCGCCCGCCGCCGCCGCTGCTGGGCCCCAACCACCCGCGTCCGAGAAGCCGGCGGCCGGCGGCTACAATCCCGCGATCCACGGTGACTATGACCCGAACGCCTGGTACGCGCAGGGCGACGAGGCGGACCCGGCCGAGGGCGAGCAGACAATAGGCGGCGCGGCTGTCCCTGGCGTGCCCGGCGATCCATACACCACCACGGCGCGGTTCAACCGCTTCACGGGCCAGTTCCAGACAGACGAGGACGGCCCTGGGCGGCACACGGACGAGGCCAAGTCGAAGCGGCAGATGAATGCCTTCTTCGACGTGGATGCCGCGGCCAACTCGCACGACGGACGGAGTCTCAAAGCGGAGCGGTCGAATAAGAAACCCTCGAAGCAGGAGCTCAAAGCGTTCAAGGAGAAGAGGCGGGCGAGGAAGGAGGAGAAGCGGCGCGCGTGGCTGCGGGACTGAGGATGCACAGGGTGGGAGTTTGGACCTGGGTGTTAGGAGTTTGTTTGGGCGGATGCCGTGCGTTCAGGGTCATTGGATTCATTCAAAAAAGCTTTAGTATAATAGAGGGTATACATCTAGATCGTTTCTGCCATTTTGTTTTTCGTAAGAATGCGCCGAGCTACTCGTCATCACTATCGTCATCAAGGTCGATTTGTAGATGTGCGCTCTCGCCGCTGTCGCTGTCCTCGTCGACCGCCATCGTGGATGCTCCAGCTTGGGGCTGCGCAAGATTCGGAGCTGGCGTCTCCAGTTCTTGACGCTTTGGCGATGTGACCTCTGCACCTTCATGCTTGCGCTTGGGCGGCGAGCTTTCTCTAGGACGAACGTTTTCGAATCCGCCATAGACCGTCGTCGTCTCGGCTTCGTTCACCTCGAATGGGTTGTTCGGCTTCGGCAGATCAACCTGGGGGGCGGCAGGCAAGGTCCCAGGTTGCAGTGGTGCGGCTGCCTGGGTCTCTGCGTCGCCCATCTCGTGGTCTTCTCTCTCCTCGTCCGCCGCCTCGTCCTCGCTCTCGTCCTCCTCTTCCTGTTCATCTTCATCCATTTCTTGATCCTCTTCAACCCCTGAGGCTCGACCTGCCTCAGGGCGCAGATTGGTCCTGAGTATCTCGAGCGTCTGGTCCTGGGGGAACTGCTGCGTCAAATGAGGCAGTATGCTGGGATATTTCCTCCCGCGCGTGTCGACATATGGGTTCAACACGCTGGCGATCATGGCTTCCCGATTGGACGTCAAGATGGCCGTCTGATCGAGAAGACTTCGGTGACTTGGCTTGAGGTGCTTTTGCGGTAGGCGAGTGAGCAAATTAGTGAGCAATGTCGAAGCAGCGACCTTGTGACCGGCCTCCAGGGGCACCGCCTTCTGTTCGGCTGTCGCCTCTGGCTTCTGGAGGAAGAGGTCGGCGTTGGCGGCCAGGCCGTTCTTCTTGCCGTCACCCGCACTGGCTGTATTCTTGGGCTGCTTGAGATACCCAGCGTCCTCTTGCAGATCGCGGCAAGTCGCTCCAATGACGGGCTGTAGCATATCGACAGTGGTCTTGGGCAGCGCTGGCCCTGCAAGTACCAAGAGATCGTGAAGCGTTGAGTAGCTTGTCGAGCGGATGGCGGGTATGCTGATGGCCGAGTTGAAGACGCGCAGAATCGTGTCGGATAGGTCTGATACGTAGGGAGTCATGTCATCTCCCAGCCGCTGGAAGAGTGCCTGTACGAGACGCAACGCAGCCATGTGCACGTCCGGTATGACGCTCCAGAGGTCTTCCTTTTCGTCTCTCCCGATTGCCGCCTTGGTCTGCAAGGCCTGGTCCCAGCTTGACTTGGGAGACAGCCGGGCGACCAAGCACACACGCGTAACTGTATCTGTGAGCTTTGTCAATGGCACAGCAACGGCGCCCTTGGTGGAGTGGCGCAAGCAGGTTGAGAGGAAGTCAAAGAGCCCCACGAGCCGCTGCGCGCCTGCGTGTACTCCTGACCATGTAGGATAGTCGTCTGCCTTGGCGCCGTCACTAGCCATTGGCCCGTCAATGGGCACCTTGGGGCGAGGGTTTCCTACCGCCGGTTCCCAGGACTCGTCCACAGCGCGCAGGACATGGTCGGCCGTGTCATGGATATTACTGACGATCCCATCCAGCAGCTTGGCCCACTCTTCACTCCCGCCCGACTTGGCGGCCACATGGTGCTGAGTGGCAGCCAGGCGCCTGGTAGACTCTTGAAGGGACTGCGGCACGCTAAAGTCGTCGGTCTCTGTCGGCGCAAGGAATGGCCGGATGGCAGTCAATGTCTGGTTGCTGGACGGTCGGAACGTGGCTGGATACAGAGGAATAAGGGTTGAGAATGCGTCGCAGATAGTCTCGACGACACTGAGTGGAGTGGACGTCACCGCGCCCGTCGCAGGTGCCTTGATGAGCTGCACACAGGCTGTAGCGAAGGCTGGAATGGTGGGCGTCGCAATCTCCCGGACGAGTGTCTGGTAGGGCTGCAGAAGCGCATAAATCCTCGTGAGCGTGACAATGGCCAGTTCCTTGGACGCAACAGGATCGCCCTTTTGGACGATGGACAGGAGACCGCGCACCCATGGCTCACAGCCGCGCAGGACCTCCCATCCACCCACATCGACGGCGGATTTGATGAGGGCAATGGCAGCGAAGCGAGCCTCGCGGGTGCGACTGTTGACGAGTGTCGTGATGCTGGTCTTGAGCTTGTTGACCAGCTGTGCGCTTTCCGCAGCCTCGCCCTTGGCCTTGCCATCTGCAGGCGTCGACAATGCATGCCTGCATCGGACTACATGGCTGACGAGGGAGGGCAGCGCGTGAGGCAGCTGTTGCGGAGGGACTGAGGTGAGTTTCCGACAGAGCACACGCAGATCCGGAGGAAGTAGAGTCGATGACATGACGACTGGGCCGGCTGCCTTGGATCAATGGGGAGGGATTGAGGGCAGCAAAACGCTGGGCGTGCAGAATGAGTCTGATAATATTAACTGAGTATCTTCAACTTTTTTTTTTCCCTCGGTCCCGTCGAATCTGCTGAATTGGACCGGGGACCCTGAGCTGGGGCCGCCTTGAACATGTGGGGTCCAAGGCAGCCTCGTCATTGGCTGCTCAGCTGGGTAGTGCGTGGAAGCTTTCCTCTCCTCGGTCATCGCTCCATGTCTGCTTTCTCGTCTCGTCTCGCTTGCTTGCTTGGCCATCATCAGCTGCTCGCTGTTGCTGTTTGATTCATGACAGGACTGCAACCTGTCAAGCATTGTCATTTCGTGTCTGCCACATTCTTTCGCAAAGCGTGCTTGTCTGCTCTATCCTCTGCCCGTGTGCACCCATCGACTCTCCTCTCGTTGCATATCTCGTCATGCTCACAGACCTATCTGCGCTCCTAGTCGACTTCCCCTGACCTAGGCGCACCATGTCTGTAAGTCAGAGACAACACGAGGCACACGGCCTGCACTCGTCAACCTGCTAATGAGACTCGCCTCCCCCAGAGCAAGGCAGCCAACTACCTCCATCAGCTCGATCGCGCCCGCTGCGATGGCAATTGGTCTGCGGTCCCCGAGCTCGTACGCAAAGTCCGCAAGCATGCACCTGAACGAGCTTGTGCGCCACCTTCCCTCTCGACATCACATCACAACCACTGACCCGACCCCTTGCAGGTCTCGCACTGACTGCGGAAACCGAATGCGCCATAGCAAACGCGACCCTTCCCTCGTCGCAACCCAACCGACCCTCGACCGACGAACCAGCCTCCAACCAAGCGACCTCGAGGCATGCCGACTTCTCAACCAGACTACCAGCACTCCTCGAGTCAATCGAGAAGGAGACGCACTATGTCGAGGACAGGTTTCAGGCCCGCGTCTGCGTGGGATGGCTTCATTGGACTGTGGCGGAATACACCCAAGCCGCGGGCCAGCTGCCCAAGGGTCTCAACCAAGAAGATTCGCAATTGGACGGGGCCGAGTCGCTATCAGAGTGGACGGCGGTGTGCGCACTCAAGTCCGCTTTCCTCAGAGCCGACTGTCTGAACCGGGACTACTCCAGGCACGAGGCTCTTGATGCTTTCAAGTCGGGCTTGCCGGCACTTGCTAAGGCCTGGTCAGGACAAGGGGCTGGGAAGCAGCTAAAGGAATGGTCCGAGATGTACTTGACTGAGTACTGCATGCTGTCGAGCGAGGCTCTCCATGAAGGTGATGTGTCTCTGGAGGATCACAACGCGCTCGCATGCTACAGATCCTGGGCCAGATACTGGGAGGTTCATTCATCTGCAGGGGGCTACGCGTCCAAGGGATCCACGCCCCGTCGTCGTGTGTGGAAAGAATACTACATTGCCCTCTCTCGAATCGTTGAGCAGGACCTGCCTTTCCCTACGGGGTACCTCAGCAAGATCACCAACGAAATGTCGGCGCGCACGCAGTTGCGAGACGAACTCAAAACGACCGAGGCGGCATACCAGAACCTGCTTTTCTCGGAGACGAGCTTCCCTCGCGCTGATGAAGAGCGAGCCGAGGTAGAAGAGCTCGTCACATTGGCAGTCAAAAATTGGTCCATCCTTTGTGGCAGGGGCTGGCGCGAGAGCGATCTCGGACCAGGTGGCCGGAACAGTGCAAGTCATCGAGTGCTTGACCTTCTCTACAAAGCCGCCACCAAGACGTTCCACTCAACGTCTGTGCTGCGAAGCCTCTTCCTCGTCCACATGGCCGTTGGCGAGTTCGACCTTGCATTCAAGGCATTCGACTCATATATCGACATTGTCAAAAAGGTCAAGGCGAGGGTCGACAAGACGGGCCAGTACGAGCCCAGCTTAGATACAGATGGCGTTGTGCTTCAGACCATGGCACAAGCTGTCATCACGCTCTGTCAGTACGGCGGTGCCCAATCTGCAGAAAAGGCGCGTCACCTGGCATCGGAGCTGGAGGATCTCCTGGCCACGCTGCCTCAGCTCAAAACTGCAGAGAATGGCGATGGTACGGCACCCGGCGCCCAGCATGGAGACAAAGCCGGACTGCTCCATCCACCTGTGGCGCCGCATATTGTCGCATTGTCGTGGCAGGCCATTGGGTTATCTCACGCAAACTGGTCCAGAATCACCAGGGAGGCTGCGTCGCGTACCGAAATACAGGGCAGAGCCATTCGCTGCTTGCGTAGATCTTTAGCCGCGGAATACGGCAGGTCAAAGGACATTAGGAGCTACTTTAGCCTCGGCCTTCTCCTGGCGGAGAGACGAGAAATCACAGCAGCCATCGAGGTGGTGAAGACGGCCCTGGTGTCGAGCAAAGGCAAGGAAGGACAGTACCACCTCCATTTCGGACAGTACTGGCAGGAAAGGTCGCTGGTTCCCATGTGGCATCTTCTCTCGCTGTTACTGAGCGCGAGGCAAGATTTCGCAATGGCTTCGAGAGCATGCGAGGGGGCACTGGAGCAGTTTAAGGATCCGACGGTGCTGTTTGGCAAGGAAACATCTAATTTCAGGAGCGAGCACCTGAACGACGTCGAGGAGAAGGTTCCGGCCCACGATCCACCCAAGGGACTCGTGGATGAAATGGACGACATGGAAAAGGAGGCCATTTTGGAAGTGAAGATGACCCAGCTTTCTCTTGTAGAGCTGCTGGAGGGGCCGGACGTCGCAGTCAATGCCAGCTCAGAGCTGCTCGTTCTTTTCGCAAGACTTTTTGGCAACTTTGCCACTCCAGCGCAAACGCTCAAGCCTCCCAAGCCCGCCGAGCCACCGAAAACGTCAGGTACCCTTCGCAGTATCAGGGGCAGCATCTTTGGTGGGCGTGACCGCTCACGGCCACCTACCAGGCAGACGAGTGCTGCGACCACTCTTGCGACCCCGACGGCGCCTCCTACAGTCAGCGAGGAGCCATCAGAGTCTACAGCTTCAGACGCGAGGCCCCCGACCGCCAAGACCGTCAACAGCGCCATGCCATCCATACAGGTGACTGGTGATGGTGAGGGGAAGCCTGCGCGCAGCGAGAGCACAAACCGGGCCCGCAGGAGTGACTCACGTAGGCGGAACAGCTTGAGAAAGAAAGACAGAAGCGCCAGCCGCCGCAGGACGTCAAATGCCACTGCGCCCTCGCAACCCGAGCTCGTCGATGGGGAGCCATTCTTCACCCCTGCCGCCGCCGCCGAGAGAGACCAGTCTGATTTCTTTACATATGCCGGCAAGCGGCAGCCTTCGTCCATGTCATCATTCTCCCGCGGCCCGACGCTACCTACGCTGAATTCGTATCTGTCAACAGTGTCGAAAACGTCTGACCGCGGCGAACTCATTGCCGACGACACACATCCGCCCACAGATATTCTACCACTGGTGCAATTGTCCAAAGACAAGGCGAGGTTCCGCAGAACGAGCATACTGGTCAGGGTCTGGCTGATGATCGCGGGTTTCTACCGCCGGGCCGATCTGTACGACCAATGCAAGGCAGCCGTGGCTGAGGCACAGAAGCTCGTGCAAGGACTAGAAGCCGATGCGCGACAGGAGCCGTCGACTTCTCCTCCCATTCGAGGCGAGGGCTGGGCTGAGAGGAAGAGCGTCGTGGACTTGAGAGGTGACGTGTATTCTGAGGTGAGTGGGCATCCATGCTATCTATCAACCACCAGGCAAGACTTACTTACCCCTTTTTAGCTCGGATACCTTGCACTCGCAGAAGGCAACCCCTACCAGGCGCGCAGCGAGTTCGAGTCGGCGTTGATGCACGCGCCAGACCACCCCTCCGCGACCGTCGGGCTGTCCGATATCCTCCTCGACCTCTACGCCGAAGTCCTACGACCCACGCCACCAACCCCAGCGCCAGCTGCGGGCTCAACAGCCATGTGCTCCCACAAGGCCGCCGAGGACACGCCCAAGACACTGCCTACCCACCCCCTCGGACTCCGCTCCACCCCGGTGCCACACACGCAACCGCAAAGGACGTCCCAGACCTCCATCAGCGACGACCTGCCCGCGCCCTACAAGGCCACCTGCCTCCCGCTGTCTGATCGTCTGGCCGCGCGCGACCGCGCCTACACTCTCCTCTCGGGTCTCACGCGACTCGGAACGGGGTGGAACTACTCGGATGCCTGGTTCTCTCTGGCCAGAGCGTACGAGGAGAGCGGCCAGGAGGAAAAGGCCAAGGAGGTCCTCTGGTGGTGTGTCGAGCTCGAAGAGGGACGGGGCGTGCGTGAGTGGGACTGCCTCGGCGGGGGCGGCTATATTCTTTAAGGGGAAAGGTCCGTCCAGGTAATTAATATACGCAACACGCGCAGCGCTGGGTTAGACAAGGGGGATTCCCCTTTATTTATAGACATCATGCTGAATATACGCTTCACAGGTAGCTAGGCTTGCATAATGCATGCGAGAAGTTTTGTGTGTGTTATACTACTAATCCAACAAACGTAGAAGCGTTGGGTTCTTTATTGGGGTTTTGCTGCTCTATGGGAATCAAATCCATCATCAATCAACCTCCCTCCCCGGTTTCAAATCGCTGCCGATTTCCTGTCCAACTCCAAGACACGATAAATATGTATGATAAGCGCTTTTTTTGTTCTTCTGTGCAAAGGGAACCAATGTATATCCCAACGCGAGACAACCCTCGGGTTACGAAAGCCTCTTTTCCACCCCCGCTGTCTCTTCATGTCGTCAAACAGTGCCATAACATCCCCACCCTTTCCCGTTCTACTGCTGCCAGCTCTTGAGAAGCTCGAGGAGATAGTTGGAGAACCCCTTCTTGTCCGTGTTGGTGGTCAGAGCGCGCAGAAAATCATCGCCGTTGACGCCGATGCTTGGGAAGAGCTCGTTCTGCAGCTGCTGGATAAAGACGTCGCCCGTCTTGGTGTAGATCATCTGCTCGAGGCCGGCAATCTCGACGACGAGCTGCTTCGACTGCGCATCACGAGTCTTGAGGTTCGGGTTCCGGAGAACGTCCCAGCAGATGGCGTGGAACCGACTGATCATAAAGTGATCGAATCCGGGAATCGCAGGCGTGGGAGGGCCTGTGGGCGCGGTCGGGTTCTGGGCAATCGTCGCCACGTCTGGGCCGCCCCATACGGCAGAGATGCGGGTCATGACTGTAAAGGCGAGACGGCTGGGGCCGAGATGGGCTTCGAGGTCACGGGCAATGTCGATGATGGTCGCGACAACCTTTTCAAACGAGCCTTGGTTGGCTTCGCTGATGAGGACGCCATCGAGGTTGTTGTTGAGGATGATCTGAATGAAGGACAGGTACTCCCTCCTGAGCTCGCCCTGCTGGACCTCGTCGTCGGTGCCAACGGGGGGCTCGGACAGGCCCGTAAAGATCCTTTCCAGCAGTGGCGTCAGAAGCATGTTGAGCACGTCAAAGATCTCCGACTTGAAGCCAAAGACGATTTGGTCCAGCAGCCGGAGAAACATGGCAATCTCATCCTTGGACGAGTTCTGCGACAGGAGACCTTCGATCCACTGTGGTAGTTGGGGAAGCACCGCTGAGCCGAGGACACCCAAAAGTCGTGAGAAGGCTGATCGACAGGCGAGCCTGATGTCTGACGAAGAGCTCAGTTCTTTGAGTGCGTACAGAATAGCTTCGGCCGCGCGACTGAACTCTGCTGAGACGGCCTCGTCCGGACGAGCGTGCTGTTGGGAGGAGGCGGTTGAGCCAGGCGTCCAGTCCGAGAAGCCGTGCGCAAGAACGCCAAGAGCCATGATGATGTGGTGGATCTGGAGAGTTGCCTGCGCATCGCCTGCCTTTGCGCGGGGCAGGTGCACCTCCATGTCGCTGAACAAGGGGTCTATCACCGATCGTGCGTACATGGCTTGCTTCTCGGCGGGCGTGCCGGAAGTGGAGGCCATGCAGCCAATGGCTTCGAAAAGGTAGAGCTGGCTGGTGAAGAGTGCGTCCGCAGAGTGGTCAGACTCGTCCGAGGACATGTCGTCGTCGGCATCCTCGCCTGGGACCTCGGCCTTGATGGGCAGGAGGTCGCCGATGGACTGGATGACGGTCTCGGCGACGGTGCCGACCTGGGCACGGAGATGCTTGATGAAGCGGTGGAACAGATACCACGACCGTGTCTTGATACGGACGTGATCGTGATGCACCAAGCGTACAAAGCTTTCTAGCACGGCAGGGATGTAGTCCTGGTGGTTTTCGAAGACGACACAGTAGCGCACGCAAATCTCCATGTACTGGAGGAGAATGGCAGGATGCTCCAAGTTTGCCACGCCTGTATCCATGTTAGCCAGTGTTCCTGCAGTCGCGACCACAGTCATCACGTACCTGATTCAACCATCTTCCTGATCATCACCACCAGGCGTTCCGAAGCCTCGCCCGAGGGCTGGTTCTTGGTGTGCAGGCCGTGGTTCGGCAGCGCCAGCTCGCCAAAGACGTACATCTCGTACAGAGCAAGATCGAGGTCTCGCCAGTCCATCTGGGAGCCTTGCTGCTCCAGAGTCTGGAATGTCGTGGACATGAGGTTGCTGAGCGTCTCCATGTACAATGACTGGTCTATAGCCGCAATTGTCTTTTGGAGATTTTGCAGCTTGCGACGCAATTCTTGGAACTCGGCCTCGTCGGTCTGCTCGTCCTCGTTCCCCCAGTTTGCGTCCTCATCGTAGCGCATTTTCCGGATGATGGCGTCCAGGATTGGCGACAGCATTTGCGAGTATTCTTGCGGGAGCTGCCCAAGCTTGCGCAAGAAGGTCAGAAGATCAGTGAGCGCGGGAATCACGCTGGAGCATATCTCGTCGTAGTCGTCGGTGAAGAAGCGGAGTAGGAATGGCAAGAAGGCGTTCAGGTGCTGGTTGGCAGCGTTTCTTGTGTCGCTGGTAATTGAGCTGTCTTCGAGGGCCCGGACGATATCTGCGATGACAACGTTCACCAAGCTAGCCACAGCTTCACCAAGGTCCGTGTCATAGTTGGAGGTGCCCTTGTACTCGCCCAGGGCCGGACTGGCGATAAGCTGACTGACAATCTCCCGCAAGTTGAGGAAAGAAATCATTTCCACCTTGTCCTGTGGCCGCATCTTCTTTCCAACAATTTGGGTGAGGGTCTCAATGGCTGAGTCCCGAACCTTGTCCTCACCGCTGCCTTGGCTCGGCCGACCAACGAGAGGAATCAGCAAGCTGAGCATGTCCTGGCTGACGACCAGAGAAATATCCATCCAGCTGACCCACTTGGCGATGACCTTTAGGACCAGTTCGACAACAGCGTCGTTGTTGTTATATTTGACAAGGAGCTGCTTCCAAGAATCTGCTACTTTGTAGACATCCTGCGCGCGCAGCTGGTCCTTCAGTTCCGTATTGCGCTTGGCCTCGCCATTCTGCCGTGCCAAAAGCATGTCGGCAATCTCGTCATGGATCGAGCTGAGGATGCGAAGGTAGAAGATGACGCCGTTCACATTGTCCTTGTTGCTGGGCAAGCCCGAGATATCCAAGAAATCGTCAAGAAAGCTCTGCCAGCCGTTTTGGTAGAGGAAGACAAAGAGATATGTCAGGGTCTGTGCCACCTTGTTCTGGAGCGACGGAGGGTCGGGTGCTCGCTGAGGCTCTGGGCCATATACTTGTCGCACGTAGTCCAGGAGCAGGTCCTTGAGGTAGGTCAGGCTTGCCTGGTCGAGGCTCTGTGTGTGGACCGCGTAGTTGACGGCTTCTAGACAGAAAAGCCGCAGCACCTCGTCGCTCCCGGCATTTCGCACAAAGAGATTGATACAGGTCTGCCAGGCAGAGGGGTCGGCTCGCAGCTGGTGCAGGTAGTCGTGGGCTTGTTGTTTCAGCGACTGGTCGGAGTAGGGATTACCGAGGATCCCCACGGCGTTCTCGATCTGTGTGAAGAGCTTGTTAGCGATCCGGACTGCAGATTTGGCCTTGGTGGCCAGCAATGGCATGGACTGTCGAGGGGCAGAGCTTCAACATGGCGGGGCAGGCAGCCGGGATGCGGGTTGGATTGACTCACCTGAGCTTCCATTGTCGGTCGCGGCGATGCCCTTGTTGACAAGAGGCCCGGCAGTTGGACGGGAGTGATGGTGATCGCTACCTATTTGTCTGGCAGCCTATGTCCCGCAGCATCCGGCATTATCGTATCGACCGCGAGGTTTATTGAGAGGACATGCCGACTCACGAGGGCGAAGCGAGGGGCAGTCAAATTGAGCAGGCTGGTGAGCAGGGGTCTGGATGAAATACTACAGCAGCAGATAAGGTGCGGCCGTTTCGATAAGATGGTCCGTGGGTGGTCTGGGGAGACGTTCGATGGATAGGTAGCCTACGTGTCGATATGGGAGCAGCTGGTGAAGCAAGATGGTAGGGGAGGTGCGTTCTTTCTCGTCTGGTGATGCTGCCCAAATGTCGGTGCGTGCGTGCGTGCGCTACGTCGTGGTTTTGTCAATGTGGGGTTCGCAGACTGCTCACAGAAGACGGATGCTTGAAATTGGTGAAGGGCCCCAAGATGTGTGTGACTGGCCAAGACAGCAGCTTTGGTGGATCCACGGAATATTCTCGGCCTCGTCTTCAGTCTTCACCTGTCCAGTCCTTTGGCAGCCTGATCCTAACAGTAGCTCGTCACGACTTCACTCGTTGCCTGATGGAGCTGGATCTATGTCTGGCTACAAGACCTATACGGAGTACTACGGCGCAGTACGCATTTGTGCGAGGGGCATAGGGCCCACGGCAAGACCTGGACAGCTCAACGCATGGTTCGATGCCACGACTCTTTCCCCATCGCCACCAAGTCCATGGCGGCCCATCATGCTGCTATGAAGCATCAAATCGCCGTGTCATCGTCAAGGCCGATAGTGGAGTGAAACCTGGCTCTGGCGGGAGAGGAAGTCCTTTCATGTCGCATAAGCACAACGAGCTGCTGGAGTAAAGGCGTGACTGAACAGGCCGTAGCACCAGAATGGTCACGCGCCCAGGATCCTTTCGACAGACGTAGAGAACAGGAGGCTTACCATCCCAGGCAGCGTATAAATGGCGATGATCGGGATCTCCTGGAGAAGGGCGCGCGTGCCATTTAAAGCAATTGACTACTGTAGGGCCAAGTGACGTACAGCAGCGGGGTGCATGATGATGACCTGCTAAGTAGGTTACGTACTTGATTGGAACAACAATCCAGCGAATGAGTTCTTCGTCTTCTGAGGCATTCGTGCCCGTCAAGTTGGGCGCAGGTGGCCCCTTCTCGGACAATGCTGGATATGGCCAGCAAGTCAGTTCGTCGAGCTCTTGATGCAGTGACTGTGCTTGTGTAGAAGTTATAGCTGCAACCCAAGGCCTGTCATCCTACACGTTGGTGATGATGACGTCCTGCGTGCGAGGCGTGAGATTGTCCGGTCCGGTCCAAAGCCAAAGTCATCCTGAGCAACGCGCAACCTGAGATCGACAGGCCGATGATCTCATATACGTATCCATACGTACTGTGAAGGGAGTATTGAATGACGCGATTTTGCGGCTGTGACTCCAACACCAGCTCCTCTGATCATCACTCAGAGTTGCAGTTCCGGTCTGGTGCGACAAGCCGCGTAAGGATTTGCTGTTGGAAGCGCCATCGCAAGTGCAGCGAGATTGCAGAAGCAGTGGACGTGGGGCGGGGCCAGCAGATCGGCATGGCTCGTGTTCCTAGTGACTGCCGGCGTTTTAAACAGGCTTGTTTCATGTCGGGAGTGAACGAATAAAGGAAGAGCGGACGGTGAGTGCAGTGCTTGGGTCGGATGGATGAGGCTGTTCAGTAAGGTGTAAGTTGATAAGAAATCGCCTCGAGGATGTGTGAACGAACTTTGATCAATGCGGCAAGTGAGGCTCAATATTGACAAGAGCGCGCCTGCCGTTTCTGCTGGACTACCTAGTAAGACGGTGTGCATTGCTGAAACACGACTGCCCTCTTCATGTTTCGATTCGCTGGCGGAAAGGCCCAATCGAGGCCCATAGAGTCCATTTTTCTTTCTGTAGGCTGTCTGTGCCCCCGAAGCTGTCATTGCGACTTTCAAACAGCTCCAGTTTTCATGACACTTGCTTATTCGGGTTGGACGGGTTGGACGGGTTGGAGTCGGAGAAACACCATCGTGGCAGCGAAAGCAATTGGCCGTGGGCGTTTCGTCCCATCTCTGCGCAGAGTCAGCAACAACTTGCAAGTACTACGTACGAAGTGAGGGCACAAGCCTCGTCGCCAGCCTTGCTTAGGACACTGGTGCATCGGACGGGAGCAAGATCCCGCTACGAAAGTGCCTTGGCAATCTCGAGCCCTCGACTCCCTGGGTATTTTATCGACCAGTGGAAACGCGGGGGCGGGAGACAGTTGCCTGTGCGAAGAGTCCAGACTGCAAGCAATTTGCCGCCCTGGCGCCAGCAAAAACCATCGCCATGGTCTGGTGGTTGCAATCGCGGTTCCAATCGCGCTGGTTGTATCCGTAATTCCGGCTGAAATCGCCTGCTCGTGTGCCTCATGCAGCACGACCAGCTTCTGGAAGAGGAAGATAACAGTTGATTCTTCCTGTTGCTTGCGTGGTCGGTGGATGCGGAGAACGATTGGCGATTGTTCCTGCATTAGCGCGCTGAGCCATCGAGGCCAAAGGGGGTTAACTCACAAATGCTCGGTTTTGTGCTCACCTACCTACCTTACATCTCGACAACAGACAGCACCGCGACTCACTGCCCTGAATGCACCTGGAGGCATTGCGGCATCGACGACAGCCCTTGAGACTGGCACAAGTAACTCTAATTAATCAGCCTCCCTTGCCAGGCAGTACTGTACATCAAGATCTACCGTATACCAGCAGCTCATTGCCGGAAGCGCACGGCACTAACAAGAGACACGGGTAGCAGGAGGTACTGGAGATGATGAGACAGATACGAGTGAAACCTTTCGGCCACTGCCGTGGACGACGGCTTCCCGCATACCTGCGAAGCATGGTTCAATACAAGGCCAGCCAAATTGCAAGCTGCTTCCAACGTGCGCCGAGTCCGCAAGTCATCATCGTCTCGGATTCAAGTTCATACTATTGTCATCGTTCGCAAGAAGAGATCTCAGCGCCATCGAGGTGACGGGCCGTTCACCGACTGTCTAATTACAATGGACAGTAGGGTCCAACATTACAATACGAGGTGAGTGTCATTTGCACAAAATGAACAGTGGCCAGTGTCCTGCAGACTAGTGGTGCTTTATTTTTGTCCGTTTCGGGGGTAAGTCGTGCATCGGTTGTCCAGTCCAGTCCAGTCCAGTCCTCCTTGAGGCTCGCTGCCGATGAGCTGCCCTGGCGTCTCTCCTCCTCACCCGCTCAGCCTCATGTTTATTGTAGATCAAACACTGATCAGTAGCACAGCCCTGATTATTGTTCGCGAGGCGAGGGAAACTGGCCCGACTGGTTGATCAAGTATCAGCGACAGGCAGTGACTGATGGATGGATGGCCACTGGCCAGCCAGCAGCAGCGCAGCGTACCCGTACGTGTATTAATTACGGCCGATCGAGCCAGCAATAGCCGCCGACAGAAGTGCAGCCGACAGCCAATTGCACAGACAGCACAGGATGGACAATTTGGATCCCTGCTGGTGGGGCTTCTTCAAGGATCACTAGGTGCTGCAGCAGTGCAGCGTGCTTGGTCCACCCCAATTTGACTGGGGCGAATGGGCCTCTCCACTGAGGCGCGTTCCCCTGGATTAGCGTTCATGGACGTCGAACGGCTTGTGTGCAATTTCCCGGGGCCCATCGCCCTCCCCCCTTGACGAGACTGGAGGAGAGGCCTGGTAAGGGGGATGCAGAGAAGAGAGGTTCACTCGGTATTAAAGTGCTCATATCCTCCAGTCCGGTCCAGGTCTTCTTTCTTCCTTTCCTCTTCAGCCCAAACAGCCAACCACTTTAGCAACGCTCCAACTCTCTGACTTCGGTCGTCCATTCTTTCAAACCCACAAACAAGCTTAACAGCTCCTACATTCGTTCTTATAACACCTCACCGTTCACCCGAACAACCCAACAACAACCATCAAGATGCGTTTCACCGTCGCTGCTTCTCTCTTCGCCGTTGGCGCCATGGCCGCCGAGACCCCCATCTCGACCGAGTACGCCACCAGCCTGGTCACCATCACCAGCTGCGCCCCTGAGGTCACCAACTGCCCTGCTGACTCGACCGTGGTCACCACCGCCACCGTGCCCATGACCACCTCGACCGTCTACACCACCAACGTGCACACCATCACCAGCTGTGCCCCTGAGGTCACCAACTGCCCTGCTCACAGCACCATCATCACCACCGAGACCATCCCCGTCTCCACCACCGTCTGCCCCGTCGCCACCGAGACCGCTGAGGTCCCTGAGCAGCCTGAGACCCCCGAGACCTCGGAGGTCCCTGAGATGCCCGAGCACCCTACCTGGACTTACCCTGGCAGCAACGCCACCTCCACCCACGTCCCTGAGATGCCCACTGCTCCCGTTGAGCAGCCCACCGAGTGCGTGCCCAGCCACTCCACCACTGCCATCACCAAGAGCTACACCACCGTCCTCACCTCGGTCGAGTACTCCACCATTGAGATCCCCTGCGAGACTGAGGCTCCCACCACCATGCCCGTTGTCACCTACACCCAGCCCCCCACCGGTGGCAACACCACCGTCCCTGAGGTCCCTGCCCCTGGTGCCGCTGGCAGCCTTGCTGGCTCTGCCTTCCTCGCCGGTGTTGCCGGTGTTGCCGCCTTTGTCCTTGCTTAAATTTTCACATTCGACTTGTCTATAGTTGAGGCCTGAGAGGGTTACGGCACATTTACGACCACATTCTTGGAGTATCTACTTGGCATTGGGGAGACGACGCGGTTGCGGGCCTGGGATTCTTCGGGGTCTCTGGCTAGTCTGTGCGGGCGGGTAATGTTTATACGTTGTCGGTGGTGTATAGGCTAGGCAAGAGTTTAATCTTTGCGCGGGACTCGTCTCTTTTCGCTTCGAGGAAAATACTACAGGCATTTTATAACGGCATACATCGTCTTTTCACGCGCAGGAGCATCTATTACTTTATTTAAATGTGTATTCAGGTAATCTTCTAATTCACACTCGGCAGGCGTTCGGGGCTCAGCTGTTGCTGACCTGGAATGGCTGAATTATAACGATACTTTCTTTTGACCTCGCTTCATCACCAGTGACACACCACTGCAAGCCAAGAAGGCATCTGAAGAACAAGACCAGAAAAACGTGGGGGAGAGGCAGATGGTGGGAGGCGTCAACTCCCCCATCTCCATGTCGTCCTCGTCCGCCCCTGGCTAATCCATCTTAGGACTGGCCAGGGAGATCGGAGACGGCGTGACCCCCCTGTCGCTCCTGGGAAATTACACTGCACGAGGGCTGACTGTTGATTGGCGCGCCCTGTGCGTCCATCCCAGTGCCGCTGGACTTTTGTCTGCTCCTCCTTGCACAGCTGTTATGCAAACAGCGCGTGATTTATCCTGTGGATGCACGTAGGAAGGATGGAAATTGGGATTGGCCTGGCAACGTGACAGTGACGAAGCGAGGCGCTTGCTGAAATGAGATGACAGGCAGGACGCGCGTATCGATTATTATCGGATCGCGGTCGGAATCGGGGATATCGTATGAGGTTTTGCGATCTTGAACGCGAAAGGTGGTTGAATTGGCGTGGGCATGTTGAGGACTGACTGCCTTATATCCGCCGAGACATGACGTTGCGGGTACTGATCGTGAGGATTCTGGTGACACATGGCATCTGCATTCCAGCGCAGGGGGCAACGACGGAATGTCCACACGTACGGCAGCCAGCGGGTACGCCCTCGTGAGAAAGCTTGGTATTGCCCTTGGAGATGGAACACATTGCTTGACTCTTGACTTGAGCTTGGATGAATTGACTTGCGTAGGTGTGAGTCTGATTTATATTGGGAGTAATCACCTCCTGACACAAACCTACATCCGCAATGCGTGCGTCTCAGCACGACTACACAAGCGTGACGAGTCTGGGCTCCAAATCACCATCATGACAGAACGATGTTGAAACTTGACAGCAGATCAGTGCATTGTATATATATATATAAATATGTGCCATGTAAAGGCTGGAAAATGGCATGTTGTCTTAGCGTGAAGACCTGGTGTAGGGTAGTCAGGCCATTGAATCCCGTGCAAACTGCGAAGCCCGAAGTCCGGGCCGGAGTACGGTCCAAAATCCTCCCAACGGGCAGATATACGTACCAGATCCATGAAACAACAAGAGCACAGCCCCCAAGACGCTGCCATGCGGCATCGAGAATACAGGCAATGCGCCTCATAATGAAATCAAACGGTGCGGTGGCCGTAGCGAGGCGGTTCATGTTCAAGGTGTCTGGCATTCGACTTACACCTGCTCAGTGACTAAGTACATAGACGACATGCGGTGCTGAAAATCGAATGGCATCACGGCAGCGCGACGGAGAGATCATAATAGGGGACGGCGAAGATGAACATAAAAAATGGCTAAGAAGCAGAGAAATAGAATTGCAGACATTGTGTGTGTCAGTCTGCTAGATCCGTGAGGGGAGCCAGCCCATTGTCAACCCATAGACTCACCGGTGAAGGGCAATATGCTGCATGCACATCCAGTCCGAACCTCCCGAGCCTTGGAATAACGACGTCTGAAGCCATTAGAGTTGAATGGGACGAGCCGCACATACGTCTGTGGATATCTGTCAGCGTGGCTGAGCGAATCGTCCCAGCATGGGTTGGATCTTGTTGGATGCCACGCAGTCCCAGGGGCTGAGCTACAGGGAGATGGAGTGAGCATGATGAGTCCAATCCGCTTTGCTTACGAGTCACGTCCAATTATAGAGTAAAGTGTAGTCGACGATCCGGCTTGGGAGTCCGCGGATCACCGTGTTAAGATTTTAAGGTAGGAGTTAATTAGATAGAAGTGCGTCCGGCTCTCGCCCAGTCGCATTCGGACTCGGAGTCCGGAGTCTAGGCGTCACTAACAGCGCTGAATCAGCAGATGGGACACGATGACTGGCTGCCTCGCATATGCACGCACACGCGGCTCTGCTCGGAGGATCAACGACTGCCAACAGGCGCCAGATGGCAGAATCTGCTATCTCGGTATCTACGTATTCAGGAACCCACGACTCCTCCTTGGCCAAATTGAAGCGACTGATGCGGCTGCGAATGCGACGGCGCGCCTTTGAACATGAAGATCTGGCGCAGCTCGAATCAATTGCCTGCCTGTCCACACGTCCGTCAGCACTAGACGGTTAGATAGGGCTGTCAGCCTGTCACGATGCGCACCCGCCCGGGCCCACGACCCCCCCGGCCTGTGCCACGTCCGTGCCGCTCCATGTCCAACCTGATCCGAGTCGAGTCCGAAGCATGCCAATCGCGACGGGAGGCACAGCCTGCTTGCTGGACTGGACAGACGGTCAATGACGAGGCCTCTGTACGTGGCCGTCCGTAGCTGTAGATTGATAACACTGGAACGGCACGAAAGATAAAGTATATAGTCCCGAGCTCATCCCACTCAACATTGCTTCATCACCATCGTCATCATCACCACCACCACCAGCAGCGGCCGCCGTACCCACCGAACCACCCCTTCTTGAGCCCCATTGTCGCTCCACAGTATTACGAAGCAATCAATTATCAGGCTCAGCCTTCTAGAGTTCTTTCGACTTTCCTTGCCTAGAAACGCATGCTCGGAGCAACCTAGCAGTCCGCCACTACGATTTGCTCCACCATTGTCTCAAAAAATATCCGATTCACTACTACCTTGCTATTTGATAGCTAACACTCCCACCTCTGTCCGCTTACCTGGCTTCCATATCACCATCAACATTAGCAGAACGTTCCATCTCGTCGACCTGTTCTCGAGATGACGTCCCAGGACTATAGCGACTGGCAAGGCCCGCCTCCCCCCGGCCTGGTGACCTTTGGCGCCGACTCGCCCTGCACCTACGACACCTGCCCGATCCAGTGGAGTATCTACCGCTACCGTCCCGACCTGGGTGCCAACATCTTCTTCGCCGCGGCCTTTGCCGTCGTCGGCCTCGTCCATGTCTACCTGGGCGTCCGCTGGAAGAGCTGGGGCTTCATGGCGGGTATGCTCCTCGGCTGCGCCAGCTCCATCATTGGCTATGTCGGCCGCATCCTGCTGTGGGACAACCCCTTCTCCTTTAACGCCTTTATGATCCAGATCGGTATGTCCTGTCCTTCATAAGCTACAACTGGTCAGCCAGTCAGTCAGTGAAGTCTAACAACCCCAGTCTGCCTCACCATCGCGCCCGTCTTCTTCACGGCATCCATCTACGTCACCCTCTCCAAGACCATCATCTTCTTCGCCCCCGAGCTGTCTCGCTTCAAGCCCCAGCTCTTCTACTGGATCTTCATCCCAGCCGACATTGTCTGCCTCGTCCTCCAGGCGGCCGGCGGCGCCCTGTCCGTGCAGACCGAAGGGGGCGACACGGGCGTCGACATCTCCATGGCCGGCCTCATCCTCCAGGTCATTGTCATCCTGATCTTTGTCGCCGTCTTTGCCGACTACATGATCCGCTACTGGCGCACCGGGCGCATGAGCGCCTTTGGCTGGCGGCTCAAGGCCTTCTTCGCCGGTCTGGCCGCCGCCATTATCCTCATTCTGACCCGCTGCGCCTACCGTGTCGCCGAGCTCAAGGACGGGTACAGCGGCGACCTCATCCGGCATGAGATCCCCTTTATCATCCTCGAGGGCGTCATGATCGTGCTGGCGTCCATGGCCCTCATGTGGGGGCACCCTGGTCTGGCCATCAAGAACCGCGCTGGTAGGCCTGTGAGCAAGTACACGGACTGCAACAGCGTCGAGAGCAGGCAGGAAATTCCAATGCAGAACGTCTAAGGGGGCATTTTGGGTGCGGCAATCAGATGGCAAAGCGCACGCTTGCTTGCTGATTGTTCAGGATTGATTTCGAGCTGGCGTTCTACAGTTGCTTTCCTTTCCTTTGTCTTGGGAGCATTTGGTAGATACCTTGGGATATAGAATACGGATATAGACGGCTGATATAGACAGCTGATATAGAACAGTCCGTGTAGAGGGTCGATACATACACTGGCCGACATGAATAAAGTGTCTCTTGAAGATCTGTTATGAGCACTGCGCAGAGGTGGCGTCTTGTCTCGTCACCCACCGCGTGATGAATGTTACTGACTTATAAATAAACGTACCAAAGCAGTAAAGATCGATCATCTGCAAGTTATCAGATGTGTCCAGGGGTCACTGATCCCAGTCCGTTGCCGTGCCAAGGCCTTTGAGGCTTGAGGCTTCAGCCGCCGCCACGTGGAGCCTCCCTCCTTCCTCCTCCAGTCCTCGGCTTCCCCCTCCAGGCTTCCGCTCGATGTCCCGTCCAGTTCTTCCCCGCCATTTTGCCTGGACAGACGTCGTGAACCCTTCTCTTGGCCCCTCCATGATTCCATCTCCTTGCTTCTCACCGGCTCGCATCATCTCCAGAGCATCCATTGTCTCCCTCCGTCTCTCGAGACTCCCCGCGGCATCCTTCTCCACCTCGACCGCCATCATGGCTCCCAACCCGACCGCGCTCGACTTTGTCGACTTTGTCAATGCGTCGCCCACTCGTACGCAGTCCCATGGCGCCCCCCGATCACCATTGCTCACCAGCTGACTGACTCCTGACCTGCAGCCTTCCACGCCGTCCAGTCGGCCGCCAAGCGCTTCGAAAAGGCCGGCTTCCAGCTGATCCGCGAACGCGACTCCTGGGCGTCGACACTCCGCCCCGGCGGCAAATACTACCTCACACGCAACGGCTCCTCCATCGTCGCCTTCACCATCGGCCGCAAGTGGCGCCCCGGCAACGCCGTCGCCATTGTCGGCGCCCACACCGACTCGCCCTGCCTGCGCGTCAAGCCCGTCTCCAAGAAGAACAGCTCCGGCTTCCTCCAGATCGGCGTCGAGACCTATGGCGGCGGCATCTGGCACTCCTGGTTCGACCGCGACCTCAGTCTGGCCGGCCGTGTCCTCGTCCGCGACGGCGACAACTTTGTGCAGAAGCTGGTCAAGGTCGACAAGCCTCTGCTGCGCATCCCCACATTGGCCATCCACCTCCACAGACAGTCCAACTTTGACCCGAACAAGGAGAAGGAGCTGTTCCCCATCGCAGGTCTGGCCGCCAAGGAGCTCAACAAGGGCGCCGGAAACTCGGGGAATAAGGCGGCAGATGAGGAGAAGGAAAAGAAGGAGGACGAGGAGGAGGACCCCGAGTTCACGCCCTTGTCCGACATGAAGGAGCGCCACCACCCCCAGGTGCTGGACACGATTGCCTCCGAGCTCGACATTGACGTGTCCGCCATTGTCGACTTTGAGCTCGTGCTGTACGACGTCCAGAAATCCTGCATCGGTGGCTTCAACGACGAGTTCGTCTTTTCTCCCCGCCTCGACAACCTCGGCATGACCTACTGCTCCGTCGAGGGCCTCATCACCTCCGTCAAGGACGACGCGGCCCTCGACAACGATACGACGATCCGCCTGACCGTCTGCTTCGACCACGAGGAGATTGGCTCGCAGTCCGCCCAGGGCGCGCACTCCAACCTCATGCCCGCCGTCATCCGCCGCCTCTCCGTGCTGCCCGGCAACCGCGACGCCAACAGCGACCAGAGCTACGAGAACGTCGGCCACGAGGGCGACGACGCCACCGCCTACGAGCAGACGTGCTCCCGCTCATTCCTCGTCTCCGCCGACATGGCCCACTCCGTCCACCCCAACTACGCCGAGAAGTACGAGCCCTCGCACAGCCCGGCCATGAACGCCGGCACCGTCATCAAGATCAACGCCAACCAGCGCTACGCTACCAACTCCCCCGGCATCGTCCTACTCCAGGAGTGCGCCCGCTCGGCCGGCGTGCCCCTCCAGCTCTTCGTCGTCCGCAACGACTCGCCCTGCGGCAGCACCATTGGGCCCGGCCTCGCCGCCGCGCTCGGCATGCGCACCCTGGATCTCGGCAACCCGCAGCTCAGTATGCACAGTATCCGCGAGACCGGCGGCACAGAGGACGTCGGCTATGCGGTGCGCCTCTTTGCCGATTTCTTCCAGAACTACGGCATCCTCGAGCCCCGGATCTTGGTTGACTGAGCGGGCTTTATGAGTGGGTGGCCTGTGTATACCAACATTATGTGTTTCAAAGGGGACAGCGAGGCGTGAGGATGTGGCATGATTGTGGTTGGACAGGTATCAAGAGAAATAAAAAAGAATCAATGTAACAACGACGACTGATACCGCCTTTTTCTTGACTCTCAAAATAACGCCCATTGTAGTATAGCTTCCCATGATGTGTTTACGTTCCCGCCCTTCTAGACAACGATGATCCAAACGCCAACCATGTGTCCCCTCTGCCGTCCTCTATTGCGCCATGACGAGGAAAAGCAAACCAAAAATGAGTCAATCAGTTATCAGAACCCGAGCGGGCAAGGCTCAGAAGCCCATTCATTGCCTCGCCCTGTAACCGCCTCCTCCTTGCATCCTCGTCGCCGATCACGGGTACCACATCCTCCAGGACCTCTGGCAGGGGCGGCAGCACGGCTTGCTGCTCCTCCTCCTCGTCATCATGCTGTTCGTCATTCTCTTTTGTGTCTTCTTGGGCCGTCTCCTCGTCTGGTACGGCGTTTTTGGGCAGTGGCTTCTGCACGAGGTCCTCCAGCGGAACGTTCGTCTGTCCCGTCCGCACCTTGTAGCTGGCCAATCCAAGGCGTAATCGCAGAATCTCCGCTCTCTAAAAGGAAAAGGTACTGTTAGCCAAATTATTCTGCTTGTCCACTACATGCAAGGACAGCAGAAAACATACCTCGCGCGCCTGCTCACGGGTCAAGGTCCTGGCGGGGCTGGTCCCCGGCGTCGTGCTGCTGACCCACGTCACCCCCTCGTCAAAGAGACTGCTCTCGTCGGGCGTGCCCGTCCTCGACCGAGTCGTCGTGTCATTCTGTGCCATGTCAGCGTTGTCTCTTCTCCAGTAGCAGGCTTTCTCTTCAATGGACGGACGTACCTCTACGCGTGCCCTCTTGGGGCTGCTGTCCACGGCGACAGTGGCAACGCTCCTCTTCAGAGGACTCTTGGCTTTGACAGGCGACGCGGTCGTCGGGGAGGGAAATATCGACTTGGAGAGAGGACTCGGTCGAGGGGAGAGATTCGCGTTGGGGTTGAGAGCGCCGAGGACGCGACGTTTGGCGGGCTGATGGTCCATCGGGGTAGTAGTGTTGGGAGGGTTTCCCTGCTCAGTGTATGCAATGCGATATACGTAACACAAAGGTAGAGATCGAGGAGAGCGAGGTGATGAAGAAACTAGACGCGTTGTGGTTTTAAAGAGGTTGGAAGGTGTATGGTACGTATGTCCAGTCGTGGTCCCCACGTCCGCACGACAGAGACGCAGGTAAGTACCTCGTGGGCCGATGGACAGACGCGACACACCACCCATGCCAGAGGCGCTGTACCCCGGCGACGTGCATATTGACTTATTACCGCTTCGGGACTAGTCCTAAAAAGCAGACGCGACCGTGGAGACGTGTCGACGGGTACGCTAGACTGATAAGGTCCTAGCGCCCGCGCGCGTCGGTGCGTGCTGTATGGATGGGCGCCGGATATGTGGGGTTGTGATCCTCTATCACCAGCACGAGAACCGACTCTGTCACACGAGCGACAAGTGACCGATCTACCGTGTCATTGTCTGTCAGTCGCATAATCACATGGAAGAACGCGCGGCATGGCAATGTTTAGAAAGTAGAGGGACATGTCATTTCATTAACCTGACGCTTCTTGGTCAGACCCTTGGGTATCAACACGCGCGCCACCACCATCTCGACAATATACTACTACCAAACCACGACTGACGGAAAACCAACGCTCGAGAGACATAACGCCGTATGCAGAAAGAATAGAGGTCGTCCGCCATCATCGTCCTCTCCGTTGTCCAACCGAATGCCCGTGTCGTGTTGCCGGAGCACAAAACAGCCCGTACGCCTTGCGAAAACCATGATTATCCTTTTCCGTTGTCCCCTCCTTTTTTTCCCATATTATCCATGTATGCTCCATTCTCCCTACTGTGCTGCCCTTAATCTCTATCACCATTGAGAAACGTACACGTTGTCTCCAAGTCACACCGATCTAACTCGCGGCCCCGACGAAATCAGGAAACGAGTACTGCGAGGTGTCCCACTGAAAGGGCTTCGAAAAGTCATTGTCCCAGTCCACCACGTCCATGGATGGTGCATTATCGAGCAACGTCGGGTCCAGGCTGAGGCCCGCTTCACCCGAGCCGACTTCGGCTGACAATGCCGCGCTGAAATCGTCCTCGCCCTCGAGCAAATTGTTCGCATCCACTTCGTCGAAACTGAACCACTTGACATCAGGACCGTCGTAGTCGACCTTGACGTCGAGCGCATCCGAGCTGGGTTCACTGCACCCCTTAATCGAGTCGGGGCTCTCCTTTGGCGTCACCAGGTATCGCATGTAAGCCACGTTCTTAAAGACACTGCTGATGCCTTCGGGTATGCCGAGCCGGGTCAAGACACCATGGTTGTCGTAGCACGCCTTCGTCCACGCTTCGGGTGATGCAGGCGCTGACCGAGCGGCGGGGCCGAGCGGTTTCATGTCCACCTTGCTCTGAGAACTCGCCGACCGTTTCATGGCACTGCCATCCATCGACTTGGGCGTCCCAAGATATGCCGGCGTTGCTGCTTGTTTCGACCCCGTCCGGCTCATCGCCGCCATCGCCGACGGCTGCTTCGCATCCTTTTTGCTTGCGCCCGTAGGGTCCAGGCCCAGGGCCAACGCCAAGTTCTCGGAGAAGAACTTGAGAGGATCTTGGCGTGGCTTGAGATGCTCGTCCTCGATGTGTTGCTGCAGGGTCTGCTCACTGTCGAACGTGGCAAGCGAACCCTGGCACTCATCGTCTTTGCATGTGAGGACAGGGCGAGGAGGTTGCTGGGGTATCACCGGCTGAGGAACAGGGGGCGTCCTCGTCGTCGTCTTGGGTGACGGCGTCGCTCCCTGCGCTCCTTGGCCAGCCACTTTGTCGATCTTGGCCTTTTTCCTCGCGGGTGGCAGCTGCAGATTGAGGTCCTTGGGCTTGCCAATGTAGCTAGGGTTGCCGTGCGGAGAAGATGAATGCAGCGAGAATGGAGGCTGCGCAGTCGTGGGTGCCGTAGGAGGCTTGTCGTTCTTACTGGCCGCCTTCTGGCTCTTGAGCGCTTGCGCATTCTTCTCCAAGTTGGCAGCGTTGAGCGGGACTGGAGGAGCTTGCTGTTCTGCTGGCGGCTGCGACGCCTGAGCTGTTTGCTGCGCCTCCTGGGCCTTTTGCGCCATCAACAGGCGCTGTGCGTTCACGCCATCCTGAGCCTGGTACCCGGGCTGCTGACCTTGCTGGGTCTTGGCCTTCTGTTGCACATGTCTGGTAATGTCTCTGGCCATGATTTCAAGTGTGGAGCGGAACTGGTCAACCTCGGCCTGCGTGATACTGAAAACTGGCCGCGGTTGCGTCGCAGCTGGACCATCAACAAATTGCTTCAAAACGCGATTTCGCTAGGTACGTGTTAGCTTAGTGCTGCTCGGAAGCACATGCGGACGCATCTTACCGATCGGAAAAAAAGCCTCGCAAGACGGTCCCGGTCATTCGGATCAGCAAGACCGTACCACTTGGCCAGTCCCTGTCCAATCTTGTTCATATCGAATGATATGCGGCGAAGCTTGTTCAGGGTTTGCTCATACTCTTCGGGGCTCATAGGGACTGGGTCGGCAGTGCTTTGCTTGTCGTTGCGCTGCTCCTCCGCACCGATGCTCTTGAGGCGAAGGAAGCTAGCAGTCTGGGCTTGCTGGGCCTGACTTGGTTCAGATCTTGCCTGACCCTGCGCTGCCTGCGCCGGGTCTTCGCTCGTTGGCATGGCCGCATTTTGACCCTTGAGACCTTGCGATTGGGAGCTCTTGCGCTGTTGCTGGCCTGCCACATTGGCCACGTCGACATCTCCGCCCATGTCTGCCACGGAGCGCTTCAGATTCTTGCCACCTTGTGCGGGAGACGGCGTGGCTTGGTTCTGCTGTTTCTTGGATCGATTATTGGCTGGCGGAGGCTTCTGCTCTTGCACTTGGGGCTGCTGCTGGCCCATTGTCTGCGGCCCTTGGGAACCAGGCACATTGGGTCGCTGCATACCTTGCTGCTGCTGCTGCTGCTGCTGCTGCTGCTGCCCATTTACCTGCGGCAGCGCCTGGATCTGGTTCGCGGTTTGGGGTTGCCCACCAGGCGTCGTCCTCCCGCTTGGCTGAGAAAAACCACCCATTTGTCCCATTTTCTGACGTGCAGCTGCCTGTGCCTGGAGTTGTAGCTGCTGTTGCTTCTGCCAATTGTCGAACTTAACGCGCAGTATGAACTGCCTCAGCTGCTGGTCGGTAGCATTCGCGGCTTGTGGCCTCGATTCCCTGACTTGTCGGATCTCCTGATCAGTGACCTGTTGGATTTGCGGTGGGACCTGCAGCTGAGGGTTTTGCTGTTGCAGTGGTCCGCCAAAGCCCGGCATGCCAGCCACTGGAGGGGTTTGCGCCACCTGCTGCATCTGCTGTTGTTGCCGCTGCTGAAGGCCAGGCTGTGGTTGCATCTGGGCAGCAGGCTGCTGGGGCTGTTGAGGTGCCTGCACCTGTGCCTGCGCCTGCTGCTGTGCCCGCATTTCCCGCTGCTTCTGCATGAGAGCGGAAAACTGCTTATGCTGCCAACTTCCCAAGTTTTCGCGGACATTCGGCGGGAGCTGGTTATTCCGCCCGAGCCAGACTTTGAGATCCTTCCACTTCTTGACCTCGGGTGGCAAACCGGGCATGTGGCTGATCACATTAGGTGGCATATCCATATTATCCATCATCTGCTGCGCCTGCGGATGCATATTATTGTTGCCCGGTGTTCGCGTCATGGGGTTGTTCCCAACGCCTTGCCCCATGGATTGTGCAGCCGGATTCTGCTGCTGTTGCTGCTGCGGCGGCGGGCCGGCCATATTGACGTTGTTCTGGGCCATCCCTGGCGCCCGGTTGGCCATCTGTTGGCCTTGTGCTTGTCGAGTTGCGAACCATCGGCTCATCAGGTTCTGCCTCTCTTGCTGAGGCATGGCCTGCACTCTCGGCCTCTCGTGGGCAGGAATGTTAGCCAGGAACATATTCACCATCTGCTGGTTGGTCCCTTGGAAGCCAGGCGCGTTGAACCTTTGGTCCCCGAAAGGGGATGTTGAGGGCTGGGCTGACATATTGGCGGGACGCGCGACTGGCGTGTTCAAGGTACCCATAGGTGGGCTTTGTTGGGCGCCCTGCATCATGTTCTGCTGACCTTGCATCTGCTTCAATTGCTGCGCTTGCAATTGGGCCTGAGACTGTTGCACAGTACTCATCTGATGAGTGTTCGCATTGGCGTGCCCTTGAGGCGTCGGCTGCGTGGGGGGTTGCCTGGGAGTCCTATTGGGATTCTGATTCTGATTTTGGCTCGACATACTCTGTGCCATGGGCTGAGAAGTGGCTGTGTTCGGTCGACCACTAGCAGGAACAACCATCTGCCCGGCATTTTCGGCCATCAATCCGTTCAGCTGCTGGTTGTGGATACTTTGGAGGTTGTTCGGGAATTGCGAAAAGTCATTGGTGTCCTGGGACCCCATGCCCGCCAAGTTCTGCCTTTGTTGCTGTTGCTGGAGTTGCTGGGCATTCTGTTGGCTGCGCTGTTGCTGCATCATCGCGGCTTGGGGATTCGGCGTTGGCTGCTGCTGTCCGCCTGGTCCAGGGAAGCCCTGCTGCTGGATGGGGGGTTGCTGCTGTTGTTGCTGTTGCTGCTGCTGCTGCTGCTGCTGACTGCGAGCAGCGTTTGCCTTCAGGTGGAAGAAAGCCTGCTGCTGGAAGAAATATGTGGCAGGGTCCCGACCTTGGTTTTGAAGGTCTTGCAACTGAGCGGGGTTCAGAATTTGTCGTATTTGATTTCTCGCATGTGCCTTCTGCTCTTCTGATGCGTTCTTGAAGAGGTTCGCGGCAACCTGGCTCACTTTGTGCTTGTCGGTGTTGCCCAATTTCTGGATTTCCGCAAGAGCGCTCATGTTCAACGAACCCTGGGGCTGCCGCAGGGCTTGGTTCATCATCGGCTGATTCTGGGCCATTCCTCGTCCAGCCTGGTTCCCTGCATTCATGGCCATTTGTTGGGCATGCAATTGCTGCTGCTGTTGTGCATGAAACTGCTGCTGCTGCTGCTGTGAAAATTGTGGCTGTTGCTGCGGCCGAAATTGCTGCTGCTGCTGTTGTGGTGGCATGTTCGGCATCTGCATCTGTCGTTGCATTTGCTGCAGTCCCTGCTGGCTCATGCCGCGCCCCATTTGTTGCGGGTGCATATTCATCATAGCCTGGGCCTGCTGCTGTTGCGCCTGTGCTGCTGCTTGGTTGTTGAGGTGATTTTGGAGGTTGGGCGCATTGGCTTGCCGCCGGGCAAGAAGATCTGCGAGTTTTGTATCAAACTGGCTCATGTAATGTTCCTTTTGCCCTGCTGTTAGCCAGATATTCGTTCAAAGATTATGTAAGTTGATGTGACTCACCTTTGATTGGGAACCATTATACAATGAACGCTCAAACGCAAGTGATTGTTCGACGATGCGCTGTGTTCCCTGCATGTTTCCTCCACCTGCCATGTTGAGTTGTGTGACACCGCTCAAGTCAGTTTCTGTGAGTGGGGATGGGGGAAGCAAGGAAGACCTACAGCTGCAGTAACTTATTGACGCGCTCCTGATGCATAAGAGTACTCTGCCAGGTGATCCCGTTTGGGGGGATCGGTGTGTTCTTGACATGGTTGACGAGATACGCCGCGAGTTGTGGGTTTGCTCCCTGCGGCATGCCTTGATGCTGAGGCATCATCTGGCCCTGGCCGCCGCCCATTTGGGCCATATTGGCAGCCATGATATTAGCGTCGAGTCGTGTGCAGCTTCCGTATTAAATCCCAGGTCCCGTGAAATGAGGCTTGGAGATACTGAACTGCTCTTGGCGGCTCTCCATGTAAAGCCAAAATGAGGGTGGCGCAATGGCAGAGACCGAAGGGGTCAGTGAGACGAGCGATTGGAATCGTCCACTTGGCAGCGCGATAGCGACTATGACACGGGTGCCACTATCGCCCATCAGACAGCACCAAACGGTGCAGCGTTGCCGGATTCTAAGGGCGTGGCTGACAGGCTGCTTGGTCGGTCGGTCGGTCCGGTCGAAACAATGTAGAAAAGTCGTGTTCGCGCGCGCCAAAGGACTGACGCCGGTCGCTTGGGTTGACGTAAGTCAACGCAATGAAGCGGGCGAGGGAGGATTCGGTGTAGAAATTCCGTAGCGTCACAAATCGGGGATCGTGATGGCCACTCGGGTGTGGTGTCGAGAGGGTGCCAGCAACGTCAAGAATCGTGTCCCGACCCAGAGAGGCTCCGAGCAGCGATGGATAGCTTTGAGCAAGAAGATCCCTTTGTTCGGATGACCCAAGGCGCAATGAGAAGTAGTGGTTGTTTGTCGAAGGGCCGAGCAGACTCGATGGCGGTGATCTGGAAATTGGAGGAGTTGGGCGGTAGGTGGAGTGGGCACGGCGGGCGTCCTCTGGCGGAGGACAGTAGTGAATAATACGCGTCGCAAAAGCAAATGAATTGAGCGTTGAGAAGGGAACACCAAGACTTTAGTATAGTGTCGTGGTCAGGCCGTCACCGTAGCCAGATATGTGTCGTTTGTCAAGACTGGCCCAAAAAAACCAAACGACGTTCATCAAACAACGTCCACGATGGGCGGGAGCTGAGGAAGAGAGGGAGAGGGAAGAATGGCGGAGCAGCCAGCTGGGCAGGCAGCGAGACGACTGGAGTTGGCTGGGCCTGGCCTGGATTGGCTAATAAACTCAGAATGCGCTGAGACGGACAGGGATCAGCCACAGGCTGCGCACTGTGGTCAAGCCACACAGCTGCCACCTTGACACCCGATGCTACAGCGGCCACCACGCTAAGCAAGGCAGCATGCCGCTACTGGTCGGCGCTACAGGTGCCGCCGCCGCCACAACCCCTGCCATGCCAATTGACTGAACGTGTTTGGGCGGTACTTCAGTCAAACAGTGCGTCGGCGCCCTCTAATAATGGCACCGCGTAAAGCTACTACGTACTTCAACCTCCCGTCACCGAAAGAAGCGAAGCCGAACCGAAGGCCAGGTGTGCTTGTCGGAGGGAACACAGGCGGTCACAAGGAAACCATGGCCGATTTCCTACGCTCATGATGCGCTAGCAACTCAGTTTAGCTGGGACCAAGCAGCCATCACCGGTAATGACCCTGGACTGCCTTACCTGGTACTCAGAAGGGGTCCACGGGTCCTACGGCACCCTAGCCCAAAAGCTACTTGTACGTACTTACAATCTAGAAACAACACGAGTGACTTATACGACCTCAATTCGCATGCATGAGAGCTATGCAGAGATTGAACTCGAACGGCCATTCGAAAGGACTGTCGCAAATAGTTCCTAGGCGCAACCTCGAGGGGAAAGAAAGGCGACTTGGAGGCAGGAGCAATATTAAATAAAGCAGCAAGGGATAGTAACGAGCAATGCGGGTAGCATGATGATGTTGCGGGTGTGGGGCAGCGGGATTGCCATCTGCACCGCAGGGATGTCATTTTACCACAGTCCATTTTCGAGAAGATGTCGCTGACGGTTAGTCACGTAAGGAATATTAAGGAACATATCCCACAACAAAATGCGGTTCTCAATGTGCGTGCCTCGCTTTCTGTCAAATGTCTAGTCAACACTTAGTTAATCAGGGTCCCTATTTGCCCTTCAGCAGCGCCCAGCTGGTGCACCTCAATAATTTGCAAGGCGCATTCAGATTGCCGTTATCAGAACACTCGGCGCAATGGCCATGAACAAGTGGGTCGCTGAAAATTACACCTCTTACTGACGGCGAGCCCTCTGTTTCTTTGTTGTCCCCTCGCATCTGCGGACTAGACTTGTCCTACCTTTCGACGGATCGCAAAGTCAGAATGAAGCCAAGTACATGTAGCGCGTGGTCGAGAGGCACGGGTCGGTGGTTGTGAGCTAAATTCGGTACGTACTGGGTGGGCTGTGGCTGGTGATGTGGTGTCAGCCGGTGGCCCCGTCGATCAACCTACGGCCCGTGAACACCCAAAACTGTGCAGCTGATGAGCAGGCGTGCCTATCCTGTGTTTCGTGGAGAGGAACACTGGGGTTGCCTGTCGGTTTGCGCAAAGCAGCAATTCCGCGGGCTCCCCTAGACAGTTCACCACACTTCGACTCGAGGGCCACGATTCAAAGGGACTGAAGTCTGGAGTTGACGTTGTTTCAACAGCTGCCCTGCGCGACGTTAGCGCTCTGGCAGTGGCATCCCTGTCTGATGTCACCGCTGCGGGAGACCCCGTTTCTGCGCCCACAAAACGCAGGCCTCACGTGCGCTGATCGCCCTCAACCGTACGGAGCACTGCCGGTAGTGTGCCTCACCTCCAGAATCCAGACGTTGTTCCAGTTGTCGCAATCACGACAATAGCCTCGCCAATCGTTTCTCGCCTGGTGGACACGGACAATAGACGCGATACTCGCCAATTGTTATCGTCTACGACATTAGCACTCATTTCTCCTTGATTGTTCACAAGCGCCAAGTTGCCGCAGCTGTCCCCTCATTCGGTGTGTGTGCAACGCAAGCTCCGCCCTGACGCGCCTGGTCAAGAGGGCCGACTGGAGTTTGGCCCAAGTTAGGTACGTATTACCGAGTGGTGTTTGTTGCTTCTCATGCCCGACTGAAGAAAGACCAGCACACTGATTTCTTGCCTTGCCATTGGCAACCGCCCATTCACCGGTTTAGCCAAACTAGTACCTACGTAACCTGACTGACCTCACGGTTTGCGTATGGTCACCCTACACTAGCATCCATTGTCCCAAATGACTGGAGCCTTGTCAATGGCCACCATATTGTAGTCTAGTAATGGGGCTACCTTTATTATCTGGTGCTGTGGCCGCCTTCGAGTCACGCCGCTCGGCTGGCTCGTCGTTTTGATTTGACAACCCGCAGAGCGTCAACAGAGGGCATGACCACCCGGGATGACAGGTTGACAAGGCATGGGCTTGGTATATACCAGGTACATTGTTTACTTCGTGGCTTGACGCTACCATACAGTCCAGTAGCGATTACTCATCCCTTCGTGCGCACTCCAAGGCGCTCAGCTCCAGCGCCGAACCACAGGGAGAATTACGTAGGACAACCCATGTTGTGAATTTTGTCTCCTCAGCTGATATGTTCGTATTTCGGCATCTTCTACGCTCTGTAAACTAGTAGCCACGCTGGCCCATTGATAACTTTCCATCTCCATTGCGCCCCGACCCGGCATAGGCCCATGCATCCCATTGATTAACAATACAAGGTGAATATATAACACTTTGGCGGTACGCTTCTCCAATGGCAAGACGCGCAGTCTCAGCGATTGCTCGCAGAAACAATCGTCTCGCACCGTCAATCCTTGATCTCGGTGGCTCACGCGCCGGTACTGTGACGGGGGCGCTTGCGACCGCTGCCGGTCGAAGGGTGCATCTTGTCGCTGCGCTCCCGCTTGAGCTTGTCGTCGAGCACGCGCGCTGTAGCTTGTGAGCATGTCGTGCCCCACGCGAGGCGCAAATCTGGACGAACTGAGAACATCGTAACCGAACTCGGGGAACTCCAAGCACAATGCCTTGAACTCGGCCTCGGCCTCGGACCGCAGAGTGTGCGACCTTGTCGCCCAGAAACTCGCAATCGGCGCGCGCACCGTCGTGTCGTCCTTGGGGGTGTACTGGTACACGTAGCGAGCATAGGCAATCTCGCCCCTGGCAGTCGAGTTGACGCAGTGGATCTTGGAGCTCGCGAGCGTCTTGAGGCCGTTCACACTATACTTCTCGGCGAGTGTGTAGATGCGGGCGTGCTTGAGCAGCTGGTCGCCCGTGTCATCGACGCTCGGGGCAGCAGGATCGGTCTCGAGGTTGCGCGTGCCGGGTACCTTCTTGGGGAAGTATTCGCCCGTGTATAGGAATTCGAGGAAGCTGCCGACAGCCTCAATGTGCTCGTCCGGAAGCTCGATTTGACGGGGCTACTGAGGGTCAATTCTTCCGATCTGCACAGCTGACAAAAGAAGGGACTATGATACGTACGCTGCCATCGTCCACAAAGCTCTTGCACACCTCGGCGAAGTAAGGGCTCTGTGTCAGGAGCGCCTGATGAGCTGTCAAGCTGGATAAGGAGTCCGAAGGGCCAACGACAAGCCTGATCACCGGGCTCATCAAATAGCTGATAAAGGTTGTCCGAGGGTCTGCGATGGTCTCCTCTCCAGCAAAGGGGAGCTCCGTGTCATCGCCAGTGGCCTCCACCTCAGCAACATCAGCGGTCGCATCCGCTGCTTCGGCGCCCTCCCCCATGTCGACATCGTCAGTCTGGGGCGTCTCCTCGGGCACAGCGACACCTGTCTCCTCGTTTCGGGGCATCGCGCTCGCTGTCGGTCGGGTACTGATCAATTGAAGGGTTCATGTGATGCGAAATGGGTGAAGTTGGCGTAAGATATCGATCTTGACCCGCGCGAGGCTACGGTGGCAGGCACTGCGATCGAATTGACGCTATTATATGAGGTAGATGCCGTGGCTGGTAACGGCAGAGTTTCGCTGGGATCTCGTCGCAAACGGGCACCGCAGTTTCCGCGAGTTGGCTCAATCAATTCAAGTTGATGCAATGGTGGAGACCTTGCTGCGCTCGTCCGTCGATTGGGCAACCGGACGGTACCTGCAGCTGGACGCTGCATGGCTGTCTCGTCAACGAGGCACCAATAAACTGAGCTTCCTCAATCCTCGTTTCTACCAACCCTGCACAAGCGAAACTGAGAGTGTCGACAACCTATGAACTGTTCTCGCCGAGCCAGTTTCCAGCAATGATGGATAGATGCATGCAAGCTCTTTTCATGTTTGAGATGAGAAGCTGAGCATGAGCTAGCCCGTGAGACTGAGCGCATCGACTGGCGGAACGACTACCGATCATGAAGGTGCAATGGGAGGAATCAACTCCTATACACAATCGAAATCCAAGTGCTGGCATAATGAGCGCTGAACTCTTCGATTTGGAAATGCGAGGACCTCAGAGTCATCTTACAGCAGGATCACGTGGAAGTCAACCGTGAACGACTTAACCGACAGTGATTGATTGCTGGCAACTCCCTTTTATCCCAGTGAGTTCGGCTGGCCGCTGTGTCCTGAGGCAAAACTCAACATCAGGCAGCTTCGTGCGGCTTTTCCTGTCGAGATGGCACATGACGGGTTGGAGGCGATCAAGGTTCATGGTTGCCCGGTGAAGCGATCGATCTGGCCTCTGTACTCGACCCATCACGTCAACAACAGTCGACAAAGAGCTCTCTGCCCGGAACACAAGAGCTATTGCGCACTGCCAGGGGAAACTCTGGAGTATATCGCCTTACGTCGGAAGCCTGTGTCGGGAATGCTACCACATGGCGCACGGCTGCTTTGAGACGGCACGACTGCCAAGTTCACAGCACGTGTGAGACCAGCTTGTCGGACATGTGTCGTAACTTTTGGCATTTGCAGTAGGACGAAACCATATGTTATAGTGCAAGCGTTATGCATGATGCCGCGCATCTTGTTGCTTGTGCTGAGAGGCCAACGCGCGCGTGGAGGAGCTTTAGCATGGGCACGCCCATCCTGTCCAGAAAGGGTGGCGAAATACTCCTGTTCGCTCTTCGTCAATGCTCATCCGGGCCTATGGCGCATGGAGAAAAGCGTGCGCAGTGTTACATGGCGACTTCGTTAATTGAGTCACCTTGTTCAGGATCTTCAAGCAGCACCCATTGGGTCGTTGTCAGTGGTCAAGTGTCCAGCGTTGCAAGTATCGCCATACCGGGCTGGCACGAAGTCAGCGTATCGACAGGCCATAAAGTTGGATTCAAGCTAGTCAATCTTCAATCCTTTGCTGTGCAGCTCGAAGCATAGGTGGCGTCAAAGTCTTGCCTCGAAGTCTTGCGGAGCAGAATGTTACTTCTGCGATGTCGGACTCGCCGCGATGCCTCGCACGCGTGAAGGATGGCAGCTTCATCTTGCCCTTGCGTATAGTTTCCCTCCCCAGCCGCCCTGTCGATCAGAAGGAGCAAACTTTCCTTGAGAAGATGGGAACAGGGTTTCTTGGCGTGGCAAGACGCGCAATACTGTCCGTGTCCTCTTGTTGGGCACTCACTCAGACCTGCACCAAGACAGTCGCTTCGTGCGTTGTCCCATTCGTCAAACTGAGCAGTGACAGCGGCAGCGGCATATTGACGGGGCAAAAGAATGAGTTATGGCGGAGGGTCATGGAGGGTTCCCAGCAGCGCTGTCGCATCTGCTCTGCTTGTTGACCGTTACGTAGCACTCAGCTGCCAACTCATACCTAAGTTATTAGTACTGGATAATGGCGAATCCAAACGGCCGAGTTCGCCCTTGCCGCTCAAGACCATCCGTCACAAGCCCCGCTCACAGCCGCTCGCGACTCGGGACCGTGCTCGTGTGTGCCGCTCCGGATGTCGAGGTCGAGGTCAGGTCGATGGCGGATGGCGTCTGTCGACGCGTCAAGCCCCAGGAACGCCTCCACGTTGTTCTCCAACGCAACGCTCTACTTGTACAGCCTCTGCTAGTCCAACTTATTAGTTCACGGTAGCAGTCGTTGACCCCTGGTACCTGAGTGGACACTGGACATCCAATAGCTTCGGCACTTGATCACTCCGTGCTGTCCTACTAAATGGACTAGCTTTTCTTGTGTCGAATCCGAAAAGCATCGCTCGACCCTCGGGGCCTTGTTGCAGCTGCTTGGTGCAAATTGTGCTATTCAATCACCGGGGTTGATGAGGATCGGCGCTCAGCCAACGCCAGGACGGCGATGCAAGGGTCGGGGCGGCCGGGGACAGGCCAAGATGTGGCTTACTCGACGCCGTCTCTCATTTTAGGCGCGGAAGCTAAGAGGTGACAGCATGCCTTCGCAACGGTCATACTCCGTACACAATTGGACTTGCTTCTTGTTCGCGGTGATGTGAAGTTCCTTGGGCGAGTCTCTTGAGCTGTCTTTGATGCTAAGCGGAGTCAAGCTGCTGTCTGGTTATTGCCAGCCGTTTAGGAGAAGGATGTCATGGCGTTCTGTGGTGGCTGCTGGATGGACGTCTGCGCAATGCACGCTCAGGCCTCGACGGGAGGCTGCCACGCCTCGTCCCCAGTCGCTTCTGAGACAGGCTGCGTCGTTCATGTGTGAAATGAGAGCGAGGCGGGGATAGTATTGCGAGGTGAACCGTGAGCTGTGCACTTTCTCTCGTCATCACATTCCTCCACCACCACCCGCGATGCATCACCACTAACGCCGAGCGAGCGGGAGGCAGCGCAAGGCAGCCTCTTTTCCCTGTCCATGGCCCCTCATCGTCCGATGTGATGGCGAAAACAATTGACCAACAAGCCAACCATTCATGGGGTTCTCTGCCTTATCCGTCCCGCGCGACGGTTGGGCCCCCAGTACCCAGCACCGATTTGTGACCAGATCTGTCGCGAGATATCACTTTGATTGATCGATCGACACGAGCCGTCCTGGTGGGTATCGGGAAAGCGTCGCCTGGAGGGTAGCATCGCGGTGTATTGCTTGCAAGGTACATCTGATATCTGCTGTGATCTGCCTGCCCCCCAGTCCCAAGTTCATGTTGCATGTGAGATGCAAAATGAGGAGTCGACTTGTTGAGTCTTGAGTCTTGACCTGACCACAGCTTGCGAGCCAAGCTTGCGTAGCCGCAGCAGCCAAGCGATCTTTGCTGGGGCTCCTGGCGTGCCGCGCGAGTGACCTCTGGCCCACCAGATGCAGGGCGATGGAGTCCCTGTACGCAACTACAAGTTGCCGGTATTGATTATCCTTCGGGCCGCGCTGGGATCATGCGATTGGGCATTCTCAGCCATTGCGGCCGATGTTCTCCTCTGACAGGCACCGTGAATCAGCAAAGCAAAGACAGATAAGCTTCATGTTGTGAGGTTAGGTAAGACTCGAGGTGTCAAACCTGTCAGTGAACCCACAACGGACCGACTTGCGTCTTCACTCTGCTCGCGTGTCTGACAAGATTTTGCTGCCATCTTGAGACATGTTTCTCCAGATAATTAGGGGCGTAGCGCAGCCAGTGGGAGCGATTTGCCCCCGTTGGCAATGACTACCCACTGGGTTTGTTGAAGCTCACCGGATCAGTGCTGCGCTCAAAGCAAATGCTCAAGCATGACCTACTAGTACTATCAGCAGACAATGTTTCCCTGCTTGACCTGGCTGCATGAGCAGCGGCAGAAGGGCGACAGATCTCGTGCTTAGTGCTTGTTATGTACCTGGCGCCATGACCCATTGGATGCCGCATGACGGTCATGGCCGGAAACAACAGGTGTTGACCTGGGGGTTCAGATTTTGCAAAGACTTGCGAGATTGCTGCCCATCACGTCGAAAAGCTCACCACCACAAATACCCACCTTGGAATCAGCAGAGAGTGTCGTCAAGGATCAGAGTGGGACAGTTCGCGCTCGTAGGCCACCAACTCAAGTGCGGCATGGGGACGGGTGGGCTCCCGAATTGCTTCTGCCGGCTTGGCTTGGTTGACCTTGCTTGGTTGGGATGGGTGGTTCCTTTTAGCTCAACGCAAGGACGGCGACTTTGAAGATCAGCATGGGCCGCACCTCCTGTATCACCGGCTCGTTGGCTCTCTGGCAATGAATTAGTCCAGAGATCATCTCGCAAGCGTCAGGGTCTGAGTACGTACGTACGCAACTTGCTGCCCACGTCGTGCCGTGCTCATATTTAACCCCAGCCGGTCTGAGATCCAAGATTTCGGGATGTGATTCTGTCTCCCCATCTGCCATTTCAGTGGCCGTGTCACTCATATAAGGTTCCTCTTGTTCTAGTTCCTCATCTTGCTGGTCCACATCCTGCCACACACCTCTCATTATCTCAACACGCTCTTTTCTCCTCTCCTTTCTTCTGCCACCCTGGATATATATAAGGTCGAGTGACCCTAGCCTCGCTCCGGCTCTGGTCCAACTGCAACTCTTCCTTTGTGATCGCGAGGGACCAAGGCACACCGACAGCAATCATGCATTCGACACGCGAGAGCCAGGATGGGGAGCTCCCCACGAGCGTGTCAGTCGATGGGCTCGGCACCTTCTACATCTGCTTCTCCGTCTTCTGGACGCTGGTCCTCATCGGAGGCATGCTCTTCCTCCACCTCAACCGGCGCATGCCGATGCTGCGTATCCGTGGCCTGTCTCTTTCCTTTGGTGCCGTTATCCTCCTCCACATGTACTGGATTGCCGTCCAGCTGGGATACATCTATGGACCCTTGATGGCACCGGGCGTCGAATTCTGGATCATGGGTATCTGGCTCCCCTTCGGCATCGCCCTCTTCCACGCCTCCAACTCCCGCTTCCTCTACGTCGCCGAGATGCAAAAGCGCTTCATCGGGGACGACATGATCTCCGACCGCCGACCCAGCAGCAAGAACAAGTCTCTCATCCAGAAGTGGCGCTCGCTCGACTACACCACCAAGATGCTAGCGCTCGTATGTGGTGGCATGGGTTTCCAGGTATGTTCTTGCTGTGATGCACCCAAATTTGCTCTTGACTTTGCTGACGCGGGATGCAGCTGTTCCTCACTCTCTTCATGTTCGTCGTTTCACGCAAGTTCCACGAATCATTCGGCATCCCTGGCACCGAAGTTCACGGTACCCCAGTCGAGAAGAAGGCCGCCGCAAGCATTGGATGGGAATGGTGGCCCTCGGTCTTTTGGCAATGCTTCTGGGCTTGGATCGTTGCCCCCATCATCCTCTGGCGTGCTCGTGGTCTTCATGATACACTCGGATGGAGGGTCCAGACTATTGGCTGCTGTCTTGCTGGGTATGTTGACCTGTATGCGTTGTTGTACCGACCTTGTTATTGACCCTTTCTAGTCTCCACGCCACACCCATGTGGCTGATCGGCTTATACGTTCCTGGCATGGCAGCCGTCAACAAGTACTGGATCCCTCCTCAGTGGATCGCTGTATCGATCATGTTGCTGGAGATCTTTACCATTTTCCTGCCCTGCTGGGAGGTGATCAAGCACCAGAGCCTGCGTCAGGAGACCCTCGAGTCCATTGCTCGCTGGGAGGCCCGTAATAAGGGCAACCCCGACGGTTCGATCTCGACGGACCGCAGCTCGTCCTATGTGTCGTGGAAGAAGCCTCGCAGGAAGCAAGGCACTTCCATTTCCAGCTCGTCCAATAACTCGGTGCTCACAATGGACGCGCTGGAGCACACCCTCATCCAAAACCCAGGCCCTCTGCAGATGTTCTCTGCGCTCAAGGACTTTTCCGGCGAGAACATTGCTTTCCTGCGCCGTATTGCCGAGTGGAGGCTCAAGTTTTACGCCGTCAAGGGCATTGATCGCAAGATGTCGGTCATGTCAGAGAAGAATGTGCCTACCAGCCCGACCCAGCAAGTCGACATCCGTGCCTCCTTTGAGGAGGCGCTGCGCATTTACATTGACTTTGTCAGCTCTCGGGGGGCCGAGTTTCAGGTCAATCTGTCTTCCACAGACTGCAAGAAGCTGGCTGGCATCTTCGAGCATGCCGCGCGGATTGTGTACGGCGATGTGCAGACACCGGACCCCGCGACGCCCTTTGAGACGCCAGGTTGGAGGGCTGATGACAAGTCCAACAGCTCGCAAACAGCTATCAATACGCCCGACGCCGTCGTGTCCGAGACCAGCCCTGTCGCCAGTGTCCGCTATTGGGGCGAGATTCCTGAGGAGTTCAACGGGGACGTCTTTGATGATGCCGAGATGAGCATCAAGTACCTTGTGCTGACCAACACATGGCCCAAGTACGTCAAGGCCAGGCGGTCGATGGACTCGGTCGAGAGTCTTGAGGCCAATTCGACTTCAGTATAAAAAGCCGAGTCGTGTGCAGGATCGTACCACCGCGTCCCGCAACGCTGTACATAATGCCGCTCGGTACTTAACTTATGACACCTAATTTTGTTGATTGAGGAGCCTAATATTCTCGAGTTTTCCCTAGCGCAGACATCTCAGAGTCGTCTGGTATGGAGCTGGCCGTTTTCTCTTTGGGGGCGAGGGGGATAGAAGATCTTTTTTTTTGGTAGACGCACGCAGTGATCGAGGGAATGGTCCACGTAATTAGCGATCACAAAACATCATTTTCACATGAAATGTGTGAATAAGTGAGACATTTAGCTGACAACTGTGCACTGTTGCCTCGACGTGGCTTAAGAAAGGTTCGTGATCTCATCTCGTAAGGAGGCAAGCGAGACGAGAGCAGAGAGCGCGACTTCCCCAAAATTGTTGCGTGGCAACACGTGACTCGGCGTATTGTCACCTATGGGTACGGACCAACGGCCAACGTCCCTTTGGCATCAGCCACACCCGCCGTAACTCATATTACCCTCCAAGACATGTCGGCAGTACCGTGTCGGCAAAATCAGTCCCACGCTTTTCCAGGACGAGGCTGCGTTCAGCCCGTTGCACCAGCAATCGCCCCGATTGACCGAGACACGACAGAGCGCCGGGCCTTGGGTAGCACCACCGTTTGAACAACCTCCCGCGATATGCGCACGCGTATCTGAGTGGTGAAGTGATCAGCAAACCCGGGCTACCCAGTTCATTCGTATCCCACCAGAAGCGAAAAGACGAACCACCTCGGTGCCAGTCGAGTTGGGGGCAGCTGGAATGTTCAAGCGAACAAGTACCCATGATGGCGGACGGCAGTAGCCCTGTTGGACCTTAAGGGTGCGATAAGGTTGACACTGTTGATTCCAGAAGCAATGCTCAAATTCACTCGAGTGCACGGGGTTACAACCATACGCACGCGTTGCCCTGCGGAAGGGAGACTTGGCATTTTCCGCTCAAGGGGCCTCGAGTGTCGACATTGACCACGTCGCCCTCCGCCCTCCGCTGTCTTGGTGCCGCTGACTAGCTGCTGTCTTTAGCTGTGTGGCCTGTCTGTCAGCCTTGCGTTGAGAGACACTCTACAGTATCTCGTGTCGAGACTTGCTTCCCTTGGGGGCAGCTCCAGCAGTTTCTGCATTGCCACCAAGCCTCCCATGGTAGAGATGATGATGTAACTCCGTCTCCGACTTTCGACAGTGCAACAAAGCCCACAGCACTCGTTTGACACCTGGCGTCAGGGGGTCACTCGACGTCGATAGTTCGAGGCGATCGCTTGCGCAGGGTCCACTGCGCCCTTCAACTGCCGGAGAATTTGGCTGGCCCAAAGTGAGATGCAGGCACTGTGAGCCTTGCCCGCGGATGAATCCGCTTCGTCAGGATCACAGTGGTGAGAATTAAGATGTAACCCTTTGACGGTCACTGGTATGCATGGCCTTTGGGGGCCAACCTCACTGAAGCAAGACCTAGCGCACGAGGGATCCGAGACAAGACAAGAATGCACTGGATTGGGTCCGAGGTTCACATGCATTCCCAGAACCATGGGACGCCAGGCACAGATGACCTACCGCTGAAGAATCTGCGGAACCCAGGCTTCCCTTGGACCTCCTCGGTGGCCGATCGGCGGAAACAACTACACAGAAATCCCACTTCACCACTCAACCTCCCTCTCGCGTGGCGTGGGGTGGAGCACCCTGGCCCTCCGCGGTAGCTGAGCTTTGATGACATTGTCGCACAGCCAGGCGCCCAGACGCTCCTCCTGTTCCTGTGGTCTGACCACCATCTATTGGCAATTACTGCTTTTATCAAAGATGACCAGCAGCGGCATTCCTGTGGACCCCCATCGGCTGTCGAGGAGACTCAACCCTACCCATGTCTCGTCAATTACCATCGAGATACCGCCGGTCAACCATCTCAAAGCGAGCACAAGCTCCCTGGCAACCAGCATCACGCTCGGTCACAATCCACGGCATGTCTTGCTGTAGGCATGAATGGCTCGTATAGGAGGAGTTGATCAAGGGAAGAAAGGGGACGTCTTGATGGGTGCAGATCATGGAAAGGGCCCTGAGGGCAAGCTTGGCGAGCGCCTCTCGAGTTTATAAAAACCTGCCTCGTCTTGCCCCGACAAGAGGCATGCGGACAAGTGCCACCCGACAGAGATCCTCATTCTTCACGCTTCCTGTTGTTGTTTATATCGCTTCCGCTCCGCAACACCATGCCTTCGAAGCACGAGCTGTCCCTCGTCCGCTCCTACGAGCAGGGCGAGGTGACGAGCTGTCCATTCCCTACAGTCACTGCCTCATTCTACCACCATGCTCTCGGCTTCCCCGACGCAATTGCCGTCAGGGACCTCTCGAGCCAGCCGCCGCGGGAGCTCACATATCGCCAACTTCGAATTCATGCACAGAGTCTGGCGAGAAAGCTCCGAGGCCTCGGTGTAGGCCGAGGACAACGCGTCCCACTACTCGTGAAGCGGGGCCAAGAGATGATTGTCGGTATCTGGGCCATCCTGTCCTGTGGAGCGCAGTACGTTCCTCTGGACGGGGGAGTTGTGCCAGAGTCCACCATCCGAACCGTCATTGAGCAATCGAGCTGCTCGGTCGTTCTCTGCATCTCCTCGACGGAGCAACGACTCAAGGACTTACACCAAGATGGACCGCTGACGCCCGTCCTGATCGACGAACACTGCCGTTCTGACAGTGAGACATACTCGAATCAAGAGGTGCTTGACCTGGCAACAGCCGACGACGGATGCTACGTCATTTACACATCTGGTATGATTGCATTACCTGGTTCCTGGGTTTTCTCAAGCGGCTGACTGACACCCAATCAGGGACCACCGGCAAGCCAAAAGGAGTAGACGTCACCCACCGGAATGTAGCGAACTTGGTGTGCCAGAGCCCCGGCAACCTGGATGTACGGCCCGGGACGTGTGTCGGCAGCATTCTGAACATAAGCTTTGACATGGGTGAGTGCACTTTGGTACAGCAAGACACAGTCAAGAACGTACTGACTCGGGATTCATAGCTGCCTGGGAGATTTTCACCTGTCTATGCAACGGCGGCACCCTCGTCGTTCGCGGCTCTCAATGGGAACCGGCACTGGAGCAGGTCAGTATCATCTCTTCGCGCGGGACTACTGAACGGCGAGCTAACTGTTCCAGATCAACGTCTTGATTTGCACACCTACTATCCTCTCCAAGTACCACCCCACAAAATTCCCCAAGATCCGGGCGGTTGCTACTGCGGGCGAGGCATCGTCCCAAAAGTGAGTGCTGGAGTCATTTGGCCGCCGGAATGTCGCTGACGCAGCTTAGTCTTGCCGACCTCTGGGCAACGCACACGACGTACTGGAACTGCTGTGGGCCTACCGAGACGACAATTGTGAACACAATGTCCAGGCACGTTGTTGGGCAGAAGCTGTCCATTGGCAAGCCGACACCGAACAACAAAGTGTACATCCTTGACGGAGACCTTGAGCGCGTTGCTCTTGGTGCTTCTGGAGCCATGTGGGCCGGCGGCCATGGCGTGTCCAGGGGCTATGTCGGCCTCGAGGCCAAGACCAAGGAGGCGTACCTACCCGACAAGTTTGCCAACGACGGCTCGTTCATGTACAAGACTGGTGATCTCGGGTCATGGATGGAAGGGGGCGCCATTGACATCCTCGGGCGTGCCGATGACCAGGTCAAGGTCAAGGGCTTCCGCGTGGAGCTCGATGGCATCTCTGCCACTCTGGCCTCGTTCCCGGGCGTCACACGAGCCACTGCTCTGCTCATCGACGGTCAGATCCATGGCTTCGTGTCACCGGACCATCTCGACACCGTCTCCATCCTCGACCACACCAAGAAGTCCCAGCCATACTATGCCGTGCCTTCCAAGATCATCCTTCTCTCGCATCTGCCATCGACGGCGAACGGCAAGATTGATAAGAAGGCCTTGATGACGATGCACGTGGCGGAGGAGCCCGTCCAACGACCTGAGGTAGAGCCCAAGCCTGCGGTGGTGTCTGAGAAGGTTGTGGATCTCGAAGCCGCTGTCGAGACTCGTTCCATCTCGGGTACATCCGTCTCTGCCACGTCGTTGACCACCACGACAACATCGACGACCGTGGACAAGAAGGATCTCTCTGCCGACATCCCCGACAAGCGCAGAGGCCGTCCCTGGCGAGGTCTTCGTCACCGCGTCTTTATCATCTACCGCCAGCTCTTTAGCCTCATGTGGCTGCTCAACACTGGATTCCTTGTTGCGCTTCTCGTAACCGATGGCGGGTATTCCTGGCTTAACCTTTTGGTGGCCGGCAACCTGGTGGTATGCATCCTGATCCGCCAGGAGCTCGTCATCAACGCTCTCTACACCATTTTCTGCTCCGTACCCAAGGGATGTCCTCTCTGGATCCGATCGCGATGCGCGGAGATTTACCATCTGGGTGGTGTTCACTCTGGTGCTGGCATATGTGCTACGGCCTGGCTACTCATCTCAACCGTGCGCGCCACTTGGGATCGCGTTGCCGACGGGACCCTCAACCAATTGAACCCGAATGCTCTAGCCGTCCTGGTGCTTTCGTGGATCTTGTGCATCCTCTGCGTCTGCATGGTCGGCTTCGCCTGTCCTGGCTTCCGCAAGCGCTACCACAACCAATTCGAGCGCATCCACCGCTTCGTGGGATGGACGACACTCGTCATCTTCTGGGTTCGCGCTGTTCTGTCCGTGGATGGCGAGCGAGGCCGTGCCCAGGAGCTCGGTCATGCTCTGGCCAAGAGCCCCATCTTCTGGATCCTCATTGTGGCCACCCTGAGCGTCGCGTCCTCGTGGTTCTTCCTCCGCAAGGTGCGCGTCGAGACAGAAGTCCTGTCCAACCACGCTGTCCGTCTTCACTTTGACTATACCACACCTGTCAACGGCAGCTTCACACGCCTGTCCGAAAGGCCTCTTCTGGAATGGCACTCTTTCGCCACGATCCCCAAGCCCAAGGCCTCGGGCAAGGGATACTCCCTGCTCGTATCCAACGCTGGGGACTGGACGTGCCGGTGCATTGAGAACCCCCCGACCCAGATGTGGGTGCGTGGCCTGCCCACATGCGGCGTCATGCGCATTGCGACCTTGTTCAACCGCGTGGTCATCATCGCCACGGGCTCGGGCATCGGGCCTGTCCTCGGGCACATTGGGCAGCCGAGCTGCCCTACGCAGCTCATCTGGTCGACCAAGGACCCTGAATCGACCTTTGGCGAGAACGTCAGCCGCACGATCCGGCGGAACATTCCCGACGCGGTCATCCACGACACCAAGGTCAACGGACGTCCTGATCTGGTGCGGATGGGATTCAACATGGCGACCAATTTCGGGGCGGAGGCTGTCATCATCATCGCCAACGAGAAGATCACCAAGAAGGTGGTGTATGGTCTTCAGACGCGTGGCGTGCCAGCTTACGGCGCCATCTGGGACAGCTGAGTGTCTATGAACTTGCTGTCCCGTCCATTCATGGATATATCTCCTTTTATTGTCCATTTCTCTTTTCTCATTGGGAGGCTCAGCTCGTTTCTTTTTTTCACATGGCGCGTTTCTGGATCTATTTTCATGGCATAGCCTGTCTGGCTGTTTTCTCTTGTCTTTTCATACCATAATACCATTTCACTTACTCTTCTCCAATTGAATCTGTTTTCACACGCTTGGAGTGTCATGTCCATTGGTGTTTCCACTGTTCATCCCTGTAAGGCGTTGTTCCCCCATTCAGGTTCGTGTTCGACATGGCCCACGACTACAAGGTCATTGTTCTGTCCAGTCATGGACCAGCATGAGAGTCACCATTGCGCCTCTTGGGGACGCGGACTAGTATGTCTGCAATTCGGCCATGCGTCGTACCAACTTACCTTCTCCTCAAAGCAACTACGAAGCACAGCGTTGTTTGCCCAAGGTAGAGAACGATGCTGTTCCCCGACGACATCTTTAAGACGGCCTACTTCCCGCCCATCCGCGTTGCCGTGGCCGCGGATCACCGAAACATTGAGCGCATCACTCCACGATGCGAAATATGTCTGGGTTCCATGCACATCTGTGACACGCCCACGAAGGAGGACCCGGACATGTGTGTCGGCCCGGCTGGCCTGCTCGCGTGCGGGCACTTTTTCGGAGAGAAGTGTATAGACGACTGGCTCGACTCGGGGGCCACGAGCTGTCCCATGTGCCGCACCTCCCTCGTTCTCCCTGGGACGGACTATGTGAACCCGCCTTGTCCCATCTCCAGCCCGAGGGATCTCCTCGACACGTACATCCCCTCGACTCTACCGGAACGCGGCCAACTGTCCGCGGACCCAGCTGAGCTGTACAACGCGCATATCCGGCGCGTCGCCCAGATGGTCGCGCGGGAGATCAGCCCCCCGCTGCTCCAGAAGCTGGGCAGCGCCATCGCCATCAGCCTCCACTTGCCCTGGGGCGGGCAGTGCTATGACTTTGGGGTGCGCTTCCACGCCGACCGGGCGTATCCGCGCGACCCGATGCTGATGGACGTGCACAAGCTCGAGGACGCGTGGGGTCTGCGCCCCTGGTTCCTCCCGGACGATCTTAGCTTGCTCGAGCTCGAGGACCGCATCCTTATGCACACGGCACGGCAAGCCTGGGATAAGGGGCGTTGGGGGCCGTGCGAGATACACATGTACGTTGGCTTTGTGCATGTACCGACGGACGAGCAGCAGGCGCAGATCATGTGGGATCTGCGGACGCTGGATCCGGACGGGGTGACGAGCGAACAGGAGCGCGTCGCGTAGGCCGCGGCGGCGCGAAGGGGTGTTCGTCCGCCGGATGATGTTGTTGACGAGCTGCTGTTTGATGGATTGGGCCCAGGGGGTTGGGTTTGAGTTTATGGGGGCGTTGCCTTGTCTTGCTTTCTTGTCCAAGGTGCGTGTATGGGTTCTCTTTGGCATTGTCGCTCAGATCTAGTCATCACCATTTCTTGTTTGTCACAATCGTCAATATTACTAGCCTCATCTTCAATGACTTACAGTAACTTGGAGGCCAGCCGATATCGGGCTGACGGGTGGTGAGAACGTCCGGACTCTGTGATTTATAATAAACCCCGCCTCCGGTCGTCAGCAGGAACTGAAGACGTTGGAAAGACATAAATACCCTATTTGGGACGGTTTGACTGTGATATGGTCTCAGACCAACTTTCAACTGTCGTAACAGCTAGTTATAATTCATCTCACTAGTAGACCATGCCGCACCCACCCACCAAGTACGCCGTGGCGCTGTACCCCGGATTCCAGGCGCTGGATGTCTTTGGGCCCCTGGACGTCCTCAACATCATGGCCGAGTCGATGCCGGCCCTCGAGCTGTCCGTGCTGGGACCGACCCTAGACCCCGTCTCCACGCTCTGTAAGGCATCGACCGGTCGGGTCGGGCAGAGCATTGTGCCAACTCACACGTACAATGACGCGCCGTCGGACATTGAGGTGCTCATCGTGCCAGGCGGTCATGGCGCACGAAGCGTGGAGGATACCCACGTTGTGATGGAGTACATTCAGCGTGCGTACCCGACGCTGCGATATTTCCTGACGGTGTGCACGGGAAGCGCCATTGCCGCGCGGGCGGGCGTGCTAGACGGCAAGAGGGCGACGTCGAACAAGACGGCCTTTCAATGGGTGAGTCAGATGTGTTGTGTGCATATGGACAAGTCTGACACAGTCAGGTGGTCACGCAAGGCCCTAGCGTGGAATGGGTCAAGGAGGCACGTTGGGTCGTGGATGGCAACGTGTGGACGTCCTCGGGCATATCGGCTGGCATGGACATGATGTACGCCTTTGTGGAGGAGCAATACGGGTCCGATGTCGCCGAGGATGTCTCTCGTGGAGCGGAATACGTTCGTAGCCGGGATCCTCTGGTGGATCCGTTTGCGCAGTACGCAGGGTAGGCTGGCCAAGGCAGGGTGGTGATGCCAGTACTATGTGGCGCGCTCATGTTGCTTGCGAGAGTTTCCTCGGATGCTGAACGCATTCAACAGATCTCTGAGTGAAATAATTGACTCTATGTCCATTCCTTGCATCTAGCCTCTAGACCCTTGGACCCTAGACAGACCCCAGCACAGTGTTTACGCCGGTGCGGGAAGACCCGCTGGTGCCGGGGCTGGCTGGCTGGCGTTAATCTTATCAATCAGCGGCGATGATCAGCTGCTGCAGCAGCTGCTGCTACCGTGACTGGCTACTATTTGTACTGGGCCACCGCCATCACGCATCAATCACGTTATTTCTCTTCACCACTCGCATGTCCACTTTTCCCATCCCGTCTTCTGACTCTTCTCTCTCATCTGCCCATTTACTGACATGGCGGTTTCTGGCTGCCCTCTGCGTCCGCCCTCACCACCTCCTCACCTCCTCACCTCGCTATTCGAGCGTCGTCTTTTAAGTTAATCACGCAACCGGCTTGATCCGATCGCAGACCTGCTGGCTGGCTGGCAGGCAGTCAGGCAAACTCATATCAGCACCACCATGTCTTCACGCTCGTCAGTTTCTGTGTCTTCATCGGACAGAACCCCTCTTTTAGGGCACCACCAAGACATCGACAAGGCTGTGCACGACCACCGTCGACAGACCACGCACATCTACAATGTCGACAGCGACAGCGACAGCGACAGCGAGGCGAGCCGCCACAACGACACGACCCCCCTCTCCGCTGGCGTCGCCCGCATGGCCGCCGTCTCGTCGACGCTGACAGCCTCGCAGCGCGCCGTCCTCCTGCTCAGCATCTTCCTCGTCGGCTACGCCTACGGCCTCGAGTCGCAGGTCCGCTCGACCTACCAGCCGTACGCGACGGCCAGCTTCCACCTGCACTCGTACCTGGCCACTATCAACGTTTTCCGCAGCGTGGTCGCCGTCGCGGCGCAGCCCACCGCCGCCAAGGTCGCCGACGTCCTGGGCCGCTTCGAGGTGGTCGTCTTTGCCACGGTCCTCTACACGGCGGGCATCGCCATCGAGTCGACTGCGGGCTCCGTCGAGGTCTTTTGCGCCGGCTCCCTCGTCTACCAGGTCGGCTACACGTGCATCGTCCTGCTCATGGAGGTCCTCATTGCCGACTTTTCGTCCCTAAGGGCCCGCGTCTTCTCCAGCTACATCCCGGCCCTGCCCTTTGTCGTCAACACCTGGATCAGCGGCAACGTGACGTCGGCCGTGCTCTGTGTGACAACGTGGCGGTGGGGGCTCGGCATGTGGGCGATCATCTACCCCGTGGCGTCTCTGCCGCTGCTCTGGTCGCTGTACACCATGGAGCGCAGGGCGCGCAAGAGCATGGCATCTCTGGCCGACGTGGGTGCGAACAAGGAGAGGGGCGCGCGAGAGGTCGCCCGCACGTTGTATCATCAGCTCGACATCGTGGGGCTCGTGCTGGTCATCTCCTCGTTCTCGCTGGTCCTCGCGCCGCTGACCATCACGGGCCAGAAGGTGGGCCACTGGCAGGACCCTCACATTGTCGTGCCCCTGACGATTGGCCTCGTGCTGGCCGCGGTCTTTGTCGTCTGGGAGCAAAAGGGCGCCAGCGTGCCTCTGGTGCCTCTCGCCCTCCTCGCGGACCGGGGCGTCTGGGCTGCGCTCGCGGTGCGCAGCCTGCTCAACTTTGCGTGGTACACGCAGGGCAACTATCTGTACACTGTGCTCGTTGTGGCATTTGACTTTCCCATTGCAACCGCCACGCGCATCCTGTCCTTCTTCTCCTTCTTTGGCGTCCTGAGCGGCGTCGTCACGGGTGTCATCATCTACAGGGTGCGGCGTCTCAAGTACATCATTGTGCTCGGGACGTGCATTTTCATGCTGGCCTTTGCGGTGCTGATCCGGTTCAACGGCGGGGCGTCGCTGGCATCGCAGAGGGGCCTCATTGCCGGGCAGGTCATCATGGGCATGGCGGGCGGTCTATTTGCGTACCCGACCCAGGCGTCCATCCAGGCGTCGGCGTCCAAGGAGCACGTGGCCATCCTGACGGGGTTGTACCTGTCCTTCTACAATGTCGGGAGTGCCTTTGGCACGAGTCTGTCCGGGGCCATCTGGACGCAGACGCTGCCCACCATGCTGCGGTCGAACCTGGCCTTTCAGCCGAATGTGACGCTGGCCGACGATATCTACAAGTCGCCGTTTGCCATTGTCGCGCAGTATCCCGTGGGGACAGAGATCCGGTCTGCGATCATCGAGAGCTATGCGGGCACGCACCGTCTGTTGTGCACGGCGGGCATGGTCATTTGCGTGCCCATGATTGTGTTTGCGCTGGCGCTGCGGAATCCAAGGCTGTCGGAGGAGCCGGTGCAGCCAGATGCGGAACGGGACTTGGAGATTGATGAGCAGCGCTTGCTTGGATAGAATGCGAGCAGGCAGAGCGTCCGACGTCGTACAGTGTCACGCATTGTGCATGTCGGTGCTTACCTACGGTCGTTCCAGCGTTCTAGAGCTGCATGCAATGGCACAATTAACCGAGGTCTCTCTCGTGATGCTATAGTTCTGCTGTTCCGTTCTGTACGTACGTAGCTGATGATGTGGATCAAGAGTGGCTAATTCTGGACGCATGACGGCGAACACGAACAATGAACTTATGAAGGGATGATGATGATGACATCAAGTAATTAATGTCTAGCTCCGCAGTACTTGGCCTCGTCCAGCGCATCATCATTCGTATTCTCAACACCAATCTCAGCCAGTGCGGCGGACGCACGCAGGGAATGGGCGGCAGTCGACGGCAAATCCCACGTCTGCCAAGCATTTGTCCACGGCATTGCATTGACGCTCTTGGCTCTTGGCTCCGTATTCATTTGCTCGCGCGGAGCAAGGGACGCGGCCGCAGCTGGACCCCGATTTTGTGAGTTGTGATCGGCATCTCCTGTTTCTGTCCAATGTCTCTTGGACTCACTCGACTTCTGTGTGAACATGAATAATGGCCGTCATGAGTGCAAAAATCAATTCGCCTAAGCCAGCCAAGCGCAAACTCAGAGCACGTGGCGTCAGGCCTGGGACAGATTTTACTTTTTGCCTTTGCGCGGTTTGGACAACGACTAGGAGACTCCCAGGCCCAGCCCCCAGGGCACGACGCCTCCACCGCCATGACGACGGCCCAGACCTGGAAAACAGTGGACTCGCCGAGATTGAGGCTGTGAATACTCGTAGCACCACCATTTTTAGCACCATTTTTACTATCTGCTTGAACACCTCGGCCCGCTTGCATAGTCGCGGGGATTTCGACCTCATTACTCGTGACCGTTTGGGCCATGCCATGTCCGAGTTGCGGAGGCGGAGCCCGGCACTCTCTCTATACGAGGTGATCATCCTGGTGCGCCAAGCGAGCAAGCGAGCGAGCGTCATTCCTGTGGCCTTCTGATCCAGACCCAGAGACTAGTTAGACGGACTGGTTTGTCGCGGGGCGACCGGTAGCGCAGGAAATACTATAATAGAGGGACCTCGACGTCCGCTCTTTACATCTATCATCATCAACCACACTCACACTCAAAAACTCACCACGCGCATCTACCACATCACTCAACATCTCCAACTCACACTACCGCCATCATGAAGTTCACCGCCCTCACCACCCTCTTCGCCGCTGGCCTCACCTCCGCCGCCCCCGCGCCCACCCCCTCAGCCACTCCCTCCACCAACGTCAAGGCCTTCAACCTCATGACCCTCCGCTCCGCCAGCCCCATCCACTTTGGCCAGGTCAGCGCCAGCAAGAGCAACATCTTTGTCAACCTGCCCGAGGACGCGCAGGATGCCACCTGCGACGCCAAGGTCACCAACGGCGCCACCTTCTCCCTGCGCGACGGCGCCCTCTTCCTCTACAACGAGGACACCGACGAGGAGCAGCAGGTCTGGGTCGACCGCTCCGGCATGGGCCAGGGCAACGTCGGCTACATCTCGGGCGGCCAGAACCCTCCCCGCAACGCCGAGCTGACCGGCTGGACATCGACGGTCAACGGCGACTTTAGCTACCTCAACTTCAACGGCGCCGGCCTCATCGCCTGCCCCGCCGTCCCCGAGGGCTCGTGGTCCGTATGGGTCAACGCCGGCGTCACCAACCCCGGTGGCAGCGAGGGCTGCCTTGGCTTCAACGCCATGGTCCAGCCCACCGAGGAGCCCGTCAGCTGCACTTACTCTTAAATGACAAAGGGCAGCGACAGAGGGCATGATTTGGAGCATTGCAGCGTGTTTTGCATTTGCATTTGGCGGTCATAGTCACTAGACAGTAGTACAAGTATTGTAATACCTACCCTATACACTACAGTCACCTTGCCAGGGTCGGTGATCGGTCCTTCCTTCCACTTCTGCTCAAGGAGCAGGCTCCTAATTGATGTTCCACAATGAGGCAGACAACTTGTACTCACCTGGGGCGCCTACCTCGGTCGCCAAAGACTTCTTTTCATTTTCCCCCGCTTGTTAAGACTCAACTTCCTCACACGTTGGCACAGCCGACGAACAGGCTTGAGGTCGATGTACTTCCAGGACACGCCATATGCACAATCTCCCATCATCAATCGCGGCGAACTTACCAGAGGCGGACGACCAACCGTGACAAGGCGGAACATCGGCTCACCCACATGGGTCATAGCGCCAGTTCGGTCATTCCTTGGACAATGGATCTGCTTGGCTTGCTGTCCTGGCTTGGGCCCTGGCAGGGCATGACATTCACCACAATGCACATGCACGCGCCTTCAACACTCTCGCTTACTTCCGGGCATCCAGACCAACGTTGTGCATGCTTCCGGCCGCAACCCCTGACAGTCGACCACCCTCCATCTCCATCGCCTCCCCGCTTCCCCGCGTTCAACTTTGCTTGGCCTGCTGCCATGCCCTGGCAGCCAGCGAATGAGGTATCGTTGGATCTCAACGCAGAGTGGAGGGCGCCCACCACCATGATCCTCACTGCATGGTGGCTGGCCCGTTCCTGAAGACGCCTTGCGAACTGTCTGTCACATTATATCTAGCTTAACTCGCTGTCGGGATCACATGTCCAGTCGAACCAACGACAAGAGCAATATTGAGTCACAGCATGATCCCCTGCAACATATGGGCTCGTTGCATTGCATCGCGCGGCTGGTCATCTCGGTTTGCATGGCCCAACACGAGCCACACTTTCAAATGGACTGTCGGCTGCGCAGAGAAACGAAACATCGCCAGCCGCGTCCGCTTACCATGGACATGGCAGTATTCGACAACGAGGGAATCTCTCCAACAAGATGACAGCCTCGTTCAACAGCTTGCTCAGCAGTCAGCAGCACACTTCTCAAGAACCTTCACTCGAAGATCAACTTGCAGGGCACCGTCGACCACCCGTGGTTGCACTCGACAACACACCAGCCAGGTCCATACCCTCCGACTTGGAAATCAAGGCCAGGTCAAAAGTGCAGGGGTTCCCCAGCCCACTCGGACCGCAGTGTGCAGCCGCTGTAGCCTGTTGGTAGCATCGTGCTGTCCAGACTGCCATCGAGCATCGAAACGTAATCCTAATCTCCCCGAACCTTGTCAGTATATGCTGCAAGGCTCGTGAAAGTCGGAAAGTCGGATCAGATGTCAAGCAGCTCCCGCGCCGAGGCTGGAAGGGGGTCCCTTTTGCACGCATATATCAGGCGTTCTCCTTGCCAACAGGACCAATTCTGGCGCCCCTCTCTCGCGGGTTCATAACAGTGTCAGCTCAAGCTTTCTCCACGCCTCAAGACACTTTCTAGCAAAGTGAAGTTCTCGCAACCAACATGCGACGACCTGCACCTACCTTGGGCCTGCTGGCTCTGGTGCAACTGGTGGCTGCCCAGGAAGAATGCCTCAGCCTGACGAGCAACTTTCCAGAGTGTGCCGTGAGTCTTCCATCAGCCAGCGTGGACCTGCCTCTGACACAAGCCAGTTCTCGTGCATTACCTCGGCCGGGTCGGCCGTGGGATGTACTGTCTCAACTGACCTTGCCTGTGAGTCCTCCCCTGCCTCGTCGACAATGCCGCTGACGCATGCTGAACAACAGGCCGCTGCACGCCCGAGTCATCGCAGGCCATTGTCCAGGCGGCCCTTACATGCGTCGTTTCTGGCTGCCCACCAAGCGAGGTGAACAATGTCATCGCTGCTGGAAACTCTGTATGCGCCTGCGTAGCCACCGCCACGCCGGAGCCTCCAGAGACCACCCCAACAGACATCTCCATGACCACGGCCACATCTACTCCTGAAGAAACTCCCACATCTACGACTGGGGATGACACCACCGTGGAGCCGCCCCCCACCACGAGCACCGGAGAGCAGTCGGTCACCACGACGCCTCCCCCCGAGGTCACCTGCGGTCCAGACTCCCCTTGCCAAGAGAGCGCCGACGCCGTGCCTGACTGTGCCAAATCATGCATCAACTCGGCCGCGGTCACCGAGGCTGGCTGTCGCGAGGGCGACTACGGGTGCTCGTGCGCGTCCCAGTCCGTCATCCAGCCCGCCGCCCAGGGTTGTGTGATTGACGGGTGCGGGCTTTCCGGTGCCATCGAGGTCGTGTCATCCGTGGCTGCCTTGTGCGACTGCGTCGAGGCCAGCCCGACTGAACCGTGCGATGGGAACGAACCGACAGCGACGTCGACATCGACATCTAGTGGAGGTGGTGATGAAGGCGATGATGAGACCACTACGACAACCACCCCCCCTGACACGGAGACCATGCAGCCTCCGCCAGAGACAACCTGTGAGGGAGGGACTACATCAGACTGTGGTCCGGTGGCCTCGACAGCCATCCCCGAGTGTGCCCAAGCCTGCTTCACAAGTGCCGCCCCTGGTGTGGGTTGCGGTGTTGATGACTTTGGCTGCCAATGCGAAGAGGAAGCCCAGGCATCGCTGTCACAGCTGCTGATCCCATGTGTGGCCACGGCATGCGATTCGGGTGATTTGCCTGCTGTGATCACAGGCGCGGCCTCGGTCTGCGCGTGCGCTACGGCGCCGCCCTCGGGAGGGGATTGCCCAACGACGACCGACGACGAGCCGCTTCCCACCACCACTGGCGGTGATGACAATGGCGATGGCGGTGATGGTGGCGATGATAGCGCGACTACGACCTGCGCCGAGGCCACAACGCCTGACTGTGGCCCCGTTGCCACTTCTGTCATCCCAGAGTGTGCCCAGTCATGCTTCACCCAGGGCGCGCCTGATGTCGGCTGCGATGTCGAGGACTATGGCTGCCAGTGCGAGCCCGACGCGCTTGCTTCGCTATCGGCCATCCTCGTCCCTTGCGTGGCCACGGCCTGCCCACCCGCGTCCATCCCCTTGGTCATTGAGGGCGCCAGCTCCGTGTGCGACTGCGCCCTGGCTGGCCCGACGGGCGGCTGCCCTGGCAATGGGGGCAACGGCGAGCCCACCACGGAGCCGCCATCGCCTACCAAGACCAGCGACGATGGCGCCCCCGAGCCGACGACCTGTGCGCCTGGCACGCCTGCTGACTGCGGTGCTGTAGCCACGTCGGCGGTGCCCGACTGCGCGCAGCCCTGCTTCACGTCCGCAGCTCCCGGCGTTGGCTGCGACGCAGACGACTACGGCTGCCAGTGCGAGCCTGACACCCGGGCGAGTCTGAGCCAGCTGCTCATCCCCTGCGTGGCGACTGCTTGCGACTCTGGTGACCTGCAGGCCGTCATCACCGGCGCCGAGTCGGTGTGCGCGTGCGCGACGGCGACGCCGGATGCTACCGGCGGAGACTGTCCGGCGCCCACAGGAGGCAACGGGGATGCTGGCGGCGATGATGGTTCCGCGGGTGGAGGGGATGACGGCAATGGAGGAAGCGGTCATGACGATGGCGACGGCAGTGATGGCGGGAGTGGCGGCAACAATGGTGGCAGTGGAGGTAACGATGGCGGCAGTGGGAGCAATGATGGCGGCAGTGGAGGTAACGATGGCGACGGCGGCAATGGAGGAGACGGTGGCAGCGACGGTGGCAGCGACGGCGGCAGCAGTGGAGATGCTGGAGATGCTGGAGATGGTGGTTCTGGTTCTGATTCTGGTTCTGGTGATGATGGCGCGGGCTCGCCCGTGGTTCCTCCATCGAGCGGCGCACGCCTCGAGATGGGCATTGTCGCTGGTGTCTTTGGCGCCGCCTGGCTTGTGGCCGTGGCGCTTTGAGTTTGGCGAGATCTCTTGCTGCTTGCTGATGGACAGAGATGAGGAAATGCTGTCTGTCACTATTTTTTCTTTCAACTCCGCCCTCCACTTGTCCGATTTCTTAGCGAAACAAGGGCGAACGAGGTGGACCCTCGCTCGGTGACTAATGACGGCGGCGGAGATAATCGTTTATTTTGCTGTTTCCACACTACTACCTACATTTACGTTTATTGACCTTTCTTCCAGTGCTCTGATGGATAAGCAACGCTCGACGACTAGGGACTTTGCCCCCCGTAGCCAACATAAGCACACATGCCGGCAACGTCCACGATATTGGTGAGGGATTGTTTCCTCTCTCCCAGGTGGCTAGGACAGCCCCATCACGAGGATCGTCATGGAGTGGACCAGTGCCCACTAGATCGACCGGCACTAGCAGCGAGCCGGCACCTTGGACCCCATCGGTATCGGCGTATCGCAAAAGCAGCAGATGGCCTTCCCCTGGCCCATAGGGCTGCTCCCCGTTCCGGGCCCCTGGGTGGAGTGGCAGCGCGGTCGGTTTACCTCTTGCGTGGCTCCCTGACGATGAACAGTCCCGATCTGTGCCCTTTGATGTCAGCGCCGTGCTGACTCTCGCGGACAATGGGACCGAGGAAGAACCCCGAAAAAAGGGTCCGTTTTCTTTCTTCTGGTGGTGTTAAATGGCGAGGACGCCGTCGAGTGCGGCAGTTCCGTGAAGATCCTGGCGGACGGACACTCTGAAAAGACAACTCGGGCTTCTTTATCACCATGGTCATCACAGCGGACAGCAGAGGTGCCGAGGGCCCTCACTCTGGTTCCAACGCATGGGGTAGACCGCGTCTCCTGATGTGCGCGTCGCCGGCGTCAGGTCACAGTACCCCCGTCATCAATCTGGCCTACCATCTTGCTGAGCGCGGCTACAACATCACCTTTATCGCCGGAGAGCAATTCGAGGCGACTATCAACAAGCTCCCCGGAAAGGTGCGCTTCGTCAAATGCCCGCCCTACTCTGCCTTTGGCGATCCGGAAGCCATGGCGGACCGTGAGGCCACACCAACTGGGACCGACCGTTTCATCTGGGACATGAAGCACCTCTTCGTGGCGACCATCCCCGAGCGTTACGAGGTCTTTCGCAAGACGCTTGAGGAGCTCAAGGAGCAGGACCCCGAGGCAGATGACCCTCTCGTCGTCACAGAGTCCTTCTTCATGGGTTCCTTGCCCATGTACCTCGGTGGTCCCCTGCCCAAGGGGTACACCAAGCGTCCTCGCGTCGTCAATATCCACGCGGTGCTGTACATGGCACGCACCGAGTACAGCGCCCCCTGCGGGATGGCCCTGCCGAGGGACGCCTCGGACGAAGGCAGGGTAAAGAATGTCCAGCTGCACGACGAGGCGGAGAAGACGCTCTGGGACCCCGTCATCCAGTACCAGCAGGAAATCCTGAACAACCTCGGGGCGCAGGGCTACGAGCCCACGATCCCACTCCATACTTGGATGGTCGAGCACGACGTGACGCTGCAAATGTGCTGTCCGTCACTCGACTACCCGCGTGGCGACCAGCATCCCAAGATCCGTAACGTTGGCGCGCTGCCGCCGCGACCTCTCAAGGCAGACTTTGCGTGCCCTCCGTTCTGGGACGAGGTCACGCGGGGCGACAGGAAGGTCATCACCGTCACGCAGGGCACCGTTGCCTTGGAGTACGGCCATCTCATCATGCCCACCATCAGGGCCCTCGCCGACAGGGACGACATACTCGTCGTGGCCATCCTGGGCAGCAAGGGCGCCCAGCTCCCCGAGGGCGTTGCGGTGCCGGGGAATGCGCGCGTGATCGACGTCCTCAACTACGACGCCGTGCTACCACACTCGTCCGTGTTTGTGTTCAACGCCGGCTTTGGCGGGCTCACGCACGGCGGCATCAACGGCGTACCAATGGTGTTTGCGGGGGATACCGAGGACAAGCCCGAGGTCGGTCTGCGGGGGGAGTGGGCAGGCGTGGGCATCAACCTCAAGACGGGGCAGCCGTCGCCGGAGCAGATTGGCGAGGCGGTGGACAGGATACTGGCGGATGACAGCTACAAGAGGAGGGTGATGGATGTCAAGGCAGAGAACGAGGCCATGGACGCAATGGATGAGGTGGAAAAGGTGATACTTGAGCAGGCTGCGCTTGCATGAGTGTGATTTGTGTCCATATGAGCGAGCGACTTATGATGATTGTATGATAGACTACGTGGGCATGGTAATGGACTGTGTGGAGATCAAGGGCCACGGAAGAAAATTACAAGCTTCTCGGGCTTTTATCTGCCGAATCCTGCATGCGGGGAGGAGGGCAACAACATCTGGGAGACTTGGATGATCTGCATTGAGCTCGCGTCGACACTTCAATGTGACGCTCCCCGCATCTCGTTGGAATCAACCCGAGAGAGCGATCAAGGGTTCCCGTGTCCTAGTTCTCACATACCTTTTTAGGAGTACCCCAGTGTTCATCAGTGGAGTTGTTCTGGCATGGTGAGGTTGACTGCACCCGTCAAGGTTGGTCAGGATGCTCAAGACGATCTCCTCGTCCGAGTGACAGCTACCTTATCCGGACCGGATTCACCACCTCCGCCAAAGTTTCTTATCCCTTCATCCGTGGGCGATGGAACCTCATGACACGGAGGAAACTTGAAGGATGAGGCTCGGGGCTCGCCACGATGATCCATCCTTACGTTGAAAGCTCGGGCAGTATAAAAGCGCCTTGGGTGCCCTCGTCAAGAACCGGTCTGCTGCCAACTTCACCGAGCCCCGAATATTACCAGTGTAAATAATATCATATCTTCAGCCTAAAAACAAGCCTTCCCTCTCAACATGAGACTCTCTTCCATCGTCTCCTGTCTCACTGCCGTGGTAGGTCTTGTGAACGGTGGTCCCGTGACCAGGCAGACAAAGCCGCCATATTTCCTTCTCGTCGGCGACTCTACCGTGGCTGTCGATGGAGGCTGGGGCAATGGCTTCTTGAGCTATCTCCAAGACGGGGCAGATGGCGAGAACAGAGCCAAGAGCGGAGCAACAACCGTTTCCTGGAAGTCTGACGGGCGATGGGACTCGTTGGTGGAGACCATTGGAAATGTAAAGGACGATTATGAGCCCATTGTGACCATTCAATTTGGACACAATGACCAAAAAGTTATGACCTTGGATGAGTTCCGAGTCAATCTGATCGGCTATGCCAACGATATTAAAGCCTTGGGTGGCACTCCGGTCCGTTCTGTTCTTTGTATACGAAAACGGACATTGCTAACCAGAACCGTCCTTAGATCTTCATCTCGTCCCTCACCAGACGCACCTTTGAAGACGGCAAGGTCGTCCAGAACCTCAAGGACTGGCGTGATGAGACACTGGTGGCGGCAGAGTCGACCGGGGTCCAGTTTGTTGACCTCAACATGGCGAGCACTACATATGTCGATGCCATCGGGGCCGAGGACGCGCAGTACTACAACTTGGAGCCCTCGGATCGAACTCACTTGAACCCGGCTGGCGAGATTGTGTTTGGTCGCATGACGCTTGACCTGCTGTTGGACGTCCGCCCTGACCTTGCTGGGTATTTTGAGGCCAATGAGGCGCTCAGTGAGAAGATTGCAAATGGCGAATTTGCCACGGGCGAGGAGTAGTATATCTGTTGTTCTTGGGTTGGTCTATCTAAAAGATAGGTAGCGATTGGTCCTGATGGTGACCGTTTATGCGTCAACCCTCCCCTGGCACAGGTTCAGTTTTTAGTTGTGCAATGCCAAATAGAATACAAATAACTATGAGCCACAAAACACAACATCCCCCCTTTCGTATTATCAATAAGTATTTGTCTTTTTCATCTTTACTAATCTTATGCGAGGCGGACATTCAACAGTTGTCCGCCGCTGCTGCCGCGGACAAAGGCCAGGGTAACCATACCCGCGAAGAAACAACCATCCAACAGCAACCACACGTAATTTGAGTCACAGTGCAGCCAATGCTGTCGTTGATTAATGATTTATGACTAGTCCATCTATTGAAAAGTTCAAATTACATAAAGGGCGATGTCTCAATACAATTTCGCGTCTAAATGATGCTTCGACGAGGCGGATGACCCCGTGAGGGGGCTAATAAGTCGCAGTCGGAAAGGAGAGGCGGACTTTGAAGATGAACCCCGACAGCCAAGAACAAATGTGCGGATACATAATACATGCACATAGACGCAGCATGTAAGCCCACGCTGACAGCCCAAACCTCCCTCCATTCTACCTTTTTCTTCGTCCCAGACACCCTCTCCAGAAGCAACACCGACCAAAGCCATCATGTCGTCCTCCACGTCACTGTACAACCAATCCGTCCCGGTCCTCATCAAGTACCTGCGCAACCTTTCCGCTCTCCTCACCAAGGCGGTCCAGCACTGCGAGGCCAAGGGCGTGGCGCAGGAGGATCTACTCGCTTTTAAGCTGGCTGACGACATGAAGGGGTAAGTCTGGACTGATCCCCCTCATCATCCTCCACTTCACCCGCTCAAGCGAGGAAACCACGCTGACGTGAGACGTCCCCCGGTTAGCCTCGCCTTCCAGGTCACCAGCTGCTCCAACGGGGCCAAGTTCCTCCTCCACCGCCTGGGCGTGGAGGCCCCTGTCTTCGCCGACGACGAGACAACGTTCCCCCAACTCCAGGAGCGCATCCAAAAGACCATCACCATGCTCGAGGGCGTCAAGCCAGACGCCTTTGACGGCCGTGCCGAGGCGCCGCTGCTCATGGAGACGAGGGGTGGCAACTTTCAGTTTGAGAGTGGGCAGAGGTATGTGAGCGAGTACATTATGCCAAAGTTCTACTTCCACGTGAGCATTGCGTATGCGATTCTGCGCAGTCAGGGTGTCGAGCTGGGCATGATAGATTATCTCAAGGGGGTGCTGGACATGGTACAGGAGGATGGGAGCCTCAAGACTCTCTAGCTCATTAGGGCGAGATTGAAAGGAACAATAATTAACACGTGTCAGTCTCATGAGAAGCAGAAGCAGCTTGCACAAGTGTCTATTGACAGTTACAGGTGATATATAATATTCAACAGCGAAGCAAAAGACCTCTCCCCATTCATCCCCTCTCCTTGATTACCCATCTAACCCCCTTTTCTTTCCAACTCGCAGGGAGGAAAGGCATTTAGGAGCAAGCAGTGGGCGCGGCTGTGACGGTGATCGGCTCAGCAGTCACAGTGACCGTCTCCGTCTCCGTCTGTGTGACGGCGGTGGACTGCGGGACCTTGGTCACGGCGGCAAGCTCGGTGCTGACGGTCGAGATGATGGGGGCAGGGGCGCCGGAGGGAAGCTGCTCGCTGTCGTCGCCCTCGTCGACGGGGGACTCGTCCTCGTCATCCTCGGGGAGATCCTCGTCGGGGATGTCCTCGCAGTCATCCTCGTCATCTTCAGGGAGATCCTCGTCGGGGATGTCCTCGCAGTCGTCCTCATCGTCGTCCTCGTCCTCGGGAAGCTCCTCGTCGGGGATGTCCTCACAGTCGTCATCCTCCTCCTCGTCATCATCGGCAGGAGGAGTCACAGTGGTGGGCTCGGGAGTCGAGGTGGCAGAGGCGACCGAGGTAGGCGACGGGACGGCAGAGGTAGGCTCGGGCGACTCGCCACCACTGTTACCACCGTCGCCGACGACAAAGTCGACGCACGACTCGTAGGTCTGGTTGATATCCGGGGCGTCCCAGAACCACTGGATGACACAGGCGCCCGCCTCGGTGCAGTCGGACAGGTCGTCGGGCAGGGTGACGCTGAAAGCGGTGTTGTTCTCGGGGAAGCCGGCGTTGGAGGCGTAGTCATCCCACTCGATCATGGGGGCACCAATGATGGTGTCAGTGGCCGTGTTGACGACGGAGACGTTGGCGTAGCCCGTGTGGGGGGCGGCAATCTTGACGTCAAAGGCAATCGTCTGACCGGCCGAGTAGGTCTGGACATTGTCCTTGTTGTCGTCAAAGAGGAACCCCTTGCAGAGCCAGAGGTTGCAGTCGTCGGTGGTGTCAGCGCCGACAACCTGCATGATGCCCTGGACGTTGCCGTTGATGTCCGCGGACTGCTGGTAGAAGGGCTGCTGGCCGCAGACGCTGTTGTAGGCATCGCCTGGTTGGCGGGCGGGCGGGTCGTTGATGAAGCCGTGAGCGGCGACGAGGGGCACAATGGCCGCGAGGGCGGATGCTTGGAAGAACATGTTGTCTTGTGTGGGCGTAGTGAAACGAAAGGGATGTGTGGTCTGGTCTTCTGGCTGTCTTCGAGGAACAGGTATCAATGATGGTGTGAATGAAGGGAGAGCACCAGGCCGTGTGTGATAGTAGCAATGTGACCGTCAAGGTCGGTAAGAGAGAATGAACGAAGGGGATGCTGAAAAGAAAGACTGAGACTGATACCAATCCTCGAAAAGCGAATAGACTGATGCCAGAGGAGCAAAAGGTGTAGACAGCAGACAGAAGCGGCCGTTATGTAGGCATCTCATGCCCCTGTCGTCTGGTGAACCCGTTGAAACCCATCGTCTCGAAATGCTTGGCCTACTTTATTTGACACTCGATGAAAGTATCCAGGAAGGTCAGTGGACTGCACACATCCCGGCTTGTTGGGTATGGACCCCCTGTCGGTGCCAGGGCTGGCGGCTAAGGTTGTTTTTGTCTCGGTTGCTGCCGAATGTGACATGATACTTGTACGCGGGAGCCGAAGCGACCCAAGGACGCGAGAACGACACTCTTCCTCCTACAAAGGGTGGCTGTGAACTTGGGTTGCCGTGCTGATCTACCCAGTCCGTGGCAAGGTCAATACACTGAAGCCCGCGAGGTGCTCATTAGGCATCTGATCGGACGGACATTGTTCGAAACTTCAAACAAGTTTGCCCACCGAACTCTGGAACAGGCCCAAGAAACAGGCCCTGTGGGGGCACCATCCCTGCGGGCTGGACGAAATTGAGAGGCACCATTGAGTGCATTCAGTGGCAGGCAGAGTGTTTCGACATTTGTGTCAGAGGCAACCTTGATCCCTGCTCACCGTTTCTAGGCTCCTCCCGCGTCTCAGACAAACAGCATCTCCATATTGTCCTGTTCGCACCGTCCGTTTCGTATCGTGGGCTCCAGAATCCAGATGACACAAGATGCGGGCAAATGAGGAGACGCCAAAGTTTTATGACACTGGATGACGAGCTGGTCAAGTATTGGCCGCGGCGATCATAAGCGCGCCGTGTGTGCATGCTGATGAGTTGCTGACAGCCTGACAGCACCACCCCTTGATCTGGCGGCTCTGACTTGTTTCAGGGTGCCAATCGCGTCTGTTGACCGCTGCTCCATGGTCGCTCGGCGCTTTTCACGCTGTCCTTGTGCTCCGGAACGCATAAGATCTCCTTTGTCGCGGTGTGCAGGCGGAATGAAGCTGCGTCGAGTGCTCAAAGGGTTGGTGGCAACGAAGATGGAATAAACGCGTTCGTTGTCGACGCAGGCGTTCCTGTTCCCGTAGCATTAATGCAGGTACGGGTGCTCCTTCCCCTTGGGCCGCTGCAAAATGCAACAAGCGGGGTATGCATCAATACGTGACATCTACGCCATTCTTCATCAGATTCACCTCACCTTCAAATTCTTCACGCGGCCATCGACATCTCTACACTCATCGCTTCTCCTCAGCGGTGCTGGCAGAATGACAGCCACTCCCATCACACAGGAGGCACGCTCCCAGCACCTACAGGCCGTGCGGCAGCGCCTCGTCTCCAATGCGCCTCTGTACGGTTTTCTGCTCTCACCCTCCACCATTGTCAGATCCTCGGCTGGCGAGGTCGTCCTCCACCTGCCCCTCGAGGCGTCCCATGTCAACTCCAGAGGCACGCTCCACGGCGCCGTCTCCTCCGCCATTGTCGACTTTAGCACCGGCCTTGCCATTGCCTCGCACGACCTGAGGGACACGACAGGCGCCAGCGTGGACATGCACGTGAGCTATCTGGGCACAGCCAAAGTCGGCGACACGCTCGAGATTGTGGCCACGGCGGAGAAGGTCGGTGGGAGCATGGCCTTTACCAACTGCAAGATCAACCGCATCGATGGCGATGACAGGGTGCCGGTCAGCATGGGGAGGCATACCAAATTCGTCAAGATTGGCCAGAAGAAGCCAGAGGAGAAGAACCAGGGATGAGTCTGTCCGGCGGCACGAACATACAACGACAATAATTAGACTCACATAGACGAATAGACATACCGGACCGTCACCGGCACGGATCAACGACAATACTAATCATTTCAGCTACCTACACGATGAGATTTCAACAGGTTGGATTGGACCCTTACAGACGGGGCGGCCCCGTGACGATCCCCCTCCCCATCCGACCGCATCGGAGTTGCCCCGCGTCCTCGGACAGGGACGGGGTTGGCAATCGCAATGATCCGAGTCGTCTTTTATAATGCGCGACGCCTGTTCCTATTCTGATGATCTCGCAAGACTCTGCTCGCTGATCGAAATGTCTGACACCACAGCCAGCAAGCCCACCACCCGGGCCAACGCAGACTACGATCTAGGGACACCAATCCCCAGCGACGCACCCGGTCTCCGTCAGGGCCTCACATCGTATGGCGACGCGCATTTCTCGCTCTTCCTGCGCAAGGTGTTCATCAAAGCGCTCGGCTATAGTGAAGACGCACTCTCGCGCCCCATCATTGGCATCGTCAACACCTACTCCTCCTTCAACCCCTGCCACGCCAACATCCCACAGCTTCTCGATGCCGTGAAGCGCGGCGTCCAGCTAGCCGGTGGACTGGCCATTGACTTCCCCACCATCTCGCTCCACGAGAGCTTCAGCAGCCCGACGAGCATGTACCTGCGCAACCTGATGAGCATGGACACGGAGGAGATGGTCAGGGCGCAGCCCTGTGATGCCGTCGTACTCATTGGTGGGTGCGACAAGACGGTGCCCGCGCAGTTGATGGGGGGCCTATCGGCCAACAAGCCCATCCTCCACCTGGTGACGGGGCCGATGATGCCAGGCAGTCACAGGGGCGTGAGGATTGGTGCCTGCACAGATTGCAGGAACAACTGGGCCAAGTATCGCGCCGGCACTATTGATATTGAGGACATCTCCGCCATCAACGAGGAGTTGGCGCCTACGGCAGGCACATGCGGCGTCATGGGCACGGCGAGCACCATGGCCTGTATCCTGGTAGGGCTGGGCCTCATGCCCTTCAACGGCGCCTCAGCACCGGCCGTGTCGTCGACGCGACTGCGGATTGCCGAGGAGACGGGCAAGAACGCAGTGGAAGCGTGCCAAAAGCTGGAAGAGCGTCGACCGCAGACAATCCTGTCCAAAGAGTCCTTCCTCAACGCCATCACCGTGCTGCAGGCCATCGGTGGCTCCACAAACGCCATTGTGCACTTGATGGCCATCATCGGGCGTCATCCCGGTGTCGCGGGACACATCACCCTCGACACCATTGACGAAATTGGGCGCAAGACTCCCCTCTTGGTGGACTTGAAGCCAAGCGGCGAGAACTACATGACCGACTTCCACAACACAGGCGGCATGTTGGCTTTGCTCAAGGAATTGAAGCCTCTGCTGCATCTCGACGCCCTGACCGTCACGGGAAGGACGCTTGGCCAGGAGATGGCCTCAGCACATTATGACCCCGTCCCCAGAGGTCTAAGCTGTATCCAGCCTTTCGGCTCGCCACTCTACCCCGCCTCATCACTGGTTGTCCTCAGAGGCAATATTGCCCCAGGCGGCGCGATCATGAAAGCCAGCGCCTCCAAGGAGAAGAGACTGCTAAGGCACACGGGCAAGGCTGTCGTTTTCGCGGGATCAGCCGATCTTGGCCGGCGCATCGACGACCCAGACCTAGATGTTGACCCCGACAGCGTACTGGTACTGCAGAACATCGGCCCCGTCGGTAACCCGGGCATGCCAGAGGCAGGCCTCATCCCTATACCCCGCAAGCTCGCGGAGAAAGGCGTGATGGACATGCTGCGGCTCTCCGATGGGCGCATGAGCGGCACGGCGGGCGGGACCATCTGTCTGCACATCTCCCCCGAAGCGGCGGATCCCGCATCAACACTGGGCATCCTGCAGAGCGGTGATGTGATCACGCTCGACGTGGAGGACAGGAGGATCCATGTTGATATCTCGGACGAGGAGGTTGCGCGGAGAGTAGAAGCGAGGAAGGGCGTGCTTCTAAGCGAGGGCAGTACTGCCCCGTGGGCGACGAGGGAGGGGATGAGAGGGTATAGGGGGCTGTATATGAGGGAAGTGCTGCAGGCGGAGCAAGGCGCTGACTTTGATTTCCTCACGGCAGAGGGGCCCAAGAGGTAGCTTTTGCATCTGACAAGGTCCAGTATACAGTTGCACCTCAACCCCTGATCGAAGGTCCCGTATGGCATTAGTGAATGGACATATTTCCTAGCCCTGCTCCAAGTCATGATCCTCCAGTCCAGTCAGAAACAGTGGAGACGGACATTCCCCGCCCTCGACGGACTTTCTCCGTGTCTCTCCCAACAACACCATCTACAAAACCCCTATTGACACCTCAACTAACACCACTCATCGCAATCTCATCACAGGTCTCCCAAAAATCCTCACCATGTCGGAATCCGTCAAGATTCCCATCCCTCCCGCCCGCCTCCACACCCTCGTCCACAACATCCTCACCGCCAACAACGTGCCCCCCTCCCACGCAACCACCATCACCAACGCCCTCATCCTCGCCGATCTCCGCGGCGTCGACACCCACGGCATCAACCGCATCCCCAGCTACATTGCCCGGATCCGCCAGGGCGTCCTCGACCCTATCGCCCAGCCCATCCTCACCCAGACCACCCCCGTCGTCGCTCACGTCGATGGACAGAATGCCTTTGGCTTCGTGTCCGCCCACATGGGCATGCGCGCCGCCATACAGAGCGCCCACGTCTACGGCATCGGCATGTCCAGTGTCAAGCACTCCAACCACTTTGGCATGTCCGCCTGGCTCGTCCAGCAGGCCCTCGACGAGAACCTCATGTCCCTCGTCTTCACAAACTCGAGTCCCGCGCTGCCGGCCTGGGGCGGACGGGAGAAACTCATGGGCGTGAGCCCCATTGCCTGCGGCGCCCCGGGGAAAGACCCCGCGCAGCACTTCATCCTCGACATGGCGCCGAGCGTCGCGGCCAGGGGCAAGATTTACAAGGCCAAGCGACGCGGGGAGAAGATCCCAACGGACTGGGCGCTAGACAAGGACGGACGGAGGACGGACGACCCGGACGCCGCGCTCGGGGGTGTCATGCTACCCATGGGGGGACCAAAGGGGTCCGCGCTGAGCATCATGATGGACGTCTTCTCGGGGGTGCTGTCTGGGTCGGCGTTTGCTGGCCACGTGACGAATCCGTATGACCCGAGTAAGCCGGCTGATGTCGGTCACTTTCTCGTTGCCATCAAGCCGGATCTATTCATGGACTTGGACGAGTTCAGGGAGCGGATGCAGTATCTGTATGAGAGGGTGACTGGCTGTGAGAAGATGGAGGGCGTCGAGAGGATCTACTTTCCTGGCGAGCTCGAGATCATTGCTGCGCAGGAGAGGAGAGAGTCAGGGATACCTCTTGTGCAGGCTGAAATAGATGCGTTGAACGAGGAGGCGAGAAGAGTAGGCGTCGATGAATTGAAAACATGAATAGTCTAGAAGACTGTCGCTGTGATTTCAGGCGAGATGATCTCTCCTACTATTTAACTATGATCGAACGCTATTGGGAATCCGACCCCGAGGCGAGGCAAGCCCTCTCACCCGCCTAGTCGCTCGGACTTTCATCATCAATTCAAATCAAGACCACTCAGCTTCTCTTCCAGGGATTGCTTTTGTTCGTCATCAGAAGAGGAAGTCTTGAGTGACAACTCTGGCAAACCTTCGTCGATCACACCAGTCGACCCTGTTCCGCTCGAATCCTTTGATATGTCTGACCCTGCCACCTCAATGGCTGCATCAACGCTCTGGAGCAGTCGCTGCGGCCCGGCGTCCCGTCGAAATCTGCCGTGGTGTGGTTTGCGTCTGAGAGCAGCGCCATCCCGGACCTGCTTGTTTCCAAAATATCTCCGGCGCACATGGGAAGAGTCGCTATTCAGTTCGACGCCAATTGATGAGCGCGGCGTAGTTGGTCTTGGTACATGATGAGTCTCACTTGGCGCACAAATAATCGATCCTCGAACCGGCCTAGAAAGACTTTGCGCTGAGCTCATGCCGTTGGGAAAGGCTCCCAGCATGGCGGTTTCTGTGCGTCTTGGTCGGGATTGTCTCCTCCGCCTCCCCTTGGAAGCTTGCGGCGGCTTTTGGCTACTCCGGCGAGGGTGAATCCATTTGGCAGGCTTCCGTGTCAAGTTGATGGCATTCAGGATACGTGAAGGGCGGTTGTGACGAGCGAGATTGACGTCCTTGCTCAGCTGGCAACGATTCGCCGCCTTGGCGTGCAACTCATACTCGATAAAGTTGCTGAAGCCATGAGTCTCGCGTAGGATAAACTCTGGTGCTGTCCAGGCATATCGGCTCAGGCCTCGCTCCGAGTACAGCTTGGCTGCAAATGACGAGGAGCCAATATTCTCATCCAATCGACTCGGCCGCCTCTCTGCGTGCCGAAGCAAGTATTCCAAGTGTTTGCCGCCAGTTTGCTTGAGAATCCTTGCCCGTTTTTGCGACGTGGCGACATATGGCGGTTCCCACCGGGAGTACTGTTGTCGCGCGTCTATCCGGTAGACGTGCTCATCTTTCCACCGACTGCCAACGCTTCTGAGGGGGGTCAAAAGGTCCGTTCCTTCGTGGCTAGATTGGAGCTGTGCCAGACCCGGCGGCGGCTTTAGGGAGTCGCTGTCGGCCTTGCGCAACAAATCGTCTATTTGGCTGTCTTGACTAGCAGTGGCCCCTGTGCGAGTGCTGCTGCCAGTTGATCCGGTTGATGTTGATGACCTCGATGACCATAATGCTCCAGTGTTACGGCCGTGGTGGTTTTCCTAAGCCCTAGTCGGCTGCCCATCCACCGGATGTAGCTGAAATGCATTTTCCGCATCCCTCGCTGGCTTCTCAGACCGCGGGTGGCGGATGCCAAAAGTCTTCAATTTGGACATCATGGTGGACGAACGTGGACGGGTCTGCGCGTCCCTTGCAAGCGGTGCGGCGCGCCTCGATCTTTATTGATGCAACGGAGGAATGAGAATGCAGGTTTGGAAGATCATTCGCGTTTCTCCCGCGAGTCGAAGAAGTTCAGGGTGGCGACGAAAGAATGATTGGAATTGTAGCAGGTGAAGTGTTTTGGTGATCAATCAGATAGAGTCCAGACACCTTCGAAGGGAAGGTAAGTCGCTCCTCCCTCTGTTGATCAATATCCCTCCATGTCACGTGGTCCTTCATCTGAAGTCCCGGAGCAAGAACTCCCCTATTTCAGTTTCGTATGCTTTTATCACGGACATTACATCAAAAGTTCAACGATTTACGTAGGACGATAGCCAGAGATTCCTCACCGCTCACCTTCCCCAGAGCCTGGCCGCCGGGGAGATGCAGCCACCCCCCAGTTATCGGGCATGCACCCGCCCTCCCGCGGCGCAGGGACCCCAGGTGTCAGCATCCACAACAACGACTTCGAATCCCAACTTGGGCGCACTGTACAAGTACTCCGTAGAGGACACAGAGCCGGCCGCATTTCACTTCCAAGTTATTTATCAGGCAGGCGTCCACGAGCGAGGGCCAAAATTGATGCCGCGCTGCAAGTCTTATACTGGTACCGACTTCTCCGCGCCTTGCGTCAATGGCTGTCGAACTTTGCACGTCGCCAACGTGGCCCAACGGGACGAACCGAGACGGATGACAAATGGCCAAAGGTTGTAATCAGGGACTGTTGCACAACAAAAGCATCACCGCGGCAGAATGCTCCCACTGTGCTGTACTGGACGAAAAATTGGGACCGCACACACTTGACTGAGTCAATCTTCCGATCTCGCAGGCACGCCGTGCTCGGGCGGTTGCGACTCGCGATAGCCTCATGCTGCTTTGCCTGCCGCGGTGGATGCGCTCTTGTCTAATTTGCAATCCGTTTTGAAATGCAGATCCACGCCTGGAGCCCAGACTGGCCAAGCAGAATCTCGAGGCTACTGTACAATGGGCCATGTAGTACCATGCGCTCGTTACTGGGCAAGCCTCGTTCATGCCCTCAGAGACAAAGGTCGGTAGGAGAGCAAAAGAATGGATCCCTGCCGGACCCTGCATTGATCCCGAGGCGCTACTGCGCATGGCGCAACAGTGCGGCTCGTCGTCATCTTCACCAGTTCGCGTGTCGACTGTCGACTGCCGAGAAGGTCAGCGTGATTTGTCCAAAGGTCTGATGCCCGAATTGCGCAATATCCCCGGAAAGAGAGAGTGCTTCTGCAGGCTTGCCACCTCTGGCTCTGCCCCGATTGATCGTCGCGTCTGATCGCGAGTCAAGGACGCGCACGCGCGATAATCAAGTGATAAGCAGCGATAGGGGATCCCGGTCACACCGACATGGCCCGCACTGTGACACTCTACTGTACAACTTGCCAGAGTCGGTGGTAATAAAGTAGGTTGGTAAGACTATCATAAAGAGCTGACGGAAACGCCCTTGTCAAATGCAGCACTGCACGTCTAGGTCTAATTCAGGAGGCATGCCGCTCGTTGTCATTGGCCAAGCGGGTGTGATGAGCTCTGACGGTCTGACCGCCCTTTGTCGCGGCAGACGGCTGGGCAAATGAGGCGAAGACAAGGCGGTCGAACGACGCTATGAGAGGCACTTTGCCTAATCACTCGTTACAAGTCCCCAGCTCCTCAACACCCGAACCCAACTTGCCAAGCTACTGTGCGGGTCAACGAAGACTGGAAGTGAGGCAGCTTGACTATCAAATCTGGGGAGTGTGGAGAAGCCCAGTCGCTGGAGTCTGGACGCCTCCGTTTGTCCGCCTGGGCCCTGACGACCTGGCTCAAGGTGAGCTGGGCTTCACTGCAACAGCACGGGATTCAGGATCTGGTGTTGATATGGATGGTCCGTGACCCGTCCACCTTATGACTGTCGTCCTGGACCAGAAGATAAGGACACGGACTGGAGCGTACAGTGCAACCAAGCACAGTAGCGGCAGGCCCAGTCCTGTCACTGTAAGATCCACCCACTAGTACCTGGTAGACTGACAAGGGCCAGTGGACCTCGAGGACCCCTGGATCCTGGACCCCGAGTCGACAACTCGAGTCGAGTTCGGGATGCCTTCGATTTAAAGATGTCTCCGACCTCGCAGAGACACATGGCCATTTTGCGCCTTCCATTCTCTTGAACGAATCTCTCTTTTTTGGCATTTCCACCTCTTTGCATGTCTTCTGTACTCCCAACCACCCCTCACACATCACACACCATGCATGGCTATAGTTCATCAGAAGAGTCTGAGGACCCCAAGCGTCCTCGCGCGCAGCCGGCGCAGAACAACAACAATGACCAGAAGAAGAAGCGCAAGAAGCGTCTCCCGCCTCAGCAGTCTGTCAACCGCATATGGAAGAAGTTCTCAAATCGCAAGTTCCACAAGGCACTGTCTGTGCTGCCGTTCGACCCAGTGCAACCACCTGCGTGCTCCGACCGCTCCAATGAGTTGCTGTCCGACGGGTACGAACGTGCGGTGGAGGAGTGTAGGCGCAAGGTGGAAAAGATTGTCAAGGAGTGCAAGCGCGTCAACCAGCGGTATCGCGACCCTGGCTTCGACTTGGTAGGCTCTGCCCTCTCGTGTGGCATGCGAGCAGCAGTACACAGATACAGACGCTGACACTTTTAGGACTGGGACTTCAAGTACGAGAAGGGCAACTGCCTCAATAGCCTTGGGTCGTCCAAGTTCGAGCTCAACTCGACCACTCTGCTGAGTTCCACAGCTTCCGTGCCCAAGGCTGTGAAGCGCGTCCACGAGATCTACGACAAGCCCACTTTTATGCGTGAGGTGAGCGCTGGGGATGTGAAGCAGGGCAGTCTCGGAGATTGCTGGCTTCTGGCGAGTCTCAGTGCCCTCGCGAATGTGGAGGGCGGCATCGAGCGCATCTGCGTGGCTCACGACACAAGTCAGTAAGAGCCTTTCCATGTGGTCAATACTCATGCTAACGGACGCAGAAATCGGAATCTACGGCTTCGTCTTCTACCGGGATGGCGAGTGGATCTATTCGATCATCGATGACAAGCTCTACCTCATGTCGCCTTGCTGGGACTCGCCCAGCATGCAGCGCGACTTGCTACAACAAATCGATCGCGAAGACATGGAGAAACACTACCGCAAGACGTACCAAACGGGCTCCAAGGCGCTTTTCTTTGCGCAGTCCCTTGACCAAAACGAGACATGGGTACCGCTCCTCGAGAAAGCTTTTGCCAAGGCACACGGTGACTATGCGTCCCTTGCTGGCGGCTGGATCGGTGAGGGTCTGGAGGATCTGTCTGGCGGTGTCACCACTGAGCTTTTTACGTCCGACATCCTCGATCTTGACGAGTTCTGGGAGAACGAAATGACGAAGGTGAACAAGGAGTTCCTATTCGGCTGCTCGACCGGCGTCATGGAGCACGGTTACGGCAACCGTGACGGCATCAGCGAGGGCCACGCCTATGTGGTCATGGACGCCCGCACCTTGAAGTCCGGCCAGCGCCTCGTGAAGCTCCGCAACCCCTGGGGCAAGCTCCGCAAAGGCCTCTGGGAGGGCCCATGGAGCGACGGCTCCAAGGAGTGGACCACGGAGGTGCAGGAGGAGCTCGGCCACAAGTTTGGCAGCGACTCGGTGTTCTGGATCTCCTTTGAGGGCATGATCAGCAAGTACACCCTGCTTGACCGCACCCGGCTCTTCCGCGAGGACGACTGGCGCTGCTGCCAGCGCTGGATCGGTGTCGACGTTCCCTGGAAGCCAGAATACCATGAGAAGTTCCAGATCAAGCTCACTCAAGACTCGCCCCTTGTCCTGAAGCTGACGCAGCTTGACGACCGATACTTCAAGGGTCTCCAGGGCCAATACACCTTTCGCCTACATTTCCGCCTGCACAACCTGGACGAGCCCGCCGGCGAGGATTACGTCGTCCGATCCAACAGCAACTACATGACGCAACGGTCTGTCTCGGTGGAGCTACCCGACATGCCTGCCGGCAGCTACGCAGTGTACGTCAAAGTTGTTGGTGAGCGCAACGCCCGCCTGTCTTCCGTGGAGCAGGTCGTCAAGCGTGAGTGCCAGGGACGCAAGGAGAACGACAAGCTCGCTCAGGTGGGGCACGCCTACGATCTTGCGCACAGCAAGGCGTGGGACCACATGAACAAGGTGGCCAGGGTTCGCCGTAAGCGTGAGCAGAAGAAGGCGTCCGACTGCCGAATGAAGGAACGTCGCCGCAACTGGGAGAAGCGTCACCTTAATAGGGAGGCCAGTCGCCAGCAGGTGGCCAAGAACAGCCAGAAGAAGATGAAGCGACGTGAGGCTTGGGAAACTGAGCAGCAGAGGCTCGACGAGGAGGCTGAGGAGGTCGCCAGACAGGCTCGCGAGGCCAAGCTCGCGGAGGAGAAGCCGGCAGCGGTTGTTGAGACTGCTGACAAGGCCGGTGACGAGGCAGACGATGAGAGTGATGATGCCGATGCTGACGAAAAGTCGTACGACAAGCTTGGCTCCGAGTCGAGCGGCACCCCATCGTTCACGCCCAAGTCGGACAAGTCCGTTCCCGCCTCGTCTGAGGAACGGAAGCAGGATGTTCCCGAGGTCAGCGGCGCTCCCCCTGGTCCGGCTCCCGAGCCCGAAGTCAAGCAGCCTGCCCGACAGCGTCCAAAGTACGACTCGGGCGACGACTCGTCCGACTCGCCCGTAGATGACTGGGACGAAGTCTACAGCAGCGACGACATGATCCGCAAACCCCGCCTGGCTCCTCAGCCTGCGCCCCAGCCCAAGGACGACTACGACAGCGAGGAGGAGAAGATGCCCGAGCCTTGGAACGCGATCTGCATCGTCGGAATCCTCGTCTACTCCAAAGACGCGCAGCTCGAGCTGCGCACTGTCATTGAGGGCGGCGAACTGCTCGAGGGCGGCATGGGCGAGCGAGGGGCAGGAGACCTCGACAATGCGCAGGCCAACGCTGGCGGGTCGCGCACTGAGGCCGAAACTAGGGTTGGCTACAATGCATCCGTCGTGGACCGTGACGGCAAAGTTCTCACACCTGGCGAGGGTGCCGTTCGCGATTACATCAACGTCAAGTCGGTGTCCTCGTCTGGGACGAGCACGCCTACTGTTACCCGGCTTGTTGACTGGGACAGCAAATTTGAAAGACTGAGGTTATAGACACAGGTGTTGTGATAGAGAGGCTGCTTTATGATGACGACGTGTTTGATGGATCTATAATGATGTTATATTTTAATTCCTTACCCACAAGAGCTGAATGGGATGGATGAGCGGGCGTTGCGAGAGCTTTTGATGATTTTTGTCGATCAGATTAGACTAGACAGCCTTTTTCCTAGTATTCAATCATTCAATGTACCATATTTCCTGAGTCTCGCGTGACTGACGATGAAATGATTAGAAAAAGGTGCTGAGAGTGATGACGATGAGGCAGTGTCAACAAATGACGCCAGTAAAGGCTTATCGCAAGCTACAACCTTATCTTATCTAATCGGCGCTACGCCTGCCGCTAACCTTGCCGTATGCAGGTGCACGCACGTACGCAGGCAGGCAGGCAGGCAGCCTACCTAATTAAGCGGCAAGCCGACCGTGACCACGACCGTCACCGGAGCCAACACCGCCAGCCTCACTTTCTTCCCCTGTTCTTTCTTTTTCCTCTTGTTTGCCTTTCTATTCCATCCCGTTCATTATTCATTACTCTTCTACTACAGTTTACGAGACGCGCTGGGCTTCGCCAGTCACCACCATGTCGTTCCCCGGCGATTGAGCCTACACCACGACCATACATCCATCCTCACGATACCTTTTCTCGATATACTCTTATCTACCAGCTCCCAGGACACCTCGACCGAGCCCATCATGGCAGCTTCATCATCAGCCTCCTCCCGACGGAGCCAGCACTCGTCGTCAGCCTCTCTCAAAGCCCCCTCTTCATCTTCCCGCCATCAACAACGCTCCCCTCGGACGTCGACGACCGACGCAACTGCCTCGACCGATGACCTCGTCAATTACCTGCTCGCCGCCAAACGCGCCCTCTCCAGCATGACCCTCGTCTTACACGGCCACACACTGACCAACACCGCGCGCACCCTCCACGAGGACACCGCCATCCTCGCCGCCCAGTCCCGCTTCCTGCGCGCCAGCATCGCCGATGCGGCCACCATTCTCGTGCGCCTTAGGAGGACCTTTCAGGGAACATACGACTGGGCGAGCAACGACTTCAAGAACCTGATACGCGCCATGGACGAGACGGACGGCGCGCTCGACAAAACCATGGGCATGCTGCGGAGCACAAGCGTCAAGAGCGTCCTGCGCCCGAAAGGCGAGGAGACGCGCAGCCTACTCGACTTTCTAGACGTGGAGAGCGTCGATGGGCTGCGCGAGGCCATGAAGAAGAGCATCGAGGAGCTGCAGGGTATACAGCAGTCCTTTGACGGGGACCTGTTGCGGTTCGACACGGACATTCGCAACCTCAAGAAACTCATGCAGGAGGCGCCGCCCGAGGTCGACCTGGCGGCAGACGAGCGCGCGGATCGCCTGGCGGCCCTGGTGGAGAGGTCCGCCAACATGGCCCAGTGCCTCTCCGACCTGACGAACCACTTTGACATGTGCGTGACCGCCATCCGCACGACAGAGGGGGCCGCGGCCCTCGCGAGGCGCAAAGCAGCCGAGGCACCGGGTCCAGACGGCGTCTCCATCTCTGGCGTGATAGCCGAGCAGGACGAGTCGGATCTGGAGCCCAAGACGGCCGAGGACAGGGCTGAAATGCTCAAGGTCGTCGTGCAGGACGCCGCCGAGGTGGACGACGTGGTCAAGGACATCCAGGACAACTTTGCCGCCATTGAGCATGATGTGCACGCGATGGACGAGGAGCGCGCGACCGCCAAAGCGATACACACCAACACCCTCGCGGCATACTCGGCCATTGGCGAGATTGGCGACCGCCTTGGCGCCTATCTCGCGGCCGAGGAGCATTTCCGCCAACGGTGGGATCTGGAGAAGGACGTCGTCCACGGGAAGCTGGACGAAATGAAACAGCTCCGCGAGTTTTATGAGCGGTACTCGTCAGCGTACGACGGTCTCGTGCTCGAGGTGGAGCGTCGCAGGGGCGTCGAGGATAAGATCCAGAGTATATGGCGCAAAGCCCAGGAAAGCGTGGACAAGCTGCTTACGTTGGACATGGAGGCGCGGGAGGCCTTTCGCGCTGATGTCGGCGAGTTCTTGCCCACAGATCTGTGGGACGGCGTGCAGGGTCCCGCGACGAGGTACGAGGTCGTGCCTGTGGAGGAGGGGAAGAAGCAGGAGGAGCAATGAGTGAGGGTTGGATATTAGGTATTGGCAATCTGCTTGCTTGCTGTACAGTATGGGTGGCGCTTGGGCACGTGTATTTGGTTGTTAATTAGTTTGGCGCTGTAGGATCACGGCGTTCAGGGACTTGGGTACGGTTACAGGCAACATCTTGGTATATCTATCATACGTGTTGATACTAGCATAAGATGAAGCTGTGGTGTTTATTGTGCCTCGCTGATGGTCATTGATCTCATTACTGTACATGCTGGCGCATAGCCTACTCGGCATCCAGAGGCGCCCTTGGTGGCGTATTATTCACCTGCACGCCACCACGCTTCTTCTCCTTGGAGTCAGGCATCGGCAGCGCCCAGCCGCCTTCAGTCTCGGGCGTCGATAGCCACAGCCGGAGCAGATGCCGTCTCGGTGCCGGAGGCGGGTGGTCCGTATACGCCGTCCTCGAGTGCAAGAGGTGCGCGTTGCTCACGAACTGAATGTCGCCCACCTCAAGCACCATGTGCAGCGCCAGGTCGCGACAGATCTGCTCCAGCGTCTCGAGAGCGTGTACTTGCCTCTCGCTGAGCGGTGGGATGGCGCCGGCGTCTGAGAAGCGCGTTAGACTGCGGACATAGTACGGATCCCACTTTGTGTAGACGCGCGGACTGTCGCCAGCAGGCACATTCTCCATATACACGACGGGCTGGCGTGTCCAGGGGTCCTGACCGTCCGAGACCTCGCCCTTGCGGTCAAAGTACCATATAGGCTCCGTGAGTGTCCGGGCCACGTCTGGGTGGTGTCTCTGGAGGGCGTTCCAGACGGCGTGAGAGCTGACGATGTCACTCTCGCCGCCCTCGAGGGCGCGGTGCGTGCACAAGAGGCCAACAATGTCGCCGTCGTCGGCGTGAAAGTACTGTCGAGCCTTGGTCCGGTAGATACGCACCTTGTCTATCTGCGAGGGGTCGTCGCCCACGTCCTTGACGTGCCCGAGGACGTGGCCGCGGCCGTTCTGGGAGAGGAAGTAGCCGAGGTAGGTGCCGAGACCCATGTAGGCGACGGCGTTCTTCCCGGGGCCCCATCTGTCGGCTGGGAAGCCCTTGAAGAGGATGAAGCCCTTGCCGTTGAGGAGGTCTTCGCGAAGGGCGCCGAGGAGCTTGCTCAGTTTGGGGAGGGGGAAATTGTCCTACCTCGTCAGCCACTGTCACCAGACAGGAGGGTTGAGTCTAAGATGTACCTTGGTGATGCCAGTCAGGGGGACGCCATTGGCTATGAAGCGATCGGCTGTCTCACTCAACTCCTGGATCTCGTCTTCGCTGAAGTGGTGAGTCCACTTCTCCGGCTGTTCTTGGTAGTCCTTCTTCTCCCACACGGTGGGGCCCGTGATCTCCGTGGGGAACTCCTTGTACGGCTTCAACAGGTCGTAGATAGGTGGATGCTGGCCAGAGGTGCGGATGCCATCGAGGAAGACGGAGGTGGGTGCCTCGTTGTTCCTGAACTTGCCAGCCTGGACCGCCTCGATGGGGTGGTCGTCGTATACCAGGGCGCCAGGAGCCATTGTATCAAGCTATTACTGTCTGGATGGATTCTGTTCGACTGATTTTGACGCATTAGCGCCTCATGACCGCGAGCTCCCCTTTTATATTCGGCAGTGAGTGACACTGACACAGATGGTTCGGGATGATGACATGCGATGGCGTGCTCGCGTCACACTATCACGAACAGCACCAAAGAGCACGGGCACCCCCGCAACACGGCCGCGGAGGAATGACAGCGACCAGAGATGAAGATCTCTTCCCTGTACAGTTGGCAGAGTCTGAGCGGTCCAATTGGGCGTTCAACCTTCAGGGTGGTGACTGCGGACAGAGGTGGTTGTTGGTGGTGGAGCACAGGGGGAGGCCAGGATGGCGCCATATCATGGGGTCCAGATGGTGCAATAGCATTGATGCCCTTCTAAACGGTATATTTTAAACGACAATTTAATTAAGCGGCACTTGCCACGGTGCGTATCGGACAATCCAGAATCGAACACCTGAACCCCGCTGTCCACTCATCCACACATGTCTGCGGCTCAGCGATCCCGAATGACCTGCTGGACCTTGGGGTACACCTTGCACATCTCGGCGTAGACCTCGGGGTGCTCGCGCCACAGGACCTGGGGATCCCAGCCAGCGGCGACGAAGATGGTGTTGATGCCGCTGACAAGAGGCTGTGTGATGATCAGGGTGATCTGCATGCCAATGAGGAACGAGAAGGCGAGGACCACGGCCGTGTACTGTCCCTCGTTGTTGTAAGGGGGGTCCTTGAACAAGAGGTAGAGGTATGCCAGCAATGCGCACGCATAGGCCACAAAGAGACCACCAAAGGAGACGACGGGCGAGATGAGACAGTCCTGCGGTCATGTTAGCTGACGAAGGCTCTTTTGGTTGGAAAGCTGTCCTTACATTGATCAGGGCATCGATGCCACGGTCCTTGACCATCTTCCAGGTGTCCTTGGCCGCGGCAAAGTAGGCCTTGCCGTAGAGCGCAATGTGCACAAAGGCGTACTTGTTGAAGAACTCGGCGGCCCACTGCAGGATGGAGATGATGCAGCCCAGGATGCAGAACACGACGTAGCCAATGGCGCCACCGATGCCGCCCTCCTGGGCCGCTTGACTCTGGGCCGCTTGACTCCTGGCCACGGAGCAGATCATGCGCAGGAACTGGATGATGGCCAGGAACAGGCTGCCCAGACTCACGGAGCCGAAGCTGTAGGTCAGGGCCCTCTTGGCGGCGCCGCGCGTCGCGCCCTTGGCAGGGTGGTGCGGGTTAAAGTACCAAGAGCCATAGATGCCGGCGATGATGACGTGGATCGTGTTCTTGATCCATTCCGACACCCAGTACATGGTGAAGGTGACAAAGGCGATCAGGCCGATGACCTTGGCCTGGCTGCAGCCGCCGCTCGCGCAGCTCGGGTTGTTGTCCGAGGGCTGGTAGGCTGTGTAGATGGCGACCAGTGTGACGGAGAACCAGGCGGAGATGGCGGCGGCGAGGAGACCGCCCACGAAGCTGACAATGTACGTGTGGCCGTACTTTCTGCTCACGTCCACGCTCGTCTTCAGCATGAGGGCGGCGAAGGGGATGCGGGAGATCCACGTGTAGAAGCAAAAGGCCATGAAAGCGGCGAAGATGAGGAAAACGATGCCAGCACTCCAATACTTCCTGATCAGATAGAAGATGGCCGTGCCGAGAGCGAAGACGATATTGAGGATGCCGGTGACCCAGATGAACTGCTTCGGGAAGGTTCTGGCCAGGGCGAGGTAGCCGAACCCGAGGACGAGTGCGACGACGAGCACAAAGGCAAAGAGGATGATGGTGCCTGTATCGAGAGAGAAGGTGTTGTTGTCATTGCCGATGCCGGTGCCGTAGACATTGCGGTGGCTGGAGTATCTGTACAGCGAGAATGCCGAGACGACGACGAATCCAGCGAAGAAGAGGATCAGCTATTCGTTCGTAACGTTAGCATCAGAGCACTGCGTTTCCTGTCCTCATGCTCGTTGCTTCACGTACCAGGACACCAGCCCACCAGTCATTCCACTTTGGCTTCTCGATCTTGACCTGCTGCTCGAACCCGTTCTTCTCGTCGACTTCACCGTTGAACCCAGCGTTTGGGTTGGGCGGCGCCTGATGTTCATTCTGGGGGGGGGGTAAGGAGGTTGTTGATAGTTCTGGTTGTATCCCTGTTGCGGCTGCTGCTGCTGGTATGGCTGCTGCGGTTGGTAGTACTGCTGGGGCCCGTTGCCCTGCTGGGGATTGTAGTAGCTGTCCGCTTCGCCCATGGTCGCGCCAGGACGACTACTTTCGACAATGCTGGGTCAGCGATGCTGTGATAGCGATGGCGACTATAGTCGAAAGATGAGAGGAGGGGGGATGAAATGAAGAATGGGCGTCAGAAAGTCTCGAGCGCGCGTTCAGCTTGGCAGCCCGTACGCAGCAGTCGCGCGCACCAATAATGCCCACCAATAATGCCCGGGAACGGCCACACTTGCCGTGAGCTACTGACGGTAGCCTCTTTGCTGGCGTGAGGTCATCTAAATCACAAGAAATGCGCTTGTCGCACGCAGCCATGACAAAATGAATCAACCGATGGAGAGCTTTTCTACTGGTTAGGCCACAGCTTCATGTGCCGGTATTTCTGTCGGCAATGATGCGTGGACTTTCGATTCCAAGATCGCCATGACCCCACTTGGACTGGGACTGGGAATGCGATTGGCCAATCGTGGTAAACTCTGTTGCTGCAGGGCCTGATCTTGGCGACGCTTGGCGCTGGAACGATTCGCAGAAAAACAGAGTCGGCCCCTAGGACGCGTAAGTCTTCATTAAGCATATCTCACAGGAGTCAGGAACAAGGGGCATTCGTTTCTGTTCTCGCTCGTGTGCCATGGTCAGAGGCTTTTCAAGATGACCCAGTGGGCACCTAAAGTGACTGGAGATGCGTGAATGGTGAAAGCTTGCTGCCGCATCCGGCCGGCGGCAGTTCAGTGGCCCCTGGTGCGGGCCGGGGTCTGCAGCACACGCGTATCGATCTCAACTACCCTGCACTTTAATCACGATGCTTAATGATTGATAATGATTGACCAGCTGTGAGCATAGCTTTGCGATACGAGTCGAACATTGTATGCTCTGTTACAATGATCTAATAAGGTTGTCTTCAGAGTGCTATGTAGCACTAAGCTCACATGCTGGGATATGTCTAGATGCATCCCCAATCTGACAGCTTGGACACATTCAGACCAACGTCTTCTCAGCATTGCGAGCTTTGGGAACAGAGTGACCGCAGATCATGCCCACCCAGTCATACTCCAGATCGAGCTCGCGGTTCCTCTTCCTCGCCCAGTCCCCGAGCTGCGCGAAGTGTGCGTCCGGATGGCTGGCCGCCTGGTCGTCCCTCAAGCCGAACCAGATACGGCGTGCATCGAGACCAGCATGGATGATGCGCTTGTAGTCAGGGGCTTCGGCGAATAGGACCTTGAGTAGAAAATTAGCCTTGAAGAGTGACTCAAGGACTGTACAAACCTTGTAGTAGTGCTTGGTCCACCTTCTATACTGGGCCATCTTGTCGGGCGTGTCACCGTCGCCCCAGCGGCTGATGGAGGGCTTGCCTCTTCCGTCAATGACAAGGTCGACGGTGGTCACCATCTTGGGCTCCGACAAGATGGCGGGCACGACGCTGCCGCCCTCCCAATCGTACACCGATGTGACGTACGGCTGACCCGTGTCGTCCTTGTCAATGGTCATGTTGTGCACGCCGAAATCACCGTGGTCGAGCACGAAGCGGTACAGCTTCTCCTCCGACAGCCGCGTCGTCGACCGGGGCAGAACGCGGGGGACCAAGCGGAGGAGCGCCTCTCGCGCCGCCTCCAGTTCAGGTTTGTGTGCGTGAAACCCCTTGTCCAGATCGATATCTCGGCCGCGGTGGCCCAGAGTGGCCTCAATCTTGGCCGTCAAGAGAGCGATGCAGAATTCGCGACTCGGCTGGACGGAGATCGGGCAGTCTTCAATGGGCTCCCCAAGGCTCCGTTCCCACACCTAGTTGGAGCAGAATGCCTCGGGGAGCTTGAGGTGGAACACGGCTGCCGCGGCGCGCGCGCATCGAGTAAGGAGAGTGATCTAGGCAGGGTGAGAAGCTGCGCGCTCGGCAGCGGAGTCGAGGCATACCTTCTGACGGGTGTTTAAGATTCTCCATCTTGGGTAGTCGTACGTGAAGCCGCCGGCCTTCTGGAATAGGAACAGTCGTCGACCTTGATTTGTCTGATAGAAATCGCTTCCCGCGCGAATAGGGTCCCGATGATGCAGAGGACGGCAGTCAAAGGGGTACCCCAGGACCGACAAGGCATCGTACGCGTCGAGTTCGAAACGGTCATGCATCATCTGCTCGACCATGGCATGCGCGTCGAAGCCAGTCTTGTTCAGGTCACCGCGCGAGACACGCGCCACGATGATGCGCTGATCATGGAGGCGGACGCAGAAGCCAAAGTGGTTGGCGCCGTGGGTGACGAGCGGGACGTCCTCGATGGTCGCGCCGAGGGCCTGCTCGATCTCGTGGATGAGCGCCTTGACGTTGAAGTGACTGCCAAAGGGGCTCTGCTGCTGGTGGACGCGGGTGAGAAGGCCGGTGCCATCCCAGTGCTGGCCGTCGACCAGCGTAGGCCAGGGGTCGTGATGAACGCACTGCTCTCCATCAGTTTCCCCCGGCTTTTCGGGGGTCATGTCTCCGCAGGGAGAGTACTTTGATGCGTCGTCGATAAGGTGCGTAGTGAGAAAGTTTATTCTGGCGGCAACGGGGCGTCACAAAGTTCAGTTCTCTTCGCAGAGCGTGATGACAGAGAAAGGCTGGGTGCTCTGGAGGAGGAGGAGGAGGAGGAGGAGGAGGAGGAGGAGGAGGAGGAGGAGGAGGAGGAGGAGGAGGAGGAGGAGGAGGATCGTGAAGGATATGTCAAATCTACAGTCCTGGGCGCGTGAAACGTCCAGCTTGAGCATGGCCAGGCGGGAAATGGCAATTTTGCTGATATAGCAGAGTCCAGTCCAGTCCCATCGTCCCAGCCAGTCCAAGATGAGACGGCCAGGTGAAGGCGGCTGTGGGCAGGGTAGGGTTGCCCTCCATCGCCGCACACAACTTGGCCATTGGCGATGGTCCAGTCGATAAGGCTTATGATAGTACTACCCCAATGGCGAGATGCCGGCGCCTTGCAGAGCGGGGAGCCGTCTGATGGTTGACTGCTACGAGGCAGGAGCTACCTCGACACTTGTCGTTGTTACACAAGGCAGCCGCGGGTCACGCGACCTCTTGCTCTGGCTCGCCTAGCCATGCCGATTGGTCGCGCGATCGTCTTGAACCGCCATCTGATTGTCTTTGATTGCCATCCGACTTCGTCTGGCGCAGATCTGAACCGTCGTGCAACGTCGCGGAAGTACGCCTGGGACCCGGATAGTGGCGCGCCAAAACCATTACAGAGAGACGACTGGAGCTGGCGATGATAGAGGAGGATGCAAGGTGGCAGTCGCTTTGGTGGTTGCTCGTGTGTCGCACAGCACGCAGCAGGTCATCCAACTAGGCACACCAAATGCATGATGACTCTGACTTGCCTGAGTCACATTGGCTCCTAGACCGGTGATGGATTTCTGAGAGTGACAATGGCGCTCGGAGTTGGCGAAACTCGCGAGAAGGCTAAAATGCTTACTGCTCATCGCTAGCGGTCTCTTCCGGTGCCGGATCCTGGTTTGACTCGACTTGTACGGTGGGATATTAGATCACAAGGTGCCAACGGTATCAATGACCAATGCACAACCACCACACAACACACATACGCACCCTCGTTATTATAGCCTCACCTAAAGAGCTGCGCACGCTATAGAATTTAATTCTATAATAAATAAATTAATTTGCTATGATCTAGCGATAGTAGACTTCGTGATAATAGTATTTATTTTTTATATAAGGCGTGTGGTGGTTGTCACGGAGGCGCTAAAGTTCTTAAGCAAGATATATATTCGTATTTAATTAGTTATAAAGTGAGGCTATAAGTGAGGTTGTAAATAGCTATAAATTTGATCACGACCGCCGCGCCCGGGCGGTTGGCCTAGCTTCACGCCGTGAACGGCGAGGTCGCACCTCTTTATCAACGCTACCCGCTATAGGCGCCCTTGGCCTCTTCCTAACTACCTTATAAGGTGCCTTAGCGGGTGCCTTATCGGCTGCTTTATCGGGTGCCTTAGCGGGTTCCTTATCGGCTGCTTTATCGGGTGCCTCAGCGAGTGCTTTATCGGCTGCTTCGTCGGGTGCCTTAAGGGCGCCGATCTTAGTTAGCAAGAGGTCTATATTATCCGACGCTTTAGATAGGGCCGTGTCGCTACGTGTCCTACCCGCTAGGTCTTATAGGAAGGCTTTAAGGCTAATCGGCTCGTAGGGTGCTAGATTTGGCTCTGATTTAACCCGAATTAAAGCTAGCGTTAATTCCCTTTGCGACCGTTCGCCTAGCGCCGTAGTGTGACGTTCGGGTCAGACTAACTATAGGGTAGGTAGATCTAAGGTCGGTTTATGAACTAAGTATACTAGGATGTTATTGACTTAAGCGGTCGGGTTATAGTCTATATGCGAGATAGTAGATCTTGCGTAGATAATTATATTAATAGCTAGGGAGCTAGGTAGAGACTAACTATAGTAAAGCTAGGCTTCCTATATACTAAGGTGATTATTATCCCTAAGAATAATCTATTCTGCTTGTTCGTAGTAATTCGTGATAATCGTAATAATCGTAGGTGCGATTATTCGTATAAGTAATAATCGTGCCGTGAATAGGTGGAAAATAGTAGGGTATGCCTAGAAGCACGTGAAGGCCGTATATTAGGTCGTAATATAATACCCCTCCTTCCGAGATCTTATCCCTAAGATTATTTATTACGCGCCTTTCCCTAACCTATTGGTTTTAGTGAGTTCCTTCTCCTTTAACTTCCTCGCTATATCCGGCCGTGTCGCTAAGCGTGCGTAGAAATCGTCTTCCGATACTAAAGAGCGTAAGATCCGTCTTCTCGAAACTATTTTCGTATACTCTATCGAAATACCTACTTGCTCTAACTATAAGCGTCGCGGTCTTAAAACTTATTAGGTTTCTACCGATAATTCCTCTCGTTGCGCTAAGTGCGTTTATTTAAACCGCTTAGCCTGCGACGTTAGTGGGGTTTCTACCTCGTAGTTTCGTAAGATCGCTAAATAATATTAGAAACTCGAGACCGAACTTAAACGAGCGGAGGAGAAAGTCCTATGCCTCCGAAAATAAAAGAAACTATAGTTTAAGAAGATAATAAGAGCTATATCTCGTGGTATTGATAGCGTGGAGGAGCTAGAACGCGTGGAGCGGGAGGAGGCTAAGCGCGAGTAGAGGCGGTTAGAAGTATCGGGTTCCTCCGCTAGTCGCTCCTTTACTAAGAACTTCCTAGGGCCTGACTTTATATAGGCGTAGGATATTATATACGAGGACGTGCCGCTCGATCCTTCGATCTTAGCGGATTTTAGTTTAGCTAGGTCCGATAGAACTATCGTAATAGGTGGCTATAGTTCGTGAGGTATTTAGCGGGTTCTTATATATTTTCGTTACTTACGTATCCCTTTTACTTAATAAGGTATCTAGTTTCTCCGTTAATTATTTGTTTATCGATTATTCGTTCTAGTTCGTAGAGTTCCTCTAGAACTTCCGGTTCGTAGTTTATTTTTGCGTTTTATAGTGCTTTCTTAAGTAATAAGATATAAAAAACTAGGTATATCCTTATACTTAAGGGTAGTAAAAGTTTATAGTTAGTGTCTAAGATAACTTCGTCGATTTTAAATAGTCTAAGTTTTTTATAGTCGAGCTTTAGTAAGGGTCGAGTTATTATAAAATTTTTACGTAGTAGGTAGACTATATCTCCCCTCCGAAAGATCGGTCCCTTCGATCTTTTCTTATTATAGTATTTCGATATTCGTATATATACGAATTCGAGCTATCTTTTTATATATTTATATAGTAAGCGTAGTTAGTCTGCTTTAAGTATTGCTTTTTTAGTAAGAGGTCTATCCCTTAGTATTTTACTACCGAACTCGGGCTTGTATCCGTAGTTCGCATAGAATAATAAGATTTAAGTTAATTCTATAGGTGCGCTATTATAGGCGAGTTAGGCGAGTAGTAACTTCGAGACCTAATCGTCTTATTCATAGTTAATATAGTACCATAGGTATTATTCTAGTGTCTAGTTTAACCTTTCTATCTATCTATCCGTCTAAGGGTAGTAAGCTATACTAAGCTTATATTTAGTTCCGAGTTAAGCTATTAGAGCTTGCTAGAACTTCGAGGTAAATATCGTTCCTCGATCCGAAATAATTTCTTCCGGAAGGCTGTGGTTAGCCACGATATATTTAAGTACTATATATGCGAGTATTTCTATATCTATTGCTTCTTAGTATGGTAGGAAATATCCGAATTTGCTTATTCGGTCTATAATAACGAATATACTATTATATTCGACGTTAGATCCTAGTTCCTTTAATTTAGGTAGCTTCGTAATATAATCGAAGGCTATTAATTCCTATAGTCTTAAAGGCACTAGTAGTAGCTTTAGTTCTCCGTATAGTTTATGCCGTATAGCCTTACTATATGTATAGTCTTCGTATTATCCGACGATACGTACGACGTCTACTTTAATTCCTTAGTAATCGTACGTTCGTTATATTCGTTCGAGAGTCTTCCTAACTCCTTAATATCCTGCCGTAGGGTGCGTATAAATATTAGTTAAGATTTCATCGCGTAGCGGCGGTAGTATCTAGAGTAGTCTATTCCTAATAGGTCCTTTTCCCGTTTCTATTATATAGTCGTCCGGAACTTCTTTTTCGTATTTAGATACCTAATCTAGTATTTTATCGTAGTATATAGTATTTGCTTCGACTCTAAATATAAGGAGGTTAAGTATTATTTATATATAGTTTCCTTCGTTATTTTATTAAAGTATCTAGCCTTTTGCCTTTTATACTTCGGTGTTATAATCTAGTCGGCGGCTAAGTACGTCTACTCTATTATTTTCCGATCCTTTCCGATAGATAATTTTAATATCGTATTCGGCTAGGAATTTAGTATATCGTACTTATCGTAAGCTAAGTTCTTATATCGTAGCGAAGTAAGAGATATTTTAGTAATCGGTATAAACCTTAGTCTTAAACTTCGTTCTTAGTATATAGTGCTTAAATTCTTTAATAGCGGCGATAATTACTAAGAATTCTTTATCGTAGATAGGGTGGTTTAGTTCCGCGTTGTGGAGTTTCTTCGAAAAGAAGGCGACTAGTCGTAGATTACCGTTATCGTCTCGTTAGCTAATCTACGCTCCTATAGCGTAGTCCGATATATCTATTTCTAATTCGAGTGGCTTTTCGGGGTTATAGGTTATAAGCATAGTATTAGATATTATACTATCTCGTAACGTTTCGAAAGCCTTTCTTTATTCTTTTCCGAAGTAGAACTCCTTTTTGCCCTTTATAAGTTCTATAAGTAGTACTACTATCTTCGCGAAGTCGCGTATAAAGCGCCGATAGTAGTTTGCGAACCTTACGAATACTTATACTTCCTTAAGGTTATTTTCTAGTAAGGGCTATTCCTTAACTATATTAATCTTTGCTTATTCTATTAGGATTTCGTTTGGTCTAATTATATGTCCGAGAAAGATAGTCTCTTATATATAAAACGCGT